GCAAATACTTCGCGCAATTTTTACCACAGTCAGTAACACTGTTCTCCGTGCAGTCAGCAACCACTGTTCTCCATGCTTTGGTGCTGACAAGGAGAATTTTGCTACAATCAAGAGCTCTTCAAGTTGTAGATCATTTCGTTTATTCTCTTGGCTTTATGTTAAATTCAGGGTGGTGCCGTGAGGAGATGATTAGATGATTGTAAGTCTTGGAGTTTCAAAGGGTTACATATTTGTTAGCTTGTGAACTTAAAAGGTAATTTCAGAAAACCAACTGTCTTCTTGACTCAGGAATATAGGACAAAAATCTGAGGGCATTTTAGTCATTTAAAAAGAGAGGTATAGCAGCAACTGAGATAATATCTAATATCTTCATTCAGCAGCCGCAGAGATACGTGTATTTTATAACTTTTTCATACTTCATGAACAATCGGTGTAGGAGTGTCCGCTTCGGTAATCACGCACAAATTCAGTAGCTCTGTTCCAGTTATAACTGGCTTTATCCCACTTCTGAGCTGATAATCTTCAATAAAATGGAAGAAGGTAAGTGTGAAATTCTATTATGCTGCTTCTCTCTGGTAACAAATAGTTTCTTTTACTAGCTATGTTGTAACCTGGTGGCCCAAGTATTTTGCTGAATTGTTGAACAGTGGCGAGCAATGGTTAATACGGTCATCAATGGTTAAGCGGTTTACATTAAGAGACGCAAAATGTCCGCATACACAAACGATCGCTCATTACTTCAAATTCTGCCTCCGCAACACGTTTTTGCTCTTCTTTCACATTTGCAAATGAGGTAAACTTTCTCTCTGCTTTGGACTGGGTGACAAGTTTTTTAGCAAAGAAAGCTTCATCTGAATGTTGTCGGCCGTTTGAGGCCGGTCTAGGAAAGTAAACCTCTTCACACGAGAAGAGGTGTGGTAGGAGAGGGGGGTGGGAAGGGAAAGTTCTTAATGTATAAGTTTAAAAAAGACTCCGTGAGAGTTTACAGCAAGAGCTGTGGACGCAAAAAATTATGCGCCCACGTCTTATACACAACAGCACTCCAAGGTCTCATTCGCTAGCTGCATGCTTCCAATAGCCTTCTGAAATATTTCATGGCCCACTCATTTTAAACCCAAAAGCCCGTTTTAACACAAACTTTACTTTTTAATTTACGAGGGAGATACAGAAAGAAATAATTGCCTGATGATTGCCGGTATTTCAAACCTTGAAGGGTTTTATTCTATGAACTGTTCTTTTTCTGTCTCTTTTTCTGTGTAAGATGTCGCCATGGCCGGATATTTCAGACGATAAAAAAGTCACAGTTTTATTCAAAACCCCATTTGTTAAATGATGTTTTGTTAAAAAGCGATCCTACCGAGCAAGCTCCCGGATCGGTCGTGATAGATCTTCTTTTGTTGCTTATGGTAACGCATTAAAAAGCTTCATTAGCTTTCTTTTACAACTTTTTCTCCTTGCCTCAATTGTTACATCCATTAGTTCGGTGCAAACTTACAGGAAATTAAGGATTTTACAAGCGGATATCTTCCAGGCGTTGACTCACAAATAGGAATTTTAAACAGGATCCAACCTTAATCTTAGACATCACCACAAATAAGACGGCGTCTTTCTGCAGTCCACTGTATTTAAAGATCTGTTTCCATGTATTGTTCGACGCCTTACTTACTTTGATCTCCTGAAACCGTGTCTTTATGAAGAATTAAGCCAAAAGAGAGTTCTTTCCCCTATTGATGATTTGTCTTCGCTAACTAGTTATCAATAGAAACCACTGAAGCTCAGATGGAAGCTGCAATCGTTGTGTACCTCATAGTTGGGCTCAGGAGTCATGCAGAGCAGACAAGATGATATAATATTAAAAAAGTCTGTTCTCTACAACTGACTGGCTGAAGAAGAAAAGCCTTAAAAAAATAATGATAGCATTCATTAAACCACCACAACTAGCGGCGGCATTTTCGGGAATTTGCAACTTAATTGTGGTATTTCATGCGGTCAAGTCGGTACGTGTCTTCATAAATAAAACGTGTAACCTTGACAATTGTCGAAGTTGCCTCACTGAATAGGTATCCTTGCTTTCATTCACGCTACTGACGGTTTCCGTCGGTTCATGATGAACGAAAAAAAGAACGTGCCCCACCCTACTCCTGGCAGATGGTCGAACAGCCAGCTAATTAAGGGTAATTAAGATTTTTGATAAGTAGTCACATGAATATCCGCCTTACTTCGGTCAAAAGCCGATCTAAAATTTCGTTCTTAGGTGTTCTGTCTGTTCTTTGCTATCATTTATATTTGACATAACAAGTTTTAACCCATAGCTTGTCACGAATTGACAGAGCCAAAACAAATCATATTTAGAACCGCGGAAAAGTAACCAAAAGCTGCTATGACTGACAGGTGAGGATCAGGCGATTAGCTCTAAATTCACGGAATAATTCTACTGAAAGAAGGACAATTTAACCAACTGAAACAAACAGGGAAGTCTTGAAATTCATTTCACGATTGCTAAAGGGAAGATTGTACTATTAAAAGTGTTTAACATCCTAGACAAAGTAATATATAAATATACACACAAGCTATACCTTGTAAAAAATCTGAAGACCTTCAAAATTCGTATAAGAGTAAACACCAATCGTAATTTGTCAAAGATGAACTTCTTGGTAAATTATAGAGGGAAAAACAGCTTGAAGTCCTCTGCGCATCAGGTTTCTGATAATGAGAAGTTAAAATCAGATTTGACCATTTCATCGGTTGCAAAATTTTCACCTAGTACGTCGATGTCACAATCATTAGCTCGTCTAATGTTCCTTCCCCGCTCGCTGCCTTTCAGACAACCCTTTTTCTTGTTTCGTTCACCCCTCCCAAACTACGTGAAGATCGTTCCGCTTTTAGTGGAATTTACGTTGGGACTGCGTGATGACAATTCACAGAAACCAATGAGTGCGTCATGCTCCGGAAGTTCGACAGCGGAGGACCGCTGCGCACGTTAGTTGAAACCGCATGCCTGAGGGATGGCGCACCTTTCCATCCTGGAATAGTTAACGATATTGGACATATTGCGGCTCCTTTACATTTAAGTGTAGAAAACCCTAGTTCATCAGTTTATGCTGTTTATTTTTTTCTATTTGGTGTTTGCGAGTTTGAAATGTCATGAATTCGAGACTCTTGAATGTTTTCATTTAGAAGTTTCTAAACATTTAGGGACAATAATTTACACGAAGTCTAACCCAAACCGCGGTTTAACGCAAGCAGTGGGCCTAACGTATTCTTTATAAGGGGGTTAATTGTTTTCATTAAATTAATGTCCTTCCACTGCGAGCTTTCGGTGCGGCTTGACATTGTTCACTAAAACATATGTTCAGATAAAAGATTCATCTAAATTTAAGATAGTGAAGAACGCAGTTTTGTTAAACAACGGCTATAATTCGTTTGAAAAATCGACCCTTATTGTCTTGATTTGTATTTCCGGTAGTTACTGGCACTGATTGCACGCCACGTCATGTCTCGACTTGAGTTTCATCTCCATTTAAGGTATTTTCTGATCTATTCTCGTTCACTGTTTTGTCCAAACAGATCTAAAACATCAGGAAAAAAAATCATTCAAGCCATCAAGCCCTAGGTATCACCATGGCTGAAAATTAAAACTCTTTCAAGTGGTAAAGTTACCAACGGCTCAAAAGGCCTTGAAAAATGCCACACTCTTTCTGAAGTCAAAGATAAAGCTCAGTTTTAAGGCTTGAAGTTTGAGCCATTTTTCTTCCTCTGGTATGCCAGAAATTGTTTGCACAAAGAGTGGCTTCTTTAGACTTCGTTTTTTCAGAAGTCTCAAGGACTTTAAAGTGGTAAAATTTATTTTAAAAAAACTAAACAATTGGAAAAACCCACCCTCATAAATCATCCTGTTTTTCTTTTAGAAGTTTCTTTGTAGTTTTCAATTTCTCTTCCAAACTAATGGTCACTAGTCACGCACACTAAACTATCAAAGAAAGTGAAGAAAATATATGAGTGAAAAAAGTTCCTATGAGGGGCCCACTGAAATAGAAAGTCATCTGTATAGGGGTCATCGGTCAAGACGGAGTTTATTTGATTATCACTTTCAAAATCTTCAGACGAAACTGAAAAAAACCACGCCGAATGTATCTCCGCTTTTGTCGATAAATATAAACACTGAAGTAAAGGAAATGGAATTATTTGAATTATAGGCGCGGATGTAAAATTAACTCTTTGTTCTGGGGTTAGCGATTGAATATTTCGTGAACAAGTATTCCTTTATGCAAAGGTCAACAACTGTGCATGGCTATTTTAGGAAAATGTGTGCTTTTTCTTCTGTCTGTGAGAATATTGCTTCAATGGACACACTTGAATAAGTACTGTACGTGGAATCATTTCATGACGCCAACGTAAAGGAGGTGAAGTGAAATGAAGATTCAAGAAGAGACCGGAAGAATCTATGAGGAATAACAAATTCCTCGTCACGATTTTGTGACTACGCTTAAACGCTTAGTGGCATGGTTTTCTACTCCTCCTGTTTGGAAACCGAATCCCACCTTTCAGCCTTACGTAGAAAAAATCATCAAAGATTTGATTTCCGCTTTACTTTCAGGTGCTAGGAGGAGACCATTTTAAGCCTCATTACCGCTTGTGACGTTTAAGGCTGGGTCTGAAACAAATATTATCTATCAGGGGAGGGGTCAGTACGGGCGCTTATATTTTTCGCAAATAAATTATTGTACTTTTCTTAAATAAATTATTATACGGGAGTTTTACTTCTACCTTAAAAACGATATGTTGCATTCTGTGCAAAAATGTATTTCCGCGGGGTAAATCATGCAACTCTTTAAAATCGAGATAAATTTGATCTGAGCACCTCTCCCTATTTGGGAAATTAGGCCCTTTTTAGGGAAATTACGCAACGTCCGAGGATTACATTAACCGTCAAGTGTTGGAATTCGCTCTCTTTAGTTCAAGACGTGTCGGATGTTGTAGGGGCAATACTTTTATTGCAGGGTTTTTGGATTTTAGATCGAAAGAGTTTTAGAAATGCCGCTCGCACGTATGGAGAGTTGTGGACATCGAGTAACAATCATGTGTTTCTCTTTCTGCTTTCTGCTTTCTGCTATAACTGGATCTGTGGCCGAGATATTGCCGTCAATTCTATGGAATTCTGAAAATCCATTGTAAGTATCTTTAATGGTATTCTATCATCAACATTTATTTTACGTGAAAACAGAAATCGAAGCGAAATTCTAGATTCAAAGCTAACAATTTATGCACAAGACCGTTGACCATTTTGTTTCACAATGATGTTTTTACTTGTCATCGTGCCGAATTGAAACTAAGGAACATAAAAAGCGTTATAAAAAGACAAGCAATCGCTGTAAGTTAGAAAAGGGAAGTTCCCTTGCCTCTCTTATCGTGGCAGACCTTTTAGAGAACTCGACTGAAAGTCGTGTTAGGGGCAAACACAACTTTGCGGTTCACCTGGCAACGTTTTGATCACTAAAAATTTATTTTGTCCTGGCCGGAAACAAGATCCTCAATACTGTTTTCAAATAATCACCTCTAGACTTAATCATTTTATCTGAAAATCGTTTCAAAGTGCTCTCTTAGATTGTCGGGTTAGGAAACATTACACCTTATTTAAAATTCGTAGACATTTGATTACTCAAGTCATGGTTAACAAATAGAAAAGCCCCTGATCAGACCTGATCTGTTCTGTTATAAAGCACGCAGGAAGCGGCTAGAGCACGAAAGAAGTGTAGGGAGAAACACGAGACGTAGCCGAGTGTTTCTTCCCACTTCTTTGTTTTATAGTAAAGAATCCGTTAAATTCCCCAAGCATTACTTTCAATTTTCAAAACAAACTTTATTTCCAAAGCGAACAACAATGTCGTCAGCATGCTCTATACTCTCATAAAACACGCTTCAATAAGCCAATCAGAATCCCTGTTAGAATGGTTCAAATAATCTGATTGGCTGTACAAGACAGTGTCAAAAGTGTCAAACCATCAAAGATAGTTTACAAACTAAAATAGTTCGGCAAGTCAAATTTAATACTTTTGCCTGAAGTTTCCAAGGCTCTAATACAGAATCATGAAGTGAAATGTTCAGTGAACTTCAGCCGAATTATGGCTCATAAAAACACGCGAGTTTTTTCACATGACAAGGAAGAAAACAAACTGTTCAAGACGAGGGTTTTTTGAATGAACGACAGCAGAGTTCACCAGAACATGAAGATCGCTCGTGATGACAGCGCCGCAAAACTCGGCTTGAAAAGCCTTGACTGTGCTCTGTTCAGTTATAAAGCACTTAGGAAGCAGCTAGAGCACTCAAGAAGTGGGGACAAACACTTGACTATGTCTTGTGTTTCTCCCTATACTTCTTTCATGCTCTAGCCACTTCCTGCATGCTTTATAACAGAACAGAGCACGGTCAAAGCTTCCCTATTTGTTAAACAATTGGCAGATGGCGTGACAGCTGTAGCTCAGCTTTATGCTCTATACTCTCATAGAGCATGCTCTTTCAGCCAATGACAGCACGTGTTATATCCATTATATTATAATAACAAATAAACCATAAAACAAAGGAATCAGAGAAAATCCAAATGTTTACTTGCTTAGTGCCAAACGTCAGTGGTAAAGCCATTCTAAATCAAACATATCTGATCCAATTTTAATTGCTTTCTATTCCAGTTTTAATAACCTACATGAAAGGACCAGAAATGTCATGGAATTTGACCAGCTCTCAATTATTTGTCCCACCCTGGTGGACTACCCCATCAAAAGAACAACTACTTATTTGAAAGACTTGTTGTATGAAAATGTATATATGGTGGACAAGAAGGGTTTTGACAAGTGTAATGCAACAGGAGGACTCAGTGTTTTATCCTGTAATGATCCAGTGGGACACATTTATTACAGGGTTGTATTTCAACCTCATACCGTTAATCCAAATGATCCAAAGTTCGAGAAAGGAAAAGAATACTACTTTATTAGTAAGTGCTAATGTTTCATAATAGATCCAATAATTTTTTTTTCTAAATTTTGATTAACTGCAATCTAATTACTTCATTCCATGCATATGTTTATGTGCATTTACTTTTTAATGTTGCATTTTTATGTATTTATGAATTTATTTAAAAATTTTTTTTGGTGTGTGTGTGAAGAGGTGTTTACACTGAACTCTACAGCAGCTGCTTCTTAATTTTACATGTATTGAGCTTTCTTGAATGTGGGCTACAAATTAAAAATATTTCTTTGAACAATTTTTTTGCAAGGGTTTTGTGGTTTCTGAGAAATGACTTGTCTAAGCTGCTTTTATTGCTGCTTGGATAACTCATTTTTCCAGTAATTACATATATTTGATCAGAGAGAAGGAAAGTCAACATCGTCTAACTGTAATTATTGAAAGATTTGTTTGGGGGAACAAAAGAAAAGGAGAGAAGCTGCTACATAACTTATAGTTTGACCTAGTCTCAGAACTTTTCAAAAATTGACTTTAAAGTCCCAATAAAAAGGAGAAAAAAATTAAAAATCTTTTTCAATCGTCAGGTACTGCATCAGGCTCACAAAGCTCATTGACAAACACACAAGGAGGACACTGTAATTCAGGAATGAAGATGAAAATATATGTCTGTGAAAGCAGCTCTGACCCAAAGTGTCCTAATGGAAACAGTGGTATGTTACATGTATCTCATTTCACATAATTATCCAATTAATTATCTTTTTCATGCCTGGCCTAGTGGATTTGCAGGCTGAGGCAAGGTGAAATAAATCCTGTGTTCCTATTGGCTTCCTAAATGAGCAAGATAAGTTTACCTTGCCCACCAGTGATTGCATGCCTTAGACAACTTCTAGTGCTATCTTGGTCACAATTTGAAATCTCAATGATGTGTTTTCAGATCTACTGATGCACAAAACTTTTAGTTATCTTCCTCTCTATCCATATCATGGCAAAGAACTCTGTGCTAAAAGAAGTCTCCTTTTGTATCTTTTAGTCGTTAATGGTGGATGGTCTGACTGGAGTGAATGTTCGAATGGTCTTCAAAGACGAAAATGTAACAAACCTGCCCCAGCGAGTGGGGGATTACCATGTGTTGGTGATGAACAAAGAGCATGTTCGACAGAAGCTGCACAAGTGCTTTGTAAGGGGCATTCGTGTACTAGTAAGTGAACAGTTATTGTTACCCTTTCACTGCCAAGATCTCATTAGTAATTCTCCTTACTGTCTCACTGCTGTACAATTCTTACAATTTTAGTTCCGAGAATTTGTTACTCGATCAACTGATAATCCCCTAATTGATATTTCTCTTTATTCTCATCACTTGTATGCTTGAAATTTTATGGATATTGTAGGGAGAAATTCTTTCTTTGTCACCTATAGGAGTTAAAGGGTTAATGTCAGAAGTTGATGTTTGGATGTACAAGTAATAATGGGTTTGACTGAAAGTATTTCCATCCTTAAGGCAGGCTGGTAGTTACCATTGAGGAGAAATGACAAACCCCCTTTTTTTCCCTTCTTTAATTTGCTTTTAGATCCCACTGTGGAAGGTCAAACATCAACTACACCAGGTAAAGCAGTTTACAATTTTTAGATAACATGTGTCCTGTATATTTCTGTCCCATTCAAAGTTTGCTAGTTTGGGATGTTGAATGTTGTTCATATACATCTCTGCCATTGTATGGACTTGTATGTACAGTATTGTTTAAAAGTTCTGGCTTTTTGATGAATTTTGGTCCAAAATGAAATTTTTGCAACATGTTGTCAAATTTGTGAGGCAGATATTGTTTGGATTTTTCTGAAATTTCTCCCATGTAACAATAAGAGGGACCCTCTACATTAACTCCATAACCTCTCAAAAAATGTTAGCATCTAATTCTTTTTCCAGTATACCTAAGAAATGTGTAGAAAATAATGTGGAGAACATGTATATTGGTGGAAGGATATTCAGGGTTAAAAAGCTCAGTGTATTCAAGACACTGGCCCCTTTTCAAATAACACATCTTGTTACAAATAGCCATATAAAATGTCTGCACGTGCATTTAATCCTTTAACTCTCAAGGTCTGATTGTTAATTCTCCCCTCTAGATGCTACACATATCTTTGTAAATTAGTTATGAGAATTTGGTGTAAGATCAAGATAATTAACAACTTCTGGCTGATAAGTTTGCATATTCCCATTACCTGTTTGCTTGATAATGTATAAATATTATAGGGAGAAGTTACATGTTAATCACTTCAGGGATAGGGTTAATTTTCTTTCTAATCTTTACCCAGTACACAATGCATGAGAGATCTCTTTCTAGGGGGATGATGTACAACAAATAGAGATTATGATCTTACAAAAGTTATATAAAGTTAAATATTTCTTATTTTCTCCTTTATCTGTCTCTCTTAGGACTTCCTTCCAGAGAAAACAGAACTGGAGGTATGCTTTTGAATCTTTTATCCAAAAAAATACCAGTAGTTGTGATGATCAGGTCTTGTTTCACCCACTTGAAGAAATTTAGCAACACAACTGTGTGCCAATAAAATAAGTTTATAGTCTTAATTATGGTAGCTGCTGCGTTGAATCAACAAGCTTTACTTAATTTTTTTCACTGTTATGGATAATAAGTAACTGTTTCTCAAAGTCACTTTCCAAAAGGTTTCAGTTATTCTGGTTTAACCCAATGTTGTGTTTACTGTGGTTAGTAGTTTTCAGAAAAATATTCTCTAATTCAGAGAGCTTTGTCAATCAATAGTTATATACTCTGTGTTGTCTTTTTCATAGATAATTCTGGTGATAAATTGGAGTTGAATAGAGGACTGTTTGTTGGAATATGTCTTAGTATATTCATATTTGGGATCTTCATTGGTGGAATAATTGCTATTTTAGTATGTAGAGTTTCTAGACGCAAGTCAAAAACAAGTAAGTGCAATCTGTTTCTCTGAGTTCTAACTCTAAGTTAAACTTTTTGGCTGTACACATCCAAAAGAATCCTAAATGAAAAGATGTTCTCAATTCTTGGGACAAAAAGCTTTGCTTCTGTAGTACATCAAGAGTTATGAGGAAACAGTGGCAAACTGTTGGAGATAATGGACCAAACTCTGGGGTTTACTTTGAACTAAATTAAGTCGACATAATTATTTATCGGGGAATAATTTCAGATATTAGTAATAATATGGTTTATTATATCTTTCAGCTAGTATGTACTCTAATAATGTGCAATGAATTCATACCCCACCAGCTGAACCTAGAGATATCACTAGTATCTTACTACCCTCATTTTCTTGGTCTGTACGATATAAGTTACAGAACCTTGTTTTTTCCACTCAGATTTATGGTTCACACGCTTTGCGTTTAATTGGGCAATAAATCCAAGCAGAAAAAACTAGGTTTGTACCATACAGTACCAGTACAGATCAAGAACACAAGGTTAGTAAGAGGTGTAAACTTTTCACTTTTAATCACACTTTTTGAGAGAAGCCTTTAGACTGAATAAAAACCACAGGCAAATGAAGCTTCTCTTAAATTTTAAAAAAAAATTTCAGTCTGTCGTATTCCCTCTGCAGTCATCCTTGTTGTGTTAAAGTCACATGCTAGTCCATGGCTCAAAACGTTTTTTTTTTTTAATTTTTTGATTTGTTTTATTTTACACAGATGCCCATATTACAAGAGTTCCTAGCAAATTAACTGGTTTCTCTCGTCCAACTTCACTAGTTTCTACATTATCCACAGTTAGTGAGAGTGCACAAATGGTGAAAACATAGCACTTAGTAAATGCAACCATTATTTACAACCATAACCCTTTCAGTCCCATGGGTGACCAATACAGTATTTTCTCCTCACAACACAGACATTTCCAAGCAGAATGTGATAATAATAAGAAGGAAGAACATGTAGTGGGACATTTAGAGCAAAATTTTAGGGTAGTAAAATCGTGAGAATTGTCTATGAGAGATATTTGAAAGACTGATAATGAGTTCTCAAACTCATTGATTATTCATAAGGTGATCATCCAACCATGACATGCCAATTTCATCACCTGCTTGTGGTTTGAAACCCTGGTGAAAGTTTCATATAATATCAAACCCTTGAGTTTGATAAAGCATCAAACTCTAGTGAACTCATTTCTTGATTTGAATATCAATACAACAAACTTACCAACAACATGTGAAAAATTTGTGAGTACTTCTATTTTCTTTTATTCTTAAGGTGCGATTGAGAAGCTATTTCAAAAGCTATTTCAAAAACTTGTGCATCGGGTTTCATTGGGGTTTCCAAACACTAAAAAACAATGAAAGCATTATCAGTTTTCTTGTGTTTGGAAACCTTGATGAAACCCTCACACTCGTTTTTGAAATAGTACATTTAGGGTGGTCACTCTCAATATTTCCACCATTCTGGAGCTTAGGGAGTGAATGGGTTAAAATATTAGTACTAATGTTTAGTCAGCTATTTAGTATCCTCTGTGAGAATAGTTTAAAGCATTTGAGACTAAGCAAATTTACCTCTAGATAAAATATTTCAATATTATGAAGAGGGATTCTTTAACAAGGGGGCCTTTGCACATAAGGCCCAGTTGTTTGGAGGGTGGATAATGCTATCCAACTTGTAAATTACTTTCCTGCAGATATAGATTTAATACATGGATAGTGTTATCCACCCTTTGAAAACCAGGGCAGACACTTCAGTAAATATTATGCTTGCCTGGTCATTTCTTAACAACTGGTTAACTGCATCTCTTAAATTAGCAATTTTGGATTGCTTTATTGATAGCGTCTGTTTGAATCTATCATTGATGCAAATCAAAGAGAACTACAAGCATTAAATGCATTTGTATTTTCTTGCACAAAGTTTTTTAAAAATTAAAAATTGGTGTGATTTGACATTCTCCATCCTCCCTGAAAAACCGAACATAACATAGGTAAAAATGGGATGGATGTTATAGTTCTAATTATTTTTTCATCAGTAGACTCTATTTGGGTGTGCTAGACCTCTTTAGACTGTAACTAGGATAAGTGATTGTCATATAATTATTTATTTATTGAAAGATTCACTAGACTCCTTAAAAAAATTGTCTGATTTGACTTGGTATTTCATCGCAGCCAAGGGACTTGGGAGATGCCTATCAGAATTTGTGAGAAAACTAAAAACTAAATTTTTGAGTCCAATGTTTGAGAGTGGAAAGTATTATTTTTCGTAAATAAATTATTGTACAGGAGTTTTACTTCTACCTTGAAAACGACATGTTGCGTTCTGTGCAAAAATGTATTTCCACGCGGTGAATCATGCAACTCTTTAAAATCGAAATGAATTTGATCTGAGCCCCTCTCCCTATTTGGGAAATTGGGTCCTTTTTTAAGGAAATGATGTAGCGTCCGAGGTTAGCCAGTATTTCAGTATTAACCTGAGTGGTAACGTCAAGTGTTGAAACGCGCTCTCCTTGGTTCAAGACCTGTCGGATGTTGTAGGGGCAATACTTTTATTGCAGGGTTTTTAGATCTTAGATCGAAAGATTTTTTTTGGTGAGAGAAAAAGCCGCTCGCACCTATGGAGAGTTGTGGACATCGAGTAACAATCATGTGTTTCTGTTTCTGCTTGCTTGTAACTGTATCTGTGGCTGAGATATTGCCGTCAATTCTATGGAATTCTGAAAATCCAATGTAAGTATCTCTAATGTTATTCTACCATCAACATTTATTTTGCGTGAAAACAGAAATCGAAGCTAAGTTCTTGATTCAAAGCTAACAATTCATGCACAAGACCGTTGACAGCTCATTATCATTTCGTTGTAGAACGACAAGCAATTGCTATAAGTTAGAAAAGGGAAGTTCCCTTGCGGCTCTTACCGTGGCAGACCTTTTAGAGAACTCGACTGAAAGTCGTGTTGGGGGGCAAACACAACTTTGCAGTTCACCTGGCAACGTTTTGATTATTAAAAGGCCTGAACGGAAGTACTAAAACATGGAACGACCTAAAACCACCTGAAACCACCTACAACCACCTCAAAAACATCTACAGCCACTTGCAAACTATCTAAAACTATCTGAAACAAGGCATAAATGTCCAAAATAAGGCGAAACGACAGTATGTCACGTACATGAAATACAAGAATCGAACGGCTTATACTATTTTGCGAAACGAAACGAAACGAAACGAAATCAGGTGAGATAGAACAAAACTAAAGGAATAATGCAGATATAATTTCTAACAAGGTAAAGAAAACTTTCACAAGGAATTTGGAGTAATCGTTCATTAACAAGAAGGATTTTTATTCATTTCGCAAAATAGTAATTCTAGGAGCGTTACTATTTTGCGAAATGGAATTTTTCACCCTGCGGTGACAACGTGACCTCTTCCATGTCACAAAAATACATTTAAACATTACAAATTAGTATATCACCGAACATTTTGGCCTCCTCTTATTTCTTAAACCGTATTAAAATGTATTTCGCAAAATAGTAATTTTAGGAGAGTTACTATTTTGCGAAATGGACAATTTTTACTCAGCGGTGACTAACGTAACCTCTGAAATGAAATAAAACAAAAGAAATAATGCAGATATATTTTCTAATAAGGTAAAGATAACTTTCACAAGGATTTTGGAGTAATCGTTCATTAACAAGAAGGAGTTTGGAGTAATCGTTCATTAACAAGAAGGATTTTTATTCATTTCGCAAAATAGTAATTTTAGGAGAGTTACTATTTTGCGAAATGGACTATTTTCACCCTGCGGTGACAACGTGACCTCTTTCACGTCACGAAAATACATTTAAACATTACAAATTAGTATATCACCGAACATTTTGGCCTCCTCTCATTTCTTAAACCGTATTAAAATATATTTCGCAAAATAGTAATTTTAGGAGAGTTGCTATTTTGCTTGACCTCTTTCATGTCACGAAAATACATTTAAACATTACATTATAGTATATTCTCAAAGATCTTGGTCACCTCCTCTTTAATGTAGTAATTTCTAAACTAATTGAATGTAGTAATTCCGAAAAATGTTTATTTTGCGAAATGGATTATTTACACTCGGCGGGCGGGAACTCGAGAATAAGGGCGAAGGGATTGTTGCAGATTCCCTTGAACTTCACAATGTTTGGATGTTTCAACTCTTGAATGATTCTTGCTTCCTTTACAAACGTTTTCTTATCCAATATGTCCTCGCCAAGCAATTTTTTAACGACGACTTTCTCCGCAGCGGCCGATTTCCCACCCGCATCAGGAACAGTCTGCCAGTTAGCAGTGAACACAGCACCATAAGCGCCCTTACCAATGATTTCCTTGTTTGTCAAACACTTGAAATCATGAACTGGAAGACCTGAACAGTCGATGGTCTTGGGCTTAAGAACAGGAAATTTAAAAGCCATAATCTTGCCTGATTTAGCAGCACACAAAGCGAGCACAAAGCGAACTTCTTGCAGCACGTGGAACTTGCGCAAATGCGAAACACGATCTCTTGCTCGTAAGGAAGAGGTGTGCGACGGGGGTGTAATCAGAAGCGCGTAACTTTTCCATGTATATTATTTTTACTTGCGATTATAAAACTGCTGGACGACTATTTAGGCATGGGTATGCTTCTGTTCTCTATACGAGACGGAGAGTCTAAACATGTTTAGCCGCCACTGGAAAACTGTCATGTTGGTTTTGCACCGAAACAGTGCACACCCTTCAAAACGCACGAAACGAGTCTTTCAAATCTCTCAGGAGAACAGGAGCAACTTCAGAATACCCCGCAACTCATTTACATGTCATTGAATAAGAATAGCGTCTATTGTGTTATGCCTCGATCTTCAAAGCCTCCCGACACATGTAAGTGAGGCGGAAATGAGTTGCGGGGTATTCTGAAGTTTAGCCGGAGAACATGCCAACTTCCCCCTAGAATAGCTCCGTCGCTAGTAAAAACAGCTTTTACCTCTTACTTTCCGCTCCCTCCCATGTCATTAATTGGACACAACCTCGGTTTGGGCCTTCAGCAGGGTTCTCTTGACTTGGTTTCGGCGTCACGCAATACGGTCGATTGTCGATTTTGATTAAATGAACCTGTTAGCCCAAACCTCTTGTTGCATGTTTATTGAGATGGAGTTATTAATTGGCTCTTACTTAATCATTTGAAGCTGAGGAAAGGAAAACACCGCCTTGTTGCTTGGCAGTGAAGAAGTACAGACCACAGCTAATTAAAACACTTACGTACAAGGAAAGGTGAGACCTGTAAACCCAATCTGTCACGAGTCAGTTTTCTCAGGCGGCATTTAAATCATTTATGGTCCATTTTGCAAAAAACAGTAATTCTTCCAAAATTACTGCCTCGCGAAATAAATTTAGAAGACGTTTATATAGATGAAGATAGCTTAGACCTTTTGAGATTTGATAGTGCTTTAAATTGAAACTTACCGAAAACCTATTGTATGACACGAGAAGTAACGACATCGTTACCGCTGAGTGAAAATAGCCTAGCTATTACGCAAAACAGTAATTTTTCTGACATTACTACTTTGAGAAATTAATTATATCTGGATAGAGAAAGAGGAGGTGACCGAACCCTTCGAGAATATACTATAATGAAATGTTTAAGCGTATTTTTGTGACCCGAAAAGAAAGTTATTGAGGGGTAAAAATAGTCCATTTCGCAAAATTGTAACTCGCCTAAAATTACTATTTTGCGAAATAAATTTTGAAACGGTTTAAGAAATAAGAGGAGGCCAAGATGTTCGGTGATATACTAATTTGTAATGTTTAAATGTATTTTTGTGACATGAAAGAGGTCACGTTGTCACCGCAGGGGTGAAAATAGTCCATTTCGCAAAATAGTAACTCTCCTAAAATTACTATTTTGTGAAATATATTTTAATACGGTTTAAGAAATAAAAGGAGGCCAAAATGTTCGGTGATATACTAATTTGTTATGTTTAAATGTATTTTCGTGACGTGAAAGAGGTCACGTTGTCACCGCAGGTGTGAAAATAGTCCATTTCGCAAAAAAGTAACTCTCCTAAAATTACTATTTTGCGAAATACAATTTAATACGGTTTAAGAAATAACAGGAGGCCAAAATGTTCGGTGATATACTAATTTGTAATGTTTAAATGTATTTTTGTGACATGAAAAAGGTCACGTTGTCACCTCAGGGTGAAAATAGTCCATTTCGCAAAATAGTAACTCTCCTAAAATTACTATTTTGCGAAATATATTTTAATACGGTTTAAGAAATAAGAGGAGGCCAAAATGTTCGTTGATATACTAATTTGTAATGTTTAGATGTATTCTCGTGACATGAAAGAGGTCACGTTGTCACCGCAGGGGTGAAAATGGTCCATTTCGCAAAATAGTAACTCTCCTAAAATTACTATTTTGCGAAATGAATAAAAATCCTTCTTGTTAATGAACGATTACTCCAAAATCCTTGTGAAAGTTATCTTTACCTTATTAGAAAATATATCTGCATTATTTCTTTTGTTTTATTTCATCTGACCCGGTTTCGTTTCGTTTCGTTTCGTTTCGCAAAATAGTATAAGCCCTGAAATCTTACTCTCCCTGGTATAATCAACCATCTCACGAAATGAAATGCGATAGCATGCTAATTTTTTTATATTCCCTCAGTAGCAAAAGACCTAAAGAACTTTACAAAATCTCGATAAGCTGGAAACCACTCCGCTTCGCGTCGTGGTTTCCTACGCTTATCTCGTGTTCTCCCAACCTCCCGCGTGTTTACATCAGACTATGTAAACACGGAAACCATTTTACATTTCTTCAATATAAAATCATCAGCGAACGATTTCGAAGAGGAATCTATGTTCTCGAATCGACCAAAAGCACTGCTGTCCTCTCAAAATGGGAAAGCGCAAATATCGATTTCATCTGTTTCGCAAGCAAAGGAGTTAATCACCGACACCGGAAATCGCGACCAGGTATTCCTCACGACTCCCCTAGGTTTGTTTTCCAGTTTGACCAAGCCGCTGTCTATCAGTTCTTGCGTTAAAACCCATGAAACCTGCAAAGTGGAACTATGATGGCTATTGTTGCTTGTCGATAATTTCCGTCAGCAAAACGTAGAAGTCCAGTGTTTACGTGGCAGTTTCGCTTTCGCATGACAAAAAAATGAAGGAACGTCGCGGCTCAGCGCTAAAATTTTGACCTAGAAAAATTCAGTCGAAAAACCAATTAAAATTGTACGATCGAGTAAAAGCTCCATTATCCAGTAGTGTTAACTATTACAACCACCTCCCACTCCTCCCTGCATAGTAATAGTCCGTCTCACACCCCTCCTTGAGTAATAACACTCTGCCTCCCACCCCTCCCTCAGTACTGATAGACTTCATTCCACCCCTCCCTCAGTAATAATGATGTGCTCCCCCCTTCAAAATGGTCCCAAAAAAAAAAGGTCTAAAAAAAATGGTCCAAAAATTGGTCTAGTCCATATTTTACCCTATGCAAGTAACAAATAAACCGTAAAACAAAGGAATCAAAGAAAATAAAAAATATGTGAACTTGCTTAGTGCCAAACATCAGTGGTAAAGCCATTCCAAATCAAACATATCTGATCCAATTTTTATTGCTTTCTATTCCAGGTTTGATAACCTTCATGAAAGGACCAGAAATGTCATGGAATTTGACCAGCTCTCAATTATTTGTCCCACCCTGGTGGACTACCCCATCAAAAGAACAACTACTTATTTGAAAGACTTGTTGTATGAAAATGTATATATGGTGGACAAGAAGGGTTATGACAAGTGTAATGCAACAGGAGGACTCAGTGTTTTATCCTGTAATGATCCAGTGGGACACATTTATTACAGGGTTGTATTTCAACCTCATACCGTTAATCCAAATGATCCAAAGTTTGAGAAAGGAAAAGAATACTACTTTATAAGTAAGTGCTAATGTTTCATAATAGTTCCAATTATTTTTTTTTTCTAAATGCTGATTAACTGCAATCTAATGACCTCATTCCATGCATATGTTTATGTGCATTTATTTTTAATGCTGCATTTTTATGTATTTATGAATTTATTTAAAAATTTTTTCGGTTTTTTAAGCTGCTTGGATAACTCGTTTTTCCAGCAATTACATATATTTGATCAGAGAGAAGGAAAGTCAACATTGTCTAACTGTAATTATAAAAAAAAATGCTTGTTGTGTTTTAAACTTGTATTGTTGGGGGATCAAAAGAAAAGCAGAGAAGCTGCTACATAACTAATAGTTTGATGGTCTCAGAACTTTTCAAAAATTGACTTTAAAGTCCCAATAAAAAGAAGAAAACTAAAAGATATTTTTCAACTGTCAGGTACTGCATCAGGCTCACAAAGCTCATTGACAAACACACAGGGAGGACACTGTAATTCAGGAATGAAGATGAAAATATATGTCTGTGAAAACAGCTCTGACCCAAGGTGTCCAAGTGGAAACAATGGTATGTCACATGTATCTGACTTCACATAATTATCCATCTTTTTCATGGCTGGCTTAGTGGATTTGCAGGCTGAGGCAAGGCAAAATAAATCCTGTGTTCCTATTTGCTTCCTAAATGAGCAAGATAAGTCTACCTTGCCCAATAGTGATTGCATGCCTTAGATGACTTCCAGTGCCATCTTGGTCACAATTTGAAATCTCAATGATGTGTTTTCAGATCTACTGGTGCACAAAACTTTTGGTTATGTTCCTCTCTATCCATATCATGGCAAAGAACTCTGTGCTAAAAGAAGTCCCCTTTTGTATCTTTCAGTTGTTAATGGTGGATGGTCTGACTGGAGTGAATGTTCAAATGGTCTTCAAAGACGAAAATGTAACAAACCTACCCCAGCGAGTGGGGGATTACTATGTGTTGGTGCTGAACAAAGATCATGTCCGAAGTTGATGTCTGGAGGTGCAAGTAAAAAAGGGTTTGACTGTAAGTATTTCCATCCTCAAGGCAGGCTGGTAGTTACCATTAAGGAGGAATGACTTACCCCCTTTTTTTCCCTTATTTAATTTTCTTTTAGATCCCACTGTGGATGGTCAAACATCAACTACACAAGGTAAAGCAGTTTACAATTTTAAAATAACACGTGTCCTGTCTGTCCCATTCAAAGTTTGCTAGTTTGAGATGTTGAATGTTGTTCATATACATCTCTGCCATTGCATGGACTTGTATGTACAGTATTGTTTAAAAGTTCTGGATTTTTGGTGAATTTTGGTCCAAAATGAAATTTGCACAACATGTTGTCAAATTTTTGAGGCAGCTATTTTGGGATTTATCTGAAATTTCCCCCATGTAACAATCAGAGGGACCCTCTACCTTAACTCTATAACCTCTAAAAAAAGTTAGCACCTAACTCTTTTTCCAGTATACCTGGGAAATGTATAAGAAACAATGTGGAGAACATGTTTATTGGTGATAGGATGTTCAGGGTTAAAAAGCTCAGTGTATTCAAGACAGTCCGGCCCCTTTTCAAATAACACATCTTGGTACAAATAGCCAGTCAATTTAACCTCTGTGTTGTCTTTTTCATAGATAATTCTGGTGATAAATTGCAGTTGAACATAGGATTGTTTGTCGGAATATGTTCTATTGTATTCATATTTGGGATCTTCGTTGGTGGAATAATTGCTATTTTAGTACGTAGAGTTTCTAGACGCAAGTCAAAAACAAGTAAGTGAAATCTGTTTCTCTGAGTTCTAACTCCAAGTTAAACTTTTTAGTTGTATATATCCAAATGAATCATGAATGAGAAGATGTTCTCAATTCTTGGGACAAAAAGCTTTGCTTTTGCAGTACATCAAGAGTTATGAGGAAACAGTGGCAAACTCTTGGAGTAAGTGGACCAAACTCTGGGGTTTACTTTGAACTAAATTAAGTCAACATAATTTTTTATGAGGAAATAATTTCAGATATTAGTGATAATGTGGTTTATTATATCTCTCAGCTAGTATGTACTCTCTAATAGTTTGCAATGAATTCATAACCCTCTAGCTGAACCTAGAGATATCGTTAATATCTTACTACCCTCATTTTCTTGGTCTGCAATGTAAAAGTTACAGAACCTTGTTTTTTTCCACTCAGATTTATGGTTCACATGTTTTGCATTTAATTGGGCAATAAATCCAACCAGAAAAAACTAGGTTTGTAACATACAGTACCTATACAGACCAAGAAAACAAGGTTAGTAAGAGGTGTAAACTTTTCACTTTAATAAAAAATTTTGAGTAAAGCCTTTGGACTGAATTAAAACCAGAGGCAAAAGAAGCTTCTCTTAGATTTAAAAAATATATTTCAGTCTGGAGCATTCCCTCTGTAGTCATCCTTGTTGTGTTAAAGTCACATGCTAGTCCATGGCTCATAATGTTTTTTTAAAATTTTTTTATTTGTTTTGTTTTACAGACACCCATATTACAAGAGTTCCTAGCAAATTAACTGGTTTCTCTCGTCCAAATTAAACAGTTTCCACATTATCCACAGTGAGTGAGAGTGCACAAATGGTGCAAACATAACTCATTTCTGAAAAATGTTATCAAGAGAGGCAAAATTAGTGGAAAAAAAGAAAAAATATCACAGTGTGTTGCATATGCAGTATTAATCAGTCTGGAATATGTTGAAAATTGAAGTGGAAATACCAGATTTTGGTTTATCAATAAAAATAAATTACAAAGGTGGAAAAAAGCCATGTATATATATGTAAAACACCCAACAAATATTTGTTATTGGAGTATAATTTTGATAAACGCACAAACATTGGCAACTGTAGTAATATATTTTGTACATGCCAAGTATCAAACAGTGCAAATGCATATGTTACAATGTAAAGTATTGTTAATAATCATTTCCTATATTTGATCCAAGGATATGTTTCAGTTTTCCTAAATAACAAGCAGCTTTTCATGAAATTTCAAAAATAAAAAATAAATACAAACATCCATCATATGATTGTGTACTTAGTTTATGTCTCAGTAGTTTATTTTCAGTATTTCTTTAGCATCTGCAATAATTTGCATGATACTGCAAGGTTGATTTTCATTGTACACTTGAAGGAGTGTTATAAAAGTGACTATTGCAATAGATGCAACATTTACTTTTTGTGCTGTTTCACCAAAGAATCTTTAAGTAAATAAAAAATCAATGAGTACTCCTTGCAATGCCTCCCCATACATGACAACAAACAATGCACCATAACTACACTGAAAGAAAACAAACTGGACGGGACAGTGGTGGAATTGAAATCTTCTTGTCACCCAAGATATTGCACATGAACATTTTTGATGAGTTTTGTCATATTAAGATATTACTTATAATAACATTCAAACCTGCATGTATGACTTCGAAGACAGTAAGAAAAACACATATAATGTTTATTAAAACCTTCAATTGGCTATCCGACAAGAGCATTTTTGCTCATAAGCAGTAAGTGCTTAAACCAATTAGAGGGTAAAAGTGCCATGTTATAAATGCCATGTTATGAACACTGCTCTACTTAATTGTGAGAGTAAATTAATTGGCAGATTCTTTAACACATGCTTCACAATTTCACTGGATCAGAGGTAAATAAAAAAAAGTGAGTCATCTAGTCAAAATTGTGAGCTGACTTACTACTATTTTATCAGTTCTTTAAATGTAAATGTCTCCAATTTATTGAATAACAGCTCTTGCAGTTCTGCAGCTATAGCAGACTGCCTCCTAAATGTCTATCACATGGTGTATCATTTAGCATGGGTTATTGTCAGCTATTCCTCTTCTTTTCCCCAATGTACTACACCCTCTAAATCCTATATTTGGTGTTGTCAAAAGATATTATTTTTGGATTGTTTCCATAACTTTTTGTGATCCAAACTCACACCAAATAACTATTCAGACCTAGTAAATTTATATCATAAGATTCTATGGCTCTACAAGACTCCCATGACTTATACCAAATCCAAATTACAAAAAATTATTCAGTTTTCAAAAACTGCTTTTGAAATTTCCCCACTACGTTGGACTTCAAGGGCTGCTGTAAATTCCTGGAGTTGAAAAGTGCGCATTCCTAGTTTTTCAAAACTCAAATATCGTTCTCCCATGTCCTGTAATATTTGCATAGAAGAATTGAATGTAAAAGGATTTATTCTGGAAGCTATAATTTTCAGTTCCTTAGCATACACCTCATGAGGATCAAGCTTTGCTTCTGATCCAGCAGGCGAAATGCCAAAGAGAAGAAACTTTCCGCCTTGACGCAACCATTGAACTCCTAGTTCCAAAGTCTTTGGATCCCCAGTGCAGTCAATAACAATATCGAACCCCCAATCTTCATCCCCATCCTGCTTTGCATTTCTAGCTTCAGAAATTAAAATCTCAGGATGAACTATTTGAAAACCAAAGTCCAGTCTCTGTGCAATCTTTTGACGTCCCTTCAAGAGCTCCGTAACAACGACTTCTCTAAACCCCCTAAAATGCAGCATACTCATGAACAATAATCCCATACTTCCAGCTCCACAAACTAAAATTTCAGCATCTGGATTGATTGGTTGTAAACGATTCCAGCCATGTACAACACAAGACATTGGTTCTAGTAACAAACCAAGTTCAAATGATAACTGATGAGGTAAGGGAATGGCATTCTTGGCTGGCAGGCGACAGTACTGTGCCCAACCCCCATTTCGCCTGATACCAATGGTAGCTTTTACTCCTTCAAATTTGCAGAAATGTGGTTGCCCTTTGGTACAATTGTCACACATTCCACAGCTAGTGTTTGGGTTGACAACAACACTGAAAAAAAAAAAACAAAAAACAGTTGGGATTTTATAATGATTAAAGATGCAGCCATTGTACTGGATGATTCTAAAAAGCTTACTTAATCCATATTAACCCTTTAATTCCCATGAGTGACCAAGACAGAATTTCTCCTTACAATATTAATACAACATTAAGAAGATAGGTGATGAGAATAAAGAAAAATATTAATTTGGGGATTTAGTCGATCCAATAACAAATTCTCCAAATTAACATAATAAAGTATGGGGAATCACCAGAGAGATCTGGGAAGTGAAAAGGTTAAGACAGATTTAACAAGCTGCTAATCATTGTTCTCCCCAAGAATAAAGTCTTAACTTAAAGGCTCCATGGCTCTGGTAAAATAATCAAAAGGTGCATCAAGGCTCTTGCTTCAGGAATCTGCTCTTAAAAGCTTTTCTCCAAATTCCTCTAAGTTCCCGGATGACATATATTTTTGGTTACCTGTGGTACCTATGCTCTGGTTAAGCAAAACCCTGCCAAGGTTCTAAAGTTTTGATTATTAATAAAAGTTGTTATTTGGCAACTTAAAATCAATTAAAAGGGTCGCCTGAAGAAAAATGTTGGTTGCCAAGGAAAAGGGAAAGAAAATGGGTAGTGGGTGGTTGACTCAATGTCTGAACTTTTGCTGTTTCTTTAAATCAGAAGTCATGTCAGTAACGCAACATGTGACACTACATGTGAGATCTAACACGAAAAATACCTTAAATTTGGTATTTCTTTGTGGCACTTCCTCACGGTAGAAATTTTTTAACACAGTTCATTATCACATAATGGAATGATTTAATTTTTTTTTTAATGAAACCTTCCAGCATTGTATTCATACTGCTAATAAACGACAAATGCAAGTAAGCGCAAGTATTCCTGAACTGCAAGGGAATGGTAACGGAATTGTAAAAAAACCTCTTGGAAAATGAAATAGCCATCAGTGCAATAATACCGAAAAAGCACAGTGGAAAACTTGTGATAATGAGAAATGTAAGCTTGTATTTCTAGACTTAATCGATCAGAGATGTCCGATCTAAAGGATAACTTATTCGGCGGTAATCAAAAGGAATATCACAAAGGAAATCAAAGCTTATGTATTAGTTTCTCGTGGAGTTAGCAGGGTGTTTTGAGATCAGGAAAAAGGGTAAAACAGTTCTTTTTATCTTTTCCATCGTGAAGATAACCTCGACAATCCACAACAAGCTTGAGATAATTAAAGCGTCGCTTCACCGAATATTAATGCGTAATTTAGAGCTTAATACAATGCAAGAATAACAACTTTACAAAGCTATCAGTACAAGTACAAGTGCATGCAACTACCAATAAATACGAGGAAACGCTTACCGATCGCCAACAGATACGTGCTTCACCTCGCTCCCTGCTTCCTTTACAATCCCAACAAATTCGTGACCTAAAATAACTGACTTCTCACATGAAAACTTTCCTTCGAGAATCTTAAGATCAGTCCCGCATACCGCCGAATAAGTTATTTTTATCACTACTTGCAGCGGGTTTTGAACGTGAGGTACAGGCCTGGTAATCACAGACAAATGTCCATCCCATAACTGTACTGCGTTATTCATGATTTTTCTGTTGAAGGAACGAAAGAAAATCGGTACTGAACAAACCTTAGGCAAATATCATGCTACGAACTTCCCTCCTAAAACAATTCGGTCCACTTGAGGACACTGGGGCGAGCTCAATCAATAATTTATTTAGTAGGGTGGGGAGGGGTGATTATGTCGATAATTTAATCCAGAAAAACTGGTCTGAAAGAGGTGTTTCTATATGTGTAAATGTAACAGGGACTGATTGTCTTCTTCAAAAGAGAATTGAAAATCTATATTTCTATTGTATTGTGCTTTTTCCACAGATCAAAAGAAACCCAGGTGGTGGGGAAGATGGGTAATTTCTGAGATCTGGTAAAAGGAAGAATGCAGAACATAAAGAGATCTTCATACGGCCATTCATTCCTTTTTTTTTTTTTAGGGTAGAAAATGTAGAGATGAATCAAGAGCTAACAATATCCATACCTCTTTCACCCCTATACCATTCCATAGCCACATGTCACACCTTTGCTAGGAAAAGATAGAATTACAACTGCAAAGGTTACAAGTAAAAGCAAGGTTTTCATCAAAAATTGTAGTAGCAATTGGTTAGGGAATGCTCTTCCATTCTTGACTGAAAAAGGCCCAAGCAATCAAACGTAAGTCAAACAATACTGAACCAAGAGGATCCTGAAGAATTCTCTGGTGTCTATCACAAACACCCTTTCAAAGAGGCTTCCCAAACCAAATTTGTAATTGATAAAGTACTAAAAAGGATGATTTATCACACTTTTTTATTTTTCATAAAATAATACATCCTGCAAAAGTTTTTGCACCAATTAAACAATTCTTTTTAATTTCTTAAATATAACTAAAACTTAACATTTTAAAAGAAAATATCAAAATATCTAGATTATTTATTAAATGCTATTCACATTTCATAAACAGCTTTTGAAATTTCTGCTTTTGACAGAGCATCTAAAGCTGACTGGTAACTTGGCAAATCAAAAACAGTGATTCCCAACTTGTCATAATTCAAATATTTTTCTGCCATATCTTTTACAAGCTGGATTGCTTTGGGGAAAGTATAGGGATTGATGTGTGACCCAATAATTTGTAATTCCTTGGTGTAAACTGTGTGAGGATCAATTTTTATTGAAGAGCCTTTTGGGCAACATCCAAAGACAAGAATCTTTCCCCCACAGCGCAACCATTTAATAGCTTCTTCAATGGCTGTGGGAACTCCACTGCAGTCGATTACAGCATCAAAACCCCATTCGCCATCACTTGACAAATTTGTTTCCTTTGCATTGTGAACCAAAACTTCAGGATGTACAACTTGGTATCCCATGTTCAGTCCACTAGCAAGGCCTCTTCGCCGTTCTGAAACTTCACTGATAGTAACTTTTCTGTAGCCATGAAAGTGAAGCAAAGAGGCCCACAAGAGTCCAATGATTCCTGAACCACAGATAAGAATGTCAGATGTTGTTGCTAATGGCATCAGAAGATCAAAACCATGAGCAATACAAGAAAAGGGCTCAACCAAGGCAGCTTGACGAAGAGTAATCTGTGGTGGAATGGTAAAAACAGTTTCCACTGGTACACGGCAGTACTGTGACCACCCTCCATTACGCCAAATACCAACGGTTGAACGGATACCACCACTTTTACAGAAATGGGGTTGAGCTTTCTGGCAAAATGAACATCTACCACAATTGGTGTTTGGATTAATGACCACTCTGAAATAAAGTTAGCTTTGTCATTAAAAATATTGTTTATTGCTCCCAGAACTAATTTGCACACTCCCTTGATGCCTATCTTAATCATTTACAACTTAACATCAGTATGCTTATTCTCTATACATTCTCTACTGTGCTGACAAGGAGAATTTCTTTTAACAATCAAGAGCTTCTAGTGATCATTTCCTCTATTCTCTCGACCTAAAGTATGATTCTGGGGTGATATTCTAGGGAGATATTAGTCATTTTCATGGGTCAATGAATTAAATATAAAAACAGAACACTTTATTTTTAGATCTGGACCACCATATTGTGAATGTTGCCCTAGGAATCCTGGGATTGTGTTCCCAACCTTGTGACAATCATAAGGATAAGCTCTTCACAGTCTACAATTGTAAGAAACATATGACTCAATCATGCAAGTTCACCTTTTAACCCCCTGAAGTGATAAACATGTAACGTCTCCCTATATATATATATATATATATATATATATATATATATATCTATATATATATATATATATATATATATATATATATCATATATATATAAATGAATGTGGGGGTATAGAGTCTACCTTGACATAAGTGCTCAATGCTGTGGTAGCAGAGCTAAGTATATATAAGTCAAAGAATCAAAGAGGACGCATCGATTCTCTGTGACTCTGAGTTCTGCGCTTAAGCACTCGTCAGACAGAACTTTAATTATGAAGAACATACCTCCTTATATACAAATTAGATAAGTACCTAATTAATTCACTAGTGTGATAGTCTAATCTATGTGTGAAATAAAGATTCTATAGAGCTATTGTTGGCAGCTTGTGAAATTTGCTAAGTAAAACTTATTCTTGTGGCGGCATTTAGAAATGAGTTCTGTGCCACTTGTGCCTCACAGAGAAACTTTATTTAGTTAGAGCTAAAAAGCCATCTTTATTAAACAAAAGAACAGAACTCATTTCTAAATGCCACCACGAGAACAAGTTTTACTAAACAAATTTCACAAGCCGCCAATAATAGCTCTATAGAATCTTTATTTCACACATAGATAAGATCATCACACTAGTGAATTAATTAGCTACTCATCTAATTTGTATATAGGGAGGTATGTTCTTCATTGAATAAAGTTCTGTTTGACGAGTGCTTAGGTGCAAAACTCAGAGTCACAGAGAATCGATGCACCCTCTTTAATTCTTTAACTTATGTATATATAGTGAGAGGAAAAAACGACGCAACTTGTCGGGATATGTAGTTGCGTCGTTTTTTCCTCTCATAATATTTATTCTGCTCTGCTTCAACGTATTGAGCACTGTTCCACGCGAAAATCGACTTGCAGACTTCCTATATATATATATATATATATTATTGATATATTATCCAGCAAACAGGTAATGAGAATACTCAAACTTATTAGGTAGGAGTAGTTATCTTGATCCAACACCAAATTCTCATAACTAAAATTTACAATAAAATTTGCTGCAGCTAGAGGGGAGAATTAAAAATCAGATCTTGGGAGCTTAAGGGTTGAATGCACGGCCACATGTGTCTAATACTTTTAGTCACACAATCTTCACTTTTATAAAATTTTAGTCACACTCCGACATCCGTCAGAAAAGGGAGGTCATCTCGGGTAGATTTTTACTAGATGAAAACCATACTGAATACCCTGTGTAGAATGTATTAAATTAATTTAACAGGAACAAACATGAGTTGAATATTATTATCTGGAAACAATATTTTTCAGTCAAATGAAGAATTCATTGAGCAAAAATTTGAGAAAAGGAATTGTAATGTGTACATGCTAGTCAAAAATTAAATAAAATAGACGAAATGATAAAACATTCGGAAAAAAAAAACTTGAATTAATTAGCAAGCAGATGTTTCACTAATTTGGCACACTAAAGCATTAGAGTAGAAATGTTTTAAACGACCCTGAAACGAAATCGAGAAAACCCCTTGGGGCCAAGCACACTAGGTAAATTATTCATGGCAAGGAATTGATCTAGTCGCCTCAATAATTCAATTTTCAAACAACAGCAGTTTTTTTCAAATATATCTATCGCGATCTACGATCAAACTTGCAACTGAATGTCGAGTTTCTTGATCTTCTCGTAATTAATCATAAATAACTTTACCTTGAAAAAATAAAATAAACATCATCGATAAAGTTGAAATGATCAAAGACACAATTTAAATATTTGGCATAAGATACTCAACAAAAATTGAAAATACTACCGGTCTCCGACAGAAATTCCCTTTACAGCACTCCCAATTTCGCTCACAACTCCAGCGAATTCATGTCCCAAGATGACACATTTCGAAGATGGAAACTCCCCAGCGAGAATATGAAGATCAGTGCCACAAATTCCCGAGAAAGCAACCTTTACGAGGACCTCATTTGGCGTTGCAACATGAGGGATAGGTGTAGTTATGAGAGACAGTTGTCCGTCCCAAAGCTGTACAGCAGTGTTCATATCTAAAGGAAAAACTCTGGCTGAGTGAAACGATAGAAAGCGAGAAGGCTTGGTAGCTATTGCAGTTTATACTTTTAGTCACACAATCTTCACTTTTCAAATAAAATTGGCCGCACACGTCACGCAATAGCGTAACCTTGACGAGTGATCGATAATTATGTTGAAATTTATCACTATTTAAAATAGCATTGTAGCTAATGGAGGTGGAAGGGAAAGGACCATAAGATTCTGTGGAGGATGATTGAGATTTTACAATGATTAGGAGGTTAAAATTAACAAAACGAACAGAAAAGAAAAAAAACCTATCGTAACTTGAAATGTTCCTCCCCGTGCTATTCCCTTGGTTTTGGCGTCCAGATTAAATAATTCTGAGTGTCTTGTTTGCCTTCTTTCTTGGAGTAGAATAGCAACATAAGTTCTACACTTTCCTGGTCTGAGGGAGTGAGAACTTTACTATAGCGATGCCACTCGTCCAGGGGCGTTGACTGTAAAAACCAAACGATCTTCATATCCACTAACGAAAGTATAAATAAAGTTAACTTTTTACACCAAGATTCCAAGGAGTAATCCTTAAAATGCACTTAAAAGCCGACTGGAGTCGCTGCCATTTTAAAAACAATTCAATAACATGGCTAAAATTTGCACGACTTCTGAAAATCGGTTCTCAAACAGCTGCAGTTCCAGAAATCGCTTAATTGTCCAGACAAATCGCCAAAAGACAGAAAAGAAAGAGACGCTTCATACGTCACAGGTGAGCCGACCAGGCTGCTAAGCAAGATCAAAGTATGGCGGCGTCTATAGTTGAATTTTTACATACTTTGACATTTTATGGAATCTCAAAGTGTCGTAGCTTAAAGCATTATTTTTTTATAATGGAGGAAACAGTAATATGTTTCCTGTAGTATTATGTAGTAATACGTTTCCCGTACAAGTCAAATTTCTTATCACATGAGACTCCTTAAATTAAGCACAAAGGTTACGAAATTATTATGAGCAAGGCACGTCCGGGTGAGGGAAGGGATAGAGGGACTGTAGCACCCAAATTTAAGCTACGATGAAATAAAATTGCCTTAAGCATGAAATACGCCCTCAAACAACAGACAACAGCGTTTTGAACCCTGCAATTGGATTTTGTTTCAGCCTCTCTGAAAAAACCCACCTATTTTAAATTTTGACCTCAGCGGTTGTGGGCCTTGCCAAACTCCTTGGCAGCTGCTCCATGTGAAGTTATACGAAAAGAGACGGGAAGAGAGGGAGTCTCAGAGAACGGCTGCAGAGGAGAGTAATGTGAGGGCTCCTGGTAATGTAAAGTCCGTGCGAAGTCTGCAGTGAGCTAGTGACTAAAAAGTCAAAACTCACGCGTCCAATTAAACAGTGTTGGCTTTTATCAATATTATTATTATTATCATTTTTATTTATTTATTCATCGTTACTTTTTTGTTAAAAGCTTTTTTATTTGACCTCTTTCATTCAGAATACAGTCTCGATTAAGTGAGATCTCAACCTTGTGAGTGGCTGAATGAATTGAAGACCACTCAACTTGGCCGAGATCTTCGTTTCGAAGCAAGACCACCCGAAAAAAATCAGTTTCTAGTCCGCTCGTCATTCCTTCGAGACGTATAAAGAACAAGTAGAGGTTTCCTTATAATTTTCTCTGTTAAGGTATAGTATCATTTCAATGCTCATCATTGCACATCCTAGCCTTACAATTTATTTTGTAATAGTTTCGTCCTCACATTGTTTGATAAGTTTTTCGATGTCCTCAGTAATTTCTTTCGGTTCAACTGTGGGTGTGTATCTACGATATGGCTGCCCCTTGTGGTCAATAAGAATCTTCTCAAAGTTCCATGTTATATCATCGTTTCTAACTGGTGACCAGCTTATTTTATCAGCATCGTCAATAAAGTTATCCGGTACAGGACATCGGCTCTGTAAAACAAAAATTTGGACAGAACTATCAATTTAGTTCTCAAGCTTCGTAATTTATATAGTCACTTAATCATATTCCTATTTTTTTTCTTCTTATTTCTCTGAGGTACCATTTGATTGAAGAATACGGTAAATGTTTCAAGGTCTTCACTTCATCTTCTTGGATATGGATTTCTACTTTAAAGATTTAAATAAATTGGACACCTGCTTTACTGTCTAGCAGCTTTTTTTTTAATGACACGTATGATTGCCGACGGAATCGGACTCCGCTGGGTCTCCTTGGTATTTATTATCTGTTTGATGTGATTGAGGAAATTGGTCTTTTATTCTTGGGATCTTAACGCTTTTTTAAATTCCCATCCTCGTGGATTTCTCAAAATATGAAAGAATTCTGTTTTTTCTTTTTTCAACAAACGTGATATGACTTGCCAACTAAATAATGAACAAACCAAGCTTATCAGAAGCCTATCCTCTGGTTGTTGCTGATTCAATTTTCATTTTCTCAGCCAAAGAACAAGTAGTTCACGGGACATCTCTCCATTGCTATCAATGCCAAAATCATTGCAACTTCAATTCTCTCGCAGTGACTACTTGATAAAGTGGGCGTTCAGCGAGAACTGATATTGTTTATTGGAAAATATATATTTTTTTAACTTGTTCCCATTAGTATCTTGGTGGCATGGGAAATTTGAGCATGTTTTTCAACTGAAGATGACTAAATTAAAGTATTTTGTCCACATATTTTGAAGCGAAGACAACAAACATACTAAAAAACACAGCAAAGCGAAATACGTTGTCCTTAACTATGCCTACTGCCTTCAAATCGTTTTCTAAGATCAAAGCTATTTCAAATTGAATTCAGTTTTCAAGACAGCTCGTCTTGTTTTGTCTCATGAATCGCTTAAATTTCGTCTTACCAGATGTGATCGTAATAAAGTATGATGGTTTGTATGGCCCTTTTAAACAGTTCAGTCACAAATACAGTCTCAGATTATTGAAATTTGTAGAAAAAAGATCAGACTAGAAAATTTCAACCGAAATAGCTCTCTCACACAATGTTTTTTCTTGTGTTTCGCAGACTATTGTAATATTTTAAAAACGTGCATTCAGTTAAGATAGACTAAGGATTGCCGCTAAATGCCAAACACTATATGAAATTATTTTCAAGTAGTGTTCGAATAGCTTAACAAAAAAAATTAAAATTATTTTATATTCACTTTGAAGGAGGTAATGTGAGCCGACATTAAAAAGGCACGCAAATTTGAGATTCTCCTGCTTTAAAAAACCCCTTCAGAGATTGATAGAAAATAACAGGTATATTTACTTTGTAGACGGACAGCTATTGAACACAGTTTGATTGCATTTTTTAAGAACGAAAGGAAAGAGATAATGGAATTCTCCTTTCCCGTACAGCACTAATCTTTCAGTGTGGAGAACTTTTACAAGGTTTCAATTGAACTCTGATCAGATCATCCCAGCAATTCCTCTCATTTCAAGTAAATTAATAATTAATAACTGCTCGATATAGTTCGTCGAATCCTTCTAAAAATAATCATAAACTAGCTAGGCTCTGACTTACCTTGAGAAACGTGAATATTTTGCTTTCTTTTTTCCCATTCACTTCAATTTTCTGCATCATTTTTAGATTACGATCTAACTCGAAACCATGGCCTGGACGAACATATTTCAGGCCATTTAAAATTTCATATGCGTTCTCCCCCGGCTCTTGAAGACCAAATTGATTACAGGGGAAAGCAAGAACCCTGAATCCACAATTACCGTTCTCTTCCGATCTATAAGTTTGTAGTAATTCATTCAATTGCTTGTACTGCATCGTTAAACCTCAGAAGGTTGCGACGTTCATAGCCAAAGCGACGTGATTTTTGTAGTCCGTGTCAGGAACTTTCAAACCATAAATATCTTTGATGGAGAAGTCGTAAAATGAACCTTCTCCTTCCTTACATTTGCTGAACGATTTGTTTCTCTCTGTTGTGAAACCTCCTTGTAAGTACACCGCAAGGAGGAAGAAGACCTTAGCGGCGGTCATTTTTATGCGCGAGGCGCTTTTAAGGCAATGGCGCCTTGGCGTCTCCGATCACAATTTGCTCAGGTGGTGCAAAAACAGCTGTAGTGTTAGCCAATCACAGAACATGAAACCTGCCTGTATTCACTTGTGGTTTTTTCATAGGGTAGTATGCATTGTTCATTTGATCCATTATTGAGAAACAGCAAATTTGCCCTTGTCTACCGATAAACTTGTTAACTGCGCTAATTTCTCAAAATACAATTTCAGAGTCCAGTTTTTAAGTCCAACAAAAGCGTTGAAAATTTTCTACTTCTTAATTTGATTGACAATTCTGCTCGCTCTCCGTGACCAAAACATGTCAGCTGTAAGAATACAAATGCAATTATGAAAGCAACGTAAATAAACGTTTAACAGGGTTTTGCTTTTGGAGCTAAAATTCATAACGCTGTTTTTATGTTAACCTTTCAACAATGAGAACTTCGTTTCCAATTTTTGCCAGTTGTTAAATTCAGCAAGTTCAACATAACCTGTCGACAAGAGAGGATGAGGCGCTGTCGAATATAAACCCCACTTAAAAATCTACTGGCGCATTAAATCAATTGGTGCAATCTGATTGGCCATGCTACACGTTATCTATATTCCGCCATAGATATTGAGTAAAGAGAGAAACGTTAAATTAAAGGCTTGCGGTTGAACTGAAATAAAAATCATAACACGATTCTGTCCTGTCGTTAAGATTTATTGTATTGATCGAAATAATTCAGAGGAAAATACTTGTACGGCGTCCCAACAGATGGAGAGGGCTGACAGTTCTTTCAGGAAGTTCTCTGACAGCCTGAGTTGCAAAAGGTTTTGTGTGAAATTGATAGTAAAAAATAAATCAATCAATAAAATCTGCGCAGTAGTGAGTGGTTGCCCGATTTTCTCTTTTCCTTCGCGTAGAGATACGATAGAGAAGGAAATACTGCTAAGAGACTAAGGAGAGATATTCCAATTTACGTAAGTTCACTGCAGAGCAGGCATAATTTGGCGAGCGAGTGGTTTCTTGGTGAGGGTCACAGCTGGCATCTTTGATTTTTATATCAGCAGAAGGCTGGGGAGAGAGGAAAGATTTTCAACCTAAGAGATGAACGACGGAAGAAAGAAGAAGAGTGGGAAGTGAGAGGAGAGGCCCCATTGTCCACTCAAACATGGCCGATCGCCTAAACAACGGCGAGCTAGAAATGTTAACTCGCCTCAATAAGACGCCTGGGAAACGGTTGTTACTTGTCACTGCAACCAATCCCTCTTGTTTACAGGGGGTAAGTTTCTAAAGAAACTGTGGTGCTGCGTCGGTGGGAGAGTATAACAGGGCAATTTAGAATTATCCAACTGAGTTGATAACGTAAACTGGCCACCGTTAAGAGTTTCAAAACTGACTATTCGAGCGTTAGCCCCTCTTCAGGGCGATTCGCAATCGAAACGTCAGCTTTGAAACTCGTTACGTTGACCAATTTACGTTATCAACTCGGTTGATAATACTAAACAACCCTCTTGTTTACAATCTGGCACACACACGCCAACAGACACACAAAATGTTATAAATTTATCGATTTAATGTCATCACAGTTCCACATTTAGAAATTGTACCATTTGAAGCAGAATTATTTGCAGTGAATAGCAGGGTCCTACCGCAATGATATGTTTGATTAAGACAAGATGTCATTCCAGTTGAAACGCAGGTAAACTACAGCTACAAAAATAAAAAATATTTCCTAAAAATCATCAGTATTTGACGTAAAACTGATTTTAAGAAAAAAAGATATCACTTTCCTACAAATGATCAAATAAAACGCTAAAAAAAATTAAATGCTCTACTTGCAATAAAATATCTTTCTAAAGTATCACTACATACATCGTTGAAATTTATCCGGGATTAACATATATCTAATCTAAGTCCTGACCATGTTTCATTCTGATTTTTTTTTTGGGTTCTCTAGGTTTCTATCACGGCCCGTTCTCCATCGTGGCTGTCTTATAGGATGTCACGTAACGCGGGAAGCGTAATGTAACATTCCTAAAACCGGCTACGATGGAGACTTATCACATCTATGACTATTCTTGTTTCTTCGTCTTTCTGCATCTGTTCTGCTTTGTACGCTCCTGAACTTTCTTTAACAAGTGTTCGCTTGCATGACGCACATAGCTTGATTCGTCCAGTAGATAATTACCATCTTCCGTCAAGGTCCCTGCTATGACAACTGTTTTACCCAATCCAAGCTCTTTGCAGAAGCAACTGATGGGAGAGAATACATAAATTAGAAGAAAAACCAAAACAAAGCAAAACAATAAAACGAAACAAAATATAAAAAAACACAACAAAACAGGCTCTTCAGTTAGTCTATTTTCCATAATGGCTGACGCAATGCCACTACACGATCGTTGCGTGCTTCCGGTATTTCATTTGCCGCCTTTATCTGGGAATGGCACTTGACGCTCCTCTCTACCGAAATTTCTATTCAAATAACTTGACCAAAGGAACAATATCATAATAAGTGTGCAAAGGGAAATAGAAAAATCAATGAGTGTAAAGTTTATCAATCAGAACAGATTCCCCACTTGTCTTAGCTTAAGTGTGAAATAAACACCCCCGAGCGCTCTTTCAATTCGTATAACTCTTCAAGATCTTTTGTAGCAATCTAACTTTCCGATGAGGTTTCCTGCGCGGAGTTTCTTCCCAGAATTACCTGTTTAAGTCCTCAGCGAAGGCGATCTTGACAAGTTTATTCTGTGACGAGTCAGAGCCCTTGAACACCCCAGTCACTCGCACCATCAAGGAAGACCCATCAGAGTCTTGTCCATTTTCTATCTTCTCAAACGTGCCCTTGATCACTGTGAAAGAAAGTGTTAGGTTACATTTCATAGATCACATGTAAATTCATTACAAGCAACATCAGAAGTTAGTCTTGATTTCCGCTTGAAAAGGAAATAGACAGCTCAAATTCAAAGGAAAATTACAAATTCTCTTCACCTAAGATGCCGCCAACTTAGACATCAACCTTTTCAAACAAATTTTTGGATCAGTCCAAGAGCTTAAAATGCCCCTTGGCCCCAAACTGGGGTAACGAAAAAAGAGAATGTAATTTTTATGATAAACACACCCTCACTTTGCAATATTGAAAATATTAAAAACAGTATCGGACCAGCCTTTGTGAAAGATCATCTGTGTTGACTTACCAAAGTCGCTTTCACAAAAGTGGGCAAAGAGGCTTGAACGCGCAGGGCAAGTCTGGCATTTCCTCCTTCTGGATGCTATGGGAAAAAGAACAATGGTTAGGGAGAATTAAATTTATTGTGAAATAAAACTAACAAGGAAGCTTATGAACGCTACATAGAAACTGGCAGAGCTTTATTCGTCTCTGTGTGCTTGTCGGTCGTGGGTTCGGTAAGAGCCAGGAGGCAGTTATATAGAAAATAAACCAGTCAGTTATACAAAGTAAACCAGTCAGTTATACCAAAAATAAACCAGTCAGCCAGAGAGGCAGGAAAGCAGGTGGTCATTCAGATAAACAGTCAATTGGACCGTCGATAAACTCTAACAGTCGGTCAATACATTTATCTTTGTTGTAGGAGTCTGTTAACTTACAGCATTTTGCAGGGCCACCAACAACTGTGATCATGGTGCGAGTAAGACAGGCCTGTGACTTTAACACACATTCATTGGAGTAGTTCTTCCCGTCTGATCCACAAACAGGATCATAAATGAAAGGGCAGGCCGTGTTACATTCACACACTGCATCACCATTGTCATCCACTCGACAAACTCCATGGAAGTCGCAATTCATCAGCTGGCACGGATCGTCAGAACTTGGTTTTTCAGCTGTTAAGGAACAATGAAACAAACAAGTAAATAGGTCACTGAATCAATCAGTCAAGATATCAATCAGCAATCTTTTCTTTCAATCTACAGAACGATTTATCAATGCGTCAGTCAGGCAGTCAGTCAATCAGTCAAACAACTCAATCCCACTGAAAGAAATTTCCAACAACTACGTGGCAAATTGGACTGGTTGAGAGAAACGCTCTGTGGACAACGGTAAAGCACTAAATGTTTTTAAGTCAAAAATAAAGACGAATTCGACGCATTCGCGGATATAAGCACTGCTGACAATAAAAGGATGACTAGTGCAGTAAATAGGAGAGACCACTGCTCCATGCTGTTAGTTCAGTGAAATGGCATAAAACTGTACTCACAAGGTTTTAAGAATATAAAAACTGAAATGCCAACCTTTGCATTTTTTCTCACAGTCATCAATGGTGGCAAAGCGGTTATCATTCCCTTTACAGCCTCCATATATAAATTCTTCGCACACTTTTGATGTGGTATTGAAGAAGTAACTCGGCATGTAGGCCTCACATGGCCCTGGCTCAGCGGTAAGATCACATGCTGCACAAGAAAGAGAGTCCATCAATGACACTGACGTATCATAAAGAGCAGATAAACATTCTCGTTTGTCTAGCAACTCTCAGCCTTGAAATCCCATCTCCACAACCATTTAATATTAACACCTAATTCTCCTAACGAACTAGCCAAGATATGTATTGTAACCAGTTGCAAGAGTTAGCTTCGAGATCTTGAGGGTGACAGGTTGTTGTTGTTGTTGTTTTTTTTTTTATGTTTCACTAGGGCTAATCTTCCATCACAGTAGCCTACTATCATGAAGCTACGATATCAGAAGAGGGCTGTTCAATAGTGGTTTTTACCACAGTTGGCATTAATGTCACAATCTGACTCAATTTGTTGTAGACTCACTAAACTGCGTCTCGTGAGTCCACAATATTTTGACCACTGTGATGACAAATATCATTATCAGCAAGAGTATAGACCACGCTAAACCACTGTCGATTTGTCCAACAAATGAACTATGATTCATGCCATTACCAACCTTTACATTCCCCGGCGTGTAAAATGTCCAAGTCTTTGCCACTTTCACACTCGGAAACCTCTAGAACACACTTGTTGGAGTAAGTAACGCCATCAGAGGCACAGTAAGGGTCGTACTCTCGGGTGCACACTTTATTGCACTCACAGAAAGGTTTGTTGCCTTTAACTACACATCTTTGACGCTTGTGTTTGCAGACGAACCCATTACAAGGATTTGGACTTAAGCCTATTGCAGAAGGGAATAACAACAATACATAATCATCCGGTTTTTGAGTTAAAATTTATCCCTGGTCTTGAAAATTATCTGTGTGAAAATTTTCATTCCACAACAAGGGCCCGTACAACGAAGAAACGAAAGTGTGCTGATAAAACAATTCTTGAATGATGGGGGACGCCGGCGTATATACAATATAACGCTAAGATTGTCCGATTGTATTGTAATCGTCTCCTCACAACTTCCGAGGTAGTGGATTATCATTCTTATTGCACTGGGCGCCCCTATCCAATTTCTCGCCGGTCTGAATTATCAATCGCGAAATGACATTCAATCACACCGCTTCGAGACAAAGCCAAAAAGGCGCACAGCACTGTAGATAGGCAAGTTCGCTAAAGAAAAACGAGGTGTCAGCGCTTCGTCTACAAACTTACATTCTCCCAGATGTTTGACACCCAGTTTAAAATGCCTTGTCATGCAAGCTGTGGCCTCCAGCCCACACATGTTGCTGTAGGTCCTGCCGTCTGTTCCACACACCGGGCGGTAGTCTGCCGTACAGATGGAAGGACACTTACACACAGCTGCTCCGTCCTCTACTTCACATCTTGTGCGCGGGAATGGACACTTGTAATTCTTGCACGGATCTGCGTTGTGAAGGAAAAAAATTATTTAACAGCTTACCTTGCAATGTGAGGCTTAGAGGCTCAGATGTCAGCGAGAAGTCTGGGTCCGAACCATGGCCTGTATGTTGTCTTACAATGCCGGAGTAGACAATGATTCCAACAGCGCCACTCTCCATTAAGGAATGTAAATCATTTAAATGAATACAAACAAGTATCACTTACTGATACACTTGTTCTCGCAGGCCTCAATAGTCGGGAAATTGTTTCCGTTTCCTTGGCACCCTCCATAAACGAACCTCTGGCATTGCTTGGTGGTTGAATTGAAGAAGAAGCGTGGAAAGTAACCAAAACAGAGTCCACCAGCCAGAGGAAGATCACACACTGGGAAAGAAAAACGAAATGAAAAATTACTCACTGGGGGAAAGAAATGGCGCTTTGCCGAGAGCTCTTGCTTCCCACCGCTGTGGCTCAAATTACATTCCCAAACTGTCTTCAGTCCTCCGGTTTTCTTTAATTGGTTATTTTTTTTTGCCATTGATGTGTGTTTGTCATTGGATGTCTATCTAACTAACTTACCACTCTAGAGACACTCTAGATATACAAGAAATTTAACTAGAGTGTGATTCTCGCAAAACTTGCCAACTAGCTTTCGAGGTTACGTTGCAAAGGAAAAAATCTCAAGTTTCGTCGTAGCCCAGGGATTGATATCAATTCAGATTATCATCGTTAATGTACTACACTTTAAATCTTACCACACGGTCCAACATGTTTGAGAGTCAAGGAGCCGATGTTCTCTGGCTTACAAGCTTCAACTTCTAACTGACATTTGTTAGTGTAATTGCGGCCATCTGAGCCGCAGACAGGCGCGAAATCTGCCGTGCACACTTCTGGACAGCGGCATTCTGCTTCTCCTTGCTCAGTCACTGAACAGGCACTTTGTGGAAACTTACATTTCTTACAAGAATCTTTCGGTATAGGCTTCTTTCCAAAATCAGGTGATGTGATTTCTGTGCATGAGAAATATTTCATTCAGTAAGTCATGTTATAAGCTTTGACTGGATTCAGAAAAATAGCAATAGTAACCCTTTACACCCTAGCATTGGTATGCAATTTGTCCAGACTGTTCTCTATACATTTCCGAAGAGAATTTTTTTTAACAATCAAGAGCTTCCTTAGATGTTGATCATTTACTTTATTCTCGTCACCTTAATGTGTGATTTGGGGTGATATTATGAGGAGAAATTAGATGCTTGTCACCTTAACAGGTCAAAGAGTTAAGGTATCGACTCGGTTCACATATCAAACTTACGTTGTTTGATCAAACGCAGTGGACCTTGATTAGGTTTTGTTAAAGGCTTCACACAGAGCTTTCTACAGCCATCGTGACAGCATTTTTCATTATCCTTACAGCTGGCATCATCAAAGCAAGAATCTTCTGGTTCACTTGAACAAATCTGTGGGTCCACAATGGGGCAAAAACCTGGATTAGCTGTAAGGACAAAATAATATAAGAATAATTTTTAATGACAAAGTTTGAGGTTCGTATTGTACAACTAAGTATTTTCTCGCGAAAGATGATATTATTCAGTGAATAACAGAGGCATACTCGGAAAAAAAGAACTCCGAGGGCTAAATATAGGAGTCGAACCTACGAACTCTCCGATTAGTACTTCGAATGCTCTACCACTGAGCTATAGTGAAACCCGTTGTAAGCTAGGCCGTTTAACCCTTTACACCCTAACATCAGTATACAATTTCTCCATATTGTTCTCTATACATTTCCTATGGTACTGACGAAGAGAATTTGTTTAACAATCAAGAGCGTCTTTAGTTGGTGATATCATTTCCATTACTCTCATGACCTCCATGTTTGGGATCAATATGATTATCTGGGCAACTACCCACCCAACCCTCCCTTAACTCAACAACAGTCAATTGACAACAAGTTAAGGTTAATGTTGGGTTAGGGGAGGGGTAGGTGGGAAGTTGCCCAGATACTGATATTGATCCCATGTTTGTTTCATGGGCGATACTGATATGGAAAAATGGTTCATAGTCACTTTTAGGGGTTAAAGGCTTAAATAAAAAGGTATTTTCCCCTTCGTGGGTAGGGATCAGGTATATACTGTTGCTAGGTCCGTATAGCACGCCGCCCCCGCCTCCGATCTACGGCCCATGCGCTACACTCATTCAAAAACTTACAATGCTGAAATCAAACTCGGTCAGCAAGGAGTCTTTTAAGATAAAAATTCTGCAGAAAATTTCCTTACTGTTGCATCTTCCAGGAGCCTTGATCTTGATCATCATTCCTTGTTTACAGGCTTCAGCCTTCATCTGACACTCGCTGCCGTAAGTCTGGCCGTCTGTACCACACACAGGGCTGTAGATTGATGTGCAGATTTCTGGGCAAGCGCACTGCCGTTCTCCTAATTTGGTAATGCTACAAATAGCATAGGGATCAGGGCAAGGGTTCAGCTCACACGTATCCAAGGCTGAAAATTGTAAACATAACATGGATAACCTTCTACGGGACATTTAAAGTAAAGGATATCTGTACCTACTTAAACAGTGAATAGCGTTGAAGGCGCGCTCTGATTGGCTAATCAAACTCCAAGTATCCTTGGCTATTCACTTTCGAGCAACGCGCGCGGGATTTGCAGCCGAAATATTGTAATAATTATAGGAAAAAGCGAGTTAAAATCATCCTTTTGCGCTATATTATCTCACTGCTTTGCCTCAGAGTCGCTGGCTCATTTACCTCGCAGCTCGGTTAATACCCACCACTAGCCATCCCACTTATGTTCAAAATTTTTCCTCGATTTGGCACTGATGAAAAGTGCCAAATAATTTTCCGCGGACGAAGAAGCGCCCACTCGCAGGCTACTAGAAATTTTCAGGCTTCTTTGTCGGCAATTTCTTTAATTTACTTTCGAGATCATTTCTTTGCTAAGAAATCATTCGAAGGCCAAAATATGAATCATTTCATTTATTTGTAATCCATGCTAAGCATTACGTGACCTATGCTCACAATCTGTGACAGTTCAAGACATCACTTACATCCACAGAAGTCGAAACAATCTTTCTCGGTGTCAAATCTGTTTAAATTTCCTTCACATCCACCAAATATGAACTCTTCACACCGTCGGGAGGTGGAATTGAAGAAGAATCGTTTCATAGCAGCGAAGCAGCGACCCGTCTCTACTGGTAAACTGCAAATCTGAGCGGCTGTGAGACAAAAAGAAATGATATTCTGTTTGAAATATTCGAAATGTCTGCGCTGGCGAGCTCCTTAACTAACTTTTCAAATTAAGCTACTGAACAGACTTCTAAAGTATATGTATCAACGGTTCAGGCCGTAGATATCTAACATTTAGGTCTGTGGATAAACCCGCGTCCGTTGACACAACTGAAGTGAATGCCAAGCTAATGAAATGAAAGCTATTTCTCATGTCTAGCCTTTGAAGTGATGGATAATTCAACTATGGGGTTATTTAAATTTTCAGCAACAAATAACCGTTATTTGTTGCTGAAAATTTGAGTAACCTCATAGGCCCCCAAGGCCTCCTTTATTCTTCTAGGAGCATACCTTTGATGGTTAACTTCGCTTGATATTTAACAGCAGACCTTACCTTTACATTCTCCGTTTCCGATGTAGGTAAGTTGCCCAGGCGGCATCCCTCCAGCCTCTAGCAGACAAGCATTCATCTCCAGCTGACACATGTTGTCATACGTTCGCCCATCTGATCCACACACAGGATCAATGTGGTTGATAGGGCATGTCTCCCGACACTGACAGGTGGGCTTGCCTTTGACAACTTTACACACTGGGGTGGGGAAGCTACATAGAGTAACTTCACAGGGGTTCTCTGGGAATGCGGAAAAAGAGGTTCGTTGATTAACAAAGTATATTCATGGTGGTATAAGAGCGACCTAACATCAGGTTTTAGATTCACACAGACTTTTTTAATAACGAAAAGAATCCCTCAGATTCACAACGAGACAAATTCAGCAATGGTTTTCATGCGATAATTAATCTGTCTAATAAAACAATCATGAAACCATCTGGAAATGTCCTCAGGCTGTTACGAAATCTTTAAAAAAAAGAATGAAAGAAAAATGAAAAAAAGAATGAAAGTTTCCATCCTTTCAAAAGGATGGAAACTTAAATTCTTGGTAAGTTGTAGCCAATTTGTTTTTTTTTTATTACCATATCCGAACCAACTAGTGAACGAAAAGACAAGCGTTGCACTACTAAACGCACGAGAAACTGGCAGAATCGATTGAAAAGAACCATAAACCACCGAACGAGCGAACAACCAAATAAACCGAAACAAAAAAAAAACAAAACAAACGAATAGAACAAATTAGCTGAGGAATGAAGCAAAAAACAAGGAAAAACTAGGTTACCATCTCGAGGCTTTTCAAACGAAGAGGTACACTTCTTGATGCAGCCATCAAAGCAACACTTGAGGTCTCCGCTACAGTCCCAGTCTGTTGCACACTCTGGAGGTCGAAGGATTAGAGGGCATGGCTTGGGGTCAGAGCTAGGGCACCGCCCGGGTTTGGCCGGTGCATAACATCTCCTGGTACAGTCTCCTCGCAAGCAACATTTCTCCCCGTCCGCGCATTCGGAGTCTTCAGAGCAGCCTTGTATGGGGTCACTACAAATAGGTGACGGGTTCAAAACGGGACAACTATCTTCGGGTGTTTCTAGGGAAGAAAAAGGAAGAAAATAATATTAGGCAGTTGATGGAAAATTTAAACAATACTCATAAGCTGGGATCCTTTTATAGAAACTCTATTGTCGTTTCAGCATCTTGAGATATTTGACCAACACTCGCCTGGACGGTTCCTCATAAAGTTGGCAAAGCCATCATGTTATGAAATCTCGTTGCCGCCACTTCGCTCGTATGTAACTTGCTTAATTATCTTATGTCCAGCTTTAGAAACTATTAAAAGTGGCTGATTTACACCATTAACTCAGTCGATAAAACCAAATTATCTTGTTTTTTTCCCCCACCGACGCAACACCACAGTTTCTTTGGAAACTTACCCTGTTACGATCGATCACCTGCCCTCTCACTTTTTCTCTGCCGCACGTCTTATTGCTTTAGCTTCACTATCTGCCTTTACTAGTACCACAGTACTATTCTATTGAAGCAATAGGACACTAACCTTCTCCGCATTTTCCTGGATGCTTCATAACCACACTACTGGCGTCCTTACACACTGAATACATCATTATACACTCGGTACTGTATGTTTTGCCATCTGTGCCGCACACAGGGGCGTACTCTCGTGTACATACTCTGTCACATGTGCATTCATTTTGACCAGATTCCTCGTTTTTCACACACTTTCCAAATGGATGACAGGGTGGTATGCAAATTAAATCATCTAGAGAAACAAATAAAAACATTTTCTTCTTCGGTCAACGAGGATCGTATAATTGTCTATTTTTTTCACTAACGTCGCAGCAGCCCATAAAGGGATCGAAATTTTTCGTTCCAATGGAAATTGTCGAAAAAGAATTTAATCTTTGGCCGTGTTCGAACTATTTTTTCGTTTTTTGTTGGTGTCCAATTTTTAGACAAAAAATTAGTACATGACGCATCATAATAATTTCCTTCATAGCCGTTGCTTGGACTCGTCAGCCTTTGGTTTTGTCCCACAATACTCTTTCTAGTGGAAAACGGCAGAAAGAGTGTTGCGTGACAGGAGTGTTGTGTGAAAGAAACCCTCCACCAGTAGAAAGAGTGTTGTATGACAAAAGTGTTGTGTGGAAGTCGAGAGCATTGTGTAACAAAGAGAACGCCTTGCGTGACAAGATCAAACATCGACTGCATAGGAGACTAGCACTAAATCAGTTCATCTAAAATAAATATAAACGCTATAACATTCCCGAGTGGCTGAAGCAGGGCAAAGTCGAGCTCCCTTACCTTTACGGCTGCCGCATTCCCCAGGATGCTTAACAGTGACCATAGTTCCTTGTTCACACACCATACCCTTCATGACACACTCAGTGCTGTACGTTTTCCCGTCCGTACCACACACGGGAGCATATTCACGTGTACAAAGTCTTTGGCACGTGCATTTGTTCTTCACGCAAAAACCATAGGGATGACAAGGGGGCTGACAGGTTGAAGTCCCGACAAAAGTGGTTAGTCTTGACGTGGAGGGGCGGTCTTCGGAGAAAAACCGGGAAAAAAGGAAATAAACAACAGAAATTAAACTAGTAGCTCTCTTGGCCCATCAGCTCTGAGGATCTACTAATAATTCTTCCCATCTGGCTGTCATAAATATCCTTGTGAATAAGTGTTATTTGTACTCACTTTCATGGCCACTTTTCACGAGAGGAGGCAAAGTCTTAACGCACATCTTTGTACAGTTCCACTGGAGACAGCATCTCTCCCCCAAAGCACATCCATCGTCGGACTCACAACCTGTTGTTGATTCACATGTCGGTATGGGGTTTGGCGCAGGGCACGTGCCTGGTCGTGTACCTGAGAAAAAAAAATCTAAAATTAAGCTTGTAGACTTATTTTTATGTATCAGCACAGGTTTCCTAAAGGCTAGAAAAGGGAAAAAAAAGGGTTACATCAAGCCGAATAAACAAACGTTAATCTGTAGGTTCATTTCAAAGTACGGGCTTGAGATAATGGTTAGAATCTGATATGGGCCATTTCGTGGGAAATAAAACAGACTTGCCAAATATAGAAATTTTGAGGAATACGTCCGAATAATTATGAGATGTTTTTAGCTCTTTCAATAGTCACATCGTCGCATTGGCTGTTTTAGGACAAGAAGAAGAATTACAAAAATGGCGCATTCTCTTTAACAATGACACCTCACTCTGTCAGTTAAAGAGGCTCCAGAACTAAAATGGATCGTGAAAAACATATTAAAATTGAAATAAAAGAATACATGAGCTAAAGAACGACCCGGAATTTAAGATTCCCTTTCCGTGAAGCGAGTCACCGCCAATTCACAAATCCATGCGGCACTAGGGTGTGCAACGTATTGCAACAAAAAAGCCCTGTTTTGAAGAATAAAATTCGTTTTAATTTTCTACCTATTTTTCTGATCATTGCCCAAATATTTCCTCCTCTTGTTTTCTACTCTTCATTACCTAGCTTATTAAATCAATCGCTGACGAAGGGCTAACACTCAAAATGACAACATTGAAACTTCTTACGGTGGGCAATTTACATTATCAACTCAGTTGATAAAACTAAATAGTTTTTTCAATAAATCAGTTCAATCATCCCTTTGACTCCCAAGATCCAATAAGTTACTCTCCGTGCTGTCTGCCTTCATTTCCGAGTTGTAAATGGGACAAGAGAATTCCATTTTAATTCAAGACAATACCCACTAGCCGACAAGCTTCTCTATTTTCATAACCAAATATCAAGACGATGTATTGTAATCACAATGGGGAATTACAGGTTAACGGCCTCTGGGGATTAAAGGGTTAAGCAGCTAAGGTATAACTGTCGTCCGTTGAGTGACCCATTTAAAAGACGTTGAAATTCAGGATTCCTCTATGCAATAAAACTCACCATCAGCCCTTGCAGGAGTGACGCACTTGTGGTAACAATCGTTGTCCAAACAGCAAATCTGTCCTGTGGGACACTTTGGTCCTCCTGTGAAGCAGTTTGGTGGGGCATCTGGAGGCAGGCTACAGTAAGGGGTTGGATTAAGCACTGGACACTGTAATAACACTGCAAAAAGATTGCATAATATAAGGTGCTTAATATAAGGTAGAGTAAAAATACATTAAATTAAAAGCCAAATATGTTCATGCTGTTACAGAAAAGCAAGTGCACAAAAGAACCGATCTCAACACCAACAAATACAAACGTAGATTCAACAACTGCAAATTATCCCTTTAATCATTTGAAGAGATCAACCTTAGTATGTGCGTGAAAAAGGTTTTTTGATAGAAATCCAGACATCGCTGGAAACCGACAAACATCTCATTAGAGACATAGCTAGTTCAAAATTAACTCACATGGCGGCGGTGGAGGAACATCCTCAACTCTTACACATTCCCGTTTGCAGCCCTGCTGCAGACAACATCTGCTGCCAAAGAGACATTCTTCGTCTGACCGGCATCCGGTTATTTTAGCACAAACAGGTGTTGGGTTAAGTATAGGACACTTTCCTGGCCTTGTTCCTTGATAAAAAAATAAATAAATAAAAAAATTAAAAAAAAAAAAAAAATATATATATATATATCAAAAAATATATCAAAAGCTGTGAGAGTTAATACGATTACAAAGTTTTCTAGAGCACACTTTCTCTTTGCGTCTACTGTTTGTTCTGGGTTCTTTATCCAACGAGTTCCTTTCTGGGTTATTCACTTTTCTTTCATCCGAAAAAAACTTTCATTTGAATGAGTCTTAAGAATTTGGACCTTGTAAATCAATCAAATTATCATTTTGTGAACAATCAGCAGTAACATTCCATCCTGACAACACTTTAAATTCAACTCACCATCAGCCAGCGCAGGTTTCACACACTTGTGGTTACAGTCTTTGTCAAGACAACAAGCTTTTCCTGCGGGACACTTTGGACCGCCTGTGAAACAGTTGGGTGGGGCACCTGCCGGCTGTCTACACAGTGGAGTAGGGTTTAAAACTGGGCATTGAAGTAGCACTACGAGAAACAAAAACAGAGCATTCAACACGCTACATCCTACAGTTACACAAACGCGTGTACACAAAAAGCTAACCAATAATGGATTCAAACGCACACACAAGAACTGTCAATTTTCCTTTTATCGTTTATATGATCAATTTCGTCTGAGTGAAAAGGTTTTGTAACGAAAATCCAGACATCACTAATAGCCTAACAGAATGTCATGATGATCTGAGACATGGTTTATAATTTACTCACATGGTGGCGGAGGGGGAAGAATCTCAACCTTAACACATTTCTGTGTGCAGCCCTTCTGCAAGCAACATCTGCTGCCTAGGGGACATACTTTGTCTGACTGACATCCGGTTAAATTCGCACAAAGAGGAGTTGGGTTAAGTAAGGGACACTCGCCAGGTCTTGTCCCTAAAACAAAGAGCAAACAACAAAACTAGGCTCAGCTCCGAATTGAGTATCATATTGCAAATAAAGAAAACCTTTAATAAAAACATATAAGTGACTCTAATTCCAGTTTTTCCTAGTTTACGACACATTGTGCTTAAATGGTGAAACAACAGGACCAAAAAAAGGTTGTTAACAAAGAATGACGTTATTCAGTTCCTGTGATCGCGAAGCAAAGATAGAGCAATTTAAACAACATATAAGGTTTTCGAAATAAGTTCAAGAATTATGGATAAAAGAAAGTTTTCAATCAAATTAAATGCAACCATAAAAACTTAGTACTGTTAAGCTTTCAAACTGCTGAAAGACAGAACATATTGAAAATTGTAAACTAGTCTTCCTGAAGAGAAGACGAACTCATGCTCTCTTATCTTTGCCCACTTATTGAAAAAGAGGTTCCTGAAGTAAGAACATAGATTTTAGAAGAGTCTTGGCCCTTCGCCCCCAAAGAGTGATTGGCATCTAATTTCTTATTACAATATCACTCTTGAACCACAAATTAAGGTCACGAGAATAACGCAATGATGACCAACTAGAGGAACTCTCGATTGTTAAACAAATTCTCCCCGTCAGCACCTTGAGAAATGCAAACAGAACAGTAGGGAGAATATGCATGCTGATGTTCGGGTGTAATTTTGCCCCAGGCTTCTGACGGAGTCTCTGAAAAGTAAAACACTCACCATCGTCAAGCGCAGGCTCAGTACACTTGTGACTACAGTCATTATCAAGACAGCATTTCAGTCCAGTGGGGCAAGTCACGTTTCCTGTAAAACAGGATCCGTTTTTCAAAGCGCAGAGAGGAGTTGGGTCCAAAATGGGACACTGCGGCCCTAAAAAAGTTCAATTAAAAATTTTAAGAATTAACAGACGCAGCTCTGTCAACTAAATGTGACCCAGAGAGGAGTGAATGAGAAGGAATTTTTCCTTAAAACAATCTACACATTTTTAAGTAGAAAGGGGATCAATACCAGTATCTGGGCAACTGCCCACCTACCCCTCCCCTAACCCAACATTAACCCTAACTTTTCATCAATTGACTGTTTTTCAGTTAGGGGAGAGGTGGGTGGGCAGTTGCCAAGATACTTATATTGATCCTAGAAAGGTTATTGGAAGAATACTGTTCCTGGTAACCGCAGAGTGCTTAGCGGGCTCCTCTAGTCAGTGGGCATACTGATTTAGAAATTTGAGTAGTTTGGTAATGGCGGTTGCTTAATCGTCATAAGAGCTTCTCTCGCAGATGCTTTTAAACGTTGCCTCGAACAAGCTTTCCTTTTTTCCTTCAGTTGATTTGATCAGCGCTTACGGGTGCCTGGAATAGGGGGTCATGGTCTAGTTGCAGGTATTTGCCAGGCAAAGGGGTGGTATTCCATCTGTGAGCTAAATAACCAGAGTTAAAGTCCATCGATCTCTCCAGCCACCTTTCTATAATTCAATCAAAGCAGCGTCCGACCTTGCACTGCAAGCAAACCATAACTTACAGTTTATTCCTAATTAACATAAACAGTATCACAACACATACCGCATTCTCCCGATTTCACTACGGTTAAGATTTTTCCAGTTTTACATGCCTCGACCTCCAGACTACACTCGTTGGGATATGTTTCACCATCTGAACCACAAACTGGGTTAAAGTCAAGTGTGCAGATTTCATTACACTCGCAGGTTGCTGCACCTTGCACAACTCTGCAATGCTTTCTTGGATCAGTGCACTCCATCCTTGAACATGGATCTGTAATCCAACAGAAAACAAACAAGGTTTTCGTTATTCGCTGCAGCAAGGAAGAAAGACATTCAAACAATGAAGATAATCGATGGTTAAAGTTTAAGAGTGCTTAATTTCTTCCTCATCCCGGCTGTGTTAGTGTTTGCCTGCCTCTCACTTTTCAGTTGAAGTTCGATACTTTTTTGGAGAAATGGGGCCCTTCTAAATCGAAGGAGAACTTCGAAAATCAGAGAACTTCGTTTAGGAACTTTATCATGATACGACCCGTACGGCCCAACATCCATATGAGGACCGTATGTGATACTGCCCATGTTTTAAAATCCCCTATCACCTCTGTTTCAAACAATATTATTATTACACAGATTTCCAAAAGAAAACACTTACCACACTCTCCCTCTGATATGACGGTCAGGTCTTTACCAGATATACAGGCCTCAACCTCCAAGGTGCACTTGTTTGGGTATGTCTTACCATCTGAACCACACACTGGCCTCAGGATAAGTGGACAGAGTTGAGAGCAAACACAGGTGGCCTTACCGTCGACCACTTTACAGTAATGACGATGATGATTGCACAGTGAAATGTCACAGGGATCCCACGGAGCTAGAACACAACGAAGCCACGATGATAAATAAAGCTACTAAAATTATTACCAAAGTTCCCTGATAAGAAACATTCACTGTGTATAAAAGGTTTTCTGACTGAACAATGAGTCTAACTAATCCTGGTTTGATCTTTCTGAAGGGATCATATATCATGGTAAAAATAGTCTTGTGCAAGACTATCTCTTACAATTAAACGCTAGTTTACTGGATGGACAGATTACGACAACAACAAGGTGCTTACTCCATGTGAGAAGTGTACAACAATGACTTTGGCCGACATTCACCTCCATCAGTAAAGACTTTCACTCGATTAAGATAATGTCTTGATCTCAGGCTTTTGAAAAAATCGACATCATTCTCACTGAAAACAGTTTTTTTCAGGACAACTCTCACTGGGAAACTAAGCTTCACAATTGTTAGTCACCTCCAGTGCTTCTCATTCACTCTTTCAATAATCAATCATGAGTTGTTCCAACTCACCGCGACATTCACCAGAATATTCTGCCTCCACGATTCTATTTGCTAGGCAGCTCATACTCTCAAGAGCGCTGGGGTTGGGGTATGTTTGTCCATCCGAGCCACACACTGGTGCCAGATTTGCGGTGATCACCATTGGACAAACGCATAGGGCCTTACCACCCACCACGTGACACTGATGGTAAGGATGAGTACAAAGATCAGGTGCACTGCAAGGGTCTGTGAAAAAAGGTTGCCAAGAGGTGTCAGGTAAACAACGATGCACGTGACCAATAAGAAGAGTTGTTTCACAAATAATACATGTACATCATCTTCACCATCATAATTTTCATCACCACTGCGATCATAATACTCGTCTTTAAGATAAGCGCAGCTCTTTCAGAAAACAAACCAAAAAGCTCTAACAAAACAATCTTTAGTTCTCACATCAGTCTGTGAGGAGTGGTGGGTGAAGGAAATCAAGAAAACCTCTAATTTCAACTTTCACACTGTTGTTGTTTTGGTAGACCTTCACCCAAGAAAGCAGTGCTTTTACTTTCTAGCAGATATTTCTCTTCTTGAGGTTCATCACTTGCTTCTTTAGCTCCTTTCTGTCTACAGCGCATCAAGCGATTTTGGCCGCTGACATGAAGGTTAACCGCCCAACCTCTTTTGACTACTGAGACCTAGACCAACTGCTACTCGTGCGTGATCTACAGTTCTCGTAACATTACTGGCTAAAGTGACCAACATGTACATAACTGCAAAACATGACATATATCTTACTTTTGTTTTCTTGCTTGCACTCTCCTTGACTAGCCACCGTTATTGTCTGACTTCTCTCGCATGCTTCTGACCGTAGGACACACTCGTTAGGATACGTTTGGCCATCTGATCCACATACCGGGATGTATTCCCTTGTGCACAAAAATGGCAGACAAACACATGCAGCACCTCGGGGTGATTTGAGACAGTGGTGTAATGGATGACTGCAGTTGGACTTCTCACAAGGGTCTGGTTCTATGAAGTAAATGAAAGAGGTGAAGTAATGATTTAGGATGCCCATTTTGCTATGGCGTCTCCCAGTTTCAGTCGCATGATGCTACACGCAGCAACGCTACTCCTGCCTTAATTGGGACACCACTCCATCGCCTATTATAACCCCATCGTACAGTGCACCTGAAAGTTTGCCATCACACAGGAAGAGGATTTTGAGAACAGGTGTCAGATGACCAAGCTACGGCCTTTCAATTCAGTCTCCAGCACACTAAACGTTAGGCAAGCTTATCTCCCGTGTAGTAAAATATACACTGTTAAATAAGACTTGTATGAAGGTTACTGTGCAACAGAGTTCAACAGCTCAGCAAAACAGACTCAGGCTGGTTTGCACCGTCAGAATTCCACCCTGTACTTAAGACCCATGCTATTTAGAGCAACTAAGGGAAAATGAAGTTAAATCTCTACAATGCAACCCAGGTTCTAGAGAATACTATTTTTCTTAAAAAAAAAAAAAAGTTGTGAGGAATTCATTTGAAGACTTACTACAACTGTCTTTACTGGCGATGGTGATCTTCTTCTGTTGACTGCATGACGCAGCTTCCATAAGACACACATTGTCATATATCTTTCCATCTGAGCCACAGACAGGCATGAAATTCAGAGGACAAACTTGTGGACAGACACATTTTCCCATGCCGCCGTCCTCCACGCAAGTTGCATAATGCTCACACTTCTTAACACTACAAGGATCAGCTGTTGAACATAGAGCATGCGCATAAAAATAAGTCCAGCAAATCACATATTTCACCAATGTTAATCAAAGTTCCTTCCCCTTGGGAGAGGTAGTTAAAAAGTAACCGGTGGACCCTTGAGATATCTGTTTGAGTCCTGACATGTGTTTTTCGGTCCCGGTTGCCCTTAGCCAAACAACCCAGGATGTCACAGGTCTGGAACAATGGATTTCTTGTCGTTTCCGCTTTTAACAAAATTCTGGGCAAGTTCACATTGCCAGACCTGGAATACACCTTTAACTATAGGAAAAAATAATTTATGTTCAAACACGACACTGTACGCGGGGGTTTTATGTTGAAGAAATTCTCACATTCCTTACACAAGTTGAATGTTGCACTTGTAAATCTTCAGTGGCAAATTCTCAACAATTAATTTTGAAAAAACTTGCCGATTGCTCCCACACCATTTCTCTTGCATTTGTACGTCTTCAACTTTTACATGTTGTGTCCCTACACCCCAAGACCCTGAGCATCAATTAATTCCAATTGAAGCGTAATGTTAAATTAAAAAACAGACTAGTAATTCACCTGCACAATCAATACCGTCTCCTTCATATCCTGGGTTACACACACATTTGCGGCCTCCAAAAACTAGTTCTATGCACTGAGCATTCTCATGACACGTGTTAGGGCATTCAAGATCACGAACTTCATACAAAGAAAACATAAAATAAATGTTTGTTGGTTTCATCAAGAAAACAAAATCTATCCAGATTTTAAGATTGGTGAAATTGCTTAAATCATTAAGAGAAATACAGCTAATCAGACTTAAATATAGGTGAAATCGCTATTTTAAAATTATAACCCACGCATCAGTTTTACTTAGATTGATTATTCTCTCCTTTGGAAAATAAGTTGACAGGATGTAGTTTCAGTTTAAGTATATTACTTCACGTGCAGCCAAATTCTTTTTGATCTTTTACAACTTAATTACGCAAGAATGATCAAATGGCAAAGTAACTTAAGTTCCGAAATACTTGGAATTACTTAATCTTTAGTCATTCTTAAGCTAAATACAGGTTTGCATGACCTAACTGTGGAAAACGGAAACGTTTGCATGACTTAATTGTAAGAATCTGCAACTGGCATTGTTCATGTGGTATAATTTGACAATCCTATCAACGTTCTGAAAAACACTTCCCTCTTAAACCAATTAAATGAAATCTGCATTCATTTGACATACCAAATTGAACACAGTCTTTCTGGCAGCCATTAAAGCAGCACTTTCCTCCATCCTCCTTGCAGTCCTCATTTTTCGTACACGAGTCTGCTCTTCGGTCACAAATTCCATTCAGACCTTTCCACGGAGCGGGACAGATATAGGGTTTCAAACCAGAGATAACAGCATCTACGATGAAAAGAAAAATTCAAAGTCACCAAACAGTGTAAACAACGTAAAAATTAGTTGCTATCAACAGAAAAAACAAACAAACAAACAAAAACAAAACCATTAATCATTTAAATGCTTGGATACATCTTACGGTTGAATCAGTCAGTATTTAATGAATAGATGGCGTAAGTTTCTAAAGAAACTGTGATGCTGCGTCGGTGGGAGAGTATAACAGGGTAATGTAGTATCATCAACGGGTTGATAACGTAAATTGGCCACCGTTAAAAGGTCGCGAGCTGATGTTTCAAGCGTTAGCCTTTCGTCTAATCGCTCTGACGAAGGGATAACGCTCGAAACGTCAGCTTTTAAAGTGTTCAATGAAGCTTACCACATCTCCCTGGTCTGACGACTCGAAGGCGTTTCCCACTCTGACATGCTGCCACCTCCATACCACACGGGTTGGGATAGGTGTTGTTATCAGAAGCACAAACTGGATTGTACTCTAATGTACATGCTGTGTTACAAACACACGAGGCTGTGCCATTCTGAACTTCACACCTGTGACGCTTGTGGCTACAAAGGCTGACTTCACAAGGATTCATAAGCTGAGGACCTGAAACGAAACGGGTATAAAATCATGTCAAACACCAGGACACTTTTCCTGAGGCAACTATAGAGGAGCCAAAAATCTGAAATCCAGCTTCTTCAGGATTAAAATATGACTTATATCTAAAGGTTTCTCTAAATAGCAAGTCGGCAAGGATTGGAAAGTACCTACAATCAATGTCAAAATTAGTAGACACATCATGTTTGAACAGTCCTATTTATCTATTTATTTGTAGAATAACACTCCTGTGTCTACCACACTCTTGCTCGTTGACAAGCCCCCCCCCCTTCCCCGTTCAGTGTTGCCTGTATGTAACTAAAAGTCCATATAAATGCGATAAAACTATGTTTTGAGGAGGGGGGAGGAGAGGGTAAATAGGTTACTTTAAAAAGGGCAAAAGAGATAAAATGGAAGTAATAAAGGGTTAATAAAGTCAACGTGTCAACAGTTTTGTTGCAGATAGAAGGAGCATGGACAAAAATCAACAAAAAAACAAATCCATGAATGACAGCTGGTCCAGGAGCTGAAAAAAGAAAAAGCTCTCAGGAGCCAAGCGGGCTCTTATGAATATATCCTCCTGTTTTTCCAAGGTTCCATGTTTCCAGGAGTATCTAAAAGTTGGACAGTAGCTCTTACATTTTCCATCCTTGACCTTCTTGATAGCACCGCCAGCGAGACAGCTGGCAACTTCTAAGGATCTGTGATTTGGATATGTCTTTCCATCAGAACCACAGACATATCTTAATTCAAGTGTCACTGCAGTTGAGCATACACAGGTTGCTGTACCATTTATGTCTTGACAACTGGCGAGATAATGGCTGCAATTGATCTTATGACAGGGATCTGGCATAGCACCTGTTAAAACTAAACAACTGAAATGTGAGTTTTGGAAAGGGAATGACTAATCCATTTATGATTTAAACATAATTCCATTCTAAATCAGAACCGACTGATGGATACAGTAAATTCCTAAAATTTGATAACCAATTATGAAGAACCGTTTTTGACATCATTTTGACATTATACAGTTTGTCTAATTTCCTAGTTAAGTCAACAGTAAATTCAGTTTTTTTCAATAAAGACAAATTTTAAAATGAATAAATGACATCATAAAATGAATATATGACATTATGATTTTCATATATTCAGTAATTGAAGAAAAATATTGCTTATCCATCTTCTGAACTACGTTTTGCAATGTACCAAACAAACAACGATTAAAAATATGATAGTGTATTCTGATTGCCCAAGCAAGGGTAGTCCTGTGAAGGAACATTGTCAGTGGTGGCGACGAGGGTTTCGACAATCTTTGTGGAAGCCATCATCCAAGCCAAGTATCAATTCTCGACTCTGACCTTGATTTCTGCTAAACATCAGTCACCACCACCAAAAATACTCCTTCCCAGGACTACTCTTGCCTGGATAACCAGCCTACATGATAATTTGTCACTCCCTAGTTCAAATAATGTATTGTATGATGATCAGAACAAGGGTGGAGACCTGGTAATCAGGTCACAGACTCATTCTAAAATCCCAAATCACCAGAAGGTATTTCAGAAATCCACAGAGTATCATGAAATATTGCCGACTTCCTTAACGATAATTATACAATCAAAAGTAACAAAACCATGTCTAACTTACTTGATGTAATATCCGGTTCACATTTTCCTTCATAATCTACAGACACAACTTTGCCTTTCTCACATGAGACAAAGTCCAAAATACACTTATTGTCATAATTTTGACCATCATCTCCACAGACTGGCTTAATGATCTTTGGACAGGATCCAAGGTGTGTACAGCTGCAGACAGGTTTGCCTTTATCATCTGTGGTGCATTTTTGCAATGGATGGCTGCATGTGATGTTGACACAGGGATCAATATTCACTACTCCTGCAAAGTTGATACTAATGATCAGAGTGCTAATTATCATTATCATTACCCTTGCCAACATTAATAAAAGGGAAAAAGGGGTATTAGCGAAATTACCCAAAGACTTAAGATGGGAAGGAAGTGATTCAGTTATCCAATATTGAACCTCATTTGAAAGGAAAATAAGAGAAATAAACCTGTACCACAACTTTCTGGTAGTGCTGGGATAATCTCTGTCTTTTGTTGGCAGGAGGCAGTCATTAAGAGACACAAGTTCTCATAAATCTTTCCATCAGAACCACAGAGAGGTTCTTCTTCATTGCCACAGCCTGGGTGGCTACCTTCACCAGGGCAGACGCAAGTGATGTTTCCACCAATGACATCACACTTGCCATAGAAGTCACACTTTACTGAAGCACATGGATCCACTAAAAGATAAAAAGATTTAATTTTTTCTCTGTTTCTATAGAGAATGCACAAAATAAATTGAAAATTAACTATACTCAGGCCGAATCTAGACCATAAAACTGATACCCATGGTATATTTCCCTTTCTCTCCTAGCAAAGGTGAATTACTGCGATCTGTCTCACAGTAGATTAAGATGCAAATCTAAAGTTATCCTGGCATGAACTGTGAATTAAATTATGTTTCATCTAATAAAACCCTCTTCTTCCTCTCCCTATTACTTACAGTAAAACACAAAACTATATTAACTAAAACTAGTAACAGTTGTCACAAACACTGCCCCCTCCCTTTTTTCAACACTAAAATTTGTATCTTAAACCTTTTTTCAGAGCAGAGTTTATATGAAGCATTGTTGGAGAAAAAAAGAATTTGAGTTCAGGTTCAAACCAAATGCTACTGTAAATCGTTTCCATTGTTTACAATATAATGTAAAACACATGCCATAGGGACAGTTAAAATCATGGGCTGCTTGATTTGATTCAATTATCATTTGTCACCTACTCTATCAATTATACGTCATTTCTTATTTCTCCCTATACAAGGGGACTCTATAGTGCCTCCTTGGGTATCAGCCTTTGGGCCAGAACCCTGCAGAGGCTATAAATAAATTCACCTTTCCACTGACCTACTTCACATTCACCCTTGTAATCAACAGTGACATTCTTCTTTTCCGCACAAGCTTCAGCCTTCAGAATGCACTCATTATCGTAGGTTTTGCCATTTGTTCCACAAACTGGATCATAAATCTTTATGCAGGCAATATTGCATTTGCATTCTACTGACTTGTGGTCCTTGGTGGGAACACACTGTCCATAATATGGGCATGAGGTGAACTGACATGGATCTGGAAACATCAAATGTTAGAAATGAACAACACTTTGACAGTGTGAATACATGTCAAATAAATTGAGTTCAAAAGCTTAAACACAACACTGGATCTGAACATATCAAATGTGTTTCTTTTACATGTAGTTCCACAGCTGAACTGGAGTTCAGGTCACAAGGTCAAATTGTATGGCTTATGATCACTGTATACCGTAGTTATTCGATTATAAGGCGCACTTGGCTATAAGACGCACCCCCAATTCAGCAACTTCATTATTGCATGTTTTCAAACTGAAAATATCACTAAAATACTAAAATACTTGGTTATAGTTTTTGGTGAGTAAAGATTGGTCAAGTTTATTGTAAATTCTTTCATAAACTTACAAAAAAGCGAAAAAGTCGTGTATTTATTTTAGTTTACCGCTAATTAACAAAAGCAGAATTGTTGCACACGCGACCATGCGCACAAACAAAAGCCTTGATAAAACAAAAATTAACGTACTGCCAGTAATCTTCTTGAGCACAGGGCTCTTCTCTTACATTCAAAAATGGGCACTGCAATATGTCTGTAGAATCTGATTAAATGTTTTGGGTAGGGGGGAGTGACCCAAAATACCCTTGATCTCTCCAGTAGCAGATAAAAGACATGCAAGAGCCACCTGGCATGAGTGGTATACTTAACAGTGTATGTGCAAACTGATGTCTACAAATATCTCTATAATTCTTCCAGAAGTTAGATGTACATGCACTCACAAATACTTGTTTCCTTTTTACCTGGAAGAGTGCAGTTGGGTTTTCCTCTGGTTCGTGTTCCAAGCTGTTCCTTGCCATAACTGTCTACACACCAACAGTAACCCGTGGAAAAGTGACACTGCATTTCTTGAAATCCACCACTTTTCTTGCATGATGGAACAAAGCGGCCCAATTGTGGGAACAGAAAAGACTCTTCAAATCTTTGCTGACAAGTAGACAGACCTTTCAAAAATGATGAGAGAGGGTTATTTGAGTAGATTTTCTTGGCTTTGATATAACACCAGATGATTCAAGCCTTCAAGTTGTGACTACTAATGACCCCAATTTCCATGGTGGCTCATATCTAATAGGTATAAGCAACCAGATTGGGACCAAAAAGGCTGAAACATCAGCAATCAAAGGAAAATTGGTTTATAAACAAAAAAATTTTAAAAATTTACATGGAAGTTTTGAAAATGTAACTCACTCTTACTAAATCAAATTAGTCAGAAATATGCCCTAATTTGTCATCCTGTGAGTACAATGATGAAGAGGAAATGTTACCAACCAGGATTAACACAGTCCTTTTGGCAGCCATTGAAGCAACAGAGCTCACTTCCTTTGCAATCAGTATCTTTCGCACACATATCCCCACGGCGATCACACAGCCCTTCTTTACCCAGCCAAGGTTTGGGACATTGGCCAGGTTTTGTGTCTGCTTTCTTGTGAACCTCTGATGTATTCACACACATCTGCTGGCAGCCACTGAAGCAACATTTCTGATTTCCAGGACAGTGAAAGTCCATTCCACATTCATCACCCATTTTGTCACAGAAACCTGTAAGCCCCTTCCACGGCGTAGGACAAGTTCCTTCCTTTCCATTCATCTTAGTATTTGCTGAAAAAATAGGAAAACATATCCACATCATCCCCAATGGCTGGGTATATGCAGGGTCTATGAGATACTGTACTGTGCTTTACATTTCACTTTCCTGTAAGGGGAGAAATACTTCCAACAGATGTAGGTGCATACTATGGTTTAAGAACATTTCTGATTTACCGTTGCCTGATTACAAGTGGGCAATTGCAAACAGAAATTGGTGCTTAATGCATTTTTAAATTCATTTGATATATATTGTAAGTCCCCATACTTCACAAAACTGTTACCAGTAAAAACCTCAAGGACTCATATCGTACATCATCACATGCAAGAGTTTACATTGTTTAGTTGTTACAACAAAAGTAAAGTGCAATTTGAACTCTGCCTAACTCAATTCTTGCACAATCTTTAGATAACCTGTGTAGGTAAACAGCAAAAAAAATCTTGTGAAAGTCTACAAAAATATTTTAAAATTATGATAAAATAACTGAAAGCATATATTTTCTGTAACTGCCATGCTTAACCTCTCTCATAATAATGTGGTGACCCTGTGCTCAACCATGAATTGTGATTTCAGATCTGAAGTTTTTTTCTGGATGATCCAGCTACATACATAGCTGTGAACCCCTATTTGAAACCTTTTGAAGCTGTTGTTGCCAGATTAAAAACTGAAGACAGCAATTCACAAAGGGGCACTTCAGCTCTCCAATATCTTACCTGAAATTGTACAATTTGGTTCTCCTCTCACTCTAGTACCATCCACTTCATTGCCAAGACTGTCAACACACCAGCAGAACCCAATAGATCCATGACACTGGACTTCCTCATAATCACCATTTGGTTTACAGGAAGTTATGAATGCCCCTATTAAGGGGACACCCCCTTGGTTCCTTGAGAGCTCTCTCTCCTTCTGTCTTGTGCAGGGTTTGGTACCAACTGAAATCAAGAAATTCCAAACAGCTGATCACAATGCAGTTCAGGTATATATTTCAAATTAAGTGTTTGGGTGCATTCCCTTGGTGTGATCAGGATAAGAATAATTATGATGTACTGCACTCCTTTAGTGGGAATCCATTTTAAGATCACTGATTCATTGAATCCACCCTGGACATGGATTACTTGGATCACTGATCTGCTGTATTCCATTGGCATGGGATTTGAATTTCATCACTCTGCACAACATTTCTTTCCCACTCTCAAGCATACTGAAATTTCATGCTTACTGTCATGAAACTGATACTAGGCCCAAACCCCAATCCCTTTGTGCACTGCAATCCAAGTGATCTCTGATAAATGATCCTGATCTGGATTATCCTGAACAATGCACCCTTTGAAGCTGTTACCACCATAGCATAGGGTCACAAATAAAACTAGAGCAATTTTATGAAAGTGCCCTGCAATTCTCTGACATCATACCTGAAGTGGTACAATTTGGTTCTCCTCTGATTCGAGTACCTTCCAGTTCATTGCCAAGCTTGTCTACGCACCAGCAAAACCCAGTAGATCCATGACACTGTACCTCCTCATAATCACCATTTAGTTTACAGGAAGGTATGAATGCTCCTATTGGGAAGCGTCCTCCATGGGTTTTTGAGATCTCTCTCTTCCTGTGCCTTGCACAGAGTTTGATACCAACTGAAATGAAGGAATTCCAAATTATTGATCAACAAATTTGATAAGTTAAAATTTTTTCAATTCTTCTTATAAGCACCTAGGGAAATGTATAAAGAACAATAAAGAAGATATGCAAACAGATGTATCTTTGTCCTGCTCACCACATTTCTTCATTTCTTTCTTTGTTCTTCTATTTTAGTGAAATTCATACCTGGAGATGTGCAGAAATTCTGACATCCATTAAAGCAACACCTGTGGTCTCCATCACAATCAGAATCATGCTGGCACATGTCAGGAAGCAAGTCACAAACCCCCTCTTGACCCAACCAAGGTCTAGGACATGTTCCAGGTTTTGCTGTTGAGTGAAATATAGAATTTTATTTTAGTTCTAGTCTAAAAAATTTCAGGGTGAATAGTTACACAGCTGTTGGGTTAAGTCAGACCTCCCAAGCAAGGTTTCAGCCTGAAAGCCATCTAACCATTCCCAGGACAGTCACAATTTGGCAACACTTGATGTTAATGCTACCTTAAATTTCACTGATTAATTGAAGGCTCCATTTCAAAAGAAAATTGTGCTATATCTGCCAACTTTCGCCCTGTGGTTGCAAGCCTCTTACCAACAGATTAACCCTTTAGATGTCAGTCACCAACTAGTGCACACTGATCACTTTCTGAACCCTAACAGGAAAAACTCATACTATACATGTACAGAGAAAAAATATATCATCTAAAATAAACTCAAATACTTCTACCAAAACCTTTCATGGTGGGAGGGAGGCAATGAAAACTAGATTTTTTTGGGAACTTCTAGGAAAATTCACCAGCTTGTTTTGACACAATTGGCTCTTCTTCAAAAATGCTAGCAATTAGAAGATTAAATTCTCCAACAAATTGATTTGATAAGCACAGGTATGTAATAATATATTTTAGGTAGTTTGTGTTCTTACCACGTTTGGAACAGACAGCTGTGCCTTGTACCTCTGTACCTGGTATTTTTTCTCCATCCTTGTCCACACACCAGCAGTACAATTCATGACACTGCTGGTCCTCATAATCACCATCAGGCTTACACCGTGGAACAAAAACACCAAGGAGAGGGGGGTCCAATGCTAACTTGTCCAAAGCAGATTGCATTTCCTCTTGGCACTTTGTAAGATTTTCTATTTAAAAATACAGATCAATTATGAAAAGTAACAGCTAGGGGGAATGGCAGGGTGACTGCTTAACCCTTTACACTCTAACATCAGTATGCATATTCTCCACACTGTTCTTTATACATTTCCTAAGGTGCTGACAAGGAGAATTTGTTTGCCAATCAAAAGGGTCCTTCCCTGGTGACCATTTCCTTTATTCTCACGACCTTAATGCATGATTTGGGAGTGATATTGTAGGGAGAAATTAGATTTTAGTCATTCTTAGAGCTAAATGGGTTAATGCATGCAGTTTGACTGTTTCCACAGAATAGGGGTATTGTAAAAGATGGTAAAAGACCCCTTTTTATGCCATACATTTTGTAATTGACCACTTTATGTTCAAAATCTTGCTCAAATATACTACTACCATTGATCTGCAGGAATATGGATTAAATACTGTATACTTGAGAGCTTGTTCTTAGTTGGTTCTGCTTTACATGACCTTTCAAGACAGGCAGAAGACGATAGAAACAGGCCACTGGGACTCAGTACATGGTGACTACCACTGCATAATAGAGGTGACTGCTTAATAGAGGTAAAAATTACTGACAGTGTTTAAGGGGAAATGATTTAGGGACTTTGATAACTGACTGCTTAACACATGGCAACCACTTAAAATGAAGTTCTGCTTTGCCCTTTAATTCCCAAAATCTGACTATTAATTTGCCCCTATAGCTGCTACACATTCCTTGTGGATTAGTGATGAGGATTTGGCATTAGATCAAGATAACAACTTCTACCTGATACAATTGTGTATACTCACTACTTTTTTGCTGGCAAAAGTATTGATATTGTAGGGAGAAGTTAAATTTGCATCACTTCTGGGAGTTAAAGGGTTAATACAGATTTAACTGTATATAGAACAAGGATGTTTGATTACAAGTTATACATACAATCACTGTAAGTTGAACATCCTGATAATTTTTTAACCCTTTAACTCCCAGTAGTGATTAACATGAATCTTCTCCCAGTAATATCCATACATTATTCAGCAAACAGGTGATGAGAATATTCAAACTTATCAGGTAGAAGCTGCTATCTAGATCTTACACCAAGTTCTCAACTAATTTACAAGGAAATCTGTAGCTGCTAGAGGGGAGAATTAACAATCAGATCTTGGAAGCTAAAGGGTTAACCCTTTTACTCTTACAAATGACAAAGAGGAAATTTACATATCCTTACAATATTTGTACATTTTTAAGCAGAAAGGTGATACAGATAAAATATCTTCTATTCAAAAACCACATTTACAGAGCTAAATTATAGCAGATGTTTAACTACTTAAATGAAAGCAGTCAAACTACACATCACATAACAAAACATGTCTTGAGTGAAAAATCACTGAGACAAAATCACACAATCTAGTTCAAGAGGGTTGCATTAATCACAAAGCCAAGTAAAGCAAAACTAATACAAACAAAACTTACCTGTGATTTACTTTGGGAGTCAACTTACAGGAAAGTATAATAATGAAAGTAACTGGATACCCTCACCTGGTTTGACACAATCCCTCTGACAGCCATTGTGACAGCATTTGCTTCCAGAACTACAGTCGATATCTTCCCTGCACACATCTCCCTTTCTGTCACATGGTTGCTGTTTCCATGGAATTGGACACTGACCAGGCTTCCCTGAAGATTTCTTGCCAGTGCCAGGTTTAACACAATCCCTCTGGCAGCCATTGAAGCAGCACTTTTCAGAAGTATCGCAATCAACATCTACATTGCACATGTCTCCACGACGATCACAAATGCCATCTTTCCCTTTCCAAGGGCTTGGACACTCACCAGGTTTATCCAAAGGTACAGGCTCAATGCAATCTTTCTGGCACCCATTAAAACAGCACCTTTGCAGTCCACTGCAATCATCATCACCAGAGCACATGTCCCCCCGTCGGTCACAGATACCATCAAGTCCCTTCCATGGTTTAGGACACTGACCATCCTTTATGGTAGTAGGAAGTTCAATTGGAGGTGTTACACACTCCTTTATGCAGCCAGTTGCACAGCATTTGTCCTTCCCTTTACAATCACTATCTTCACTGCAGTTATCGTTTGTTCCTTCACAAGTCTTGGGGTCAATATAATCCACAGTTGGGCACTGACCAGGTTTCTCTAGGATGGGAGGGGTTACGCACTCCTTTATACAGCCTGTTGCACAACATTTGTCCTTCCCTTTACAATCACTATCTACACTGCACTGATCTGTTGTTTCTTCACAAGCTTCAGGATCAATATAATCCACAGTTGGGCACTGACCACGCTTCTCTATGATGGGAGGGGTTATACAATCCAGATTACATCCTGTTGCACAACACTTATCCCTTCCTTTACAATCCTGGTCGTTTTTACAGTTGTCTTCTGTAACCTCGCACAGTTCAGGTGGTATATAATCATTCAGGGGACACTCCCCTGGCTTTGGACGAGGCTTTGGTGTCACAGAACACTCCTTATTACACCCATTAAAGCAACATTTCAAATGACCAAAGCAATCACCATCAACATCACATTCATTTTTTGTACTTTTGCACAGCTTTGGATCAATTATGTCGTTTTGAGGGCACACACCAGGTTTTAAGACACGCACAGATTCTGGCATGGCACAGTCTTTCTGGCAGCCATTGTCACAACACTTCCGACTTGCTGGACAATCAGCATCCTTGTCACACATGTCTCCCATCTTATTACAGACAGTCCCATTCTTTTTGTCTACTTTGGGACACTGACCTGGTTTGACTTCACTCAATGGTGGAGCACATGAATGACTACAGCCATCAAAGCAACACTTGTCATCGCCCTTACACTCTTGATCAGTTTCACAAGTATCCTGTCCCAGAGGACAAAACCTAAGAATACTCCTACGCCATGGACAGCGGCCAGGTTTATCTATAAAAAAAATAATGGCACACAAAAAAAGACAAAAACATAAGCAATTGTCTTTCTTGTGGTGAGAGTAAGTATTTTGACACAATTACAAATTTTTGACTTGCAAAGCAGAAAATCTTCTTAGCTAGTGAGGTTTAAATAGTTAGTCTGTGCCAACCAACCAAGTGTAGGTTACCAATTAAGTTTCATTTTGAAAAGAACAATGAATCAAATCAATAATTGAGCAACTACCTACCTTGAACAGCTGCATCAGATGCTGAAAAAAAGAAAAGGGACAACAACAGTAAAATACGATAAATTCTCAAGATATGTACCAACAAACTAATTAAAAACTGCACTTTTTTCAAAGAAAACCACAGAAATTGTGAGTCTAAGCAACTTCAAAAAACTCCTCTGACCTAAACACAGGTCAAACTTTAAGTCTAAGGAAACAATCACCTAAAGTCTCTAGAGACAAAACTAACTAATTTCCTTTCCTTGAAAATTCCTTGAGTTAAATGAAACATTTAAGGTTTGTACAGAGCTCCACATCAATCATGCACCAAATAATAAATCATACCAACTACAATTGAAGAGCTACTGTTGTAAATGCTATTTATCATAATACTTAATCAAAGACCAAAGCACATGTATGGCTAATTTACCAGGCTGGCATTTCTTCTGGCACAGTTCTATAGTGTGAAAGTTGTTACTGTTTCCTTCACAGCCTCCATAAATAAACTTCTCGCACTGCCCTGATGTGTCATTAAAGAAGTATCTGGGGAAATATCCTTTGCAGAACCCAACATCTGGCTGTAATTTGCAAACAAAATCCGCTAAAAGGAAAATTATTTAAAGAAATAAAGCAGAGGTCAGTGACATAGGCATACTTGTAAGTGAGAAAAAAATAGTAAATGTTTTAAACCTTAAAACCTTCCTGTCAACATTTCGGATCCACTATAACATGGCTATTGAATTTTAATATGGTACATGTAACTATATAACACATTCATCCAGAATTCCATGACTAACATAATGCCTGCTGCTATGATTTGAATGTCAACATCATTCTTCTACAACTTGATAATTAACAAACTTTCAAAAGCGTCAAATACACTGTACAGTGATTCAAGACACAATTCATTACTACCATTATCATCACATAATGATCATAACTGTATGCTTTTTTCCAGCCAGATTCTTCTCTTAATCTTTGTTAAATAATATTTTTCTGACTTAAGCATTCTCATCAGTTTCGTATAAATTGCATATTGTAACTGCAGCTGCAAATAATTAACCCTTTAACTCCCATGAGTGACCAAGACAGAATTTCTCCTCACAATATCAGTACATTATCAACCAAAAAAGTGATGAGAATAAAGAAAAATATCAACTTGGGGATAATTAGTTGATCCACTACTAAATTCTCTGAATTAACATTATAAAAATTGTGTAGTTGACAGTAAGGAGAATTACAAATTGGATGTGGGAGGTAAAGGTTTAACCACATGTTTATTTCCCTAAAACTCAACTTACCTAAACAAGACTTCTTACAATCCTCCTCGGTGTTAAAGTTGTTGGCATTACCATTACATCCACCATAAATGAAAGATTCACATTTTTTAGTTTTGCTGTTATAAAACCATCTGGGAAAATAGGCCATACAAATACCAGGCAGCTTAGGAAGAGCACAGACATCCCCAGCTGAAAGAAAAGTTGTGTTTTCAAGGTCAATTTATGTGAATTTGTTCCCATTATAGACACTATTGATAAATTAATATCATAAAAGGTTTTGTTACCAGCATGGGAGCACTTTCGCAAACATTCAGCTTTGGTCTTAAAATTGTTTTTATTGCCACCAATTCCACTGTACAGGAAAGAAACACACATCAAGGACTCCATGCTGTCAAAATACCATCGAGTACTGAACTTGGATGGATCAGTCCCTGTACCAATAAGTTTTTCCAAATTGCAAACTTGATTTGGCGCCACAGCAGTCTCCTTTGTCTTGGGATCTGTAATAAATGCAGGCAGCAGTGATGTAAAGTAATAAAAAAATTCCTTTCAGTCTGAACACGAACTCAACTGACTGACCAATTGACTGACTGACTGGCTGGCCGACAGACCAACCACTGACTGACTGACTAACTAATCACCTGACTGATTGACTAACTGACTGACCCACTGACTTTAACCTGACAGACTCAATAACTACTTGACTGATTATCTGACTTACTGACTGACCAATCAACTGACTGGCTGGCTGACTGAATGACTAACTGAATGACTGCATGACTACCTGATTGGCCGACTGACTGACCAATTAACTGACTGACCGTTTGAGTAAATAAGTGCCTAAATGACTGACAGCATGATTGACTAATCAGTTAATTAAATAGGCCTCATTATAAAGACACTTCTGCCTAAATCAACAAAATTTCAGTTAATTTCACCAACAATATTTCTTTTAAGAACTAATTACCAGACACTCACACTGGTAACATTTGGCAATTGATTCACACATTAATTCCTGAGTGATTGGTATATTGACTGACTGACTGACTGGCTGTCTTTATTCAAAATAAAGATGATGGGAAGGCCAGGAGACAAATTTGGTCTGTAATCATAGAAGAAATAAACAAAATCTGACAACCACAAAGACAGAGTCTAATTTCTTAATTACCAGACAGTATGATTCATAAATAAAATTGGGATATTTAGTAATGTCTAATTACACATGACCTGCATGATCACCTTTGGAAATTGTGCCATAGTTTGATTAACTGGTTAGTTTTTTCAGTAGCAGATATTTGAAGCATCATCTAATTACAAAAAAAATCAACTTACCCAAGACAACAACAGTTATTGGAACCACTACACGCATTGATCCTGAATATGCGCGGCACTCATATCTCCCGGCATCTTTCAACTGGACTCGGCGGAAAAGAAGTTTATTGAAATTGAGAGGTACAACTCTACCGTATGGCAGACTTCTTAGGCCAACTTTGCGCCACAAGTATTGGGCAGCATTTCCAATGATTTTGCATTCAATTTTGCCAGGCTTCCCAGCATAGAGAGTTTGAGAAGACTGATGTTGTGGGCTGATTTTCAAAGGGATCTCTGAAGAAGAAAAAGAACAAGCAAAAGACAATAATAATTGATTATTCACAATATGATAACCTGGGTAAGAACTTGCATCTAATTTGTTTTTTCTAGGGATAGGTTTCCAAGCTCAAGTCTCCCATGGCAACCTGAAATCATGAACTGGTCAAGAGAGATGATTGCTGATAAATATAATTGAACTTGGATTTGACCTCTGGTAAACCCACAAGACCATTCTGCTTTGACTTCAATGAAATTGTAAACATGACCCTGAAAGTAGGGGCTTGCAGCTGACAGTCATGTGGCAAGTTAAACTTTCTTGTAAATTAGTTTTTATGACCTGAAGTCAAAATGAGATAATTTATTAAAGTATTACGCACTCATGGTTTGTTTTAAACAAGTGGGGAGAGTCAGGAGTCCATATTTCTAGGCTAGACCCTACCTGATAAACTATCAGGGAAGTCTCTGGCATCCCACCAGGGAGGGAGGTGGGGGGGAGTAACAACACTCCTTGTTACTAAATGGTCCATCTAAATGGTGCACTTGGCACTGGTGCAGGATTTCCTTTTATTTAACTACACATTACTTATTATCAAGAGCACTCAACTCACCTCCGCATTTACCAACAGAAACCACTGTAATGTTTATGCTAAGCTTACAGGATGTCATATCTAGTTGACAGCGATTTCGGTAAGTGATACCATCGGACCCACAGACTCTTTTATTGTCTGACCCTGGGCAAGAATCTTTACATTTACAAACAGCTTTGTTATTTTTGTCAACAGAACAAACTTGTCCCTGACCAGTGCATTTCTTTTCATTGCACAGGTCACCTAAAAATTAAAGACAAAGCACATTATACTTAAGTCATGATAAATCTTGGTCAACCCTTTCACTCCCAAGATCTCATTAGTAATTCTCCTTACTGTCTACTATACAATTCTTATGATGTTGGTTTGGAGAGTTTGGTATCAGATCAACCAAAGATTCCCTAATTTCTTTATTCTTATCACTTGTCTTCTTGATTTTATATTTATAATGTAATTTGCATAAATTTTTTGTGGTTGCCCATGGAATTAAAGGATTAAATAAATAATTGGACTTACACTGAAAATGGAAAGTTATGATTTGGTCGTTTGTAAACCAAAAAATGGAAATTTCTATTAATTTTGCAAATTGATACCACCAAAACCACAAAGCATAACCTTTTAACTCTCAAAAATGACCAATATGTAATTTCTCCTAACAGCCTCTGTAGGAAATCTGATAGAAAGGTAAAGAGAATTAAGATAGAAAACGTTGCTTAAGGTTATACTAAATCACACGAAATCTATAATGGTAAGGAGAATTGATAAAAAGATCTAGGGAGCGAAATCACTGAAAGGGTTACGCTAACATTTGCTGAGTACTCATAGGTCAGAAACAATCGTAACCACTGCAAAATTAGAGGAATTGCGGTGCGTGTTTCATTATGGCCTAACGGAGGATCGAAATCGTGGCAAGGGGTAAACAGCGTAAAATCTTCGAGTAGGAGAAACAAAAATAAATTCGAGAACCCATTTACTTGTGAAATTGAAGTGCTTTGTTCTTCTGTAAACAGAAGTAAGAGGTGATGAAGGACGGCATGGAAAAAATAACAGGTCAAAGTAGAGGTCACGTCTGCAAGAAGCAGTCCCCCGAGTAAGATTTCTAAAAATACCATTAGAACCAATTGGAAAAACCCTTACGTAGACTTTCAACAACAACCACTGCATAAGTATTTGACTTATCAACAAGCGAAGTGTGATTATCAAGTTTAAAGCTAACTGAGATCAAACAGATTTTTTTGGTAGTTTTGTAACGTTATGATTAAAATTCGGCGCGCTCTTCGATAACTTTAACGCGTCAGATATTGTAGCAAAAAAACGGTTATTTCCTGGATTTGGTGAAGTTGAGCCAAGGAAAGAAAACTGAAAGCACTAGTGATGAATACGCTACAAAATAAAGTATCTAAAAATACTCCTGCAGAGAGAAGTTTCCGCTATCAGAAACCTGTGCAATGCAAGTCGCTCCCTCAAGATATCACTCTGTCAATTGACGGGCGTTTTCAACAGATCAACGACTCAAATTGACGACAAGGCAACTCACATACCTGAGCAACCCACCACAATGATGACTAACGCAAGCAAAGACCACAAATTTCGAGTCATCTTGTACGTAGTGGAACGCACTTCGACTCACATCCATTTACAGTTATCTCAGTTGAGTACAAGGCTTTTTATCATAAACCATCACATTTCCGATTGTCAATCACTTTGAACAGATCCCGCAGTTTAATTGGCTTATCCGGGATCTCCAGGTATTTTTTTTTTGCTGTGAAAAGTGCGGCGACGCCCTCTAATGAGTAGGAGGAAAAGTTGCGACATTTAAAAAAACAATTTTCTTTTCAACAACAACAAAAGTTTTAAAACGCACATCTTTTGTTCTGCTGTTTAGTGAGAGTCATCAGGAAAACACATTTAGAGGAGAAGGTATTTTAATTGTTTTTTAGATCAATATTGCAAAACAATAGATTTTCATGGCACAGGATATGACCCTAAAAATATTCACTCGTCGCTCCAGCACTGCATACTGTGAAAAACTTAACTGGAGGAAATATTTATAAAGGGGAGGCGAAACCGGAGAAAAATGAGAAGATTTCCAGGACATTCCGATGTTTCCCAACTCTTTGTCGTGCGAACACGATGGCGCTCTTCCGGAGCAAATTACGTCGTTAAAAAAAACATGTTTATTCTTGATTGCCATGGAAAGGCCAAAAAAACATGGAAGTAGGGTTCAAGTGCCAGGATATCTATCGCCGGGCGCTGATTACTGAAAATTCCTATACCGCGCAACAATTTTCCACCATTTTTAACTGCTAGAGAGCTTTTTATCTTATATTTTTACTTATTTATTTAAATTGTCGCGTCAAAAAGTGTCAAAACTCCCACGAGCAAAAGACAAAGAAGGAGGAGGGGCCTTAACAAGCGCCAGATTATTACATTAGCGAAGAAAGAGTCATGTAATGGAAGTAAGTGTTGTATTCCTCCTCAGACGTTATGCACTATGACTAAACATCAGACATATTTTAGACCTCAAACTTGAATTGTACCTTTCCAGTGTGGTAACTGCAGTTTCCGGCTTAAATTTTATCTTGTTTTAACTTTCCCTCATAGAGCTCGATCAAGGCGTTCGAGAATAGGAAGAACATTTTTTCTCGCGACGTCATCACAAGCGGACGAAGGCGAAAAAATATAGCAGACCGTTACTCGCCGAACCATGCGAGGTCAGCTTAGTTGGACCTACTAACAAACGAAACAAACGAAGCGAAAAAAACAAAAAGACCGAATTATTCTTGATTTATTAATTAAAATTCTATTTTTTTAAAAATAGATTTCCACATATTTTATTTTATATTTTGTATTTCACGCCTCACGTTGATTCATAAGGTCGGGACTAGTGTCCCAAATTGGTGTCCAAAGCGTTTAAGTGCCTAAAATTGGACACTAGCGTCTAATATCGGACACTAGTGCGTGTCTAAAATCAAACAGTAGTGTCTGACAATATCGGATAAAATTATCCAAACGCGGTCACTCTTACTTAAAATCGGACAGTACTGTTACATTTTGTACAATTTTGTCCGAAATCAGGCCCTAATGTTCATTACCGGACATTTATATCTAAAATCTGCCACTAAACCGTCAAACATTGGGCGCCATTGTCTAAATATCGGTAATGCAAAATGTAGGCAACTTAATCCCAGCAGGAAAGTTGGACCACTACTAAAGCGGGGATATCTTTAGGGGCCGAGTATCCCCGTATTAGTTTTAAGTTCTCCACAAAAGTGCTACCATAATCTTTCCCGCAGCCGTTTCTGGCATTATTACGCAACCTGTTCTCAGAGATGCATCCCCTTGGGTGGGTACTAGTGGAGAAGGGGGTGGGGGGTTTGGAGCGTTGAGTGACATACCAAATGAAGGATATCACGCAATGCTCCTCTAGAGGATGCTTCTAGATTTTTGGTGAACGCGTTGCGTAATAACCCAAGAATCGGCTGCGAGGAAGATTAGTTAGGGAGCACTTTCTGTAGAGATCTATACACTCAGCCCCGTTCAGCGAGGGTTCAGTTTTCCTGCAATAAACTCATTCGAAGAGACTTCTTAAGTTCTTCCTCTCTTTCCCATCCTGACACATGCGTATGTTGTAACTTAAAAACGTTTTGAAGACGGAGCAGAAAATCAAGAGGCTAAGAAATATGACAAAGAGGAGGAAAAAGAACCTGTATGGAACAAACGAATTTAAGCCACCGTATTTATTTTATTTTAAAGATGCCAGTCCTGCATGTTATAGTAAAGTAACATCTAGTAAACATAAGCATGCCCGAGTTATTTTTTTTGGTTGAGCGAAGACGGAACACTTTGTGTAACTTTCAAACGGACGAAAATATCGCATTACTTTACCTTGAGAGAATAAAAAATAACCACATTTATCTGAACTCACACAGGTATTTTGTGGTCTGTTGTCTTAATACTTCTGAGCAAAAATCAAACGCATCGGTGCCTCGCTTAATGTTCTTTCCCTCGCAGCTGTTGTTTGGTCTCCTCACACAATGCCATTTGTTATAAACCTAGACTTTTACTCAACAAAACGAGCACTGTGATTGGTTAATTTTTGGTCACGTGCCCTAATCAAATTCAAATATGTCATGATTGGGATACAATTGCGCAGATGTTGCCCGCGCGCCGAATACAACAGTATGTTTTCGCCATATGATTGTTTAAGGAAAATTTTAAATACATAACAAAGCACTTAATGTATGGTCGCGTGGGAAACAGTTTTGTTTTCCCAAGAGTCCAGATGTATCCCGAGACGAAGTGTATTAAGAGTCTAATATTCCCCGTTGGAGAGAGCGCGCGTGGAGTGTTGAGACCAAATAACGGTTGCGAAAGGGACTACGCGTACTCCTGTTCCTCTAACAGAGAGCATATCAAAATTATTTGTCAACAATAAGTTGCTTTAAAAGTATAATTCCAAGTAATTTTACCACGAAAAGCAACTAAAACTCTGTTGTATCTCTAATAGACCCCCAACCAAAGATACATTGCGATCTCAAGTGAAGATACATTGCACACGAGAAAGGATAATATTTCAAAGAGTGCTCCTTGATTGGTTATTGCCTATCTGGACTTTGCCCTCTGTGTGTGATGTGAATGCTGTGATATGATTGGTGCAAGATACATACCCTAATGCGGCAATCTGATTGGTGCGAGATACATACCCAAATGCGGCAATCTGATCGGTGCGGGCAACATACCACTCTACACGCTAACATAGAGTTACTTTTTTTAATAGAAAAAAACTAACTCAAAGAGGCACTCTGAGCTCGTTTATCTTTGGACGGATTTTCAAAGTATCATCTAACTTCAAAGCTCTCAGTCTGTGACCTGTAGTTATTCGTTGGTTGCAAAAGAGCTATTTGCAGGTCATGAAAGTGGCAAACTCTCTTTTGAATCGTTCCATAGGTAAGCTAGAAACATTCTCACGTACAAGTATTCGTATCTCCTCTTTGAATTGATCACAAAAGTTGGAGAGTTAACGAAATTCCAGAGATGGACGAAAACAGCGATTTCGTAGACCCTCGTAGACTTGTTATACCCACATGGTCGAGACAATTCCGGCAAAGATCCGTTTTATCACCACTTATTCGCTGCAACACGAATAGTTTGCATAAACATTTAAGAAAGAGATAAAATGTACGATGACCCATTTTTGCAGCACAAATTGTTGCTAACAACCACTTTGGCTTGTTTAAATGTCAAGCGTTCTGCGCCATAACAAAACCCTTGGGGTTAATTCCAGTTTTTTGGATAATCATGTACTCTGGGCAGTCTGTTCGACGGTAGTTCCATTTCTGGAAATTCGAATTAGTTCTGCAGCTAAGGAGTAAACAATTAATGTAGAGAAGAAATGTCTTTTAAACATCCATGGGCTCTATTTCTGCATCCCTTGACTTGGAGTGGCTCAACTCTCGACGAACTTCAGGGGTAATCTACGAAAGAGAAAGAATCTCAATGAGTTGAAAGCGATCAAACACAGGTCTTTCAATACATGTATGAGCATCGTTACTTCAGGAACATTACATTACTCTTTGCAGTGCTTCAAGCTTAAGGTTTTTCAAAGTTGCTATTTCGCTGGGGAATTCGAAAATGATTGCAAAAAATAAAATTTTAGAGGACAGTGCCGGCAATCGTATGTCATAAAACGAGGAGAACCGATGATATTCCATGCAAATGTATATCCTTTTTTAAGCGCAGATTATGAAAATTACTGAAAAAATTAAAAAGTTAACAAACCAGTTGTTTGCCGAACACAGATTTGGCGACTATCCCTAAAAATTTAGCTACCAACCGACCGAGGGCAGACCACGTTTAGTAAGAAATCAGGGATCAATATCAGTATCTGGGCGACTGCCCACCTACCCCTCCCCTAACCCAACATTGACTGTTAATGGGTTAGGGGAGGGGTGGGTGGGCAGTTGCCCAGATACTGATATTGATCCAAAACCAGGTCTAGTTCTGGCTAAAACTAAAAGGCCGAAAACAATCGGAGAAGGACAAAGAACAAAAAACACACTCGGTTTACCTGATCATGGACCTGTGATCTACATAATTCCATCAAAGCTTCTTTCTGTTCACTGGATACATCCTCTTTATACCTGCAACATATGCAACACCTTTTATTAATCTGTGGTGCGAGCGATAAATCCGTTTTAATCTTCTCTGTCCCAAACCATCCGCGCTCTTCTTTGATACATTCTTACATCTATGGTGATTTCTTCCCGGTCCACTAAAGCAAACCGTAGAGTATTTATTGAATTGAAAGCCGTCTCCGGATGGACACCGCAGATGGAAGCAGAATCACCCGTAGATACCGTTCTTGAATAAAAACTGCACTCAATTTGAACAATGCGGAGTTTAGAAAAGAATTATTAGAAACCAAATTTACTTCCAACCCTTAATCGGTAATCTAAACAATAATTACAATTTTATGTGTACAAATCACAAACCAGGCCATCGAGAATCTATCTTAGCAAAAGAGCAAGCCACGAGAGCTAAACAAAAATTATAGTACTTGCAAACGATTGATTGTAGCTGGCCAAATGATTTACCGTAACTGATGGATCTAACTGGTCTCAGTATCAAGAAATATGATGTGTAACGCTTAAATATTTCAAAACGCCGCGGCTTTTAATTGAGTATATACGGTATAGTAAGATTCAACGTCACGTAAAAAAAAGTCTTAAAAATAAATCCTTCTGAACCTCTTCAACGTGCGCCTAAGCTCCTCTACCCTCCCCACTCACAAGTTAAGAAAATCCACTGCGAGGACAGTTAGCAGTTAACGGAGTTCCACTGTTCCTAAAGGAGGTCTCCCATTGGTCGTCACAATTACGATCGACGACAAAGTAAAACATCAAGAGTAACACTAACGCTTTAAATACAACGTTCACAATCAGTTAAAAGCTTAACATAACGAAGAAAATTTTAATAATACACCAAAGTTACCTCTGAACAAATGTCAATAAACTTTGATGCCACAGGACTGGAAGAATACGCTTATCAGATAAGAACCTGGGTTGAAATGAAAATGTAATAAATTTAACTCCCTCTTATCAATGACGCAAAGCTAAGCAAGAGCTTAACAAGGTGAATGGGCTTTCCCTAAATGTATTTATTCCCCACGTGTATGAAAACGGTCGAATCAAAACATCCTGCTCTCCTTCCGCTGTTGTAGGATCCCTACGCTACACACCCTTTCTGCTGCCTCGTTTGAAGCCCTAGGGGTGAATCTCGGAGACATTTTGAAATTGTTATATTTTGCATTCTATATATGCCTCAAAGTTAAGCTATAGTAATCGTTTTGGGTGGAATCGGCTCTGCTAACGACCCACTAATATAAGACCTTATTAAGTTAATTTAAGTCCCCGACCGCAATACTCACCGTAAAAAGTGATAAACGACAGCATCAATCACTCTGTAGGGTAACGCGTATTTCTTGTCAAAAAAGTGCCGCAAAAAAATACTGTTTGCACCTAGCGAAAAAAGATAATCAAGCAAATCAGACCATGGATAACGTATCATTAAAACAGATGCACGTATAAAAATGTACAGTTCACTTCAACTTCGAATCGACTTCCGCCTTTTCCGAGGTTCGGTCTCCGATCTCTGAGAGAGGGAATTTGGAGGAAGAGCGCGGGCTCATTTCTTGAGAAGCGGCTGATCAAGCCTAACTTTAGACTGTCTTGAAACATGTGTGCGGGTGAACAAATTGTAAGGCTACACTCATTTAACCTTATTTATTATGAGAAATAAAAACAAACAGGAAGAAGAAAAGTTACCTGAATAATCCATTTCAGCAATTTTCAACATAGCAGCACTGGAGTGTAAAACTGGTATACTAGTCTTGGAGATCAAACTTCCTATGATGATTGCTTCTCGCAAGGTACATGTTCGTGACTGAAAAGCAAAAAAAAATATTTCAAAACGTCACCGTGGTTTGTTGCATTTCCCTCCTCCTCAGACTATCTGATGCATATCACTCAGAAGAACAATCTTGCTAAATTATTCTATCCAGTATCCTTCGCAGTAAACTTTTGGTCTTGTGTACTCTGCACCACTTGCGCCACTCTATTGCGTTTTTGAGGCAAGCACGGCCCGGGAGAGCGCGAGGAAAGCGCAAGGAATACGCGAGAGGTAAGATTTCTCCTCGCGTTTTTTTTTTTTTGGTGCGGCTAGACATGACAACTGCTGCAGAGGAGACTCTATGTTATCAAGCTGTATACTGAATTAATTCAAGCCACTTAAATTTAAAACAATCAGCAATTATCACCAGCCGCACAACCCCTGGCACATAATTCCTACAACCTGACGCACTTGATACCCAAGCCTCTGATGTGAAAAGTAACAATTGCAGAATACTGAAGTGTGTCTCTTTGTCTTTTGTGGGAATAATTTTTGTAGTTTGAGATGACTGAAATTTCTTCTGGGAACTAGTTTTTACGACTGCTAAGAATACAAAGTGACACTTTGTTTGCTTGCAAAATATTTCCTTCTCCATTTGCCTGAGAGTTCAATGGATTGAGGGATTACTGTTGTTGTTGTTTTTTTTCCAAGAGACATAATTTTGTGCAGATTAAAGGCTACAAACAAAATTCACAAAATTTACTTGACAAATGGTACAATGGATCACTCATTTCACCTCACACAGGGGTAATAAAATTCCTTTGAAGAAAGCAGCAGGTTTGAATAATGCCTTATTTAAAGCCTGGAAAAGACAGAGAGAAGGTTAATTGACATTGTATCAATGGTTAACTGATTAAAATATTCATATCAGATGTTCTTACCATGTACAAATGGTAGTTGAGTCGTTTGTACTCTGTAATGTCATCTCTCACTCTTGGTAATAACACTAAGTTGAAGAATCTAGCAGTAGAATGGACAAAATACATGTTCACTGTGATTCAAAACGATTTTTCTAATACAAATTGGCAACTATAATTGTTGAAAATCAATTTACAAAAAGCAAATTTTACTCCTAAATGATTAAAAAACAACAAGAAATCACCTCTTCCCTCAACTCCACCCAAAATCCCCCAATAAACAGAACACATATATGCATTCTAAAAGCTTGTGTAAAACATCATTCCTTTAACACAATGCTCTCTCAAACTTTTCAATAAGTTGTTGAGGCCCAAATGTGAAAAACTTGCATGTGCTTCATAACATGAAGCAGCACAAAAAAAAAACTTTAAATTAAATCATTGTTAGTATCTTCATGGCATTAAAACAAACCTCTGAGCCATCTTAACATTGAGATTTGACACAAATGTCCTTGTTGCTTGAAACATGGCTGCTGCAGTCCACCTCTCTGGTTCTGTTATATACAGCACCTGAACAGTGAACAGTATATGTACCTTAAAGTATCCTCAATTCTTTCAAGGTAGGGGTTTCATTAGAGAAAGGGGTAAGGCACCTGGTCAAATGAATGGCAGAGAAGAGGGCTAGGACTATGCTCTGAACATTAACCCTTTCACACCCAAGATCTCATTACTAATTCTCCTAAATGACTGCCACAATTCTTATGATTTTAGTTCTGAGAATTTGTTATTGGATCAACTAATAATCCCCTGATTGATATTTCTCTTTATTCTCATCACTTTTCTGCATGATATTGTATGGAAATTGTGGGGAGAAATTCTATCTTGGTCACTCATGGGAGTCAAAGGGTCAAATCCCTGTAGAGGCATTGAAAAATGAAATAATGTACTGGATCCTTGTTTTAAACTTACCTCCTCCCAATTCGAGAGAGATGGAATAACTTTAAAAGCCTTTGGCAACTTCCCAGATCGGTATTTAGCCAAGATTTGTCCAACACTATAAACACATCAAACATTAATTTACTTTAATTTGAAGTAATTCAGACTCTCCTTGTTTTTATAATAATCTCATTACTTTTGATTCTGAAAGAGGATTGACAACATTTAGATTTGGAAAATTTAGCTTCATAATATCAACCAAATCTTCTACTAATTTGTATGTTGAGATTTTTTCAAATGTCCAGGTTTTGGTTTTTTTTTTAACAACTGTTCAACTAAGTTAAAAAGAAAATTAGTAGTGGCATATATTTGTGTCAAGTGAAGATGGATCCTTCTTAAATTTCCACATAAAAGCACAGCTACATGCTCCTTAGTTACATACCCTTTGAAAACTTCAACAAGCCGCTCATCCATCTGTGGAGCTGTAGATCTTTCTGTGACAAAAATGAATAAAAAATAAAACCCAATTTTCAAGTAAGTTAAACCCATTATTTGATCCAATGAGCCTCTCAATCTCTGGAGTGATAAAAATGAATTTCTCCATCCATATATTTTCAGGTAGAAAGGTGATAAGAAGTGAGAAAATATCAGCAAGGGGATATAATTTAATTTCGCATTAAATCCCAAGTTATAAACTTTAAAGAAATATATTGCAGCCAGTGCAAAGAATTAATATCTAATCCTTCCTACATCTTGGGGAGTAATTATAATAATAAATAAAAAAACCCATGAGATGAGTCTTTCCTAGTAAATACTGCAGAAGATCTTCATCTCAAACCTGACATTTGACTTTCTATTTCTGTCTTCTTGTCTCGAATTTTTTCCATGATCACATCAGCCAGAGTTCTCCTAGCTGGTGTATCTTTTGACATAAATACTTCAAATGCTTGTTCATCTTCTTCATCAACTTCCTGTAAAGCACAGAGAAGAAAATCTCAGCTACTCAACAAGGATCACAGCAGAGCATTATACTTTACACACCTATCAGTTCAAAGCTCCAACATGAACTACTGTAACAAGCCAACTGGGAGCTGATCATTTTGTTGGTTGTTGGGTGTTTAAGCTTCAAATTGATCAACCTATTAGGAGGTGATGTATATCTATTCAACCTGATCATCTAGAGAAGACTAGTGGCATACAGTTGAAACATCAAGATCTACAGAAGTGACTGCTACATAAATGCAAATTATTGATCACCATAATCATAGAATCAAAAAGGGATAACAATAACTCACAATGTTTTCATAGAACTGTTCACTAGCAACTGATGCTGCATCATCTTCATCTGATTCCAACTCGTCTGCATCCAAATTTTGTAACTCAGGTGGACCTAGACGTGTTTGTGCTGTCTTTAATGATTTGTTTGAGCCAGAAGCCACACCAAACTCTGCTTCCAATTCATCTTGTTGCTTTCTTGCCTGTTCTAGAATTTTTCTTGATAGCTTTTCTTCAACAAACTGTTGACATACAAAAGACTATGGTTCATACATTAAAGACACATTTCAAATTAAATATTGTATAAAAAATCAATGTCAAAATTAATGTCAAAATCAATAACATCACAAAACATAGGGAAGAAGACTGTTAAAGGCTCACAGTCACTAAAGATAAGTTTAAATGTGAGCACACGAAAAATGGTACTTTTAAAAAAAGCAGAAGCCCGAAGAAAAATGCAAGACAGCTGTTTCTAAAACATGCCCAAATCCCGTGTCTGCTTGCTTGCTAGTTTTGCTCCCTCTTTCACTTGAGTCCACCAACATGCTCAAGGAGCCTTGCACGGGCTGACGATAGACAAATTCAAACCAAAAACGTCTCGGTAATGCTCATATCAACTGCGGATATGGGTGTAATTAAAAAAAAAACCTCAGGCCAACCTTAAGAAAAAGTGAGAATACCACGATTTCTAGGTATTGTTGATACAAATTCATTCTCGCTGATACGTACAAATAATTATACAGTATAGCACACAACAAACACGAGGGCCTTACTTAGTGTAAACAATTTTATGTCCTTCTGGAAATGCTACTTAAAAGTGCAGTCAAAAAATCTTCCACCTATACGCTAAATAGTCAAAGTTGACGGTGCTTTCACTGAAAGGAGAACCGAATTTCACAATCAATCCAAACATATCTGATCTTACCGTGTCTTCCGATTCTCCCTGTCTATCCTTTCGTTGTTTCGTTCTTCCTGAAGGTCTAACACTTTTTGATTCAAGGATATCTTCTGTCAAGCCGGTCGAACGTTTTTTACCCTTCTTGTCTTTCCCCATAATGACAACTTCGAAATTAACTTCGAATTCCGTTTGGGGTTCAAGAATTGCCACATAATTCGGCTGCCATGTTGGTATAGCTCCCACGTGGGTGAACTGAAAACAATCCAGCGGTCTACTGCACTGTCATTTCCAGAGGTCCGCAATGCATACAAAAGTTAATATGTTCATTTGCGACGTACTCTTTATCTCAAGATACACATGCTTTAATTTTGGGACTGTTCTTCCTTCAAACACGCGAAGCCAAATAGGAGATAGAGATTAGTTTTGTCACTCTGCCGAGATGGCAACTTTACATTTCTTCAAGTTCTCACAACCACCAAAATCCTTTTACATATTTACTTGGGCTTTCCAAGGGAAACGCCGGAGTTGAAATTCCGGCTTTTTTTTTCCGTTCGGTCGCAAATCGCAGTCATCATCACGCATGCGTAACTTCTTTAGTCTGACGGATGCGCGACGGTTTCTCTAATGAGCACACAGGATGGAGTAATGACCGACGAAGGGAAGCTTTCGCGGTGTAAAATCAGCAGACACTGTGTATAGGACGCTCAAAACGCATACAAAATATGCTGATATCGTTTGCGGTAGACCACTCTAAAAGATATCGAGTCGGTCCGTGAACTTTATGAGGTATCTCTTTATGAGCGAACATTTATGAGTGGACCTTTCATCTAGAAACATGCTATATCAGCTGAGCTACCTAATGTTAGGTAATTAGTGTTAACAACTGGGTTGAAAACGTAAATTAGCCACCGTAAAGGGTAAAAAAGCTGACGTTTCGAGCGTTAGCCCTTCGTCAGAGCGATTGGTACCTAATGTTAATCGAGCGAAGCATAGACGCAAATCTCATCGTGTATGTAGACATTATCGTGAACCAAGCAGAATACCGATACGAAGTTTGAAAAGGTTAAGGAACAAGAGAAGAAAGGTTAGAAAATTTTGTCTATGCAATTTGCCTCCCATCTATCCCCATGTCATCTACATTATCCTGTTATGTTAACGCTAAAAAACTATTAAATAAAAAGACATTTAAGTTTAACTGTCGTGAAAGAATTCGTCAATGTATATGAAAGGTAAAATATCGTGCCAGTCGATATTTAAAATTGTTTTCTTGTAACAAACTGATGTGTTCTTGCAAGAATGAAGCTCGTGTAGCAAATTATTGCAATTTTAAATTAAGTAGAGACAGAAAAAAATCCTGGTCCTCCAACATATGTTGACCCTGACAAAACAATAGTAGCTTTCTATAGTCGAGGTAACGAGTCAGTTTTTGAACAGAATGCAGGAAAACAATGTGTTGCAATGAGATTGTGTTCTTTGATTTACAGACACAAGGGATCAGCTCTGCAAATGATCTTATACAAATAATGAATGTTGGAAATCAGCTTTATTCAACTTTGTCATGATTAGCCAGACAGGCATATTTAATGCAGTCAGAATTACCAATAGCATTAAATGTGTTTGATACTGATTATCAAATGGAATACTGTGAGAGCTACTCTGGTACTGTTCACCAAGAAATTGCTATAGAGGGGTATCAGTACTGTACATTTTTACCAAGAGCCTTTGAGTCACACATATTTGAAAGCTACACCAATTTCATATTTACAGTAGGGTGTATTACTGCAATAGTAATATGGGGTTCAAAATATTTGATTCTCATGTAAGAGATTTGTATGGTAGGGGCAGCCTCAAGGTACATGTGTTCTTCTTGAAGTACTGTCTCTTGATATTTTAGTGCATTATTATCAGAATATACATAACAATGATATATTTGAAGTAAGAGGAGTACAAATTGAGAATATTCAAAATAGGATAGTTTCTCAAAACAGGCTGAATGAAACCATAAACTTTAATCTAAGTTGTGCTGTAGCTCTACACTCTCTTCGCTACTCTATAATGAAATCATGTAATTACTGGAATTACAACTCATCTTTACCCACCATTGTTAACAAAGGCAAAAAGATATGTCGTAAATCAAGTTTGGAATGCAACAAGTAATCACCAGCTAATCTTCCAAGAACTGTAGATGTTTGTGAAACTGAAGTAAATTTGGATAATTTGTTTGAGAGTGAAGGACTATTAACTGATTCACTTCAAAGCAAGCCAATTCTTGAGAATGAAATAATACATAATAGTGAATGTACAGGGTTTTTGATATCATTTTGTTCATACTGCATCAGTTGTACCTTTAAACCCACAAAAAGATCAAAATATATGTATCCCCCCTGCTTTATAATGAAAGACACATGTCCCCTATTCAGTACACTAAAAACATAAATGGAATGGCTTCACTTGTTGATGCCATTAGAAAAATACTAAAGAAATATGATACTCTAGGGCAATACAGAATACTGTTTGCTACATGTTCATGTAAAGTAGTTGATAGAGAGGAAAGAAAAAAATTGATGATTAAACATAGGAAAAAAACAATAATATAAAGCAATGGAAACAGCAGAGAAAAAAATATTCTTGGAGAAAAAACAATTAAGGGATATGAAAAATAAACAGGAAATACAGAATAAACTGTCCCAAAAATACAAAACAATGGATACTGGGTAATCAGTATCTTCAGGATGCACTAGCCATGACTGAGTGCCTTGAATATCACCCTCTGTTTGTGAAGCAGTTCTGAATCTATTTAATAACTCTGTGAATGGTTGGTCATCCTTTTGTCAACTCTATCATCTTGAAAAATATGTGTCTAGTTGGTAGTAGTTCCCACTTAAGCAAAGTTGGGTCCATCCTTATTTCTGCTGATGATATCCCTCTTGATAATGTAAATTCTTATACGTACTTAGCTATTGTGATTAATAACTGGTTTTCCTGGACTGACCACTTCGATTATATTCGTATATATTATTTGTGGTAAGATCAGTAAAAAGTTCAAGGCATATTAAATCTCGCCTTCCCCTCAATACTAGAATAATGTTTTTATTAGTTTCATTTTACCTCTTTTTGACTATGGGGATATCATGTGAGGAGATCACGGAAATGCCTCCTTAATGTCTGAGCTACAAGTGTTACAGAATAAGGCTGCTCACCTCATTTTAGATCTTCCTGAACATTTTTCTGCAGCTGAGGCACTAGAGAGACTTGGCTGGAAGCCATTATTGCGATGTAGAAAGGAACATCATGCTATTTTTATGTATAAATTGATTAACAACCATTTCTGTCACTCTATCCCTATCACATTCAATGATGATTTTCATAGTTACTACACAAGATTGAGAATGACATTCATAAATCCAGTGCCACAAGAAGATGGGGTCATTGGTCATCAGTAAATTTTAGCGCTGATATATGGAACGGTTAGACACCTCATTAAGGAATGCAGAGTCACTGCCTGCTTTTAAACATGGCCTGTCCAAAGTTGTCTTTGACTCTTAACAACATTCTTTGCTTTTTACCCTTTGTATATTCTTTTTATCTTTTACATTCTTGTATTTTTAACTAGTTATTTTTGATGCTTGATGATAGTATATACTCTCTAATCTTTTACATTTTTGTATGTTGAACTAGTTCTTAATCTAAACTTAGTATTCTTTTGAGGACCCTTCTGTAAACCACTTTATGATGTTAGCATCCTCATTAAAGATTACTATTATCATATATAATTTAAGCATATTTTTCATTATTCATGTTTTTGTCTCAATGTACAATTTACCTTTCTTTCTACCTAATTAAGACTAACATGAATTACTTAATCTCAATATAAAAAGAAAAGCGAAATAAATTCAGGTAGCTGTATCAAGATAATGTCATTTAAATATATAGGGCCCATCTAACAAATGATGGTGGCACAACAGTAATAGCACAAAAAGACTTTCACTATGTAGTATTCATATGAAATTGAACAATTAAATACAAAAACTAAATGTTGCAGACACATAATTAGTAAAATCATAGTTATGTTAAATATATATATATTTTTTTAAATCCTTCCCAACACAATAATTATGGTTATCACCTCTCTTCACTTAGGTAGAGAGAGGTGACAACTGCATGTACATGTCTGCAGCTTAACTTGCAGAATTAGGGCTTAATACAGCAACCAAGAAAGCACTTGTTGTCCATCAATCTGAATATCATCAGTTATCTAATTTAACAGTGCTCCAAGTAGCTACCATTTTAGTTGTCATGGTGAGCATAAAAATTTTGGAAACTATATATTTTTTCAGAAAAAGTCACCTGTTAGGTGACTTACACAAAGCATTCCTCAAATAGGCAGCAAATGTTTCCTTATTCAGTGTTACGGTGCTAAGTTGAATTGATATAATCCCTTGGTCTTCTTCTGCAACTTATGGTTTATTTTGGCAACCATGTTATAATCTAATGTCCGCATATAAGCTCAGACCTCTGTAATGTCTTTAAGATAAGTACAACTTTCTCATGTACAAAAGAAGTACCTGAGGGCCACAAGTTTATCAGTATTTTATACTGTCAAGTGCCACCCTCAAAAAATAAAGTTGATCATTATTATTATTACTATCATTAATCTTTTCTTCTCTATATATAAAGGATGATGAGAACTGAGCCTTTATAATTACTTTTAGTACAACACACTATTCTCTTTATGTTTCATAAGGGAAAACACAACAATTTGGAAAGGGAATTTAGCAGTGTCTTAGAAGTACCTTAGGGTTCATTTCCATGCACACCTTAAGAACTCTATTCAAGCTTTACTTGGCATGGGAAACAACCTTGACAAGTTAAGCTCATTTCTCTATAAATTTTAAAGACTTATTGGAACTTATTATATTACATAAGAAAAGGCCCTAAAATTTATTGATAATTACTATGTATTGGTTGCTTAATCAAGGTTAAGGTTTGTACCACGATTTACCAAATTTAAGGAATAGGAAAATTACCCAAATGTTGAAGGGATACCTTGATGAACTCTGAATTAGTTTGATCATACATACTAACTAAGGACTCCGATGACTTGAGGCTGAAGACCTTAGTCAACCCCAGTAAACATTCTCTGTACTCTTCAGAGAGGGTGATGAACAAAACACTGACCCTCAGTTAGACTACCCAAATGGACTGTCCTTAAATGGACCCACTCTTTTAGTCTCTTTGTAGTTCTGCTTGCCACAACCAATACCATGAAATTTAGGTGATTGTTTAAACCAGTATTTAAGTCCATCCAACATAAAAGAACCTGAAGTCATGCTTTTCCCCTAAGACCCAGTATTGGTCATGAAGTAAGGCGAGAAATCGATAATATTCACCTTTTTGTGCTTCAGTACATAGATTGACACAGACATTTGCCATGTACATTAAATTCTTTACAGTCAGCCATGTAGTTTACAGCAGCTTGATGATTAAAAGAGAAACACAACATGGCATGTTGTATAACCTGATAAGTTGCTATCACTCTGTGTATGTATGTATGTATGTATGTATGTATGTATGTGTGTATGTATATATCTATATATATACATACATACATATATATATGTGTGTATATATAGATACACACACATATACATTATATATACACACATATACATACATATATACATGCATACATATATACATATATACATATATACATATATACATAAATATTATGAGAGGAAAAAAGGGGACGTAACTACATTTCCCGACAAGCCTGTTTCGTGAATCGCTTCACTCTTCAGGGGTTTAATCATTAAACCCCTGAAGAGTGAAGCGATTCACGAAACAGGCTTGTTGGGAAATGTAGTTACGTCCCCTTTTTTCCTCTCATAATATTTATCCTGCTCTGCTTCAATGTATTGAGCACTGTTCCACGCGAAAATCGACTAGCAGACTTCCTACATATATACATATATACATATATACATATATACATATATACATATATACATATATACATATATACATATATACATATATACATATATACATATATACATATATACATATATACATATATACATATATACATATATACATATATACATATATACATATATACATATATACATATATACATATATACATATATATACTTTTTGGCAAGGCAGGTCTGTTTGTGGCAACCCAAGGGCTGGTGTGAACCTGCAATAAATGTCCTATAAGTCGCTTAAATTAGATTATTTACAATTTACAGTCTTAACATGATTAAAAACAAGGCTGCCCTAAAACTATTGAAAATATGTGAAGACAGGATCTTTCCACCAAATTAATTACAGCTATGACTTGCCATAAAATTCCATTTCAGGGTAGTCCATTTGGGTACAGTCCACGATCAGTGCTTTGTCCATCACCCTTAAAGGAGTTTCTCATCATTCATTTGATGTTTGTTCGGACAATTTTCGTCCACCGCTTTATAAAACTTCTTCTCTTCATCTAATGATCGTCTCCTCTCTTTTCGACGACTATGACAGGAAGACAAAAGATCATCTCTAGTAAGATGATTTATCTGCATGAATACTTTCTTTCCAAACCTAAATTGTTATCTGAAAAGACTTTTTCAGTCGTGTTTCATATACAATTAGATTTGTCTCTATATACATGCTGAGAAGTTAATGGTATTGCACTAATTAATCTATCATTTACCAAAACTCACCAAATCGCATGCAGACACAAGCAGTTTACCACCAGAGAAACAAAAAAACAAACCCCAAGGATGACAGCAGCTCTTAGATTCCAAGAACCTACATGTGACCAAAATTAAGGGACAAGAAAAAATATCAAATTTTAAATGCTTTGTAAAGATAGATTCAATAGTGGACAGACAGCAGCAATTTAACATATTAAGTATAGGGTGCTTAAAAAAAAGCATATCTATGTACCTACCACCCTGTCTGTCTGACTGCCTGTCTATCTGTCCTCCTGTCTCTCTGTCTGTCCGTCTTATTCTTGTTTTTCTTTTTACCCTGTTCCCACCAATAGTGTAGCTCTATCTGCTGCATATAACTCACACACACAACCCAAAATTCCTCTATTTGCTCGGATGAAGGGCTTTTGCTCAAAACGTAAGCTTTAAAACTCTTACAGTGGCCAATTTACATTATTAACCCAGTTGATAAAACCAAATTATCTTGTCTGTCTGTCTCTGTCCTGTCAGTATCTTTTTGTCTCTTCATTAGTTCATTGGTTAGTCCATCTGTCTATCAGCCATTTTTTTTCCTTTCATGGTCCATCATAATTTTTTTTACATTTATTTAACAGACAAGAAAAAGTCTAAAGATAAGGATGAAGCCTAAATTAATGAACTTAAAGATCACTAACCCCAAAAAGGTGATGCCCTAGGTACTTGTGTTCCTACAGCACCAGGCATGGGTGTACTCACAGAAGTGGTAACCTCAGTAGATACTGTAGTAGTATCATTGGATGCTTCTTTACACTCTGGATCTAAAATGTAAGTACAATAACCAAGTTAAAATTAGAGCAACTCTTGCATCCTTTTTACATAAAACATGGAGCTCCAAGCCTGATTTTTTTCAAAATTATCATTAGGGGACCAAAATTGTAAACAGGTCAGGAATGAGATAATTTTTCTTTCCAGAAAAAAAAAGCACTTAATTTGTGCAACTGTACACAAAACTTGTCACTTGTTCTGGGAATTATAGCTTGCATTTGTTTTTGGAGATTCACCCAACATCTCAAGGCATATACCAAGAAATTGATGAGAAAGAGGGAAATTTTATTGCAAGAAAACAAAGTTCTTGACTAATATATCATGAAAACTTTTATCAGACCATAAAAATGTAACTGTAAAACCTTTCAACTTGCTCCAATGACCGCTGACCACAAGTTGCCAAATTGACGACTGACACTGCTAACATTGTGGCCAAAATTTCTCTAGTCATCATGGCAACCAAGGCGGTCATAGCCTGGAGAGCTGAAACAACACTTTTAACACTAGTGATCTTAGAAGTACATACTAGATGAATGAATAAAGGGGTAAGTTTCTAAAGAAACCGTGGTGCTGCGTAAGTGGGAGAGTATAGCAGGCAATTTAGTGTTAACAACTGGGTTGAAAACGCAAATTAGCCATCATAAAGGGTAAAAAAGCTGACGTTACGAGCGTTAGCCCTTTGTCAGAGTGATTATAATCGCTCTGACAAAGGGCTAACGCTCGAAACATCAGCTTTTTTACCCTCTACGGTGGCTAATTTACGTTTTCAACCCATACTAGATGAATGTTTGATTCTTTAGGAGGCACTCTGATTTTTTTTCTTTCCCCTCCGTTTTAGCAAAAATCAATACCAGTAGCATCTATCTTTGGAAGTCAAGATATTGAAAAAATAGCAATAAAAGATTCTGTGTTCCCAAAAACACTGCATCCAAAAATCAGCCAATTGTTTCTTAGTAATTTCAATGATAAATTTTTACGTTTCTTCACAAATCATTCAGGAAAATTTAATTTGAATACAGTTGTATTTTACCCTCAGTTCCTTTACAGACATATATTTCCAGTTTCATGTTTGCTGTGTGACAGTGTCCATTTCTGTTATTTGTCAGAGAACTGAGGGACCCATTAGAAGTAGCTGTAAATACAAAGTGGAGAAAAATTAGTTTTCTTGGTCAAAATACTTTGAAAAAGCATTAGGGTCACATTACATATGATTTTTGATGGACAACAACATGGAGAGGGGAGGGGGGTGTCATGCTCACCCTGAAAAATTTTAAGCAAATGAAGGAGGGTTTGCACCGTTGAAAAGAGTTCAAAGTGAGATCAAAGCACACAAGGAGTAAATCATAATTAGGAGGATTTTAAATTCATTTTATAGGGACCTGACAATAGCAGTAGTTTACCATCTCAAAATTAACAGTTTAAATCCAAAATCTTAAAGGAGTGAGAAGTAATGGCTTCAGCCTGAGAGCGTAAGATTGAATTTGTTAACAAAGTCTCATGCTCGATGCATGAGACTTGAAAGCTCTGCAAGCATAACACAAGATGTAAACGGTTCGAGCCTGAGAGTAATATCATGTAATATGATTGCATTCCCAGGCAAGGGTAGAATAAGAGCAATAGTAGGCTAATGGTAGGCCAAATTCTTTCTGTTCCAATAGTCAACAACCATCAAAACATTGACAAGAGGTTATTGTAAAGTGAGTCTGTCAACCATCAGATAACCAGTCTGGTCGCTACCAGGTACTTTTGCTACCGGTCTAATCGCTACCCATGACGAAGTCCGACCGCTATCACTGGGAATAACCAACAAAAAACATCAATGAAACTTAGAAAAAGCCACAAAGATTTATAAAATAAAATTTCTGTTGCATTTTAGAACATATATTGTACGATCATTTCACAATACGATCGATCAAGACGAAACATCGTGCTCACTGGCTTCCATACCAAGTCCGTTTCTACCAATTTGGCTTTAACGAATCTACTTCTTCAAAGACAAACCAGTATAAAAATGCATGTTAAGGAGTTGTCGCTAGCTTTATCATTTCTAACTTGTCACAGATTAGAATACCTTACATTTAAAAATCGATCAACACAGCGACGCCATATTGCTTTCATGAAATTAACAACCTCCATGTCAAGTCGTTTGCACACGTTTTCTTCATTTACAGTCTTTTCACAACAATTTAAAACAAATTTATTTAGTACCTTAACCTGAAATAAATTGGAAACAGTTTTCTCATATAAACGTCAAAAACAAAACAAATGAGCAAATGAATCGAACTCGACCCAGATATACTCAATCTATTAGCCAAGAGTCCGTTCGCTACCACTTAAGTTTTAGTCTCAGCAAAGTTGGTTGTATGATATCACAATTTTATAACTTCTTTGAAGCCAAATCAGTGTAAAAATGTTTATATAGGAGTTGTCGCTTAACTTTGTCATTTCAAAGACAAAAATAAATAAACAAAAAAAAGGCCCTTATAACAGCCAACACATCACTAAACTCAATGACCTACGAATTATGCATTGAAAGGTATGGTTAACTTTGCTTCTTTATTTATTTTGAGTCCCTAGAAAACCCGGTATCGAACGGGGTTGATTCTTTAGCTCATTCGTTTAGTTTTGGACGTTTAAATGACACAACTGTATCCAATTTATTTCAGATTAGGGTACTTAATCATTTCGTTTTAAATTTTTTGTGAGAAGAAAAAAAAGAAAACGTGAGCAAACGATTTTTCACGGAGGTTGTTGATTCCTTGAAAACAATATGGCGTCGCGTGTCGATCGATTTCTAAATGTAAGGTATGAAAGCTAAGCGACAACTCCTTAACATACATTTTTATACTGGTTTGGCTATGCAGAAATAGATTCATCAAAGCCAAGGGGGTAAGTTTCTAGAAAAACTGTGGTGCTGCGTCGGTGGGAAGGTATAACAGGGTAATTTAGTGTTATCAACCGAGTTGAAAACGTAAATTAACTACCGTAAAGAGTTTAAAGGCTGACGTTTCGAGCGTTAGCCTAACGTTCGAAACATCAACCTTCAAATTCTTTATGGTGGCCAATTTACGTTTTCAACTCAGTTGGTAACACTAAATTATCTTGTTAGGTTCATCAGGGCCAAGTTGGTAGAGATGGATTTGGTATGGAAGCTAGTAAGCACAGTGTTTGTTCGCGAATGGATTTTCGTCTCGATCGATCGTAATTTGAAATGATCACTCAAGATATACTCTTTTTTCTCTATACTCGATTTTCTTTGTAAATCTTTGTGGCTTTTTACTAAGTTTCATCGATGTTTTGTTGGTGATTCCCAGTAGTAGCGATCGGAGAGTCGTTAGTAGCGGTCCAACTGATAGCGAAAGTACATAGTACCGACCGGACCGTACACATGAGCCACGCGACACGGTGAATTTGATTTACGGCATAAAATGAAAAGATAATATAGAACCCCGACATTCTGGTGTTTTCGTTACTGGCACCATAAACCCTGGTGTTAGTTTTGGTTGGGTAAAGACTTCAATTTATTTGATTTGGGAAACTATTCATGTCTCTTGGGATGTTAGAAGTTTGGCCAATCTGAATAATATTTTTGCAGACAGATGTATTTTGAAACAAAATGATCACAAAATTGGTTTCCTGATGAAAGGCAACCCATTTAGTGTCTACGGTTTCTGTGGTGGCAAGATCTCAATGTGATTGGTTACTAGACAATCGACTTTCCAGGCATATTTTAGATGTTCACAGTCTCTAGATTTATGGTAAATAATAACGTTGATCAATTATCTGTTAATATATCAACCAATAAATCTACTATGAAAAGTTACCATGAGTACACATGATCAATTCTGACAGGACCACAGCTAGTGAAAATGATATTCTTCTACTCACCAACAAAAGACCTCTACCGCAAAACCCTTTACCAGATAATTACAAGATGCAATCAAAACATCACACACTTACAAATAAAATAATAGGTGCTTCCTGGCTCAAATACCAGGGAATTAACAGCACTGAAACGCTGAAAGACTACTGTGGTAAATTGAATCTTTCGAGGATCAGCACACTTTAGTACCATCTTGTTCTCTGCTACGGTAGTATTAACCTCACAAGTCTGGTAGCTTGTGTTGTCAACTCTCCAAACGTTTTCATAATAGAGCATGCTATCTGTGTCATCCATCTCTACAAAGGATACTGCTACATGAGGGCAGATCAGGTTCAGTTTTGAACCTGGCAGGACACTAAAATGCAACTTTCCCTCTTGAAATCTAAAGGAGAGGTTAGATACAAAACAGATCTAAATGACTGTAAGGTTCTGGAAAGTACCACTGTTACAGTTTCTCATATATCCCTAGAAGTAATTAATAGTCACCATTAAGCAAGTGCTGATACATACGTTCAGAAGTGATTAGCAACTACTTTTTTTATTTCCCAGCAACTAATAGATAAATTTATACATCACAAGGTTAATTTCTGACCACTTCGTGGTAAATTGGCTGAAATAAACTATTTTTTTTGGTTTCAGTGTGGTATATACTAAGACAATGATTCACCTTAGCATTGATGAAAATGGTAGACATTTATTTTGCCACATTGTGGCTCAGTAAATATTCACTACTATTCCCCTGCACTTTGGTGAATAATGGTTTATCATAGTGACGTGTACATTGGGTTGCCATACATGTTAGTAATTTCAGTATTAGACATAGATTCATCAGAATTTCATCTGATAAAATTATTTTTGTAGCAGCTAGATCCCACAGACAAAGTGAAACATCTCCAACTAGAGATGTTTCAATTTGGAGAAGCCAAAGTTGCTGGCTTAAGTATAAGGTTGTTCCCTCTTACATATTCCTTAACTTTTTTCTGTTAGTTTTCATGTTGTGCGGATATTGTCCATACTTTTGTAATTTGTCAGTAAGTGGTATTAGATTCTTGGTATTAAATTATAAAAGGATTCTTTTCAGTATCAGGGTGTTACACAAAGTGCTGTCACCATTCCATTTGGAGCACTTTCAAAATGCTGAAACTTTTTGTTTTTCTGCCACATTGCAAGTAGTATTGTAAAAATATCACAAAATGATTGGTATTCCTGTAGTGTGGCGAATAATTTTAGGTCAGTATAGTAGTAAAATAAATACTTCTGGCTTTTAAATGTAAACACAGGAGAGGAGTTGTCCTGTTTTAATGTTTAACCTGCTTGAGGACCCTGGATATACATAGCAAGCACTAAACCTTTCTATGCAAAAATTGTCGTCTACCAAAAGATAATATTCTAATTTTTTTGCAAATATTTCACATATATGGAGCCAATACGACATGGCTATAGGCAATATTTCAATTCGGTAACTGAAGCTATCACTTTCCAAAAGTTTCAGCAAAAATTTTGCGACAACTCACGCCTAACTAGTACAGCGTTAGCCATATGGAATAGCAATTTTCATCATACTTGAAAGTTTTCTCCTTAAACGCAAATAAATTCAGGCTTACAAATGTTAACTTCTCGTTTCGCTTTCTTCAATCAGTTGACTCTCTTTCTAGTTTATCATTTAGTTTAAAAAGATACTTACTGAGGATTTTTGGAATTCCATTGTAACGAAGGGTAAACGACTGCCCCTCTTACAAGAGAACTTAATTCGAAGTCGCTTCGGGGGAACGTCAGTAGCAGGAAGAAGACGCTACGTTCCATATTGTTAAGCGGAATAGCAGGTACGCGGAATTATTTAGGGAGTTACTATATCACGGGCGACGAGTGGGGGATGAAGAAAAGACCGAAGTACGAGTGGTCAGCGGGGAAATAAATTTAATACATCATATAGAGACATATCAGTTATAGTTGCGGAAAACAATAGTGTTGTAAAGCCGAAATATCAACAATATACTTCGCTAAATAAAATGTTAAGCAATTTTTCAAAAGTGTTGATGGTACATGTATCTTTTTCTGCTGTAATAAACAATAGAGGCATCGGAAAGGGCATCGGTGGCATCCGGAAAGGCACCAAGAAGAATTATATTTACGTTTTGTAACTTGCTGCGTGACGAAAAAAGAAAACCAGAACCGTGGACCCCAAATGAATTCTCCCACCTTGCCCCAAAAAAATTTCAAGTTTTCCGCAACTTCTCCTTTACCTATTCGTAGGTCCGGCCAAGCCTTTATGGTCATTGGCTCCCGTATAGCCACTAACTATAGCTTATAAATACAGGTGTTTAGTGTTAAATTGTAAAACTCCCCGAAGAAGTCTACGACAGTTAAACGAAACGCGTCGAAGAATAAAGAAATTTTACAGCAAACGTTCGTAGAGTGCTGCTCACCAGTTTAGTTTGAAAGATTTTTTTTTTAAATTTGGTGCGATAGCTGTGGTCAGTTTTTCCATGCAGGTTTTCTGGATGTACCTTTCGCAGAGACGTGGGGGGGGGGGGGGGGGAGGGGCAGAGACACCAACACAACATTTCACCTGCCGTTCGCTTCGAAAATTAAGTTTTCGTCCCGAATTCATTTGTTAAATAAAATAGGGAAAAAAAAACACTTCGCACGGAAAACAGAATTATTTGAACGCCTGGATCTTCTGAAAAAAGGTCTCCTAAACGAGTGGCACTGATCATATTTAAGCATGGTAAACACGTTAGCCTTAACTTGGCTGTTTCTCGAAGCTCAGTGTTTTTTTACATGCCTTTTTCACGTGAAATGAGGCGATTTAATATATATAACAAACACTAAAAGAACTACAGCTGATGGAAATTTAAAATTTCTTATCTAAAGGCTGTGGAAACAAACTTATTAATGACTCTAAAAATATAGAAATCTAGAACGAAATTTTTTTAGAGTTGCTTAGCTTTTCATTTTTCCGGAATCGAAAGTCGAGATTGCAAAATTCAAGTGAAAAGCAAACCGACTGTGATTTATGCCTTAAACAAGTCAAGATACTTTTTTCCGTCATACAACAAGTTACATATCGTAAATATCATTCTTCTTGATGCCTTTCCCGGTGTCACCGATGCCTTTCCCGATGCCTCCATTGGTTAATATAACAGTAAAAATATTGTTCCAGTAAAAGCGTTTGGAAAATTGTTAAACTTTTGAATTAGCGAAGTCTAACCTAGTAACATTTTGGCTTTACAATACGATTGTTTTTTGTAACTTACAAAACGTAAATATAATTCTTCTTGGTGCCTTTCCGAATGCCACCGATGCCTTTCCCGATACCTCCATTGTTTAATACAGCAGTAAAAGATATATGTGCCATCAACACTTTTGAAAAATTGCTTGACATTTTATTTAGCGAAGTATACTGTTAACATTTCGGCTTTACAACACTATTGTTTTCTAGTAAAGTAAATGGTTTGAACCCAGGAGTATCAGTAATTCGTGTAGTGTGATCGTCCGGGTGAGTGTAGTTCTGAAAAGAACTGTTGTTGGTGACTGACGTTTTGTTTTCTGCAACTACAACTGATATGTCTCTATATGAACTATCAAATTTGTTTGCCCGCTGACCACTCGTATTTCGGTCATTTCTTTATCCCCCGCTCGTCGCTCGTCGCTCGTGATGTAGTAACTCCCAATTATTTGTCTGAGTCAGGATTTCAACGATCGTGCCCAGGTTCTCTAAAGATGATCATTACTTCGCAAGGACCTTCAAGAATATAAGACGCTGAAAGAAGATTCCGTGGGATACGTTGACGACTGAGCGTAGCATTGAAAGGAGCTATGCTATTATAGTAAACTACCACGATTAGCTAGTTAGCTCAGTCGAAGAAATCACTGTAGAGAATTTTAGTGACGAAACCGTGTCTGAGTTTTAGTAGTTGAAAACAGCGAAGAGTGGCAGCTCAAAGACCTCTGGATTTTTCAGAAACAAACTGGAACTCGACCTACTGATCTCCTCGTGTTTCTCATAGCTTGCTTCATCCCTCCTAAGAGCAAAAGCTCGGCAAAAACCATTCCATCTCCGCTGACGACGGTTTCCCTCCTTTGAGGACGTATATTTTTAGCCACCGTAATTTGTTCATCAAATACGTCAATAAGTACGAAATGGGTTGTACACTACTGTAGAAAACCTGATAAAGTCATTAATAATATACATGGAAAAATTACTTAGTTCTGATTGGTTAAGATAAATACAGTTTTCAGGTAATTCAGTGCAGAAGAGGGTTAATTCAGTGCAAAGAAAGAAACAAATCAGACATTCTGATTGGTCAATAATCAAAGAAACTCACAGATAGCCTATCAAATGCGAGCCTTGGTTGTCGCAACAAAATTTGAAAATTTGCGAGCGAAACAATGGCCGGTGTTTTAAGGAGGCTTTCTTTCGCCACCGCAGCTGAAAAACAGCTTAAACAACGAAAACACTGTAAAAAACACTGCTGTTTGGTTGTCGGTTTGGAAAAAGTGGTGTTTAGATAAGGGAATTGCCCAGGAAATCGAAAATTACGAGCCGACCCAGTTTAACACTTTGCTCGAGCGATCACACGCCGAAGTTAAAAACAAACATGGTGAAACCTCGGAAACGAAGACTCCATTTCATCGAATGTGATTCGGACACTGACTGAACAATTCCTTGAACTGTTTTGGCCAGAATCTGAACTTTTTTGCACCTTAAAGATGTGAAGATATCATTGCATAATTTATTATTGTTTTGATCGTAGGCGGTTGTTTTGACCGAACGCAAGGTTTGAATAAATTATTTTTGCACTTGACGCGCGCGCTTTGCTTATTTTTAATTATGATAAGCCATCTCGTATTTTTCCATGTATATTATTAACACGTAATCACATGATTTTTCTCGTGCAATTTGGAATAAACAAGCACTTGCTAATTTTTCAAAGACCACAAATTGCACTCGAAATCATGTAATTTCCTATACTAATAATTCACCAAATTATGACCAGTCAAAATTTCAGTCACATGTTTACCTCTGTAAAACCCGATATAAATCAACTGAATGAAAGCATGGGGAGGGTTTGAAAAGGTAGCAGGGAAAGGCAGGGGTTGATGAATTATGGATTAGTTGAATTAGCGATAGGATTAATCATCATAAAGATCTCCAACTCCCCTACTTGGTATGTCTAACTTCAATAAAGACGAGCCCTGAAATTCGTACAAAGTTTATTAATCAATTGCTAGTTTGACATATCAATCACTAGCTTAATACAACAAAGAATAATAAATTACACTTAGAATTTCCTCTATCCATTGTCTACATACAATCTAAACGTTTACATGCGTCTTGTCTGCTTTGTTGAGAACGTTTATTACATCCTCTCCTTCCGTCTCACCCAAATGACGGTTAATCGCACAAATTAACATTTTGCTTGGTCACAAACAAACTTGCTCAACCAAAAGTTTAGCCCATTTGGCGACATAAGTTCTAGTGACCGATCAGATCTTTAACATCTTCGCATTTCAGATCGGCCACTCCAACAGCATCTAACATTGCACATGTATTTGCCGCCGCCGCAGCTATTCCTCGAAGACTTTGCTACCCCATTTAGTGTTATATTGTGTTGCTTTCATTTCACAACTAAGATAAAATTTCGCGTCCAACCTTTATGGGCATTTAAACGGTGAGCCGTTTTAAATGCTCATAAAGGTTTCCCGCTCATATTTTATCTCTTACGAAAAAAAAAACCATTAAAACACCACAGCATGCCAAATAAATTCTACTATCTCCTTTATCTAATTAAAGGTACCTATGGCCAACTTGTGTATAAAGCACTCAACCTACAGATGAAACGTTGTCGTGAACTTGTAATTATTGTTCTAGCAACAATGCAAGGTTGCTCTTATTTCAAAAGCTAAGGTTCCGGAAAATTACGGAGAGATCCACAATTATGGTGAACATCCGACTCTGCAGAATAACTAACGTACTTATAGCCAACAAAAACAGCACAAAATAGTATCCTGCGTTTATCGAAAATTCGTCAAATTTAACCGCTGGAATCCAGATCTTTCTTCACTTGTACAAGCCTAATTCCTCTGTTTTCTAATTCTATGTCACGTTTAGTCTCACAGTAGTTCAATATATATTTGCATTGTAACACAATGATCTCTGTTTACGCGGTTTTCTTCAGCTTGTATCTGATAAGTTTTCTGCATCGGAACGAAAATACCCCAGAACACTCTTAATGTGACCGCTAGTTTAGTCGACTGAGTGAAATTAATGCGGAAATGAATTCCAGAGGTTTCTTTTGTCAGAAGAGCACAGGATTATTTTTGTCCGCTTCTGATCAGTCCAGCTACTTATATTTACAAGTCGATAAAGGTTTTACGCACTCCTATTGGCTGGCTTTGCAATTTTTCCATGCTATGAAAAAGAAACCTAGCCGGATTTTTACCGTGGTATGCACAGGCACCCCACGGAAAAAGTCATGAAATCCAAGTTAACGAGGTTCTGGTTTTATGCCTTGTAATGAGCGTGTCATTCCTTGTAAGAGGTTTACAATTTTCGTATTTCCTCTACATCCGCGGTTACGAGAACTATTCCGTGTAAACTAAGAGGAGGAAGTTTTGGAAAATACGTACAGTGCTTGATCATGTGAGGAGCCATTTGTGCCAAAAAATATCAATCAATAAAAATCGGTAATTTTAAAGTGAACCGGTCTCCCACTTGTTAAGCAAAGATAACCCGATCAAGTGTTGTTTACTTTCTTGAAATCTGACAAGAGACATTGACATGAGAATAAAGGTAATAAATCACAATAAAGGTAGTGACAGGAGCCCATTAGAGAATTTGTCAGGTCAACGCGCTTCCTTGATGTATTGAGAGGGACAAAGCACAAAACCAGACGAAGCAAGAAATTTGAGATGGAAAGACCCCCTCCCCCACCCAAAATAAGAAAAAAAAAATTGCAAGACTCTCCTTCAAGCATAGAGGAACATTGTCATGGAGTGCTATGCTAAACCGAGTTTAAAATTGTGAGAGCGTCACATTTAAAAGCTATCTAAAATATATTCATGTGGACATCAATAACTCTACCTTTGAGATAGAAAGCTCATCTATTTTGAATAAGGACAAATGTTTTCATTATTAACTGTTGATTATAGGGAAGCATACTTCATAATATTCGTGATAATTTAGTATATATTTAATATTTACTTATCATTTTTCTTTGTGATTAGACAATTTAGAATATTGAGACCATTTGATATTGCTGAATTTCTTAATCCTTTATATATCTAAACCCTTATCACTTAAGACTAGATTATTTTGCTCCCCATACGATCATGTCAGTAGCATTAAGAGGGTTAAAAATGGCTACATATATCACTGTTACACACCACTAACAAAATGATTGAGATCACTTTACTGTATATGTATATCAGATTATTAGATTTTTATTAGGATAAAGTTCACAGGTTCCCTATTGGCAGCAGCCATAATGCGAACAAAGGTGATAAAAAAATTGCTATAATGCTGGTAGTGCCAAGGGGCAATTGGAAGTGAATCCTGTGTTTTGATTGGCTACCTGAGCAGGCAAGATGGATTCCTTAACACAGGGTGACCACTTAATAGAGGTGAAAATTGTAGTGATTAATACAGGAGGACTGCCTAATACAGGTTTGACTGTATTGACACCTCTCTTATTCATGACAGTTACAACAGGACCCAACAACAGTTCTAACTGTAAATGTTAATTTTTTCAAAAAGGTACAACATTGCAAATGTTTAAATCATTTCTACACAGTACTATACAGTTGAAATTTACTTGCTTAATACTAACTTGGCCTCCCAAAAATAAAACAAAAAAGATTACATGAATCACTCTTCAAAACATGCTCTTACATTAGTCAAAACACAAAGGCCTGTAAGGTGTAGGTATTTACATACAAATGCCAACAATGTCAATTGTGCCACCACTGAAATACATATAAAGGGTTCTCTTACAAATTATGAACAAGGGATTAATTTCTTGAACACTAACTGTTCTTTATAGCTAAGAGTCAATCAATTGATATTTAAAAATTGGATACATGACACAACGATTTCAACCCAATCAACTTCTGAAGCCACTGGTTCTATCCTTGGCAAATAGTGATTTTCTTTTTCTTGATATCTTAATTTACATAAATAAAGTGAACACAATATAAAAAGACCATTCCTATCTTCCATAAGCAGCACAGCTTAGTCTGTCCACATTGAGCCAGTGTCTTTTTAACACTCCAATACAAAATAGTTAAGTGTGTAATGTGTAAGTCCCTTCGACACTGACTTGCAGATTTTTACAGTTTGTTTCAGGCATTGAATATGAAACAAGGAGAGCTTTGAACAATCCCAGTATTGCAGCCAGATACATATTGTTTCTCCCTGTAGGTTTTTATTAAATGTATAGGCTTGCCAAGACACTCAGAGCTTGACTATTACTGAATCAATGGGACACTGTCTAAACTTCGATACTAACAAATTTACTGAGATTTAAATGTGTTACAAACCTGAAACATTTTTTTATCATTATTAGCAGTAATTACTGCCATTTTTTTATCATAAATTTTAACTGATATCTATAAAGATGATATTATATCTAAACTACATCATTTTTGTGAATGAAATCATTACACATGTGTTGGTGTTGAGGGAGGACTGCTTTTTTCACCCTGTTTTGATGATTGTAATCTCGGCTTCCTGAAAAAAACAGAAAGACATGCCTTAGAATATTCTGGTACCCTTTCCACAGAAAAGATAAAACTTGGAGCTCATAGGTTTGCCACCAAAATTGATAACACTTTAAATTACTTACATACATATAAAGGGTTCTCTTATAAAGGATGAACAAGTGATTAATTTCTTGAACACTAACTGTTCTTTATAGCTAAGAGTCAATCAATTGATATTTAAAAATTGGATACATGACACAACGATTTCAACCCAATCAACTTCTGAGGCCACTGGTTCTATCCTTAGCAAATAATGATTTTCTTTTTCTTGATATCTTAATTTACATAAATAAAGTGAACATAATATAAAAAGACCATTCTTATCTTCCATAAGCAGCACAGCTTAGTCTGTCCACATTGAGCCAGTGTCTTTTTAACACTCCAATACAAAATAGTTAAGTGTGTAATGTGTAAGTCCCTTTGACACTGACTTGCAGATTTTTACAGTTTGTTTCAGGCATTGAATATGAAACAAGGAGAGCTTTGAACAATCCCAGTATTGCAGCCAGATACATATTGTTTCTCCCTGTAGGTTTTTATTAAATGTATAGGCTTGCCAAGACACTCAGAGCTTGACTATTACTGAATCAATGGGACACTGTCTAAACTTCGATACTAACAAATTTACTGAGATTTAAATGTGTTACAAACCTGAAACATTTTTTTATCATTATTTAGCAGTAATTACTGCCATTTTTTTATCATAAATTTTAACTGATATCTATAAAGATGATATTATATCTAAACTACATCATTTTTGTGAATGAAATCATTACACAGGTGTTGGTGTTGAGGGAGGACCGCTTTTTTCACCCTGTTTTGATGATTGTAATCTCAGCTTCCTGAAAAAAACAGAAAGACATGCCTTAGAATATTCTGGTACCCTTTCCACAGAAAAGATAAAACTTGGAGCTCATAGGTTTGCCACCAAAATTGATAACACTTTAAAAGCCCCAGTGGTACAAATAAGATTTTCTTTTTCTTTTTCTTGGTTGATCTCAATTTAGGGCCTTTCTGCACTAGCAACAAAGTTGTTTATTGAGACAAATTTTCTGTCATCACCAACATTTTTCAAGAGCAGATGGTTTGTGGTTGACAAATTTTGGCCAAAGTGGACAAATCTTCACATGCACTGCCATCAAAATTTGTTGCGGGTAAAAATTTGGCAAAATAAACTAAATAAACAAAACTGTAAAAAAACTTGACAGTAATTTGTTGTATAAGCTTCAACAAGCATGTAATTGAACTGACATCAGCTCATTAGAGAGGCAAAAATTGTCTTTTGCTGCAAAACTCAAGGATTCTAAAATTTTAAAATGACTTAGGATAAATCCTGGAAATTGGAGGTGGAGTCTTTTAGCAACTATGCTGGCTGGTCTCATGAACAGATCAGGCCCTGACAAAATTTGATAGCTTTGAAATTTTTAATGCAGATGCAACCAACAAAACAAAAATTTTTCTAGACCAAAATTTGTCCCTTGATCAATTCAGTTTGTAATCATACCAGCAACAAACAAAATCAGACAACTGCGAAGCAGGAGTCCAATTTGTTAATCAAGAGTCAGCTGTTACCAACTAATCATTTGAGGAAATCACCCCAATCACACTTGAGGAAATTGTAATGGCTATGATTACTTGTTTCACTGTCTCATACAACCACATAGATTTCTAGACAAATTGCAAAACATTGGGAGAGATGACTTAGGAATGTAAATCTCCTATGAGTAAACACCACTAGTATAGTTGACACAACACAAGATTTAGCATTTTCAGAAATAACAAAAAATGAGATTTATAAAGATGTACCTTGTAAAATTAACAACTGGTTCATACATCAGCGTGCATTCATTGAGATATGAAGCATGCAGGAAGTTTGGAGAGCACAAAAGATGCGTAAGAGTTGCCTGAGGCGTAGCTGAGAGCAACTCTAGCTTCTTGAGCAATTGAATTTGATTAGACAAATTTACTAGCTTTGTTATAAATCAATTTTTTCAATCACCGTCAGAAAGTTTAAATCAATTATCAACAATTGATTAATAAATATGTGAGCAGATTACTTCATACACACCAGAAACAGTAACAGTTGAATCCAATTGAAATAAGCAGAATAATTCCCAGCGAAGCACCAAGTATAGTTGTTCCTGTGAAAAAGATAAACGTAAATGTAATAGAAACAAAACCCTACTGCTCTAAAGGATAACAAATCAAAAGAGAGTTAATTGATTGCTACACTGAACCACAAGAACTTGGAAGTGGTCTAGAAGTTATTATCTACGCTTAAAAGGTACATGCATGCAATGATGTTTACCATTCGTACTGTGGGAACTATCTTTTCCTTTTGTGCTTGCTTCAGCAAGAGGTTGATCTCCTAAAGTTGGATGACCACGAAAACTTGGTTGAGGGGATAGTATGTCAGTTTCAGTGCTGTTAGTTTGAGGAGGTGATGGCTGTTTTGAAGAAGACAACTTTGTCGTTTCCACCCTAACTGTACTTGGGGCTGATGTTGTATTTGTTATAAAGGTTTCTACAGCAACCTGGGGTGGTTTAGTAGTAGGTTTCTCATCAGTGCAGTTTGTATCTAGTAAAAGGAAAAAGCACAAAATACCCATCATTCAACATGTTATAACAATTTTGGAACTCAGAAGTCAAAGTTGGGTGAAAATGAATGAGAAAAAGATACCATTTTGTAATTTATTTACTGATTAATGAACAAGGACTGCTACTGTCTGATTGATAACATAACTAGAAACTGTTTATAAAATAACCCTACCCTCAGGTCCTGTACAAACATATATTTGCATTTTCATGTTTTTTTTTAGACAATGTCCACCACTTCTTCCCTTCAATGAATCATAGGATCCAGTTGAGGTAGCTGCAGGTGTAATACAAGAAAATAAAAATAAAAACATCAGAAGCAAGAAATGAAGATAGTGCTTTTAAATTCAAATCCCAAAGAGCTAGGCTACATGAACATTCCTGTTGTGAAAAACAGGAATCTTGATTTGTTTTTCTTCACTCAGTAAACAAAGTAATACAATTAGGGCAGTACTTCTCTGAAGAAACTGTAGCGCTGTGTCAGTGGGAGAGTATAACAAAGTAATTTAGTATATATCAACTAAGTTGATCATGTAAATTGTCCACCATTGAGTTTCAAAGCTTACATTTTGAGTGATAGCTCTTCATCAAAGTGAATAAATCAGAGCTTAAGGCAATTAGGGATAAGGAAACGGTCTACTGACCTTGAATTAAACAACAGAAAAGAAAAACATCAGGTGTGTATCATGAAGAACATCCTCTTAGAGGAGGTAACAATCTTCTACTTCCAAATGCTAGTGAGAGATGCTATTATATTTAATGGACGTACAGCAAGTCCTGCTTGCTTTCCAAGTTTCTTAGTCTGTTAATTAATTTTCATACATATAGTTGACCACTACTAAAAGATTAGTTTGAAGGGAATAAGAACCATTGATTGCATTGCATCTTATATCATTCTCTTGAAAGGCAATTATAATAACGGATTTCCAGCCTTATGAAAGCTGGACTCTCTGATCTACCTTCAAAGGCCTTGATCTTTTGCCATACAGGAGAGAAAGATGGATGATTATTAATTAGGTGAAAGATAGAAGTTTTTTTTCAAAAGAAAAAAAAATCATAGAATTGACAAAGCTGAGACCATGTGTTATGTTTGCTGAAATATTATAAGACACAAAACACACTTACAAATGAAATAATAGACCTTTCCTTTCTTGAATACTCGAGACGGGTCAGCGTTAAAAGGCTGAAACACGAGTGTCTCAAACTGCATCTGACGTGGATCATCACATGATAAGAATATCTTGTTCTGTGGTATGCTGTTATTGTTCACATTGCAAGTCTGATAACTGTTAAAATCTACTCGCCAAAAATTTTCGCAGTTATAACCAGTATCAGTATCCGATCTCTCCACTAGAGATACTGCTACATGTGGACAGATCACATTTAATTTGGATCCAGGAAGGACATTTAAGCGATAGCTTCCATTTTTAAATCTGAAAAATAATGAAGAAAAATCATTAAGATGCATATAACTGGCAAGAACTGTTAAAATAACAATTAAATCCAGTTTAATTGCTATGGTGGTATAAGCAAGTAACAGGTGCCTGACAACTGTTCAAGGTCCTCACTGTGTTCACTCCTTTCTTGCTGCACAGTGAACCTTTGCCATGGCTTAAGCAATCACTGCTATCCTCAGGCTGCTACACTTTTGTAACTCATTTTCAAAATGTTTAAATTTGTAAAATTTATGATGCTTTGTTTTTAAGTGTGCAATTGTTGTGCCACAACCCCTAAGCCCCTGAGAGTGACAAGCATCCTATTTCTCCTTACAATATCACCTCTGAATCTGACTTCAAGGTCTTGAGAATAAAGGAAATGATCATCAACTAAAGAGGCCCTTGATTGTTAAACGAATTCTCCTTGTCAGCACCTTAGAAAATGTTTAGAGAACAGTAAGGAGAATGTGTAAACTGATGTTAGGGTGTAAGGAGTAAACAGCTACAGCGGTTAAACCTATCACACAGTCTTGGCATGAATAACACAAAAAAGAATGCAAGGGTGTGTAAGGAAAAAGTAACCTACCAATGTGAAAAGCTCTGACAATTCAAATCTTTTTCAACAGCTTGAAGGAGCATTATGCAAAAGATCATACATGATGTTTTCTCGTGTAGCCGCCTGAGTCAATGTGAAGCTTCCAACAACCCATTACATTCAGTTACTTTTATAATGTTAACCTTTTAAAAGGACATTGAATCGTGCTAAGACCACAGAGAGAGATCATTCCAGTCTGAAACAAATTACAATGGAGCAGCCTCATTATGCACAATTGCCTAATAAGCAACTTGTTAAAGACCTGAGAATAATTCTAGGGATCTGCTCGCCAGACATCATCAGCACAACAGAATTCCAGAGGGAGACCGACCAACAACCAGCAGAAGATGAAATCAAAAGGTAAAGATGGAAATGGAGAGGGTACACCCTTTGTCAACCAACAAATATCAGAAGACAGGCCCTCAGCTTGAATCCCCATGGCAAGAGAAAGAGAGGGTGACCAAGGAACACCTAGCTTCATGACCTCCAGGTTGACATCACAAAGATCAACCACTCATGGAGCCAGTGAAAAAGGATGGTCCAGAACAGAGATCTGTCTCTGGTGGACTGTTGTTGAAGCCCTATGCCCTAAGAGGAGCAATGGACTTAGATAGATAGGCCCTGTCTAAACAATCCTCTTTGGAGAGCTGAAGCATTTTAAGAAGAGTCTGTCATTCTTTGCTAAGATTCAAAGAATCTTTGATGAACATCCCGAGTCATGAAATCTTGGGGAGAACCACAAGGCCTGGTGAAGGCTCATATTGGAGGTTTCTTATAAAATAAACAATGACAGACAGCATAAAAACAGAAAGAGGAAAGAGCAAGTTATCTTAGAAGGGCAGGGAAAGAAGTGAACTGACTCTAAAATACCTATAACTTGTATTTGATGTCTTTTTTTCTGATAAACAATAAGCTAACATTATACTTTAGGGTATGTGGTTTTCCAATTACAGTGCACTAACAGGCAAACTCCAAGGTTCAGAACCAACCTTGTTGTTTTTTACATGATGTCTTTATTGTGATCATAATTTTAGTGGTCATCCACAAGCAGAAACAAAAGATATAGATACAATTTCTCAAGTCACAACTAAGCAACTTGCAAGTTTGAATCCACTCAAAGCAAGTACCTGTAAGTTTTTTTGCATGATGAACAGATTTCTCAGTGCAGCCATAAGGTTCCTGTACACCACATATCTTAGAACTAAGAACCAAGATCTTTCTCAATTAAGAGTATTGGGAAATCGAAACACAAAAGTGCCCTTTGGCAAACATTTTACAGGATGTGAAGATAATTAATAAGTACCATGTAAAGGGTACATTGTGTCAACTCAATTTTTGACAACATCAACTCCTAAATTACGGTTGTCAGATGTTTGGCAGAAACACAAAATATGTGATTTAATTTAAAACCTGCCAAGCCAATTTTAACCTATGCTCTTACTTTTATTAACTTTGCAAAGAATATTCAATCACCTCTGCCTCTTGCTGAAAGATAAGAATCAATTATTCTGCCATGATCATAACAATAAACAATAAAGATTTCATGAGTCTGTGAATTCTTATCTTGATCAAAACACCAACTGATAAAAAAGTTCTAAACCAGCTTAACCTTGAACTATGTGACTTAAGATGCTTAAATGCAATCTTTATCCACAGTTGTTTTATTGATTCAACCACACGGGAACAGTTTAAACCCTGCTTCTAAAGATAAAAACATTATCAAATTCTTATATCAAGAGGCCATTTCCTGTGTGTTTTCCACTTATCAGTCCCATAAATGGGATTCACACCTGATTAGTGCTGAGTATAATACCTCTAACTTATCTTTAATATCATTATGCAATGTTTCTGTCAATCTGTTGTTCAACTTGGGAAAAAACATGGGTTGATTACAACTGGGATGGTGTTACACTGAATACATGTAATTGACTAATCAATAGAGTTTGTTGCTTATATGTAACTTGGCTACAACTCAGAAAGGAAAGTCACTGAATTTTGAAACCTTTTAACACTAATTGTATTTTGGATCTTGTTGTGTAAATTGGATCTGGTCCAGTGGCCGCATTGTAGATATTGTTGTTCAATTTCTCTTCTTGATGTTTCAGATCTTCAGATCATTGAAATTTTCAGTTTCCTTTGCTTCAAATTTTGATTGTCAGTGTGAAAACAAGGTAAAGTTTGAGAAACAATTAACAGCCATGACATATATCTAAGATAGTTAATAATCATTTAAAAAAATCAGATACATCCAATGATAAAATTCCAAGACTTGGCACCACTCTGAAGATAATTTTGTCAGCTTAGCAAATAAACAGCATTGTTTTGCTTACACATTAGAATATTTCATTAAGTTTTAGTCATTAAACTCACTCTAAATTTATCACTGTTCATGTTCCCAACCTCAACAAAATCAAGAATAGAAAGTTCTACAACATTTATAACTATTAGTAAATAACACAACTATGATAAAGGAGCCCCCATTAAAAATGATGTATCACTTTTAAAAATACTTCAATAGGCAACAACTTTACATATGCCGCTAATGTTTGAAGTCTGCATTCATCATCATCAAGAATAAATAGAAAGGACACAAAGATCTTTTGTACTAATTATGGAGTTTTAATTGTCTATAAAATATTGAGATGAAATTTTATGGCAGAGACAGTTGTCTGTTACAAATATATCTACTTCCCACTGCTGTTAAGAAACAAAAGATAAACAATTTTAAGAAAATGTATAACCACGTGGAATTAGCTGGCTAACAAAAGCACTGCAGCTATAACTGTTTCGTTTAAAAATCAAATGATATTTCTATTATAATAAGTGCATTGTTTCTAGTTTCAGTCAATGATCATGAAGTCCTAAATAAAATCCTTCAAACAACCTCAAAGTTGGAAGTTGGCTTACTCCAAATATTGTATGATGTCATGAAAAACAGAGTACAATAATTTTTTATTACAAGTCTTTCAACTTTCCCTTTCAATTTAGTAGTTAGGAAAGCATTTCTAATCAGTGCCTAATAAAGCATTACTATTGTAGATACGATTTACACATGTAAGTAAAATGAGGACTTTTGTATATATCCATTCATGTTCCTAATGTATTGCATATATTGAAACTTTTGATTTGCTATTTGAGGTCTACAACATTCAAATACAAAGCACTCTTCCATGTTCTCTACAGAGTGTACTGTGATCGATGACAAAGAAAAGCTACAAAATGTTCTTGAAAGTTGCTCCTAGCACTTTTGTCAGCCACAAGCATGTCCTAGGGGCATCTAGGAACAGGAAACTTTATTTTTGATAAATGAAAGTGACTTCCAAACTGAAACACCTGTCAGTCTGTGATGCACATGTCTGTATTTATCATACATCTAAACACATGCTTGCATTCAAAACTAGAGGAGTTGGAAGAGCTGGGTTATATCTTTGTAAAAATAACATAGCTATTTGTAGATGCATGACGCACAAGCTGTTCTCTAGTTTTCAAAAGCCAGCTATCTTCTCTCAATTTTATTTCGTACTGGAGAAGTTTGGTTCGTAGTGCTACTCGATTCGTAACAGGAGGAACTTTTAAGTTAAATTGGATGTGAGTGATAGATATCTGAACTCGGTTGATTCAAACACTGTCTAAATAAAGCTTTTTTCAGGGGTAAACAAATGAACTTGTTTCGATCAAAAAATTTTGACCAAACGATGTATTGCGGGTTCAGTTTGAAATCCATAAAGGAAAATGATTATTGAAATTTTTATCCCCAAAAATAGAGCGCATTAAAGATAAGTGCTAAAGGCTAGGGAAGAAGGAAGTTCTGACAGTAGTTACAAAACTGCCCCATGCAACGTAATATGACTCCAAAAATAATATTGAGAGGTCTGAAACCCTGCCTATTTACATGGCTATAAGCCAGAATCACGCGGTAGTTTGGACTTGTTGTCATTTCTTCTTATAGAAAAGACACGACAGGCTTTTAGCTTAAGCAAATACACTTTTCCCTTGAAGATGACCCTTGATTTGCGGGTGTCAGCTTTCATTCTAAATGTATCACAAAAAGCCTTTCCCTAGAATAAAAGTTCATTCTCCTACGCTCTAAAGTCGTGCGTAAAAATCGGAGTAAAAAAGCAAGGACCGTGCGACAAATCGTCTACAGCTGTGCATAGTCACTTCTCGGTCATTCGACAAAAAAATCCGTTTGAGTCTCGTACAAAATACTATTTCTTCAAGCACAAGGGAATTTAGTAGTTAATGTAAACGGGAAAGTCTTAAAGTTTAATTATTTTCTCACCTATGATTCAAAGCCTTTTCAATTATTTGCATGAACGCGTTCTGCGGTTTGTAAGATATTATTCTAGTATCGAGTTCCTTCATTTTCTACTACGTCAAAATCAAGTCGTTAAGATCTCTTATTTAAAACAAAATCAATCGGCCGTCGCTTTACTATGATCCTATTCTATGCTGACTTCTCTAAAGAAGGTGACTGTTCCAGTTGTAGTATTAAAATTAGTCTGGTTTTACTACAAGTAGATACATACAACAGTGAACGTGTACTTCAACTATTACCAGTACTTACAGGGGGTTTTGAAAACTCCAGTGCAACGATGGGTACACGATGGCTCCACTCACAAGCACACCCAGTTCAATACAAACGTGAACTAACAACAGAATAAGACGATTTTCACGTCCCATATTGTTCGTGCCAAAATTTCCTTTTCAGTAGTGTCGTAATCCAAGCAATGATTGCAACGGAATTATTGATGATATGTACAAACTAATAATTCGAACACGGAGGCACTTTTTCCGTGAATAAATAACCTACAAATAAACCAAGGGAAAAGGAAATTGTGTGCCTTCTCCGTCTCAAAGGTCAGTCATAATCGGGTGACAACATGCTAACGTTCAAGCATAGCCGTACTCGTGAAGTTCCGAAGGAGGTAACTCGTAATTATCTATTCCTGTCATTTGATTGGGCGAATGTCATGATGTCACATGGTCTTCTCTGGCGCCGAAAAGATCTACTACAGCGACTTCAGTTGAATTCCCAGATAATGTAACATAAATCTCTTTATCTGTTTCGATCGTGGTCTCTCATTTCAAATCACAAAACAGCTGCTCCTCCGCTCATCGCTCACCCCCCTCGAAAGTGAATGAACGTAGGTAATGTAATCAAACTTCCTTGTTAGATAAGTTTCGATTGTGTCCGACTAATTTGTGAACTCCCGCATCATCCCTTGAGGGATTGCTATTTCCTTGATGTCCCACGTAGGTTCCCTGTCGCCTTGGAAGTGTCATGGTGTTTAAAGAAGTATCTTTAAAAACAGCTGGCAACATATGAACTATAATTTATTAACAATTTATGGTTAGTAAGATGAAAGAAGATAACATGAATTCTAAGAAAAATTGCCAATAAAGTTTTATAGGACTGACGCTTTTTAACTTTTTTCAAGACTGGAAATTGGACACAAACTGGCAATAGATTAAGCGAGAGCTGATGCATAACACAGACGTGATAGGACGTAGGTGAATATTCGATAGATAATTTACCTGAATTAACTTCCCTTCTGTTGCGTGACTATGTCTGTTCAAATTTCAATACCCGATGCACGATCGTTTATTCTCTCCTAGGAATTCATTCTAGAGAGCGATTGTGCGTTATTCTAATAAGCAGTAAATCATTGTTGCGACAAGTTTTAAGAAAACGAAGAAGATAAAGTCGGATTTTAAAATTTTAACCGACGAAACAAAGGAATAACAAAGGAATAATTTATCCAACATTCGTAGTAAACCTCGGAAATATCCCATTAGATACAAGACGAAAAAATGATTGTGGTTGAGTCTCTGTGGTTGTTGAGTGTCTGCCCGCATATAGCGGCGCTTGGCCAAGATTTATCTTTCTATTCTTGGCTTTCGATCGATCATTGTGCTCTGGGAAACCAACTTAATACTTAGTCTAATTAATGCGCAATTCTCAGGGGGTTATCTGGAGGTGAAACAAAACCCTTCGTTAGCAAAGAGACGACGGGAGCCGGGACAAGTTCTTTGAAAACTAGCGTCCTCTGTTTTGCACATTGTCAATTTGTGAGAAACCACAGAAACAATTACAAACTGCACCCAGTCATTAAGGATGCGAAAAAATAGTTTACAATATTGGTGAACCTTTCCCAGACGCCCTCATTGACCTGGCAAACTAACATCCTTTGGAGTTTGGGCAATGACCCAGTTATCCTCGTGACGCTCTCGCATAAATTCATTTTGACTGCTCAGCCTGCTTCCTTTTGTGTTACAAACACTTGGCTTGGTAGACATTGACGATGGTGAGATCTGTTCAATATAATAGATCGCCAGTGCCCTCTCTGCTTCTAAGCTCTGTCTAGACAGCATTGGCTTATAGAGGTTTACGGGTTGAAAGCATAAAGTTGTAATGAATCATGTTTCTTGTCCTTCTATAAAAGAAGGCAAGCAAGATGTAAATCATTGCAGAAGTTTACTTATTCGTATGTTTTATTTATTTGTTTTTTCCCTTCTACAACACTAAATGCTGGTTTAAACTTTCTTCAGACAGAAGCAAAGTTTTCAAATGCTGCAGGAGACTAAATCCTTTCGAGTCCTCATTTATTCGGAGCTCTCTACTTCACCTCGAGACGATAAGTCCATCAAGTGATCAGAGCAGTTACACAATTCCTCTTCTCTCGTTACAGCTTGATTTGAGAGACAGCGACAAGTACCCTTGCTTCCACCCGCTGAGGTCATGATCAGATAGGAATGTCCGATACACAATTTACAAAGGGGCGTAGTTTTTTGAACGGCAGATTTCGACTTCAAGGAAACCGGCAATTCTTCACAAATTCTTGTCATGATCTCTTTTCTACATGTTGTGAACTAAGAAGGGTTTATTCTGTTATTGAAACAGTTCAAAAGGCTAGATCCAGTAACATATGGAGCTAAACGGCGTGTGCGTGCTTAAGATAAGGAAAAAGTATGAAGATCTTTACGGACTTATCTTCCCTTCTATCGACAGCTCTTGCAGCATAATGGCTTATCCGGGCTTATCTATTCCAAACAAGCAACGTTCTCCTTTAAACTATCATTTTCAATCGTAAATAGAGATTTAAAAAAGGTTCAGAATTTGAGCAAGAACAACACTCTATCTAAAGTAAAGCATAACATATGTATTTGAAGGATATAGTGATGGCGGAAACGTTATCCACCTTTTAAAAAGTACAAAACAACCAGACTTATCAGTTTTGAATATAAGAATGGCCAGCCTTCATCTCAATCGGCCAACGTAACTAACATACCCTAACTACAGCCATGACACTATTACTCATACTGCTAAATGCTTTATCCGGTCTTTTTATCTACTCCAAACAAACAACAGTTTTACAACTACGCCCTTTTTCATTAGGTAACAAGAATCCTTTATTGTAAGACGAAATTAAGGACAATTGGTATCTGTTATACATCACTATATTGAGTATACTTGACCATAAAATCAACTACAACTGATTCCTCCAAAGACAAACCTTATCTGTGTCTTAGGAAAGATATCATAAAGCTAGCATACACGTCAAAACAAAACAACTAGATTTATCTCAAGAAAAAGAATGGCGGCTTTTTTCTAACCTTTGCCTTAACTAACTTATCCAAACTATCTACGTGAACGTCACAACCTACTACCTTTGCATGTCGTGATGCGTGACGTAAATGTCATGGTCTTAATCGCAGCCAGAAAAACTCTACAAATTTTTCACATTCCGTCATCGTTTGCATCAACAAAACAATTGTTCAAGCTCTAGATTTTCAAATGCAAAACAAAACCTTCGTTGAATCTAGCTATTTTCGCCTACAAATAAACCAGTTGAATCTCAAAAGACTGGACTAATTGTTAAGTAGCACTCAAATACAAAACAATCGCCACTCACTTAGCCGAGTGGTTGTGGTCTACGATATCCTTTTTCACTAACGTTACTTGGTTAAATTATTATAAAAATTGAGACTTGTAAAAATCAGATGTATATACGATCTATGAAATCCTAGCTTTCAAGAATGTTATGTTTACCATGGGGATCTTTCGACCGCCTATTCAGTCAAGAACAACTGGTTGACGCTGTCGATGTGCTAACATAAGGCTACTTCGATATATTAAGGAAAGTGTCCGATTAAGCGGAGATACTCCAATTGTAAAAATTTTCACGGTCCACCGCTGTCGCATCACAATACAGATAAGCGTGGTGCATTTCTTTCATGAGTAGCCGAACCGTGCTCGGCCTTTCTTCACCTGACGGGATCTTTGTACATTGCTGAGCCTGCCTCCTTTGGGTGCTGGGCTACGAGAGACCACTTTCACTTCTTCAAGAGACTGCAAAGTAATAATAATAAAAAAGAAAAGCATTAATGCCGAAAAAACAAAACTTCCAAATAGCTGTGATATCAAATAAAATTTTTCATAAAATTATGCTGAGGTATCTCCAACGCTACGCAACTTACTGGAAGAAGTATGAATCACAAAGCATGATCCACAATATCTTCTACTCTATCTAGTTGCTTAAAAAAATCATTACATAAGGTAAGAGGGGCATATTTTGTAGCGCCTTTCTTTTAAAACAGACTGCGAAGTGATATAGAATAAAGAGGAGAGAGCCTTTATTTCGAAGGAATATAGCTAGATTGCTTGGTAGGATTTAAAATGACGGCGTTCGAAGAAAACGTTTTTGCCACCTTCTTTCTAGTATGATCCACATCATCTTCCCAAAAATTCCTATACTTTTTAGCAAGATTGAAGCTAGCGGAGGGGTATGATCCAGAAACCATAGAATTGTTTTTGAGCACGTTTTCATTTTTTAAAGACCATCCACGCCTGATGACATTTGGCTCAGAAGATAGCCGTAAACGAAAGGTTTTTTTAGAAGGCCCCTGCACAAAATGTTCCTGTTTCCTCAGGTATTGAGTTCTTTTCACATAACCAGGCTAAGTCTCTAAGCAAAATCACGTCTGTTGTACAATGAAGGCAGTTGTAATTTTGGTTACAAAGTGACAAAAAGTAAAAAAAAAAACACTGGAATTATAGAAATCACTGTTACTCACTTTAAGACGGTCCTGGTAAAAGCAAAGGACTTGGTACGTTTGTCCGATGGTCAGACTCTCTGGAAACACAAGGTGAAGGACATTTTCTGGAGATTCAATGCCTAGCGATTTCCCCGACTTGTTTAAGTCCATAGGCCAAAGAGAAGACTCTCGCATACGCTCGGCTAGAACCTCTCCGGGCTCGGGTCTCATTTCTTCGGATGAAAGATAGCGGAAAATGAAGCGTCGGAGTGCTATGGTGATGGCACGTAGCGTAGAACGATCCGCCTCACTCTTACCAGAGAAAAAGGCTGCTTTGGCCAAATCATCTGTGATCTCTTTGGGTATAGAAGCACGATAAGTATCATTCACGCGCTTGGCAGCAGATTCAGCCAGTGTGTCTTCAAGAAACTCGTAAAGGGCGACCACGTGCATAAGTTGGATTGCACTATGGGGCTGTGGGAGTAACTGCTTTGGAAATGGTCTCGACCCGCCCAGCCACTTGTCTGTAAATTCTGTTAAAGGTTCCTCAGGTTTTCCATGTTGATGTCTCTTTAACAGGCATAGGACGATTTCCATATGTTCTAACAATTCCTGGACGCTCTCAAGGCTGTGCTCCCTCTGGCGTACCAAACCACTCCGCAAAATTTCTGTCAATGGCTGTTGAGGAATAAGCTTTTGTAATTCATCCAGGATACCTCGGCATGTGTGAAAAAGCTCTCGAGAGAAGATAAACTCGCGCAATCCGTCGAAAGTCGAAAGGAAAGCTTTTCCTACAAGGAAGCGGGCTGCCATTTCTTTTTCAATCTTTGCAAGATCATAAAACACTTCTTTTCCATGGCCATACTCAGTGTTACGCTGAGAGTTCCTTAAAATGGCATCCGACCACTGGTATTGAATTATTTCTTTCTCACGAGCCTCTTGGACGTGGACCATTGGAATGGAACACTTTCCCTCGTCCCGCTCTAGAAAGATCAAAGCAGACGATTTCCCTGTAGCGCCAATACTAAGAACCTTCTGCATGAAGTCGTTCTGTATTTTCTGAAGTACTTCCATGGCAACACAAAGGAACACTCCTTGATCTCGCTTTTCAACAAGGCAGACAGAAATCGGCGAGATTTCGCTGACGTATGGAACTTCTTTTTGCAGCTGTTCCTTGAGAAGGGGACGCATCTCCTCAAACGCAGCGGTAAAGTTCTCAAAAGCCTCTTTTAGTTGATCTCTTTCCGCTGGTGATTTGGCTTTTTCTCGAATAACGTCGCCAATCTTCTTGTTGATGTCCTTACGGCTGAGGCGTCTGCTCAAAAGTGAATCAACGATACGACTCCAGGAAACAAGGTGGACAAGGTTTCCCACGAGTGGCAGACGGTCATCAAAATCCAGAAACAAACCCAGCAACGGAAATTTGTCTCTCTCTTTGTCCTCAGTTAACATGTAATATGATTTAAGGGCATTGAACGTTTTCAGCAATGTTACTCTAAGCAGACGGGGGATGTGTAGGTTTCTCTCATTCATTTCTGAAAACTGGGGGTTGTCAGTCTCTTCAATCTTCCTTTGAGTTGCTGATGAAGATGCGTCTACAGAACGTTTGAGCAACTTTCTTGGATGAAACTCGCGGAGTAAGGGCCCAATCGATGATGCAAACTTCTTTTCCCAAGACAACCTTTCGTCTGGCGAGCTACAGATATTTGCGGAAGTAAGAATGGAGGAACACTCTTCTAATGCACAATGTAGGAAACGGAGAACTTCTTCTTCTTTAGCATTTAAAATACTACACAGCACCTTTAAGTCGTTTGATATCTGTTGAAAACAAATCTCTGAAGGACTTCCTTCTTTCGGCTTAGTGTTCAAGAATTGACCGAGGGAGCTGTTATCAAACAATTCCAGTGCAAAGCCTCCGTAGAGCGCTGCGTGAACAAACAAGTGAAGGATACGGAATTCCGCAGGTTTAAGCTGCCGAACGCAGAGGGAGATGTCATCAGAATTTAAAAGTGAGACGTAACCCTTTGATGCCAACATCCCTTCTTGAGCGCTTGCCTCATTAGGTATGCCCTTTTTCTCACTTTCGTTAGGACAGCTTGCTTCCTTGCCATCACCGACCACCACATAGAAGGTGCCACAAGAACATGAAGAGGCTGTTTTCAATTGTCGTGTGACATCGTAATTCCAATGTCTTTTGAACGGTTGCGAACCACCTTCCCCTGATGCTAAGACGAAAGAATTTACGGAAGCCATTGGGTCAACGAAGTATGACATCATGGCCAGTGTCCCCTTCTTTATACTTGTAAAACTTGAGGCAAGGATAATGCAGAGGTGTAAAATCAATGTCGACTTATGCACATCTTCTGGCGATGACTCCGGCGAAACGCAAAGTCTCGGAGCACTAAAATCTTTTTTTCCGGTGATTCGTTGAAGAAGGTTAAAATAAGGAGTTTCCACATTCTTCATCTTCTCTATTACAGACGCAATTGCCTTATCCTCACTATCTTTCAAGGCTCGTCTGGAGCGTACTAGAAAAAACGACTTGGCCAGGACAGTTGCCGCTTCAACCCTGATTTCCACTGACTGAGACATTGAGGCTATGACATCTTCAAATGGCTTCATATTTTTCTTTTCGAGAAGAGTTGCCAGTGCAGCTTGAACTTCTGAGTTTTCCGAGAATGATTGAAAAGGATCAAAACTAAGTTTAGTAACTAAGTTGTCATCTTGCCACTGTATCATTTTCAACGCTGGGAGTTTACAGCTTGTTTGACAAAGGGTATAAATCTGGTACATTGGGAGGTTCTTCTTCAGCTCCTTCAGAAAGTATACTTGCAGCTCCGATATCCTGGTATCACGCAATTGATCTGCCCCATTTAAGGTAAATGCGGCATTTAATTCATTCATTAACATGGAAAACTCTCCGTCTTCTACAAGGTGAGGACTGTTTTCCAGAATAAATGCGCAAAAGGATGTCAAGAACGCCTTCAGGTAAGCCACTGCACAGAGAAGATGAAACGCTCTCTGTTCGACGTCTTTGTCTTCTGTTGCGCTCGGTTCAACGTCTTCTGTAGGCTCCATCACAATTTGACAGGCCTTGCGAAAGTTCAAAAGCAATCGATCTTCGGAACCTGAAACCGTCGAGAAGTCTATGTCCGAGAATGCAACTTCATTTATGAGATCACAACAAACAACAGCAAAAGGCGAGTCAAGTTCGACGTCACCAGGAAGAGTTGATAAAGCATTACTAATTTCCTGGAGACCTGGGTGATCACCTATGGTTTCGGGGTGGTCTAAGAGCTTCTCAAAAACACCTGGGGACAACTCTTCTTCTACGAGGAATACTCGGTGAACCAGAGGTCCAGCCAGTTGAATTAGAGACTTTTGCCCACTACGACAAATTCTTGCCAGTATAGAACCAAGAACTGGAGTGTCTGGATTGGAATCGATACAGCGCCCATAGTAGAGCATCAGAAAGTCCTCCAACCTTTCTTGTTGAACATCTCGTTTTGCCACCTCGTCAACAACATTTACAATTCGATCAAAAACATCTTGGGAGTCGAGGTAACCTTCAGAGTTTCCCATTACTCCAAGTGAACCTAGCATGTAAAGGGAATACGGTTCGAGAGATTCAGGTAAAACTAGTAAGGTCACAAAGTCGTAACAAACACGGAGAAAGTAGAAGGCAGGGCTTACAACTTGCAATCTGCTGACTGTAGAAAGAAAGAGACTCGTCGTCCGTTGCCAATTGTCAGGGCCTTCAAAACTTTCTATCACATCGGAAGTTGGAAATAAGGCTGAACACAGTGTCTCTACCAAAATTTCATCAAAGCTTGTTTCATCAATAGCCCCATCATCTGAGATTTCTTCCTCTGTGTGTACGTTCTCTAGGTCACTCTCCTCCTCTGTGTGTTCGTTCTCAAGGTCACTCTCTTCCTCTAGGTCATTTACCGCTTTCTTGTCGTCTTCTACCCTGAATTCATGGTCTTCTTCACCAAGCTCCTCGTTCTTCTTAATGTTTACTGAGATTCCTTCCCCTGTGTCTTGGTTCTCTGAAACATTTTTTTGACCTGTTTTTTCTTCCGCTTCTTCCTCTTCCTCTCCTTCAGAGGTATGCTCCTGTTTTCCAACATGTTTATCGTCAATGGTAATACCCTTTTCAACACGGCCTGCTTCACAGAGAAAATCCTCATCCTCGACCCTGGTTAGAGCTTCCTCATTCTTACCATCATTGACTGACGTTGTCTCCACAGAATGTTGATGCTCAGCAACTTTAGCTGTTCCACTAGGTTCTTGAACCCGAATGATCTCGTCTATTTCCCCACTATTTTCGCCGTTGTCCGCCCTTTCACGACTGCATAATTCTTCGTAGTGATGTCCCTTTATTGAACCGTCTGCTGACGGTAAGTGTTCTTTAACTGCCTGTGTTTCATCTCCTTGTTCGTCCACGCTTTTGATTCCCACGTTTTCTACCAGCTCTTTTTGTTCTTCCATTCCCTTTCCCAGACTGCCTGATTGGCCACCTTTTACTTCTTGAAACTTGTCGTTTCCAGGTTCGAATTTCTCTTGTTCTCCTGGCGTCTTCCCGTTGCTTCGTTCTAGCTGCAGAGACACAGTAGGATTTTCTAACAGAGTTAGTGCTGAGAATCCTTCGCCGGTGCCGTGCTCCGATTCAGCGTTCTGTTGTTCATTCTGCACGCTACAACTCACTTCTATCTCTTCTGTTTTTTCGTAATTACTTATACACTGGGCTTCATCAACTTCTTCGCACTGCAATTGAGCCTTGCTTTGAAACAGTTTTTCCTCAAACACAGTAGACAGCTTGCAGAACAACTTTGTTAAGTCCACATGTTTGATTTTGGAGCACGTCGCGTAAACCTGAAGTGCTGCCGTGTACATGGTTTCGTTCAACCAAAAAAGAGAATGCAAGCGGGTGATGAGTCGAGCAGGGTCTCCATCAATTCTAAACTTAATATCGTTTGCCATCGCAGACTTCAAAAACTCAATCCTCTTCTCACGAGTAAATACGTCGGAAAAGTGAACGGTTTTCATGTCAATAAGATCTTCCACATAGTCCCCAATATTCTGTTGAAGGTATTCCAGCTCTACTACTTGTGGAATTTTCTCTTTTATCATGGCACTGAACCTGTGTAGCTGCGATTCTGCCGCGACGTCGTGCAATTCTCTGTTTTCATCCAGGTTTGCCTCATTCAAAAGGAGCTGCCTTTGGTCTTCAGCAAACAAAGGTTGAATTCGGTCTACTTTATCACTAAAGACTGCTGCAAGAGGAAATTTCAGGTGCAGGTGTCGCTCTGGAACAAAGTAAGACTCTGCTCCTTGGTGGTCAGGGATGTCTTCAATGTTGAGGATCTCTTGGTCCAAAATCAATTCCGACCAAACTTGAAGTTCTTCCTCGTCGGAAGGATCCTGTGTGTAGAGAAACTTTGGCCAGGCAGATTTCTCTTCTAAGAAGTAGATGATCTTTGCCAGTGGATGGCGTATGAGATGGCTGACATAATGCTGAATGGCTCCTACTAGATGTGAAGACCTAATTAAAGCTTGACGATCGCATGCAACTGAAAATTGCCAAGTTCGACCTTCTGGATGCTGGAAACTGTTGTCGAGTCTTTTATTTAACCACCGTTTCACGAGCTCTTTGAAACATTCCAAGATCTTCGCGTTGGAGGGCAATCTTAACAGCTGTTCTATATTGAGAATTTCATCCACTGAAGGCTGGCGAATGGCTGGGTACTTTATTCGAGTGAAGCACCAAAGAAATTCGTTTGATGCCACTTCAGTAAAAGAGAGCGACTTGGTATCCATAAGGTCAATGACACTTACGTCTAAACACTCAGTAATGGGCAACACAGGGGGTTCCAAGACATCTATTGTTACTTGCTTCCAACCACTTTGGAAACTAAACTGCCAGTGCTGACTTTCAACTCCATTTGCTTCACTTTCCCTCTGAACATGGACAATTATGCAAACATGTTTGATCTGACTTTGGGCTGTCTGCATTGATTCTTTTTCGTACTTCTGTCTCTGCTGCTCGATAATTGATTTGGCAAGGAGCATATGGGTGGCATCCAACTCTGGCTTGCACTGTAGTACCAACAGCGCGTCACTGGATTTCCAAAATCTTTCCAACTGCTTTGTTAAGTGCTTTTCTGACTTAAAAGCGCTTAACTTTTCCGTTTGGCATCGTAACAGCCCACTAAGACACTGCGCTACATTCACGTGGATGTTACTGTGGGTCATGATCAGCAGTCGAATACCACTGGTGGCGTCATCATCCAGCTTTAAACCCTCCAATGAGTGTTTCAAATACTCTTTCAATCCATTGTGTAATGGCATCTCAAAATAGGTCTTGTACAGGGCCTGGACTTCTTCAAAATTCTTTTCGGCCAAGGAAGATTCTAAACTCCTCAAGACACCATCAGGAGATGCTACTAACATGAGATCCGCCTTGCATTTTTCCAAAATTTCGTCTATGCCAAGTTCTTCTTCTTGACTGTTTTTGAGGACAAGTGAAGACAGGGTATCACTACAGAATCCAACAAACATATCTTCTTCGTGAAATTGGGATTCAAATTCAGGAATTGTGGATATACTTCTCACCCATTCATTCAAACTGCTAATAATACTTCTCCGCTTTCCGTCAAGGACGTCCGTGAAGCGGAGCAACTGCTTCTCGAAACGGTTCAGAAACGGAGGATCTGTGAAGTCAACCCTTCGTTGATCAATCAACACTATGCATCGAAATCCATCATGGACCTGACACATAGGATTGCTAAAGGCACCAAGTGCGACCCGACAGTTTCTCTTCCCTCCAACAACGGTATAATTCTGGTTCAGCATATCATACAGACTGCCATAGATGTTTTCAAGATCTCGGAGAATGAGAACGCAATCCCTCTCCATGCACAAAATAATGCGGCTCAGCATTCGATAATTGTATTCTTCAGAAAGATCTTCTTCGAATCGACTTCCAAAGATGGTGATTTTCTCTTTGTCAAGACTTTGCAGAGTCTGATCAAGGATGCCAATAGCAGCATCTCCATTCGTTATTATCATTAAATGACGTGCCAGTTTGTCGTGCAGATTGTCACGGATGAGTTGAGTAACTTTAAAATGATGAGTATTCTCTACTAAATCCAGGGAGTGGAGTCTTTTCTGAAACAACGTTTGAAAGTTGTTTACGTCACTGGGCACGCCACCAAAATTCCTCTGTAATGCATGTTGGATCCCCTGTGTTTTCTCTTCGATGAGCGGGTGGTGAGAGGGATTGTGATTCCTGTTTGAGCTGAGGCATTTGATAAGGCTGTAATAGTCTCGAAGTCCATGAAAGTTTGCATATTTTTGAGATCCTTGATATTCATGATATGCTTCGGCAAGGCAAAGAAGCTGTTTGTCATCTGGGTAGGTGTCTCTGCGATAGGGGTGTCCTGAACGAGTGCGAGGCACTCCAAATGCAGTTCTCTCACTACCTGCCTCTCTCAAAGATTTTCCAGTGTCAAACAAATCGTCCACATCTGGTTCAGGCCTGGACAGATGAATTGCACGGTTCATCTTAGCTGCATCTAAGGCCCAGTTCGAGATGCCAACTACAGCAACATCAGGAAATGCACCATCGCCTGGTTCCAGTAGACTGTGCAATACTTTCAAAGGGTTGTACTGTGATACCTCAGCCAGACCAATCTCATCAAGAAGAACAACTGGAAGAATATCTCCACTTTTGTTGTGCTCCTTGTACTTTCGCGCTTTCTCAAACACCTTGAGTATTCCATCTGATGTTGAGGACTCTGAGCCTTGGTGAGAAACCACATAGAGTTGTGGAAATTTCTTAAGAAAAGGATCTTTGGTATCTTTTCCTCTTAAGTTGCTGCGGATAATTTGCATAGACAAAGATTTGCTACATCCTGGCTTTCCAACGACGAAAACCGGAATTCGGTTCAGGATACAAACAAGCATAACGAACACATTCTCGCGAAGAGCACCATTCTTAGCGGTTCCCTCTGGCAATTCCATTCTTTCAAGGTAATCTTCTTGCTCTGCTCTAACAATGGCCTCAAAGCTCTGCTCTTTAAATAAATGTTTTTTGTGTTTTCTAAAGCACTCGGCAACGCGTTGTTGGTATCCCTTTCTTGCTTCCGCAGTAGGAAGACGTGATTGATAACAGTGAGCTAAGGCGAGGACAAAGGATCTTTCTAGATTAGGGAACCGACGAGCAATCACGTGACAAGCACAATCACCCTTAAATTTTGTTAGGGGTAAATCATTACGCTCTTTCAATGTCTCTCCAAACCACTTCACAAGGACAATGCAGCGATGAGCGTCTCGTAGGCTCACACAGTAAGGGCTCCCGTCAACTTCTCGGATGTACTGTTGAGAAGTACAGAGCAGATCAGCTAACAAGTTGTCAGTTTTTCCGGTGATTCCTTCTACCATTCGACCAATGTATGCATGTTCATCGTCCTTACCTAGTGATCCATAGTCCCAGACAAAGTCGATCATTGTTTCAGGTAAAGGGTGAACCCGATACACCAGTTTTGAAAATTGGTCTGTCTCTATCTTCTCACTTAGACCTGCTGTCGTAATTTTCCCAGGCGGACGAAGACGGTACGGGTTGCAGGCAGCGATGAATACCAAGTTAGATGTGATTGGTTTGCCTTTAATGCTACGGTGACAAATCACCTCGTTGATTGTGCCCAGATATTCACAAGTGTTAATTTCGTCAAGGAACACCCAAACTTCTTTGCCAGTTTTCGCTTCCGTCTCCCTTTGGTCGATGAAGTCGATCACCTCTTCCTCGGCCACACCTGCATGAAAATTGAAAACGTGAAATGGGACACCACACGTTCTGGCTAGGTATCTTACAAGGCTAGTCTTGCCACAACCTGTTTCTCCCATGACAATGACTGGTATACGTGCCTTAATACGTTGAATAATTAGCACCATCTTCAGGATATTGTCCGGCGTAAGGGCATAATCAAGTTTCTGTAAGCTGTCATCATTTTGTCTTGGTTTTGTTCGAACGATTAGATCAAGTCTTTCCTGAAGTTCTCTGTGATTCAGCTTGGCAAAGTCCTTTATATCTTCACCTTTCTTCGCCTGCACTTTCAACAATTTCTGCACATTGGAAGGCACTTGTGACAAGTCACGGTACAAAGCAGAAATAGTAAAAGCCTCCAGTCTGTGAAACGCAATCACAAGGTGATTATTGTCAGTCCACTGAATCATTCCTTCAACCCTTTCGACCATTCTTTCTGCATCATTCCTTGAGGACGAATGGAGCTTTTTCAAGACTTCGGATGCTTGCTCTTTTGAAATGGCTTCTGACTGAACATTCTTACAGGTTACAACAGACCGTGATGCAAACTCTCTTGACACCTCCAAGAGGGCTTTGAATAAGCAGTTTCGAACATCATGTTGCAGGCCTAGGGCGGCCTGTAAATTGTGAGTTTTGAAGAAAGGACTTTCTGAAAACTGTAAGAGCTGATCTGCAAAAACCTTGAGGAAGCTCTCTACTATGTTGTACGACAAATCCCCGGTTGACGAGAAATGCTTTGATAGAAGCTGTTTACATCGGTCTGATGACAATGGCTTCAGATCGACAAGATTTAGATCTTTGGTTTCCAACGAACCAGACTCGTAGGCATGAAGATACTGGCAGACAACTTGAACGGGACTCAATGGCTCCTGGCTCACAACAAGGTCTCCATACCCAACCAAGTTTTTGTGTAAAGGAGAAAAGCACTTTGTAATTGGAAGCGAATCTTGAAGCCAGTGCCTTAGTGTGTTCGCAATTTCGATGTACACATGCTTGGTCGGGAGATGGAAAAGTTCCGTTCCACAGGACATCATACCCACAACAACGAGTTCGAACATCATAGTGTCCAGAACTAACGGGTCATCCACTTCGCCAACATCAAAATGAATGCATTCGTGAGAAGAAACGCTCAAACCAGACAACCTTTTCAAAAGGTTTTTTCGTGACAAAGGCCCGCTGATTGGCACCGTCAAAGCTTTCTTCTTATATGATGCTGCATGCTCGTGGATAGCCTCTGTCTTTCCCACACCAGGAAGATCCGAAGTGACCATGAAAACGTTTGGAAAAACTTTCTTGAAAGTATCCCGTAGCTTTGGTTCTGACATTCCAAGAATGTTGTGGGCAGCTGAAGAGAACTGATCAGCAATGTGGTGATGAATACCTCCACAACAAACTAGCGCTAACAGGTAGGAACCGTCAACCTTCTTTTGGTATGTTCTTATGGCTGTAACAAGTTCAAACTGCATGTCATTTGAAAGGTTTTCAACGTTCGCAAGGCAGTGTAACTTGGCCGAAGTGGAATGCGTATATGCTTCAAACGAACGTTTCAGAAGTCGCTCAACCTCTTCCCAACTGGTCTCTGAATGACAGAAGAGGACTTGACTAGGCTGAGGAAAAGACCCCGTTGTGCTCTCGAACAGTGACATAACCACATTAGCCGTCTGCTTACTGCCAAGTTCAAGAACAGCAACAAACAATTCCCCTGGCTTGACAGCTCTTTGCAAGTCATGTTGTAGTATCTTTTTCAACGGCGCACCTTGGCGTGGAATAAAGATGCTATCTAAAACCTCTCCAATGGCCTGGAGGTCGATCTCAAGCCCAGAGTCTCCTTTGGGTGCGTTGTAATGGCAACGGAAATCATCAAGCTCTTTAGGTTGTATACTTGGATCCACAAAACGCAACAGGCTGTGAACAGATGACGTCAGCGCAAGTCGGCCCTGTGTATTCGTTGAAGGCTTTGAAAAAAACTTGTGTAACAGCCACAGCTGATCAGGGTGGAAAAAATTGAGGAAATAGTACTGTTCTTGTAAACGTTTTAACAACGTTTCCCAATCCTGCAAAGTAGACTGTAGGCTAAGAGCCTGAGACTCAATCTCGTGAGAGGACGTAAGCTTCTGCCAAAAGCTTATATACTTTGGATGACCAGATTCTCGCAGCAATGTGACAACGTTGACAATGTCAGTAATCATTTCCACTTGCGTTATAAATGTTGGCAAGGTCTGGTTGACAGACTGAACTGAAGCACTGGAGTCATCTAAATTCTCCACCTGTTCTTGCTTCTTATCCGTATTCAAAATTAGGAGAGCTCGGCTTCTCAGGTCGTGAAGTTCTGTCATATTATAGGTCGTGTCTTTTGGTGCACTTTCATTACGACGATAACTAAGTTGGACATCGCTTGAGCCATCAGGGTTAGTCTTAATTACGTAACATCCTTTCTGTACGGCATTGTTGATTATTTCCTTTGTCATCTCCCCACGGTTGGCAACATTCATGTACAAGCCTCTTAGGCTATGAACATTACAGCCACACTCACTGATTTTAGCTGCCATTTCTGATTTCTTTTCAAGCTTTAGGTAACACTCTTTGAGACTAACCAGGAACATCATAGGATCTTTTGGGGTTTCTCGTATTATGTTGCGCAGAAATCCATGAACATCAATTAAATCCGAAACGATAGCTTCCGAGACAAACTGATCAGAATGTTCCTCTACAGCATCAATTAGTATACGAATGTCTTCATTCGCAGTTTCTTTCATAAACGAGATCAGTTCACTGGACTCTTGAAGTGTCTCCATGATGGTTTTCAAAGTATCGTCTAGCTCAGAGTTTACCCTTGCCACGCTCTTCTTTTCAACAATCTCCGACACACGTGTCAGCGTGAGGTCACTGATGGGGCCGGAAGAAACCTGCCTGAAGTCCTGTAGATCCTTGCTGACAGCTTCATCTTCAGAATCTTCGAATCCAAGAGCTGCGTAAATCGACATCAGCTGTTCTACTTTTGCACAGACGAGAGGGAAAGATAAATAATTTTTCAACATTTCGTTTTTCCTTTTAGGAACTAGAGTACCACAGAAGGAACTGATTGCAAGTAGCTCTCTGTTTAGAGCCTCCTCGGTATCAATACCAGACAAGAGCATGTGCACTTCTAAACTCTTTGGATCCTTGTTGCTGTCGGTAAAACTGGTACATGCCTCTCTAAATTGGCGCAAGCCATCGTTTTCGAGGATATGCAGCACCTCAGCAGCTTGGTATTCTGGAAGGTCATCTGAAGAATCGGCTTCTTTACCCAATGCTCTTTGAGAAGATGCCAGGTTTTCTTTCAAGCACAAATGTGCCACGTTGGTAAAGATGATACTTTCTCGAACCTTTGTGGCCGTCTCTGAAGATCCAATCAACTTATCCAGTGTGCCCCAGAAGCTAAAATCAAGGGCATCTTTAAGAGTAGCATCATCTCTTACTTTCTTCCTGTTGTTGACCTCCTTGATTATGGTTTCTACATCAGAAATCACGACACATCCTTCACATACATTCTGGAGAAAACGGATTGTCTGCTCTACTTTGGCGAAGCGTTCAAAGAAGCTTTTAGCCTTCTTACACCCCAACGACAGAAGCGCTTTCCACTCCTCTCTCTTATTTTGATCAACTGTTGTTGACTCTTGGCAAGAACCCAGGACACAATACGCAGCAAGAAGACTTATCTCATCGTCATTCAGGGTTATCAAAAACTTCACACGCAGGCTTTGTCTCTGCTGCTCATCTCTTAAGCACCACAAAGCATTCAGGGCTGCCGACACAGAAGGCTGTCGCAGAAGTATACTTTTAGGGTGAACTGCACTCAGTAATGGTAACCACAGTTCACTGCTGGAAATCATCGCCTTTAACACTTCTTCCACATCAACTTTTTTCCCTTCCTCGCCTTGTATTTGGATGAGTTCCACAGCAGAAACCAAAAGCTCCTCCCGGGCCCTGAAAACGAATTTACAACGAGCTTCAATGGACAGAAAATTAACCCAGGAACAGCTGCATCTAGATTCATAACTAAATTAAATTGTAACTCTACGTATATGTGTGAAAAAAAAGTCAAAGAGGTTTTTTTCATCTATTTAGGATGCACTTGAAGTCAGCAAGCTGGTTTTTTAGCTGAGAACATTTTGGCAAGATATGATGTGGATGACAAATACCCTGGAATGCAAATATTCAAAACACTTTTTCAACATCATTTCACGAATCACACTCCTCTCAGACCCACCTATCTAGCTTCTCCTTCTGAAGTCTCTCCTTTCTCTCCTTAGAGTGATCATAGCCGAGAAGACGAATCATATTCTTGTATTTTGAACGACGGTCACCGGCTCCACTTTCCCTTTTAATCGCCTCTCTGAACAGATGTACGAGACGCGTAAAAATTGTATGGGGTCGATTCTGTGCATCTGCAACAGCATTCATGATGGACTGGAAACTTCTCTTTATAACCATTTTTTCTACTTGCTCTTGCAAAGCGAGGCAGAGATTATCGTCGTCCTTCACCGCTTCTGTTTCACACAACATTTCGCAGGCTTCCACAACAGCAAGGATTTGGTCGCTGGGTCTCTTACTAGCATACTGAGCTCTTACCCAGTTCCAAGATATTTTCAATTTGTCTGCATGGGAGAATCCCTTAACCCAGCAGGTGTGCAATTCCTTGGACTCCAAGAGAGTAAGAATCATGGACACCACCTTTTCAGACTTGTGTAATGAGATACTCATAACAAGATGACAAAATGTATCCGCTGACTGCAACCTTGGATCGAGAACAATACTCCTCAAACTGTCCAGTCTCTCATGTATAGAGGTAGTTTCCGACGGGACCTGCTCAACCAACACTTTGCAAAACGGACTAGCTAGTTTCTCTTTCAATTTCTCTGGTACGTCACTCCAAAAACATGGCTGGAGAAGATCGGGCTTCCTCGTACGCTTTCGTGAAGTAAACTTCCCATACGCGTTTGTAAATTCTTCCTCCAAAACGTTCAACAGGTCAGAACTGGTGAATGAAATGACACTATAGAGATTCCAAAGGCATTCTACACTTGGAGAGTGGTTTATCATAAAACAGCAAAATCCTCTACGGCTGTCCGAGTCTTTCATTCTAGTTACAGATGCTATTACACTTAACACTTGTTGATCGAATTGATTATTGGTGAGGAGCGTTGAGGAAAGTTTGTCAGCCACTTGCATTACATAGTTCACATCAAGAAGATTACAGAAAAATTTGATAAAGGCTAAGCATCCAATCGAAGATCCAGCGTTAAAGAGACATTCAGCTACAGCCTTGATGGAGAGTGTGCTGCTCTTAGGCAATGCCTCGTTAGGGTAACGCTCAAGGAATGAAAGAAGTTTGTCAGCTATCTTCTGTCCCAGCAAATTACACACCATACGAGCTGGGGTCCGCGTGCGAGTTACTAATTGGCCAAGAAGAGCAGATAGGTACACACCCTGATCGTCTGTAGGACCACTTTTGATGCTTTCCTCGACCCAATGAATGACAGTTTTGATATCTGCATCCAAATAATTCGGGTGGCCAAAGCCAGTATGTTCACACTCGATCAGCATTTCCTTTAAATTTCCACCCCTTCCTAGCAGGTCATACAGTAGCTTGACAAAGAACAGTTGCCCAGAGAAAATGGTTTTCCTCCAACTTTCGTCTCCTGGTTTATGAAAAATGTCATATTGATCCTTGCCCTTATTGAGCTTGCGGTAAAGTTTCTCATGTAACGTTTTGAGGTCCTTTCCACTCCAAAGCCTCTTTATGAGGGATTCAACCAATCCTTCTTTCCATTTGACCACATACCGATAGCGAAATGTTTCGAGCTGATGAGCTGGGACAAATAGCTCGGGGGATTTCCAGTGCTTTTCATTAGGATCGAAAGTTAGGCTCATCGTAATACAGCCATTAAGCATTGGCTTCTGTGTTTCAATCTTTACTGACTCAACTTTTTCCTCCAAATAAAGGTGAAAAACATACCTGAGATACTAAAAGAAAAGAGGAAAAAGGAATAATTACATCATCATACTAACTTTGACCCAAATACTTATCTTTGATAAATTAGCTTGATACAGTCATGTACATAGAGAGGTTAGTCTTGAAATAATCTGAAGCTGGTGCATTCGTTTATTACAACATTTTGCCATCAACCAGTTTGGAAAGGGGGTTTGTTTAAAATTATCAAAATAAACGTGCGTCGAATGGTTTTTTTTTTCTACTTTTGCGCATGTTTAAAACCCTAAAGTAAAGGGGCAATTAAATGACAGTTAATTTAAGACGAGTTTGTCTTCAATTGAACTTTGAGGGACACAGTAACCACAGCAAACCAGGACCGTGTATCATTATCATTTAAATCACGCTATTTTTGACTGTTAGTTGTCTGTTACTTGCAAGTGATATGTCATAAGGAGCCATGCCAAAATTGATTTCCTTCGCGGGTAAAATGCTACATTTCTGTGGAGAACTCCGTTGATTTTATTAATCCTTTGAAATTGCTCCAAATCACAATATTGCATATCTGACGTCTCTTCGTAAATATGAGGAAAATGGAAAGACACTTGAGCTTATGATATAAAAGGAAGGCATTTTGGTACCTGTTCTCTATTTTCCAATGGTTTCATGGGGCTAACGCTTTCTTCTTCTTCCTCCTTTTCATCTTCTTCCTCTTGGCCTTCTTTGACACCAGAGGGAGGTCTGTTATCCTAAAAGGTATACCAGAAGAAAAATGTTGCAAACACTATTCCTACATAGCTTTACGCTATTTCAATTTCTATGAAGTATGTTCATTTAGACCAGATCTTCACTGGGTACGAAAGCAAAGTTAGTGTGAGGCGGTAGAAAGAGCCACCTTAATTCAGCAATTCAACTTCAATTCAACATCGGGAGTACATTGTGTAACGAGGAGTGTTCAGAATTATTCAAATAAATGCAACTAAGGTCCAACATCTCCACCTTCTCCATTAATTTGCGACCTGCCGGACCAGTATTAGAGAGATCATTTCAACGAAACGGGAACCTAAAGTGGAACGCATCACTTTAAGGTTCGATAGAAGCTTAAAAAAAGTGGATTTAACTAGTCTCTCGAATTCCTTCACACTTAACACAAACTAATACAGCAACGACAAACAAGACTTGACATAGGCAAGTAAGCAGCTGAGGAGGTGCATCATCTCAGGAAAAGTCTCGAATCACATGGTATACCATGGTAACATTCGACTGCTTGTAAGAAAGAAATATTGAGCAGCACTGTAGTCCAAGAGCTGCTGGATAAAATTCGGAAGCTCTCCGACCTTGAAATAAAAGGTTGCTTTATTAGAACTAGGGCAGTCTTTAACGAAATCAAATCAGGGCAGTGAAGGATAATTTTTTAATGTGTTAACGTTGAAGAGCTGCAAGAAATGTCTGATGTAGATCATATTATGATGTAGGATTTGAGGAGGGCTCTCAAGAGCAGTGGGTGTGGAAAAGCACCAGGATAAGACAGTGCACTATCACATCTGTTGGAGTGTGGTGGTCCTATTCTGGAAGCTGTGCTCCTGAAGCCAAACAATGTACTCATAAGACATATTTGCCTCTTTGGGAAGTTTTGGCAAAAATGAAACGGAACCAGTTTAAGGTCAGGAAACCTTTTTCTAGAAAGTTTATTAAGCCTTATTGCTTCTCTGCTGTACTTGAAAAAATGCCAATTTAAAGGCGTGCACATTAAGTTTTGTTGGGAAATTATCCAACTGCGCTGGGAAAACAATTAAAACTGCATCCTAAACAATCCTCAATTAAGCTGAGCCCTTTACTGAAACATTTATTTCTGTGAACAGCATCACGAAGGCAGAAATCAAACAGTGGAAGGGCATTTATCTAATTAAACCCACCATCTTACAAAGAGAGCCAGAGGTTCACTGATTGTGTAAAACCTTGGTTCGGGTTAGACCTCCTGTAAATAACCAACCCTAGAAGTTTGACCTAGTTAATAATTTAAGTCAGTTTCTCTACTCTAACTTGTTTGAAGCCAAAGGATAAAATGCTATCACAAATTAGAACATCCTTTGGAGAAATCTGAAGATTGGAAGTTCATTCCTCAAGGAAAAGAGGAAACAGAAAGAACTTTCTATTGAGACCCTCGATGCCAGCCAAAGAGAAAGAATCTTCAGGTTTCGGTTGGAATGTCTAAGAAAAGAGGGTGACATCCTAAGGATGTCTACTCAGGAAGTCAAAAGCTTATCCCAGCAAGGTCATTATCATTAAAATTTTTCCAACTAAATGCCTTCAAAAATAATTTTTCTTGTCAGTAAGGCAGTGTTCCATCTGATTGGTTTTAATTATTTTATAGGTTAAAATCTTGAAGTGTGTTGAGAGTAGCACCTTGTTATGCTTATCATGCATACTGATTATAAATGAGATATGGTGTAATCGTGTACAATGTTCTAGTCTATGGTAAATGTATACAAAAGTGGAGCTTGTCTCAAGCCATGTTGTTGCTTGGTTCACTATTTACAAGAGACTTAGCTTGAGTGTATACATTTATTTTAGCAGGTTTTTCTGGTATAATTGCCCTTGTTCATTATACTCATTCATCATACAATGTATAACCTGTCTGGCCCTAATCAATGCAATCCTATGGTAGAAAATAATGAAAGCTGATGTCTGTAGGGCCAGATGCTGATGTGAGCTTGTAAAGAAAAAGCTGTGGGGCCCTGCACTCCTGTGGCTTGGTTTTAATAAACAAACATTGCAAATAGAAATGAGAAAATAAGTCACATTTTTTTAACAAATTGTTAGTTTCCTGCTGACTTGAAAAATAAAGGAAAAGTTTAATTATAGAAAAAAGTTTTTTCAGTCGTTCCATGTGCACCTGTCTATCAGTCATGCTATTAAAGTTGAAACAAAATTTTTGAAATTTTCCATGCTTAGTGGTCAAATGACAAAATTCTTATTGGCTGAATTTGGTCAGGTCAGGCAGAAAATATCTGGTTCTTGGCCATGAAATCCAGACCTCACTGTGCTCAGTCAGCACATCATGACCTCAAGCCAAATGTTTTCTGGCCAAGAAACTTGGGTTTTGAATTACAACTCAGCATGATTAGCATTTTTAATTCCATCATCCAGCAAGCAATAAAAAAATTAAAAAGAGATATACAGTGGAAATTGTGAATATGACTACAATGGCTTATGAAACTTAACTCATTATGGGCAAACCCTGTATCAAAATAATGGGCCAGCCTAACTATAAATTTTCTTTAAGAGAACTGCCAAAGCCTCCTAGAGCAAGGTTAAATTTGAATCCAAAGGTGAGGTTTTAGTCCCAAATATACAACATGATTCAGTTTTGGAATAAAAATAATTACAATAATAATTATAATTTTTACCAATAAAACTATGACAAAAAAACATACATTCATTGGAGGATTCCTCTCTTCTGAAGACAGACTTGTATTTCTGAAATGCTCACTTGTCCTGTAACTCCCTGGACATCCAGCAATATAGTCTTCGGTCGCTTTATCTGCATACTTTTTCCAGTCTGTTTTCTGGTGTTCTTTGTGACTGAAGCTGTCTGAAGTACCACCATAATCACCACCTCTCAGGGGGCCATCAAATCCAGCATTTGTGTTACCGTTATCATCTCCATGGCAAAATCCTGGCTGCTTGCCTTCTCTAGACATTCCTGAAGTTGAAATATAAGCACATTCATATGATGAGCATCATCTGTTTCCATTGAAGACCATTATGGAGGGCAGTTTTCAACAGACTAAATACATTATAAAATCAAGGAAATTATACTTTATCATTGTTTCAAAACGGTCAGAAAATGCAGCCATTTGCTTTAATTGATCTGTGCAAATTCCTCCCTCATTTGTCCAGCATGTGCAAGAAAAAGCATTTGATGTATGGCTGAGAGCTGTAGTTGGTAGTTTTTAATTTGAGACCTGAGGAAACACTTACAAACCTGTGAGAGGGGCAGTGTTGTGAAAATAATGGTTCATGCAACAGAATTTAATTCTTAAAAAAGTTTGGAAAAGCCAGTTTTAACTGGTGTGATGACTGCTGCAATAAAATGAGTTGCAGTGAACATTTCCTGAAAGCCAAAGCAAGTTGTCTCAGGGGACTTGTTGCATAATTAAGGGACAGCAAGTCCTCATTTAAACTTCTATATAAATATATATATATATATATATATATATAATGCTAGCAGCAATGACTCATCCTAGTAGAGTGCTCAATTTGGACATGAAAGCAAAGCTTTGTATGCCAAAGAGCTATATCTAACTATCTAATTATATCTAACTATATATATATATATATATATATATACACATATAAATGTGGGGGTAGAGTCTACCTTGGCATAAAGTGCTCAATGCTGTGGTAGCAGAGCTAAGTATACATAAGTTAAAGAATTAAAGAGGACGCATCAATTTTCTGTGACTCTAAGTTTCGTGCCTAAGCACTCATCAGACAGAACACTTATGTCTGATGAGCACTTAATCACAGTACTCAGAGTCACAGAGAATCAATGCGTCCTCTTTAATTCTTTAACTTATGTATATATATATATATATATATATATATATATATATATATTCAAACCAATGATTAGGAATAGATACTTGTAATCAGTGTAGAGCTCAATAAACTCATGGTACTGCATTCATTTTCCATAAAAGTGATGGTATGCAAAAGATAAGACACATACTATACAAAAAGATAAAATCATGCAAGTCATGAAATAAAACATTGAAACATGCGATAACAGGTAATAACATTCTTGAAAGTCATGTGTAGGTCACATGTAAAAATAAATACAATTAAAAAATGCGGCTCATCAGGTCAACTGTAGAATTAATAGACAGGGAAAGATACAAATAAGTTGAATCAAAATGCAGATAAAGATGACTGCAAACAAAATGATTATTAACATTCATACGCATTTAACCTCAAGCATAATCCATTTATAAAATACCACAAACGATAACTGTTGATTTAAATAATTCAAAGAATTCAAGGCTTCCTGCTTTTCCTAGAAAGCCAAACTAGTTTAAACCAGTTGATATCGTGATGTTCATTCACCTTATTTCCCGGAAATTAAGCATCGTTGTTAGAATATACTTATAAGACTAATTATTTCAGCTCTCTTTAACCTAATTCCCATGATTGACCAACACAGAGTTTTTCCTTACAATATCAATACAATATTAAGCAAACGAGTGATGTGCAAAAAAGAAATGTGTCAATTAGGGGCATTATTAGCTAATTCAATACCAATCCTCCCAACTAAAATCATGAAAATTGTATAGCAGACATTAAACAGAATAACTAAAGAGATCTTGGAAGTGAAAGGGTTCACAACCAATAAAACTTTGGCTGATCTTCACTGGTAAAAGTGTAGGAGGCTAGTAAATTTCCACTCTATAGCACGGTGCGAGATTACTCAAGTTACCCAAACCATGGAAGTTCACAATCAAGAACGATCAAAGAGCTGTTCCAGGACTATTTAAATAGCAGAAACTCACCTTTTCCTAGCCGTTTTGAGTTTTAATTAATTCACTGCAGGTGTTGAGCAGTTCATTCTGATCGATTTTCTTGAACCTGCTAACATTAATGAACTTCCCTAACGCACGACAGCGTTAATGCAAATGCTGCTAGTTTCAGGGAATCGGAGTAATTAAAGCCGGTTAATTAGGTTTAACCATTTCTGAGAAACACACGTGGTTAATACCTTTTATGGTAAAGATGACTGAAAGCGCTGAATTCGTGGAAAGAAAAAACTAACAAACAACCCTTGATAAGCAATTGTTTTTAACGTATTATTCCAATTGTAGTTTGAAGAAACAGTCTAATCTCTTCAGTTGTGAAGGCGTTTAAGTTCTGGCAATTCTTTTTCTGATAAGTCACAGAACAATAGAAGGGACCTTGAATGTGAGCGTTTTTGGATACAATTATATCAATCCTTGAACACGAGGCAGAGAGAGAGAGAGAACAGAATAAACCATTGAAGCGGTAAGGCCGGAATTTCCTTAAGCTTCAAACTTCATTCTTCATCTTCAGGTTAGTCTGCACTTCTTGAAGCAATTTAAGACTTCTTATCCAGAGCTAGACACATTAGTTTCCTGACGCCTCGTTAAGATGATATGCAACGGTACTCGGTTAGTCAACGGAAGCAGTCAGATCAGTAATTATTGACATTAGTGCATGCTGAAGGTGAGCTGAACGAACGACTTGGTTACTTGTGTGGAAATTTATCAAATATTAAGCGAGTGATCGCAATAATAAAGCAACAACACAGTCATGTTATAAAATAAACATTCGCGCGCACGCACGCACGCACGAACGCACGCACGCACCTATGCACGCGTTAAACTTGCGCACCCAGAGTAATAGAGAACCCAGACTCTCCAACTCACTACTGCCTTGCCTTAACACATCTTCCAATAAATGTTTTGTATGGCATGCCTTTAGTTCCAGATCTGGGTAAGCATGATTTGTGATCTGTGCAAGACCAGAAAGCTGCGAAGAGAATTTCCGTCAGATACTGTTACAGAGAAATGTGACCATGCACCTTTGCATTGTCTTAGGGTAAGTTAAAGTATTCCCAGTGGGCTTGTTGGCTCAGTTGGTAGAGTGCTGCACCAGTATCACAGAGGTCATGGGTTCAAATCCCATACAGGCCTGAATTTTTTTCAGGCATTATTTTCACAACTGTTTGAGTTGTGTTTATAACTGCAAAGATCACTTTCATATTCACATCTTTATCCGCAGTTCAAATATATAACTTTCATATATTCACAGTTATTTATATTATTTATGATGCACGGTTCTAGTATGATTCAGCCAACCTGACCACAAATTCTAAAATCTGATTTTCTTGTACCTAAGCAGTGTGTCACAAAGTATGTTGAAAAACACCAGAGGTGTTCTCAGTGTCCTCAAGTTGTGAAAACCAGTAATCCACAGTACCGTGAGTATGTGGAAACCCTGGAGAACTTGTTCCCAAAATACACTGCTCCTGATGCCACTACTGAAACTGAGCTGTCAACTTCACTGAAAGGTAGCGAGACAATCTCTGTTGTTATGTTGGGCGGAGACAGTACAGTAGTGCCTTATAGACCAGGCATGACAATCCAAGACCTGAAGAACTTTGTGGAGACCCAGCTTGGACCAGCTCCACTAAAACAGCGGCTGTTGTACAAAGAAAAAGAGCTTAAGGTAAGGGGAGAATGTATTGATCATAATTTGATCATGGTCTTTCACTCTCTCATGAATACAGAAGAAAGTTGTGCAAAAGTGAGCAAATCGAGGTATTTATCATCTTGTGTTTCAGACTGACTCAGGTACAAAACTGGCTACCTTACAAGATTACGCTATACAGCCATTCAGCACCTTACACCTCATTGTTGTGTTGTACGAGATCAACAAGTCCCTTGACCATGCAATTTTTGACTTGTTTTGGGGCTATCCATCTAGTGGACCTGATTTTCTGGATGCATCAGTCCTAGTCTACAGTGGAAAGTATTTCCAAGGAATAGTGGACTTTTGTCACCAAGCCTATAATGGTATTTCCCATTCTGGTGATGTAATGGATGATGCAAAGTGCCTTGGTCACCATACCATACATGTACAGCTGAAGTCTTTACCTAGCAACATCAACAAGTTATTTTTCACCTTGAGTGCTTGGAATTCCCCAAACATTTCAAAATATAAAAATCCCAGTCTGCGTTTTTTTGATGCCAAGGAGCCTAACAAGCAGCTCTGCAGTGATGAGATGGGACATGCCGCATACTCTCAGGCCATCATCATGTGCAGTTTGTCCAAAATTGATGGAGTATGGAAAGTTTTCAGTTTGCGCACACTGTCTGCTGGAAATGCAAATAATTATTCTCCATTGCAGCAGACAATTGGTGGCATAATAACTCAAGGACTGTGTTAAATATTACTGCAAATCTTTTTTAAGTTTAAGTGATTATTCACACTGAAATTCATATAGCTGCCTGTAGGACAGAAAAAGATTCACGGACTTATGTTATTATCGGTAGAAGGACTGAACAGATAACTTTAAGAGCTTAAACCTGATTTAGGCTTTAAGTTTACAATCTAGTTGGACTGTATATAGTGCAAAAACCTTCAAAATCCTATTTGCCTTTTCCACCAGGTTTTGTACTGGAAACAGTCATGTCTGTTGTCTGTGTAAGGCGCTTTAATTGAATAGAAAATCAAGAGACTATCAACAGAGGAATTGAAGGAGTTTTCAGAGCAGAGGTCAGTTGAACTGCTTTTTCAGGTAGTGGAATAGCCAATATTACAAGCAAAATAAAGAACTGCAAAGTTAGTGTTATTATTGCCAACAATTAAAACTAGGTTATTCTTTCAGATAATACATCTGAAATTATTTTGCCCTTAGATAGACCACATTAAATTGTTTGTATAATGATGCGGAGTCATTGTCAACTGAGGATTGTGCTGCTAGCTGGTTTGCACTAGGTAACAAGACGGAATGATTAACAATTCTAAATAAAACCTAATCACACTGGCCATTACCAAGTGTATGGTTTGCATCAGTATCAATAAGAGAAACGGCTGGCAGAGAATGCATGTGGGATTCAAGATCCACAGCAGTTCGTGTGAATCAACGTTGGGCAGAAGAATATCGAGAATCAGGTGGACAGAGTACTGAACTGATGGGTATGTTCTAGAAGAGATAGGTACAGATCAGGCCCTTACAAAAATTTTTAAAAAAATTGACATACTTTGGTCACATTATCAGGGCACAGAACCTGTGCAAAAAATTATGTAAAGGGAAAAAGAATGGGAGGCAAAGGCAAGAATGAGCAAGAAGACTATTGTGAATGAGATCAGGCAATGGACAGCAAAGAGGCATCCAGGATGCACAACTTTCACATGCCACAACAGGACGGAGAGAGCTAGGTCATTAATGTCCACAATTATAGTCACGGACTTGGACAGTAACACAGCCATACCAGTTAAACATTACCTTACAAAGAATTCATTTTTTCACCCATTTCGAGTGAACCAGGATTAAACAATTTTTGGGCACAAATGTCATTCAAGTTCTCATAGAGAGTAGCCTGTTCCAGGCATTCTGTGAGTAAAACCAAGTGCCATGGTGAAACAGGGCAATAGTGAAGTGGCAGCGTGATCAGCAAGGGTGGTTTTAGTCGAGTTGGGTTCTTTACCCAACGTTATTCCATTGGAATCTACATTACAAAACAAGAAAAACAAGAGAGCTTAGTTATAATGCTAAGTTAACTAAAAAATGAGGTTGACATGGTTCATATGTTGGAAATTTCATGAGATGAGACTTACACTGATGACTAAATGAAGTTGTGTGTCAGTTTCTTTTGGAAAATTTCTATTGCAATGAGTTCACAGTCAGTACCTGGTCTCTTTTGAAAATAAGCATTTAAGCCCAAAGGGCTTTAGAATCTTTTCAGGCTTCTTAAAAGACACCTATGCCACTGACCTCTTGTTACATGTTTGTCTGTTGCTCACATCTAAGAGGACTAAGCTTACAATTAGAACAAATTTTCAGACTAGTGTTTTATTTTTAAATTATTTCCTCAAACATAAAAAATAACTATTGAATACAGCTGTAGAGAATATAGTGTCCCTTAAATACCATCATATAATTCCAGAGAAGTATCACACAAAAACTTAAATCATGTCATTCTCTATTCTTGTGTAATCATACTAGGGACACAAGTCTCTCTATTTTCTACCATTAGACAGAATTTGAGATTGAACAACAAGTTCACATCCATAAATTGAACATAAATGCACTTGATTCATATAAAATACTTTGATTGTATATCAGTTAAATTTTTCAAATCTTTAGTCCTTACTCTTACATATTCCCTGTCCTGTTGCACTGTTGCTATCTGCATTCAGTACAAATAAGCCTGCTTTCTTTTTACTTTAAACTAGAATGAACCACCAGTTACAATTTTTTAAGGTCTGGACAAAATACAAATTGTAACATAACTGTAGAATAGGTTGCAAGAATTTGTTTAAATAAACATCAGGGGTTCCCTGACTGGTTCCCTAACTAGACAGCTAGTTTTCAGTCAGCAGGTTACTAGGTCTTCTTATATCAAGGTTCTTTCAGTTGTTTTTGTTCTAAAATAAATGAAATCCTATTTTACATGAAGCACATGTAGATATTTCTTTCAGAGAACGACAGCAAAAATTAAAAATTAATTATATTTTAAGACTGATAAACCTGCCTATTCCTTGGTAAACAACTAAATTTTTCCTAAAAGCCATGACCTTCCCCCACTGTATGTTTTACTGATTGCCCTGCATATAGAATTTCAAATTTTCCTCTTCCCCAGTTTTTAACCTTGCCTCCCCCCCTTGGGTTTCCTTTCGAGAAAATATGGAGGTATGGTTACTTTGAGAACCACATAATTTCAGTGAGCTGCTCACCAATGTCAAATGGTCAGAGACCCTCTTCCCAGAAAATAAGACACATTCACCACCAGAATCTTTTTAGTTTGTTCACTGAAAACCCACCGACGACTTACTTGTGTGAAAATAGGAGTAATTATCACAATCACCATTCCCACAAGGACTAGATCGAGCATCTAAGCTCACTTCAGTCAACCTTCAGCCATCATGGCTTCTGGTTTTTTAGAAACTTGACACAAGTGAGACAACAGAGCAATAAAAAACACAAGGCCTCAAGCTTTGTCTGCCTTTCAGAACTCAGACAGAAAAGTGAGCAATGTTAGTTATTTAACCCTCCTCCTAGGACAGCCCCCCTTTAAATAAAATTGTTGAAATTGTGGGTAAATTAATGATCGATAGCCAAGAAATGCATGAAGTCTTTCTTGTTCTGAATTGGTGTTCTTGTTGGCCGCCCCAGATCCTTTCGTCCTCCTTTGTTTGTTCTTATTTCTAGGAGCACTGGGCCTTCAAGAGATCTCATGCGTGTGACAGCTTCAGCTACTTCTTCTGGTTGAGTTGCTCTCATTACCTAAAATGAAAAGGAAAATTAACAGAGGCTTTTCATGAAGATATGTAGAAAAAGGAGAACTGTGTAGACCAACAACAGGATATTCTCCACTTCTGAATAAGACCTTGCTTAGAATTTTGAAGGAGGCATAGGAACCAGCAAACTCACTGATCTCCAATGCCTAATAAAAACCCTGACAATGTGATTGATTGATATCCTATGATCCCATCCGAGGTGGGAGTTAAACACTTGACCCCATATGAAAATTTGTGATACTGTAACCAAGACTCCCTCCTTTATGAAAAACCAGTGACCTTTTGAATTGACACAATGATTATTGCAAAATGAAAGACAGGATGGAGGAATCTACATACCGTTTTATACCCACAAGCCTGGGCAATCTTTAGGAAATCAAAGGAGTCACTTAAGCCACTGGTTGGCTGGCCTCCAACAGAGTCATGGCAGCCATTGTTGATCAGGATGTGTTTAAAGTTGGCTACTTCAGATTGTCCAATGGTAGCCATAGCACCCATGTGCATAAGAACAGCTCCGTCACCATCCAAACAAAAAATCTACAACAAAGGTAACAATGAAAGAGGCTCAAAAGGGTTATGTTATCATTAAAATCCTCTTCTAAATGAAAACTTCAACTGTTGCTTTGGTAATGATATACAGATTTCCAATCATTAGTGAATTTAATGCTTAGGGTTGAAAAGTTACCATAACATAAGTGCTAGTTACCTAATATACTTTTACAACCATCCATAATATAGCTTGTGCTTGTAACTAAAAATTAGTTTTGTGACTGCACTGCTTAGAATTAAATAGCAGTTACATAACAAGATTCACATTGTTACAAAATCTATATAACCTTTTGTATCAGAGCCTCATTAGGGTAATTACTCATTAGGACTGTGTAAAGGAATCAGTCTCCAAGAGGAAAATCTTGCACAAACTCATGTAACTTATAATTGGAAAACACTGCCTTTCTCCTCTTCCCTTTTTCCTTGTTTGCTCCCCTCAAAAATGGAGGCAACAATATATTGATGTAAACACAATAAGAAAGATGGCAAGTTTTTTAGCTCAGTAAAGAACTAGAGAAAGATGCTTTTCATCTTGCCAGGAGTGTGGGACAAAGAAAAAAATATATCGATGTATTTCTAAATTCATAAAATTTAGTAAGAAAATTTAGTGGTGATGAAATTGTCCTAAGTAACCTAATAAACAGTCAATTTACTATACCTGTCGTTTTGGTCTAAATTGAGCAATACCAAGAGCAATGGCTGAGGCATGACCCATGGAACCAACTGTCAAGAAATCCTTTTCATGACCGTGGCCTTTGGCCACACGGTATTCAAATAGTTCACGTGACAACATTCCAGTTGTGCCTACAACCACATCACGGTCTTTAAGAGAATCAACAACAGATTTTAAGGCTCCCTCTCTATTCAATGGAAAGCTGTAAGGAGGAAGATTTCAGAGTTAAACCCTTAAGCCCCTGTGAGTAACTTAAATCTATCATTTTTTCTTTCAGTATCACCCCTGAATAAAACAAAAGGGACATGATAAAAAAGGAAATGATTTCTAACTTAGAAACCCCTTGATTGTTACAAAAATAGTATCCACATCAGTACTGTTAGAATTATAGAGAGAACAGTAAAGTTTGCTGTTATTTAATGTTCACTCATCCTTTGAAGACCTGAGCTTAACTCCTGGATGATTGTATCATGCAGTGATTGATACTTGTACAGTAAATAAAAATTTTATCTTCATTTTGCTCACATTTCAGGTTCTTTTTCCAGTTTGAATGGCAAGAAGTTCTGTCTTCTCACCAGCAGACAGTATGGTCCTTTTGATGTTTCCATATGTTTTCTAGCCACATACAAGGCCTACACATTCAACAAAAGACCATGAAATGATTAGTTGCCATTAAAGATTTTTACAACAACTTTATGACTAGTTAACATGGCCTGATCTTCCAATTAAGGGGGGTCCTAAAAGGATTGTTAGTCACAGAAAATAATGATGGTGAATATATGAAAATCATATCCATGAACTGCGGATAAAGACGTGAATATGAAAGCAATCTTCATAGTAATCAACACTCCCTGAGCAGTAGTTCGGGATTTAAACCCATGCAGGCCTGCATAGGCCTGAATTTGTTTTCAGGCCCTATTTTCACTACTGCTTAGGTAGTGTTCATTATGGTGAAGATCGCTTTCATATTCAAGTCTTTATCTGCAGTTCACAGATATGATTTTCATATATTCACAATCATTTATTCATCACTTCACAGGTTTCTTTGGAACCAACATAATGACCAGCTCCCAGTTAGCTTGTGAGCACTGCACCAGTATCGCAAAGGTCATGGGTTCAAATCCTGTACAGGCCTGAATTTTTTTCAGGCCTTATTTTCAGATCAATATCAGTATCTGGGCAACTGCCCACCTACCCCTCTCCTAACCCAACAATTTGTTATCAATTGACTGTTGTTGGGTTAGGGGAGGGGTAGGTGGGCAGCTGCCCAGATACTGATATTGATCCTTATTTTCTCTAATGGTCACTTAGTGTTCATTACTGTGAAGATCACTTTCACATTCACGAATAGAAAATAATATTGGCAAGACAACCTGACCAAAAGTCATTACTTGAATATGACAGGTTGTCAAGTGTTTAGACTCTGTCACCAGCAATATTCATTTTCAGAATATTTCATATGAACGATCACAATTTAAGATACAATACAACTGACATACCACAAGAAAATTGTTTTAGAATGAGGCATAACCAGGAAACAAGTATCTTAACCAATCTGTGGTGAGCAATTGGAATTTACTAGTCATTCTGTAAATTAACCTCAAGCCCACCACCCAGAATTACTATGTTTGCATATAACTCAGTCGAAAAAATGTTGCCTTCATTACCTGTTCAGCTCCTTCTTGGTAATCGGGCAATACTTGAAAAGGAATTCCACATGATGCTGCAGATGAAATGGAAAAAAGAGATAATCCCAGGAAAATTTAATGGCTTTGCCAAGTAAATGTGACAAATTACAAGCTCAGCTTTTGGGCAACTAGGAGAACTTTGCTATCACAAAAGCCTTGAAGACATAAAACTCCCTGAATCCTTAGAAAAGAACCTCCAGTCATGCTACCAATCTAATAGCACAGTGTTAAAAATTTTTGGCAAGTCACAAATTTTGTTGGGAATCTCGCTGAGAAGACTCCAAGAGTCACAAGGGTGTGCAACAGAAGATAACCATAACAACCTGGTGAGCAGCCACCATCAAGCACCATTACATTTAAGGATCTCAGTTAAAAAAAATATATATATATATATATATATTCTGCTACTTGCTTGGAAGAAAGAGGAAAATGGGAGTACAGCAGCTTTGACAGGTGGATGAGATAAGCAGAAACAGAAAAATAGCTTGACACCAAACAGAGCACTGTAAAAAGACTTAAGCCAAGAGAGAGCCTTCAACTGACAAGCTTCCATTTATGCCCACAGCCAACTCTCAGCACTGTCTAATTAGTTTACCTTCACTTTTGTAACATGTAACCACAATAAAATTCTCACCAAAAAAATTTAAATTGTAAATTACACAAAAAGGTGTCTTATTTACCAAGTATTCCAGGTGTGGCCTGCCCCTGTATCATGTGCTGTGGTTCATCTCTCTTTCCAGGCTCTCCTCTCCATCCAACTAAGAGTAACATGGGTATGCTGTACACACTTGGCACAGCCAATGACATCAGAGGATTAACAATATTACCCAATCCAGAGTTCTGGTGGATACAAGAAAAATGAAAAAAAAAACTTGAATTAGTTTGAATGCATTGAAGTAAGAAATAATTTGAAAAACATTACACAAAGTGCAACTCTCTCCAAAGACCTTTTCACACACCAAAACATGTAACTTGATAAACTAGCTAATACAAAGAAAATAGAGAAAAAGTTGAAATCAGACAAGTTTGCTGTTTGGAGAAACTGTAAGCAAATCTAGGTACTGACAAAAGTAACCTTCCATTAATATTTATTTTTGCTAGCTACTCAGTCTTGGTAATCCTTCTTAAACTGCAACATTTCTTTTATTTCATAAAGCAGATGCCTAGTTCTAATCAAATTACAGATGATTCTCACAGCTTGAGACAAAAAAGGAAAGGAAAGAAGAGTCTATGAGTCTATCCTTATGTTCAACCATTAAACTCCCAAAAGCAATTAAAATGTAACTTCTCCTTACAATAACCATACATTGTATAGCAGACTAGAAATGAGAAATTATACTTCAAGTTATCAGGTAGTTGTTATCTTGATCTAACACCAAATTTTCACAACTTATTTATAAAGAAATGTGTAGCAGCTAGAGGGGATACTTGATAATCAGATCTTAGGAATTGAAAGGTTAACCCTTTAACTCCCACAAGTGATTAACATGTAACTTCTCCCTATAAAATCCACAGATTACCCAGCCAACATGTAATGAGAATACTGAAACTTATCAGGTAGAAGTTAGTAGTTTTGATCTAACACCAAATTCTCATGACTTATTTACAAGGAAATATATAGCATCTAGAGGGGAGAATTAACAATCAGATCTTGGGAGTTAAAGGGTTAAAACAATAAAATGAGTAACTAAACCCTAGAACATACATTATCTAGAAACTACTCCTTACAATATCATAACATTATCCAAAGAGTGGGTAACGAGATAGATCAACTTAAAATTTAGAGGGTATAATGTTGAATTACTATCAAATTCCTTTTTACTAATATTAACTTAAGGGAAACTTAAATCAATTAGAAGGAGGAATAAATGAGGAGATCACAAGATTTGGATAAATGAAATCTGACCAAATCAATTCACTTACCTGGAGATACACAACTCCAGCTCTCCCTGTGGCCATATGATATCCAGCAGCAAGAGCAATAGCTTGTCCTTCATTGGCTGTTATAACATGTCGTGACTTAGGCGTCACTGATGTTACATATGCACAAAAATCCTTCAGTAAAGAGTCTGGAACACCACAAAAATAGTCCATGCCATGGCTACACAAGGCATTGTAGAAGTCTTTGGGGTTTAAAAAGTCTCTTACTAACTCTGTGTATTGACCAACTTCTTCATTTCGTTCTTTTTGCTCAGAGACCTAAACAAAGAGCTCATATCACAATCCTGTTTACCACAAACCCTTGAATAATTACCCCAATGAATATTGAAGCAAGTTCTCTATTAGACAAAATATGAAAAATGTCATCCCTCCAATGAGGTTGACTGACCCTCCTCTCCTCTCTCAAAATTGATTGAAAACTAAAAATAATGATCAATATTATATTACAAGCATTTAATACAGGTGATTGATTTTTCTCTCTCATTACAGAATAAATTAATGTTATTTTCCATCAAAAGTAAATAAAGCCTTGCCACTACTATAAACATCTTCTTAGCTATTTAAGATATTCAAATACCAAAACAAGAACAGATTTCATGACTAAACTGCTAGACAGGACATGGAAAGATTTCTCTCTCTGCAACAAGTTCAGATCTGTAATACCTCTAATTAACCAAATATAACTAAGAATCTTAAAAATGCCCGCTATGTGTGTCTGACATTATCTTTCAATATTCCAGCTATACTGTTAGTTAAATGTACACTTTTCTCCTAAATATGATGTCTCTATCTAACAAAGCTTTGGCTAACATCTCTCTTCTAAAACTTATGCAGTTCTTATGGACAGTTGTTGAATTCCTATATTTTAATTCATTCTGTAGAAAGCCTTTCTTGACTCGTGGACAAAAGAAATTAAAAGAAGTGCTGGGAGGTAATCAATTTGAGAATTTGCATTTGAATTTCAAGCTTATTATCATCAACCATCCTCAAGCTACAGGAGTCCAACACACTTAAATAAATTCACATCCAATGGCATGCATCTGTAGTGCACTAGAAATTTGTTAAGTGAGCCCCAACAGTTATTGGCAGAGAGTAAAGATTTGTTTGCTTGTTAAAATAGTTTTTCACTTATCTTTCAGACAGAGAATATAATCATCATGCTGGCCAGTTTTCCATATGGAAAATATGTTGCATATGGACTACTTTTTAATGGTTGAATAGTGTTAAATATCACCACTGCCGATATGAATTTGTTGTCAGTCCAATATAAAATCCACATTCCTCAAAGTATGGAAACAAGATTAATATCAGTGGCTACGTTTATTGAGCCACATAAAACTTTTGAAGTAAGACATTCATTCAACCGCAAAACCTTTCGAATCATATCAGAACATTACTTGCTGCATAGCGCTTTGATTCATAACACTGATTTGGAACATTTCGCATAAAAATTGCCCTTCATTTCAAAGTAGTCTCCCTTTGAAGGATTTTCGATCAGAAAGGTTTTAGAAACACAACGTGCTTTACAATACTTCATTCATGCGTTTAGCGCTTCGCAAGACACACCAATATGGCTCTGGGCGTACAGTACTGATAAAGTGTTCTTAATCACACTTGTTTTATTACTAATATATGTTAAGTACGAATTTGAAAACTCTATAAATCAAAAAAGAAATCAAATAAAATCAACAAAAACATATACAAGCAATCAAATAATGTTAAAGCCAATTTCCTTTGACTAATGGCTGATAATGTGAGCGTCTCTTGGTCCGAATTCAAGAGGTTATCGAAAAAATGCAACGGAACTTTACGCTAGTGTAGATATAAATATGCCGTGACTCCCAATTGTATTCGCGTAACGCGACAGGAGCATGTTGTTGATTGCACAATTTTACAAGAACTGCTAGAGGGAAATCAGGAGATATTTAAATGCCTCCGTTTATAGAAATTCTTACGGTTTTTAGTTCTATATATATATAACTGAGAGATAAAGACTAACACATGAACATAAAGACAAAAAAATTAAAATTGTCTGACGAGAACATTTCAGCTTCATTCATGTCGGCCACAAGGGCGTTTTAAATTACGTATATTGCTTCAATATCGTTTCGGATTGAGGTCAGCTATGCAGAAAACGCGTTTATGTTCATCTTCCTTTTCTATGAAAGATATACTAACCGGCAAAAAAGTTTGCAAAATAAACGGGGAAACTTTCTTAACAATCTATATTCATTCAAGGAAGCTCATCACTAAAACGAAGACAGCGTTACATTTCACTAGGAAGACGTTTGAAACCCACATACCTGGTTCTCCGGATTGACCGCCTGTAAAAAAAATTAAAAAACAGCGTAAGATTCAGAAGATAATTTATTGACTTGTGGATAAAATAAAAAAAAAAAGACTTCGCTTACATCTGTGAATCTGAACGATCCCAGCGACAAGCGTCGAACATCAGACAAGGCCTGTTAACGGAAATTGATTTTACACTCTATTTAGTATATTTCAAGAAACGCGTACGAAAATATTTATTTCTTATTTCCTTCGCGGGTCCTTACTTGGGGGTTCAAAAGAGATTTACAGCGGCGAAAAAGCGAAGAGAACACAGGATTACTCATTATCGTGATCGTTGATGTCTCAAAGTGATAGTCTAATGGCAACCCGTAAAATTACGACACGCTCTAATAATTGCGCAAGAGCATAACAGAGGGTTAGAACGAACTGACCAATCACAGGCTCGTTGCCAGCGCGACGGTTTCCTCGGAAATTTTCTTTTAAAAAGACGGAAACATAACATACAAACAATCCAGGATCAAACGATCCCATAAAGACTCCTCGGCGAAATCATAATGTGCAGCGTCTACTTTTGTTGTGACTGTTTTATTGTAATATCATAATATTAGTATCATTGAATTTTCAGATGTGATATTCTATCGCGTAACCCTGCTTGAACAGTTTTGATAGTGGTTACCTGGACAGAAAGTTATTGCCAATAGAACGATGTCGTAATATGAAATTTGAGCAGTACTATAATTTCGCAAATTTCGACCCCAAATAAAGAAGCATCGATTGAAACACGTAGGCAGGCTGTAATTATGCTCTTGGCGTAAAACCACAGTGAGGTTTCTAAGGAATCTCTTTGGTTTTCGCTGTTTATACTCACTGAACGTGTAAAGAAGCATGGGACTGAGCCGAAACTTTTTCTTTTTTAATTACTTTTCCTGAGATTGTAGAATCAACAACAGTAATTCTAAGTTAGAAGTAAATCGGGGTGCGAAATATTAAAACCAAACAGGAATTGGACGACATACATGCAACAACAAGATTTCAGGAATTTTTTTTTCCGTTCCAGAAGACGAAAGCTTGGAAGCTTTTTGTTCTCCCCTTATTGATACAGCTAATTTCAATAACATTGTTAAAAAAAAAGAAGCTTTATTCAAGAAGTAAAAACTGAGGAAAAAGGCAAATAAGAATTTATTTGTAGCATAGAAACCTGTCTTCGGGCTGTATGCCTGCCAGCAGAACAATTTCACACAACGTTCCATTTTCAAACCTCTTGAGAGTATCAGATGCTGTTTAGAGAATTCAAGCGATTCCTAAAAATTGAAAAAATAAATGATATACCCATGAATTATGCTTATGCTAATTAGTATTCGAACTTGGCATTTCTATGACAACATCACTGATGTATTTTATAAATATTCCCTTACTGCGCCTCTTCCCACATGAAGTCCCGTAAACCTGCACACACTGTCCGTCGTGAGATCTACCCGGTTCAAAATTAGCGGCTGTGAAGTTCACAGGCTCACGCCCCTCGTGTTTTTCATGTGCTGATCATGATACCAACTGTGTAAACATTATTGTGTTCCTCTTTCATTGTGTCTTTGTTCCGCGAAACTCAGTACAATGACGATACTCCTCTGTTATAAATTTTTCCTTGAACTTCATGAACACGGGATTATGGCGTGCTTGGAGCGGAAAAAATGACAAATACCTTCCTGATTCAAACCCCTTTTTTTCCAATTAAATTCAAAGTTCATAATGTGCTATTTTTATTTTTATGCGCCTTGTATTACATCGTTATGATCTAGGACAATGAATATCTTTCAAAGGCTTCTCTGGCACCTTCTTGACTAACTGACTTTTAACTTTCTGTTTTTTTTTTTAAAGACTGATACTGTTTTTTGCACTTTTGGTTTCGACGATGCATCTTGGGCGCCATGCCAGATCAGAGTAATCAGTAGCAAACAAAAATCAGAACGAAAGAAAAAAAGTTCCATATCTTTTTTTAGTTTGTTTAAATTGATACGTTCTTTGACCTTACCTCTGGTCGTCCAGGTGAAGAATGATACTCTTTCTAATTGTAATTAATAAAACAGTCCGGTTAAAGAGTGCTATTTTTAGAGAATGAAAATTCATTTGTTCAACCAGCCTCGGATATTTCTCGGATTATTGTAATTAATAAAACAGTCCGGTTAAAGAGTACTATTTTTAGAGAATGAAAATTCATTTGTTCAGCCAGCCTCGGACTGGGTTAAAGACATTTCAGACATATTTGACGAGGTCAAGTTGGTAAACGAGGAAACTGTGGCTCACTGAATGAGCAACGCAACACTGTCAATTTGATCGTTGTTGGCACTTTGTAAGCTGGAAACCATGGAAATACAAAAATATTTTTGATTTGATCTCCATTAATTTTCAAGTATCAATTCACTGAAACAAGGGTGGTTCTAATCTCGTACCCAGATCCTACCGTTTAACTGGAATGTAGGCTTGGCCGTGGAAGGTCTGGGTACGGGACTAGAGTGCTACATACCCCGCGCCTTCCATTGTTCGTCACCTTGCGTGCGTGCTCATGCCAAGCACTAATGAAAATATAATAATATAATTTTTTTGTTACTTACTAACATTACAAGTCAGTTAGAAGAATTCAGTTATCCTGCAATATTTCAGGATTGAAAGGATTTTATGGAACTCGACGGAAATAGCTGAGTCATTGAAACACAGCAGTAATTGACTGGGATTAGGGTCACTTGTATCTCGATCAGTTCAGTGCGAATGCAAGATTCGTGGCGTAGCCTCTTTCACCACCTGGGCAGATCCTGAGAACATAAATTATCGTATTTTTCTCCACTTATCACGGAACTGTTATCTGTTTCCATATTAGGAACTGTGTCACGCACTCTGGTCTTTTGTAAAAACATCTGTAATAAGGAAAGATGTTTTTCGTCTTGTCACGAGCGTGGGACAAAGAAAAAAATTCTGAGTCCCAATGAGGAATCGAGCCTCAGACCCTCTCTCTTATTTCCATCTACAAACATCTCTAATATTACGTTTAGTAAAGGTCCCTGATAGGCGAGGCATAATTAATGTTTGGCGAAGCTGTGATGTTTATGTTGTAACGGTCTAGGACTTTTTCCGGTCATATGACGAGTCGTGTCGATTGTTACTGGGGAAGAGGAAGAAGGGAGAATGAAAATATGACTGGACGTGTTCACCGTCTATGATATCGCTACACCCTTACTTCAGCATAACGTAGGTGAGCAGGGTTGACTTAAAAATAGCCTCAGACTATGCGAATTTTGGTGATTTCACGTTGTTGTTTTGCAGATGTACGAAGTTGTAAACGCTCGTGCTGAGCTATTGTTCTGCTCGCCAGATCTTGTGTTTCGTAACCTCCTCGTCACCGTCGTCCTCGCGTGGTTTGCTTAAGGTCCCTTTTAAGTAAGTACTACAATGTTAATCCTTTAACTCCAAAGATCTGATTGTTAACCCTTTACATCCTAATACCAGTATGCATGTTCTCTATCCTTTGTATCATACATTTGTTAAGATGCTTAAAATGAGAATTTACAATTGAGAGTTTCTTTAGTTGGTGATCATTTCCTTTATTCTTGTGACCACCATGTATGATTCAGGGGAGATATTACAAGGAGAAATTAGATGTTAGTCACTTCAAGAGGTAAAAGGGTTCATTTTCCGCTCTATCTGCTACACATTTTCTTGCAGATTGGTTTCGAGAATTTAATTTTAGATCAAGGTAACAACTTCGACCTGAATTAACTCGCTAAGAGAGTCAAATGTGTAAAGCATACGTAAGAGTTCGTCCTGTAAATATTACTTGACTAACCGAATTATAATCGTTGCGTACATGTAAACATTATTCGATCCTCTCTTCTAGTACTGTGGTTTGTGTTCTCGATAATATCTCGTTATCAGGCATCGGTGAACTCCTGGACTTGTATCAGTTGATGTGAAAGTATAAAGGTAAGAAGGTAATGTTTGGAGATGAAGTGATTGAGCTAGCATACTTTAAATGATTTCAAGTCTGAACCCTAACCCGAAATGAGAAACAGTTATTGTGTCGACTGATCACTTTTCATACGAACATAAATTGAAATTATTACTGACAAAGCTTAGTCTTGTTTCCAAATCTTTGCCATCATTTTCAAATATGATGCCACCATCAAGATTATTGAGAGGGAACCACCACGATTCGTGTTGATCACATTTAATGGAGCCCTCGAAAGGCTTTGAATGAGGCAATAAAATGTTGAAATAGGATGTTGTTCATCTGTTTTATTTAAGTGCTATTCCTTTCAATCGATCTCTATTCATTTAGCAAGATAACACACTCGTGATCTGTAATTTGATATTTATTTAGAGTATTCAATGTAGTTTTTAAGGGGAATTTTTTCCCAGAATAATGAGTAACGTAATCCACTATATGTAACAGATGAGCAATTGTTTAAAGAAATGAGTCGCTAAGAGGGTCAAATGTGTAAAGCAAACGTAACAGTTTAAAACATTCCCTGTGTCTTGGTGTAGTTGGTGTTCCAAAAAAACAAACGACACAGTATGTATTTTGCGATGAATCCGAAAACAAAATCATTTCCGCTTGCTTCTGTCATTGGTTTATCATGTGATACCACTTTCACTTTCGATCGGGAGTTAAATACTCCTTAGTTTAACATTATCTTGTGTGAAAACTAAATTTTTTTTAAAAATAACTAGTAATCGTGTAATGTAAATATTACTTGACTCAACGAATTATAATCGTTGCGTACATGCACTCATTTTTCAATCCTCTCTTCTAGTGTTGCGGCTTGTGTTTTTGAGGTAGTATTGCTGTTAGCGAGAAACAAATTTGACCTTTATTTCGGTGTCGCGTTTGCTACACTCACCTTACATTAATATGATTTTACTTAGGCAAATAATTCGGTATTAGTTGATCAAGCTAAGGTTTATTCTGAGATGGATAGAGAAGACTATTTATGTGAGATCTTTTCTTTCTATTTTAAAGCTTATCGAAGACGCTGTCTGGGTACATTTTGCTGTAGTCTGACCTAGTTCTGTTTTTTTTCTTTCATGAGACCCTTTTGCTGTATGAAGACCATCAAACGGTTTGTTCGTTATACGGCCCTATGTCCAGTTTTAATCCTTTTATGGCGATTGTATAGCCTCATCGTGGATGGAGTAAACATTCACCTTAGCGCCACTGTAATCATAATATTGGTTGTGACTACTTTAATTGGTATGGTATTTCTGCGTATTGCTAGGTACCTGGTGGCACGGTGTTTGGTAAGTACACTAGAGGAAGGTGTTCGGGCTTTGGAAAACTGTTAAACATAATAAGTTCCATAGGAATGAATTAATTGTTTTCGCTTTTTTTTATTTAAAAAAAACTGATTTTTTTTCTGAGCATCTCTTCTTTGTCTGAGCAAAGTGAAGAATGATGCACATAGTTTTTAGAGTTAGGGTTACGTTCTTATAGGAATTACGGCAACAGAGGGGGCCATGAATACAAAGTCACCCTTTAACTCCCAGTTCAAATTTGTCATTCTCCTTACTGTCAACCATTCAATTCTTATAATGTTAGTTTAGAGAATTTAGTATTGGATCAACTAATTATCCCCAAATTGATATTTTTCTTTACTCTCATCACCTGTCTGGTTGATATTGTATCGATATTGTAAGGAGAAATTCTGTCTTGGTCACTCACGGGAGTTAAATGGTTATCTTAGGAGCCATAGGGGATCCAGGTGCTGCTAGAGTTTCAGTCAAAAGAAGAGAGATGTTTTGAACTGAACGAACAACTTTAATTTTTGCAAGAATACTAATAATCGACAGTCGCTTCAGCGTTGTCTGGCAATATACAGAAAAGTAACATTTGAAGTGCAATAAAAGTCATTAAAAGAAGCTGACTTGGCTTCAGTGTGATGGAAATCATATTTATCAGGAACTTAGAGATTACCATCTTTCGGGGAAGGATACACCCATGTTCACCTCTACGGGAAACCATCTTCGGCTCTCGTTTCAACCCCATATTTACAAATCGTGGATCCACCCCAGAGGACAAGTTACAGTTACTATTAATAGTGACTTTGAAACACAAGGGTCGATGTATGTTTTTCCTTGCAGAGACTTTGCTTCCCTGTCACTTGTGGTCACAGAAAGTTAGTTTTCACCGGCAGAAGTTCGGAGACTCTTAAAAACATCCTAATGTCAGTGGACAGTGATGTACCCTCCAGTAGTAAAGTTGAAGAGTTCCAAAAAAGAAACGCTCTACCCTATCTGGAAGATTTCAAAAGTTCTCTAGAGAAGTATGTGGCAACAACAACACCATTCCAGTATATTTTCACAGGGAGCGTAGAAGAGAGATTCAGCTTCCCGCTAATGATGGTAAAGGATGCTCGCTGTGTATGTGGATTGTGTCCATCCTATGACATTGGCCCTTTAACATCAGATCTAGACGTCATGTTTTTCTGCGGAGAACATAAAGCTTCATTTGCAGGTCAAGAAGATATCTTCGTCGAGTATCTTATTCCCGAGAATAACGGTTTCACTGGCTATGCTAAACTCACTCAGCTCACTCCTGGCTTCCAAGAGCGTGTTCTAAGTTCTGAATTTGTCATGCACAGAGCAAGAAAGGCCATTCTTTGTACGCGTGCTCTCAATCTACCCAGTATTAGAGAGTGTTGTGGATTGAACATGTGCACTCAAGTAACACTTCATTCGAAAGGCCCAGCGATGAAATTTCGCATGCTACCTGTTTTCGAAGCTGACATTACAGTTTCTGTCCAGTGCCCAGAGTGGCCAGCTTTGAGTGACTGGGGCAACCGAGCGAGATTTTGGCCCAGCATAGCTGACGTACACAGAATAATGTCACTTGGCTGTCATCTGGTGGCCAAACCAGCACCAAGTGATAAGAATAAAACAAGTTGGCGATTCTCATTCTCTTTAGCAGAAGTTGAACTCTCAAAACTTGTCCCAGACACAGCAAGGAAATGCTTCATGGCTATGAAAATAATCTTGAAAGATCATCTTCAACCAGTTTGGCCAGCAATCACATCTTACCACTTGAAAACCGTATTCCTAAATACTCTGGAAAAGGTTCCAGTGGGTTTCTGGATTGAGGATAACATAGAAGAATGTTTTATGACGTTGCTAGCTGAGCTTCGTGATGCTTTTCATTCCAGGAATTGTCGCCATCATTGGTTCAGTTCCGTTAATTTGTTCGGTGGAGGAGGGTCTTCCTTTTGCTTTTTTTCCAACGCCAAACAATTCCAAATCTTGGGTAACAAGGTAGAAAGAATCATGTGCAACCCTGCGCCATTCCTTTTTGACAGTGGTTGTTGTTGTCTCTCGCCATGTTGTCTCCGAGTGCCACAAAACAACTTCAGCCGAAGAAGCACCGAGCAGCTGCTTGCTGAGTATGAAGAAGTTGCCTTTCCTAGAAATGTCCAATGTTCCGCTCAAACTCACGATCCCGTCAGCTATTCATTACTTGGTTCCTCGTCTCCCAGGTCTGAAGCTGAGCCTCATCTCAGCCGTCAGTGCACTGATGATCAACAACAGTTGAACACAACTGGGCCAGATCATGTTGTCATCTCTCTTCCTCAAAAACACCTTCATGAGGAGGACCACACTTCCCACACTGGTTGTGATGAAGACCGAGAGTATTTGGTTCCCGTTTTAGACGTTTGACATCATTTGAACATACTTACAAAATACTAACGACAATTTTTTTAAATCAAGGAACACATAGGCTTGTTAAGAAGTTTATTTCAAACAAGTAAGATAAATCGGCAAGTTCAGACGATGTATAGACCTATTATTCGACAAAGCAAGCAACTAGCAAACAACATTTACTTTTACATTGACATTAATCTGCAACTTACATGGTTTTAACATTGATTTTTTATTTTAATTTTGTATTCATTTTTGTCGAGCATGGAACAAAGAAAATCAAAATGACATTATGGTGAACTCGTGGATATGCTGCAGAATTAAATCAGAATATACTGTCATGTTACTAAAAGCTAAGGAGAGTTTGCTTAGTCAATCCAAAAACGTCGACACCTCTCTTGCTGTAAATTTATTCATTTTAATATTTTTGTGATTAATTATAATAGTAGTAATGATGATGATGATGATGATGATGATAAAGATTTTGTTTCAGGAGGGTAGTACTTAATAGCCAAAGACCAATAAACTTGTGGCCTTACAAGTATTACCAAACTTTTACAAAGGGCCAATGACAAATAAAAACTAACTGAAACAATCGATCTATCTACAATTATATCATTACCCATTACAAATAAAAAATTAAAACAAATGAGAATGCATTTTTTTATTGGTAACATTGATTGCAAAATACTTAGAGAGTAATACATGGGCGCGCGTAGATATGGAATTTCTCTTCAAATGTTCAACTCGATAGCTCACGAGTGAGCGCAGCTATCGAGTTGAACACGAGAAGAGACATGAAAACCATATCTACAAGCACCCATGTTTATTTTGTTTATCATATAAACACAATGTAGCCCTTAACTAACACGGAAAGTTTATTGAAGGATGATAAATAATGGATCCAGAATCCCCCCAAAAAAGTCATAAAGTACGTTGGCGGTAAGGCTCTACATAAAAAGTACGTTGAATCATTGCAAAACAAACAACGGGCGTAACTTTCGTTTACAAAATTCTCATTTATTGACTTTTCCTCACCGACAGAAGAAATCTTTTCAGGAACGCCGCCTGTGGCAAATCTTCCAGTTGTCGATTTTCGTTCTCAGCCGCGAGAAATGCCATCGCCAAGGCCATCGAACGTCGCTGTCAGTAAGCGATACGAATTTTCTGTGTTTTAGCAGCCATAATCCGGATTGAGATTGGTGAGGGCTTTGACAGAGTTGCACGAAAGACAAGTGACTTATCAGCAGCTGATTGGCGGTATCAAACATGTCAAAAATTATCGTATCTTTTTCACATGTATTGTTGCGGCTTTTCTCAAGGATGGAAATGCTTGTATAACACCGCAGTTTACATGACAATATCAATCGCTATAACACATTACAGTGAAAAAACAAAAGCAACAGGCCCAATCGTAATTTCTAGGGTTTGACTGTGATCATATGGAAATTTATAATAACTTGTTGCTAACCAAGCGCGATGGCCGTACAGGGTAATATTAGCCCGAGCTCATGGCAGTACAGACCGCGCGCAGCGCAAACGACTGAGGACCAATATTCCCCAGTTCGGCTCGAGCAAGCGTGGTTAGTAAGTAGTTTAGTACATGGCGACCAAACTTGTTTATTTTGAATCTGCTGGCTTTCGAGATATAAAAAATACACTGTGGAAACGGTCCGTATGGCATAGTTCAGACCAAGAAACAACCAATCAGAACGCTCATATTTACCTCAAGGTGATAACAACAATTACTGCACGAGAATAGTATCAACGCCTGCTGTTTTAGTAGCAAGCCTCTAATCTGTGTCATTTGGGAAAGTATTACGCGTTTAAAGATATTCATTCAATAAAAATGAAAAATCCACCAAGACTTCCATCTTAGCCGCCGAGTAAAATGATGCTTATATTATGCTCAGTATCTCAAAAGTCAAGGAGCGATGAAAGCATGAGATAACATCAGATTCCTTCGTCGTCCGCCATTTCGTTAAAATTAGCTTGAAGGATCCGCGGTTTTACGAGACGGTCATTATTTCTGACTTTTACTTACAGACACACTCATGGAAGTCATCAGAAACGCAAAGCGTTGACACACAGCTTAGAAACACAACAGATGAAGGGTTATAATTCATTATATTTCATCGTCCTATATTTCAACGACTTTGCCGAGTGGTCAGTTTTAGGGCGCGCGCTACATTTTAACATCTAAGTTCAAATCCTCCTTAGCTTCTAAACAAACTTTTACTCAGTTTCCCCGTTCGTTCTCCTTCATAAATAGCCAGTCTTCCTGCCAATCTACCTACACCACTCGCTCAGACGAAGGACTAACGCTCGAAACGTCAGTTTTAAACTCTTAACGGTGGCCAATCTACGTTATCAACTCAGTGGAGAATACCAAATAGCCTACCTACCTACCTACCCCCAGTTGGATTCGTATGTTTCTCTTACCCTATTTGTTTCTCACAAATTCATTGATTCTCAATTAGCCCAGTGCTGCATAAGATAATGATACTTAAATTTCATCATTTCATTGACATAATTACTTTCCTTTATTTTCTTATGCACAAAATTGATAACCGTCAGTACCAATTGAAAATGATATTCAATTCCTCGAAAACTGACGGCCAGTATGCATGATGTGGTTCTATTTCAACCTCACCACCAGACGTAAAGATTTTAATGATGTTGCTTGGGGTATGAGCTCATATCTAAAAACTATCTTTTTTAATTTGCTGGATTCACACTTTGAAAAATTAAGCCTTGCGTCTGTCTCTTTTCGGCTCGCTTAACGCAACGCCACTGAATGATAATCAGTAAAGGTGGATGTTCAGTTTGATCAAGAAATTAAAAAGGAGTTAGAATTATTTTTGTAATGCGGTACAATAATCTGGATTTCTTTGTCAAAAATAAATCCATATTTCAAGGAAAAAAAAAAGAAGACATTTTTTCATCCTTGAGGCACACTTTAATCATTAAACCTCGCCTTCAAATCCTAAATAAAATCAAACGACTTAAAACTTTTTGAAACGGCTTTTATTATCAATGTGTTATTGTGATTATAAAAAATAGTGAAGGGAGTCGACTGTTTTAAGGCAGTTTTTGCTTTTTTCTTAAAACCTCTTCGAGTCGTCTGTGCTGATATAATTGGAATCTCTCCCCAAAGAATGAAATCTCTGGGCATAGGCAACATAACCCTACGCTGACTGGACCCTAAAAAAGAATTAAAGACGGATTACATTGGTGCATGAGAGAGTAATAGACTAGTTGGTCAAATGTCACATGTGAGGTTACATATTCATACAGTAGCTATTAACACACAATAACGAAAGCAGAAACACACAAGAAAGAAAAGAGGCTTTAGTTTAACACAAAAACTTAATAAACACATTTTTATAGAGAAAAAATCTGTAGATCAATTATATGCAGAATTCACGCACATCTGCGCCATTGAGTAAAAGTAAAGTTGGTAGGTTGGTAAATAAATAAGTAAATAAGAACATGGATAACAACACCACTGACGATGTGAAAGAAGCTCAATCGACCAATTATTAGTTAAGGGTACAAAAAGAGACTTAAAAGCAAGAAGTCAATTTCTTTAATTTTTTTCTTTTTAACAGTAATAAATGTGTTTTAACGTAAGCATTTGACTTAAAGTAACTTACTCCTGCTTACTTTAGCGCTGATATAAATTTCTTGTGTAGCTTAAAAATTAGTGATTTAAATTTTCATTTGGATAGGGCAGTTTTCGGAAGCTACGTGTTGACGATAAAAACTATGCTATTTATTGAACAGTAGACTTAAATGACGGAAAAAACATATCAAACAATAAACTAGTTGATATTTACCTCCTCGTCCAGTGGGTAAATGACTTCGCTGTTGGAGGGCTCGACACCAGCATACCTTTTCTTTTCTGCTGTGTACGGCGACACACTTCTTGATCGTCCTTCGGCCTCTTCTCGACACAAACTGTTTTCTCGAGTATCCCATTCCCTCTTCGGTTGATCCTCGTCTGTTGAATCGACATCTGTTTCGAGATCGCGAAGATCGTCCGTTGAAGTTGACACAGATATCATGGCAGGTACTTCCGGTGAGGATTTACCTTCCGGTTCTGACGCCCTCTCTGTTTCCGACGTCACATCCGTCAGGTTCTCAAAGTTAAAATTTGAATACTCCAGGTCTGTATGTGCTGGTGAAATCGTCAATTCCCGTGTCGTAATTTCCTGTGATAATCCTCTAGATGACGTAATTTCCGATAAACTGAACGAAGTGTAATGCGTCTCACTTTGATTTTTTACTCTTGCAAGGTTCCTGTTGTCCGAAGCACTGCATCCGTCTGCAATTCGTCGCTCGCGCAATAGCATCAAAGCAGTTTTATGTTCCTCAAGCATGCTCCTTCTCGCTTCGTATTCATATCTCTTCCGCTGAATCTGAAGCTGCGCTCTAAGTTCATCAAGTTCTCTCTTTAGTGTGGTTGTTTCTTCGCAAGCTTTGATATGAAGCTTTTGCGTTTCAAAAAGTCTCATTTGATAATCTTTTACACTCGACTGGCTCAAATGATTCTCACTTTGCTGTGCCAGGGTCCGGTAGTAAGTTGATGTTTTACTAATGGTTTCTTCAGTTGTTTCTGAAAAAGGTAAACGCATGCGTGTTTTAAATAACAATATGCACATTCAAATGGGTTCGTCCATATTTAAGGCCAATCAGAACAAAGCAGTATCTGATTGGTTGCGAAGATGGCGCAAGGTTTTGTGGACCAGTCATAGATATTATAGGTAAACAATTCTATTCCAAATTACTTTCGACACTCACTTGAAACTGCTCTGATGTTACGACACTAAAGAGAGGTTTGCTTTGATTTTAATATTGAATGACTCCCTTACAAATTGATTGATACCTGTCTTTCACAGCTAATGTGGCAGTGCAATCATTACCTGCATTACTATTACCTCAGTACGCCCCTAACGTTCTAGGGACCCTATGTACCAGGAGATATTCCCAAGTATGTGCGGCGTTGGGGCGAACTTTGCTAAGGTATTCAACGCGCTACACAGAAAATCGGAAAAGTTGATATTTATATTTCGTACTTTGTTGGGACTTAAATAACAAAATATTCAAATTATGAAAAACCTCAGCAAATAGCGCTGACGGTCTTCATATTGCTCTGTCTAACTGTTGGCCTGTGCTTACAATTCAGACCAAACCAGCCCCTTGTGATACATACGTTTTTTCGGAAACTACTTGAACTCGATCTGAGAAAATCATGCTCAGCGGCCCTTACTTATCAATAGGAATCTGGCTGTTTTTTTCCTCCCAAATCCTCCGTCACTATCTAAGAAAAAAACAAAGCCTTACCTTTAAGCTCAGTAACTAACTGTTTCGGAACTGGAATTTCTTTGGCAATTATTTTTTTAAGTTGTTGAATTTCGTCATGATATCGTTTAATAATTGTGTCTTTAGGATCCTCGTTGATCTTGGGTTTGTTCCTGATGTCCTTTGCACGCTTTGCGTACCTAAGAGTACTCAGCGTTTCCTCGTAGTTGTTCTCTCCCGGACTTATACAAGCCACCATTAACGTTTTAGAGTTTCCTCCCAAGGAATCCTGTAGAAGCCTTGTGAGCTTAGAGTCTCGATAAGGTACGTATTTACACTTCCCGTCCACTAAAGCTGATATGACATTCCCAAGCACAGACAGAGACAGGTTTATCTTAGTAGATTCTTTAAATCGTTCACCAGTGCAGCCAGATTTGCTTTGTCGCTCACTTCCGGCGAGATCAACAAGATTGAGCTTTCCGGTTCTATACACTTCTGTTTCTTTCGGATGTGAACGAAGACACGATTCTAAATCAACAGTGAAGATGGAATGCGACCGAGAAGAATCAGAATTGAGCGCCGTTGCACCAACTGATCGATGTTTCCCTCCTGCCTCAAATATCTCCTGCATATCTTCATAGCTATCCACAGTGATACTGGACAAACCTTTGACATAAATCCCCTTGTCAGGGTGTTCTTTGATCTCGGGCTTGTATCTGCACTCTTTGACAAGTAGATCTCTGATTTCTTCATTGTAGATCTCAAGGTAAGAAACACGCAGTAGATATTTAGGAAGTTCATCAAAGCTGCGTTGCCGAGTGACGCTCAGAATATGTTCACAGCATCTAGGAATGATACCCTTTTGAGCAGAGGGACTTTCAATACCTTCCATTGTGAAAGTTTTCCCGCACGAGGTTTGACCGTAAGCAAATACTGTACCATTGTATCCATCAAGAACGCCATTTACAATCGGACGAACAATTTCAGAGTATATCATCTCAGTAGAGCTTGAAATTCCATACACTCCATCGAAGGTAAATATTTTGGAGCACTTAGAATTGTCCCAGGGTCTTTTAATGCTACACTGCTGCAATGAAGCATTTGTTTCTACGACAAGTCGTGTTTTCATTTCTCGCTCTTTTTCATTCAGTGGTCGACAACGAACAATAACTTTGACACTCTCGCTCATAATGCGCCACAGGGCGGGAGGGGTAGGGATTTTTTTGATCACCGAAGAATTGCTGCAGTTCTGTGCGGAGCTGATATGATCACTTTCCGCGCCAATCCAATCCGTTCACCAGGTTCCATTTTTCCCTTTTTCGTTTAGAATTTTTTAATCAAGTACCTGGTTAATAAAATAGAAATAACATATCAGAAAATATTTTTATATTTGAGCAAACAGAGAAAGGATGGTTGAGGGAAAACTTCTCGAAGAAATTTCAGAAAATTGAAATCTTGGAAGATCAAAGTTTTGATGGGATTCGAATCAGTACCTACGAGAAACTAATGAATAGCTACTTCTAAGAGAGACACGTTAGAAGTGAAGCAATTTTTTTTTTTATGAATTTTCCTCTTCATTATCTTACGAATACCCCTCCCTAGACATTGAAAAAAACATCATAGAGGATGAGATATGTATGGATTCATTTTGCGCATGATCAGAAAGTCACACTATTTGCTACAATTCTCCCGAACGCTTCTTGTTAACCTTTTAACTCCCAGAAGTGATGAACGTGTAACTTCTTCCTATGATATTCATTCGTTTTCTAGCAAACGGTTTATGAGAATACTCAAACTAATCAGGAAAAAGTTTTTACCTTGATCTTACAACAAATTCTCGTAACTAATTTACAAGGAATCGTGTAGCAGCAAGAGGAGAGAATTAGCAATCAGATCTTGGGAGTTAAAGGGGTCAAGTCATTAACCTAACAGCGTCGTGGTTGATATCTTGGTGTACCAATCCTGTTCGTTGATTTTCGGATCAGTGCCTTTCCTAGAATAAGCGACTCTACGAATAAGCACCCCACTTATAACTCTCGACTTAGAACAGGCTGTAAGAGACGAAAATATTCCCACAACTTCCAAAAACTTAATTCGTGAAATGAAATAAAGAATTCGACACTTTTCCGAGATTTTGAACTTTCCATTTTGCACAACTAATACAAGAACAGCGCACAGTGAACAAGATTCTAATCGTAAAAGTCACATGATTCGATTACGTAATCCGATAAAAGAAGGGTACAAATCGCGTGCTAAATCCTATTTTCAAAACAAGCGCCTCATCTACATCCGCAGTTTTCATTAACGAATACTGAGACAAAAAAAAAATTAAATTAAAAAAAATTGAACAGCTTGTGCAGTATAGGACCTGCACATTTATGAGTTCAAACTGTGCCGTCACAGTTTTTTGCCTCTTTTTTCCCCACAGTTCACCGGCACACAATTGTGTTTCTGAGTGGAAAGAAGCTTTAGGGTATTAAAATTACTTCTCCAAGAACGAAACGCAATGATCCTAGTTAGGTTTCAAACCCGAAAATTTCGATCTTGAGTCCGATATGCTAACTATAAGCCCAACATGTCTCCCAAACTTGAGGCTTAGGTGAAGACATAAAAAAAAAATCTCAAGTGAAATGATCCGAAACGCAGGTACCCGCACAAAGAACTAAGAAGATTAAGTAAGAATGGCATCTTTCAAATTTTCCTATAACTGGTTTGATTATCACACTAATCTGTGTGTTTCGGAGAGATTTTATGATTGTTTAGGTTTTCCTCCAGTTCTCTATAATCCTAGCCTCAAGGTCTTGGTTTGAATGAATTAAAAAAGGAGTGTCAAACACTTGCTAGTGAATAAACACAAATGATTCAATAATGTTCCTGAAATTAATTGTATTTTGTACTTTACCAACAGGCCAAGTACAATTAAATAATAGTGAATTTGACAGTTAGCAAGACTAGAGGATGTTAGAGCTTGAAAATGGTGATTTTTAGCTGCTTGCAGATACAAAATTACGAGAACAAAAACTTTCAGCGAAGTATTTTAGCAGTAGATACTATAGAATATAAACCGCAGCTTTCGTGATGTTTCCCTCGAAGATGTCTCCTGCAGGGCCGTAGTGTAGCAAAACAATACAAAATCATAAAACAAAAAGTTTGAAAGTCGTAAGTTATAAAATAAATAACAAAATGATTCAAAATTTGGATGTTGCTTTAAATTTCCAGCAGAGGGGTTCCCGGTGGTATCGTTTTGCTAATATCAATGGTTCGGTACCGGCCGTATTATACCCGCTGATATTAAGTTCTGTTGTCTTCTTGTCACACCAAACTTTACTTCACGTGTGAAGATCAACGAGTCTGTGTATTTACACTAGAGGCCTTGACAGGAACCTTTGAGCAAAAGTTAACTAGTAGAGGCCATAACTGACAAATTCATGCCAAAAAAGCCCATAAAATGCTGGCCATCCTTCCCTGTGTGCTAATGAAAAATAGTGCAAATCGCCTAACGGACAACAGAATAATTAAAACCTACCTAAATCTTTGCAGGTTTTGAAACAATCCATAAATTTCAGTCAAGATTTGCCTCGTACAAGGATTTCATCCCTAAAAAAATTGAGAAGGTAGCGGTATTGTGCCAACGACTCCCCAGGAAGACTCGAGAAATCAAATATTCTAAGAGTCTATGGCCGAGTAAGTCTTGTTGATCTTATCGTTAAATTCCTTGAACACTTAATCAACTGAACTCAGTTAGTCAAGTGTAATGTTCTGCAACGCTACACTTGGTTATCAACGGCCGTTGCACAAACAAACAAATAATTCAGGGTAAAATCGACCCAAACCATCTTCAATTAGTCCCGAAAACCATAACTTTGCCGAGAGTTCGAAACTTTCGGCGAGGAAGCCAGAGGATACGTTACTGCGACCTTCAAAGGTTTACTTAAAAAGCTTAACAGAATAAATTCTTCAAAAATTTACCTCATCAGCGCTGAATCAAAAAATGATAAGGTCTCGTTTCTGGCTTAAAAAAAAAGGCAAGAATGAGAAAAAAAATAGTCAAGATCATTTTTATTTACGAAGCGGAAGTTAGAATAAACTCTTTCTTCTCAACTGTTTCGAAGTTGTTGGGTTAAATGTCAGCCAAGTTTGAGGAACCACGCCTTCACAGTTGACCTGTAGGTGACATCAATGATGTAATCTTTTCATGGCTTGTGGCTGGGATGTTTCAGCGATGAGATCTTCTTGCTACGCTTGCTATGGGCCCCTGAGCACTAAGCTCAGGGGCAATAGTTTAATTTCACCATTTATGGAATTTGGAAGGAAAAACGTAATCTTCTGTTTTGGGAAGCAACAGGCAAAATCGCGCGTTTCTTTTACGAGTGAGAAGTCTTTTCGTTCTACCTCTGCAAACCTCGACACTTTGTAGGGATGTTGACAAAAAAATCAGCACTTTAAGTGACCTTATCATTTCGTTGTAACACTCTGTGACTAGCGTCACTTGATATTTCGCACCTATTAGTACTTAACTCTCATGAGTGACCAAGAAATAATTTCTCCTTACAATACCAATACAATATCAAGGAAACAAGTGATGAGAATAAAGAAAAATGTCAATTAGCGTATAACTAATTGATCCAATAACAAATTTTCAGAGCTAAGATAATAAGAATGACCGGGTATAGCAGACAGTAAGGAGAATTACGAATGAGATCTTGGGGTGAAAGGGTTAAGACGCCGGTATGACCCCGTGTAAGATTCGCACTAACACTGCGTCAATTAAGTTTAAGAAGCAAGTATAGCTGAAAACTGTTAAAGAGAAAATAGAACATTATAGATTTGCTAGACGCAGTGGGAGGTGGTGAAGTCTTCGTAACCCGGTTAAACCATGCGCTAAATCAACAACAGGTCACACCATGCTGCGCTTGATGGAACTGAGTGCTGAAAACCCTCTGAAGAGCCCCCCTCCCCCCCTCTAGGGAGGGAAGGGGGGCTTTTCAAGGAGAGACGTATCAAGAAAAGCGGATCAGCTTAGATTACAGTAGGCTTTGTTAAACTATTAAAAATGATCGTATATGGCTACTTTGGAACAATGGCGGAAACAGCTTCAAAGTACACGTGGGATTTTTCAAAATTTCCTATTATCATACGAGCGGCAGATTTAAACCATCGGCAAAACTGACGATGAGACAAATCCTCCCCGTGGGGGTGATTCTGGTAGATTTTTTAGGATGCAAATAGTCACGGTGGGGTGGATGGTGGGGCGACTGTAGCTTTCGTATCTGAAATAAAGAGATGTCACTGTTTTTTCCTTTATATTACTTAAAACTGGCGAAAGATATATTCAATTAGAGGCTCACTGTGCGTTGCAAAGGTAATGAGAGCATGTGTGACCTGGTATTAGCGTCCGAAGCCTACCGCGCCGTTGAATCACGTAGAAGACTATCGTCATTTGCTCGATTGTTTAATGTGCGTGTGTTTAAATTGAGGAGTGGATCAAAAACTATACACGAGCCAAGAGATTATAATCTCGTGAAAAGAGATTTAAAATGCGAGTAATTATTTTTCTTATAAACAATCGTCTAGATTCATTGAAATCCAGATAGAGAATGTATTGTAGCGTTAGTAATCTTCGATATTAAAAAAAAAGAAACTAATACAAGCCTTCCAATGCCAGTCAAGTCAAGCACAGTTTGGTATTTCTCTTTATGGAAAAGTCAACTGGATACGATAATGTAATGTGGTAAAAATCTCCACCCTGTTTCTCCACCTATCCCCTGAGACAAGTTCCAATTGATATCTTATTCAGGAGCAATATTCTTTTCTCTTCGAGGAACATGCTGATGTTCTCTTGACTTTGTTTAGTGCTTGGTGCGCGTAGTTCTTACATAATTGGCCGACAATCACGCGCAGATACAGCTGTCCAATCTCAAATCTTTGGTTAAAAATAATAAAAAAAAAAGGAACGGTAATTGGGCGCCAAAGCCATTAGCACATTAATGGTGTGTAAATCAAAGAGTTTAATAATTGTGCTCGCATTAAGTGGTCATGGCTCTGTAAGGAGGAAATTCTTAGCAGCCGTCATATTTCATGAGAGCAACGGTGTGGAAGCAACATTTTAAAGAATCTTGTGAATTATGAACACAACCAGAATCAAAGTCGTGGAATCTCTGTTAAAAATACTTTTCCCTGTTAAACAATAATTTTGCTGTTTCAAGATAAAAATGAAAAATTGACAGAAACAAATTGAGCCAGTGTTTGAACATAAGAACTAGTAGAAAGAAACTTTACCAGCCTTTACCAAACTAATTGGCCGCAACTAAGTTGAGAGAGCTTATTTACTCCAAATTGCACTATAAATCATTTCATAATTTTTTAAAAAAACACTTTTAATCTCAATTTCCCGCACTTAAATTTCACTTCCTGTAGCGCTTGGGATTGATGGGCGTTCTCTCAGCCAATGAGCTAGCGGAAAATTGTTTTTGTATAATTTTCAACCAGTAATGTTTCTGTAAATGTGATACAAAATTACTTTTGCCATCATTCCATGATTTGTTTGATCATTTTTGGGTAAATACAATTATGAATGTGATAAAAGTTGGAAGTAACCTATAACATGCCATAACACGTCAGAAGTCTGTCCAAAAAAAAGAGATGAAATCTGTGGCGTTTGTTGTCGTATTTCTCGTAATTCAGAGAGGTCAGTGAGTATGCCATTTAAGAATTCTCTTTGTTACTAATGAAAAACAATTTAAAAACTCCTCAATGATTTTTACAACGATCTAGTTGCTTTCAAACTACATAAACAGCTTCGTCGATGTAGCAAGTTCTCTTTTTTTGCTATACTTTGAGATACTTTAAACGTAGCTTACGGTTGACAAACTTAGCAAGGTTTTTACACTTGCTGTAATTTGCGAATAATCTGCCAATTTTTCCTTGTGGTTCAAAGTTTGAGAATTGATTCAATGTATGATAAAATGTTGGTTATAACTTACCACTCTCTAAAGATTCAACTTTCGCAAACCGAGCACCAGATCAAATAAAAAAACTGATGCTTTTAAAAAGCCATTTCCTGCTCTGTTCATCAACTGGTTGTTTAGTAGTCGGTTGCGTGCAAATTTTCAGTTGTTATCTCACCATGAGGGCGCATTGATGATTACATTTAAGAAATTTCTTACATCTGAGACATTTCACACCAAAGCACGCGTAGTTCTTTTTCTCCAAGAAAGCCTGTGTCATTAACTGAATGACAAACATTTTCACTTCATATTCAATTTCATCCTGTTCCGATGAAGATTCAAACGTGCGATTATGTTCATTTGGTCTTGTATTCAATGAACACGCTTTATAAACGTTACTGCTTGACTTGATCACACCATTTCAATCATTCGATTTTATGTCGATGTTCTATTAAAATCTTGTTGCTGCAAATGCCTTATGAGCCGTTTTTTGTCTGTTATTTACAGCCTCTGCCCTCAGATGTTATGACTGCAAGCCTGGCAACAACAGCGTTGCTGGTTCAGCAATCACCTGCAGCAAACCAGTTCAGACTGTGGAGTGCAGTTCAGGCTTTGATTCTTGTTCGATCGTAAAAGTTACTAGTGATGAATTAGACATATATTACCTCGATTGCTTCTTGAAATCGTTTTGCAGTGAAGCGCAAAAGAACCTCTGTAAAGTAAGCACTCAAGGTCTCCATGGTGCTAGATGTGATAAGTCATGCTGTGAAACTGATTTGTGCAACAAACCCAAAGATTCCTCGACCTCAGTTACATCGAGCCATGTTCCAGCGAGTGCCGCCATATTTGTGATTCTGAGTGTAATAGCAATGGTACTCGTGGACATGATTTGAAACATTTTGTTAAATATTAGCTCAAAGAAAAAAAAAACTGAAACTACTTGCTAGTGATTGCCGATTTCGGGTTAGTCAAAACTTATCACAATGATTAAAGACGCTGCGACTTTCCTTAAGATAAACTATGTAATCATTAGTGAAATAAAATTATAGATTCGAACTCCCTCATTGATTTATGTCTCTATTAAAACTCAGGCTTTTTAGAAGGAGTTTTCCACTATTTCATTTTAATTTTTCATCCACACTCCTGAAATTTACGTAACGTGAGAAAAACTAGAAAACGGCGCGCCAACTTCGAATTAAGCTTGAAGGTGTTACTTTAGGTATAGGTGTAATTTTTTACGTTTATTTGGAAAGGAAATTTCGATCGAATTTCTTGCCGCGTTTCACCACCGTAATTTCTTGAAACGATTACAATAGTAAAGAAGGCGAAGGCCTCGTTCAACCTTCAACTTACACGGGTGACCAAGAAAGAATTCCTCCTAACAATATCAATACAATAACAAACAGAAAAGTGATGAGAAGAGAGGAAAAAATATCAATTAGGGGATTTTTAGTTGATCAAATACCAAATTCTCCAAACCAACATCATAAGAACTGTATGGCAGGCAGTGAGGAGAATTACTCTTGAGATCTGGGAGTTCAAGGTTTAATCCTCGTCTAGGAAAAATACACATCTTACCAAAGAAAACGCAAATTACCATCAGCGCTGAAAAATATATTTCTATATTTAAAATAATATTAACTAGATACACGGAGCACAAAATATTCCTTGATAGGAAAGTTACCCATTTCCAAACTTAAGGTTTCAAGGCTCCGATAAAGTGTCGGCAGAGACAAACGGACAGTTTATTTCGACCATTCGACGAACAAAAGGAAATGAAATTAAAAAAAAGAAACGCACCATAATTGAGAAGGAAAAAGGAAAATCTACCTGACAACTCAGAAAAATACACATCATGAAAGTAGGTGTGCAAAGATCAACTATTTCCATAAAATAAGTGGAAGAAACGAAAGCAAAGAATCAGTCGAACCAATAGAATTGGTAGAAGCAATTTGTGAAGACTCTTAAAAAAATTTGCTAACCGCGTTTGAGTATTTATAGTAATGATAAAACCACAGAGAGACCATACCAAACATGAATAATTAAGAATGAAGGAATCTTCGCTGTTAAATGCTACGATGTTCACTTTGGATTTCTTTTCATATTTTGTATAAAACTATATGGGATAATTTGACAGCGAATCAAAGCTTTAAGTAGCATCGACATCTCCTCTTGAGAGCTACATACAATATATTGATGTCTCAAAAATAAATCGGATGATCATGAGAATTTAAGTAGAGTAAGTGAACTTTCTCCTTCATTTCATTTGCTTCTTATGCTTCAAGTTCACAGTTGAACATGCTTAGAGCCAGACTTCGAGCTTTCTCTGAGGGCAAAAAAAAGGAAACAAAATCAGAAATCATTAGATATTATCGCTACTACTTCGCCTAACGTGCTGCTACGCTTCAGCAAAATGTGAGAAGACACTTCACCCAAGCAAAGGGAAGGGTTTCTCGGCTATAGGAACTGCAACGCCAACAGTGGTGTCACAAGCCAGCGTCAGTAGATGCAATGACGTCAAACCCCAAGATGTTTTATACTAGGGCCGCGATCGCGGGTTGTGAGCTTATGTCAGTACAGACGTGAGCTTGGGCCGCCTGTGGTGTCAGTATATCACTACTATTTTAGCCTTGAGGTTGTTAAAGAGGAATCGTTTTCACACTATCACCGGCCTTAGTTGCTTTTTTTTGCTTTAGCCCCGTGCAACATTCCCTTCAACTTGAGTGAAACTAAAAAATGTTAGTTTAGCCAGAGAGATAAACACTCAAAAGGAAATAATCAAAGCTACTTGAAGATCGCAAGTTGATGCGGGTTAGCGATGACAAACTCGGACGGGTAAATATGAATTGTTTAACAATCTCAAACTGTGAAGGAACACCTTCTTGTCCAAACCGTTGACATTCACCATACCTTGTAGACCTCGTGATAGGCGTTTCTGAGCAAAGCGTAAGGAAAACACGATTCTAACACGTCCATTGTAAGGTACGGACAGTCTTTGACGATCTAAGCACAAATATAAACGGGAAAACAACAATGTAACAAAAATCAAAACAAAGACTCTCTGAAGAATCACACACAAGCTGCGCTAAACTGTAGAATACACAATCACTGGGGAAAAAAAAGAAAAAAGGTACTGCTTGAACTGATGCATGACATCGACACAACCATAAAAATAACTTTACAAACCAGGTCTAACAGCAGATAAGTGGATTCCCGCGCCTTCAGATCCTTTTCTGCCTCGATGCCAAGCTTCAACAAACTGGAGGACGCGATCTAAAAACAAAGGTGACAGCATATAAGCACTACAGAGGTAACAGAACATACCATGCCCACACTGAAAGTTGAGAACCAGTCTTGATCTATACGATATCCATCTTTAAGACAAATGTCAAGATCTTGCAGCCAAAGTGCCAAGGCAGAGGTTCTTAACACTTTTCTTTTCTCCAATCTTCGCAAAATTTAGTTAAAGATACATTACCAAGTCATTTCCCTGTTAGCTGACAACTTTATCAACCCTCTTACCCCTAAGAAAGACTAGCATCGAATTTCTCCTGACAGCATCACAGCCGAGTCACACATGAAGGTCAGGAAAATAAAGGAAATGATCACCAACCGAATAAGCCCTTGATCTTCAAACAAATTCCTCTCGTTTGTATCATAGGGAATTTATATAGAACAGTTTAGAGAACATTCCTGTTAATTTTTTGATGTTAAGGATTATTAGCTTCCGGTGCCAATTTGTCCAAAGCTGGGTAAAGATAACCCAGGGTTAGTGTGACATCTGATTTCAGATCTAGCTTGAAAAGCTTCGAAAGAAAATTCAATATAATTCTTTTGGTCTACAGTTTGATGATTGGATGCTCTGAAGAACAAAAAAAACCACAAAATAGCTTTTGAACAAAGGAATAAAGAAAGCCGGATTAAAATTTAACATTGGTTTAGTGCTAATCTACCTTCCAACAACTGGACCTAGGCTACTACAGACGTTTAAAGAGAGCAGCTCATTCCCAGTACTTACAGCCAAGAATTCTCTGAGTCTTTCCTCCGCACTATCTCCATTGTTGAAGCACAAGGCGCCTGCCACACGACTGATGGACGCTGACATACAGTGGGCGTTGTTTTCATGCGCTGAAAGAATAGAAAAATTGCTACCGACTAAGTAACGGTTTCTTCACTTATGCAGTAACATTTCAACTTCGAGATCTGATGAGTAGTAACACATTCTTGTTCATTAACTCTATACATTGTTACCTTCCAGGTCAGCATTATAATCAGAAGAGTCTCTGTAGGCCAGTGATGGAAGCGCCACAGCTACGAATACCTACAAAAAGCCACAGAAGCATTTCATTGGCGCTTTAAATCGAAAACCAACGTTAAAAATTTGTCGTCAATATCGTAGATCAGAAAATTTACCAATATTGACAATATTAATGGATACTCCGAAGAAAATAAAAACAGGATGGAATCGAGTTATTCCATAGTTTTTTACTAGGTCTGCAAAGAATTTACTGAAGTCGAAGCTGTGTTGGTACAAACAACAAACGCAGAGTGGAAACCATCATACCAGACAATCGTTGTTCGTTCCATTCCACTCACATTACAGATTTTAGAAAAAACTGACCGAAGTAAAATCTAAAAAATTGCAACATAATCTCTTCTCCAAGCTTTAAGCTTTTAAGAAAGAAGACTTACCAAGAACAATGCCCAAACCACAGAATCTTCATCGGACTTCTTTTCTATAACAAAAAGAAAAGAAAAATACATTAGGCAAGTCACAATGAAAAGAAACTGGACTCATACAATTTATCAAGAAAAAAGGCGTGGCTAATTTGGGGAGCCGGCACTATAGTAGTGTTTTCGTGAACCACTTCTCTCTGGTTCGCTCACGAAATACTTCCTCAAAATCGCCAGCTTTGCAGGTAAGATGTGACTGAATAAAAACTTAGTTATTCTGGCAGTGTTATCAATACCTCAGAAATAGTATCAGTCGAAAATGGTTAAGAGGATGAAGGGCAGCACAGAGATATGAAATCTCAACTCATGACAGAATACAGTCTTGAACGAAACAAATAAAGCCTTTACCTCCTCCCTGTTTCAGTTAAGCATCCATTACTGAGGACGATTGCTATTATCAGTAGTCAAATATAGTAACTGACGTCATGAATGGCTGTATAAGAGTATATACCTTACCGTAACACTGCACGTATATACAACCACGCATGACTTATCTGTAAGTAACGCGTTCACAAAAAAAAAACCTCACCTCTGTGGACGCGAAGAGCTTCGCAAAGGACTGGGTCTAGCTCGCACTGGAGGCCAGCTGATGTCGCCATTTCCTCTACAAGCTTAAACAACAAAAACTTGGAATATAGAGCTGTAATAATCAAGATAATATCAGTAAAATGTTGGCAACGAATGTCATTGATAGTTAAATCAGTTAAGCAAAACTTCACTTCATCGAAAGTATTTACATGTAAAAGGAAACTTCAAGTTTTGGTTCGGTCAGAAAGAAAAACACAAAAGGGGGAATAATGAACCAACATGAAAGTATAATAAACATCTTACTAATCTCGTTTTCTCGGTCCGTGCTGTAACTTACGGTATCTCGTTCTAGGTCCGCACTAGGTCCGCATTAACAGTGCAGATTTCGAGCTCGGTTAGTAAGTGGCATCACTTACCGGGCGATCATTGTTTCCGTGGGGAAAATGTTCTTTGAAATCCACGATACAGTTCATCAAGAATGGCACTCTCTTTTTCAAAACCTAATCGTAAATATTCGATAAATATTTATTAGGTATATAGTATAATATGTATAAGTATATGTATATCCTATCTGTCGAAAACATAACATCTAAGCAAGCATAATCTGAAATAGTTTTTGGAAAATTTTTCGACACGTTTAGCTAAATTCTTATGAACGTAACAAGATACAAACGTACAGTTTCCAAAGCTTCTTGTGTCAGAGAACGGAAAGTCAAAATCACTCCAACAATTATCACTCGGATAATCAAATCTTCAATATCTAAGAAAAGATAATTACAGTAACTGGTTAACAATCAAATTTCATCGGACCTGTGTGCCTAAACTAACATGTCCATCGCATTGCGAAATGAAGAAATCCATCAGCTGAGCAGAGACGTACTACCCGATTTTGGTGGGTTTGGCAAAAAGTCGCAAAGCTCAAACATTTTAAGTGACCACTTTAAGAAACACGCGGGTGAGATCAAGAGTTTCATTGACAGCCGTTTAGCGGCGGTCTCTTGTCAGCTAAGAGACCTCTCACTGTCGTCTGTTTAGGATACGAGATCTCTTTTTGATGCCTAGAGAGTTGAAATTATATTTCTGATCTTCTCGAATTCAAACTTTTCCTAAGGGAACATGCCCCTAGAGCCCCCTAGGGGAAGAGGCCTTTGTTTCCCAACAGAGGAAAGCACGCGTAGTCTCGTCCGATGAAAACCAACCAGTTAACGCTTTAAGAGGGTACGTTTATAAAGAATTCGCTCTGAAGAAGGGCTTCCACTCGAAACGTCAGTTTTGAAACTCTTTACGGTGGTCAATTTTCGTTATCAACTCAGTTAATGATACCAAATTACCCAGTCTACACTTAACTAGTAAAAATTTAACAGATTTAAATTTTTTTTCGCTACTTCAAGTAAATGCGGCTAGAAAATGGACATTATGCCTAATAGTTGTTGATTGACAGTTCCTCTTCTCTTCTGGTTAGGACAGATGCCGAAGAATTAATTGGTTGTTTCTTTGATCTAATCGGGTTAAGTTATGACTGATCACATGACGTACTTTTAAGCCTTCTGACGAGCTCCATACACTGGTCAGGTTTGTCAAAACTTGTCCGCAGGCTCGTCAACACATCTTTGTTTAGAACGACCAGTTTCTGTTTTCAGAAAGGAATGAAAAAATTACAAAAAAGATTCTTTTTTTTCCGAGAAAAAAATTGAAATATTCATGAAGGTTTACAACAGGTCTATATCACTAGAAATGTTAAAATGGGACGGACACACCGTTAAAGACCCATACTGTGTTTGAAACTTGTACATGGCAAGCCAGTGGTTCGTTAACGGGCTCTGCTTAACTCATCTGGTCAAAAGTACCCATTGTGAAATCAAAAATAGTTGGAATGCCACCGGCGCAACTCCAATCCAAGAATTGCATGACAAAAACCGGCTTCGAAGTAGACATCGCTTTGCCGAATATCATCAATATTCAAAGCACCCCCTGATCTTAACTGGGACTCTAAATGGTCAATGATGACTCTCTCTTACTCAGGTGGTGAGATATTGAGTCACAATCATCGTCACACTGACTGAGGTTTTTTCAGGACTGACCTAACCCGAACGACCACAATTTACAACGGAGTGATTCTCAGGCCCTTATTCGCAGCATTTATGGTAAAACGTGGATCAATATCAGTATCTGGGCAACTGTCCACCTACCCCTCCCCTAGCTCAACATTAACCCTAACTTGTTATCAATAGACTGTTGTTGAGTTAGGGGAGGGGTAGGTGGGCAGTTGCCCAGATACTGATATTGATCCTAAAACGTTAACCATTTAACCCCTAAGAATGATTAGTAACTAATTTCTCCTATCAGTATCACCCCTGAAACAAACATTGAGGTCATGAGAATAAAGGAAATGATCACCAACTAAAGATGCTCTTGATTGTTAAACATACTCTCCTTGTCAACATCTTAGGAAATGTATGATGAACAGTACAGAGAATATGCATACTGATATTAGGGTGTAAGGGGTTAATAACTGAACCTTAATCTCTCCAACTTGACTCGCAACTTGCTGCATCATTTTCTGTCCCAGATATTTCATGCCATACGCACCAAGCAGTTCAGCAAGAGCTTGTAATTCTGAAAGTAAAAAATGACATTCGATTCCATTGCATCGTGTGGCTGTCAAGTTTTGCAAAGTAATAACATTAAACGACAAAAAAATGGTTCTACTATAAACATTGCAATAATCACTCCGAACAAGGCACGATTGGAACCGGCAGCTTTTCCCAATCTAAAAACACCTCAATGGTGCTGATCGGGTTATCCGAACAAAAGCCCTGATTTTGGGTCTATACAGCCAATCCATCTCCATGCAGGACTGGGTTAGGGTGGGTAACCATTCAACTCCCGGAGGTGATCATAATATCACCTCTCCCTACACTCTTAATACATCCTCCGGTTAAACAGGTCAGGAGATAAAAGAAACTTAACAACTATAAAGTGTTATTGAGATATGACACCAAATTCTCCTTTAAAAATGATAAGAAAAGGAATAGCAGCTGTAGAGGAAAATTTCAGTACGGATCTCGGAATTAGATAGTTGATTTTAGAAGTGTTCTGATTAAGAGCCAAAAACACGAACTCGGGCATGTAACGTATACTGTATATCAGATTGTTGAAGATAAAACAATCACATCACGCAGTCCTGACAGTATGTTCTAAAAGACAATGAAACTCATTCACTTACCATTGACGTCCGTGTACTCCTCTGCTCTGAAAGACTGACCAGGTCTGTTGACGAAAGCTCGACGGCGTGGAGAGAACACAATGTTATCCGTCATCACACGACGCAAGAAAACATCAAGGTACCTGATGACGGAAGATGTTCACAAGAACTTCAGTTTGTTTTGTTTCTAACTCTTTTCCATGACTCAGGTGCTCCATAAGAGAAATGAGTTTAAAATTCCGGGTTGTTCGCGTTCATTCATAGATCGTATAATAAAATTATTCTGGCGTGACCTAGATGATGTTGTTTTAGTGCAAATTATAAAACAAAACAACAGTTATTTACCATGTAGCATACATGTTGGTGATAGTTATAGCTCCTTGGCTGTCTTCAGGCTGTGTTTGTTGTAACAAGACATGATTGAACAACCGAGCCATGTCTACACCAGCTGAAAGAAACGAACACAGCAATCATTATCTCTTAGCAACCACAACAACTACTGAAATGATACTTGGATGCGGTTATAAACACCAAGATGCAATGGGACATCTATTATGGGGAGACCCCGGGAAATCAAAAACAGGTCCTTTATAATGGTCTGGAATCCTGCCCAGGGGGAGTAGCGACACTTCTGGTCGCCGTGGAAGCTGGGATAAGCTCGTGACAAATGTTTGTGTTTCTTGAATGGAGGCTTCCCAAAGGAAAGGTTCCAACTCATTTCGATTTTGGAGCAAGGGGAGTTTTAAATAAATTGCAAGCAAAAAATCTGGTGTAAACAAGCTGTCCCACAAGTCATATGATGATGTTTGGTTTTCTTTTCCTTTGTGTCCTATATAATGAGCTTCCTTGAGTCACGTTCTACTTATGAATGGAATCAACAGGTTACCAAGAATTCTACAAAGTAACAAACTCACTGTGGTTCTCAAGACCCCTCAAGGAAGCCATTGTTGCCTGCGAAAGCAGAAAATAGAAACAAAGCAATGACATCAGTTCTAAGAATGTCAAAAATGTTTTCTGGTCACGTGATAGTAAAACGTCTGCACGTTCGCAAAACTGTGTTTCGCATGCGCAAAAAATTATACTGATTAACCAACGTGGGCGACACTTAGGGCCTGATTCCAACTGGATGCCCATATATGTGCATACTAGACCCTTCACTAACAACAGAGAACGAAGGAAACAATTTAGACCAAAGTTCTGAATTGAAACCATTACCTTAATGTTGCTTAGGACCTCCGAGGGACGTGCAATCCTAAGGTTATCAGAATCAAACTGTGCCATAGTCACCACAGACCTACCAAGATGGTCATTGATTTTTTAGCAAGAAAGGAGTACAAGTGACTCAGTGAGACCCAAAATAGTGTTAAAATTGCAGAAATAACTGATAGGTTAGCATCCATTTTTAGACTTCGGCTCGATTTCCCTTAAAAAATCCTCCGGTAATCACTCCATCTTAACACCTAGGGGACCAGCAATTATTCATCCCCGGGTGAGTAGGGTGGGGATGGGGTTGAGACGGAGGTTTTTGGGAGGATTACATGGTTTCCTAGTGGAAAGGAGCGGGGATCAGTCGTCACCAACAGAGTATAAAGGGGGACTATAGTACAGAAAATTGACTGCTAAATTAACTGAGAGTGAATGGAGAGTTTATGGTAGTAATAAAACAGAGCCTTGTGGAGGGTCAAGTGAATTTTATATCGAGGCACAACTAAAATCCTCCCCAACCCCCCTTCCCCCCAGCGATCACTAATGACCGGTCCCTAAAGAGCCTACACGTGTACATGTATCCAACCTTACACAATCGTTATTCTCTGAAGATAAACTCACTTTGTAAAGAACTCCTCCAATTGAGAGTTGAGATATTCCCGAGGAGCAAAGATGTGTTCCCACACTGGAATAGCTTCTGTGTACGTGATCGCTCGGCAGATTTCGGTCAAAGCAATCAGTTTCCCATCCAAACTGCAAAATACACGAAATTACTGTATAAAACAAGAAAAAAAGACGATGAAGATTGCTCTGCAGCAAGGATGGGTTGAAATTAAAAGTTTTTTTCCAGTTATAAAAAATTTCATTGAAAATTTATGATCAGATTCCTCCACGGGAAATCAGAATCCTTTAAAATGTGCTAGTGTCCAACTAGTATCTGAGAGACATGGGTTCGAATCCTATTAAGGCCTTAATTTTTTCAGTCTTCTTCTCTGCAATTGCATCTATTGTGGTTCAACTGCGGGTATCATTGCTTAACCTGAGTATCCACATAACTGACGAAAAACAGATTAACAACGAGTCCTTTGAATACTCCTAACAGCGCCTAGATGTGTACCATAGACGACAGATAATACTCACGCTGAAAGTTTTTCTCTGCTCTTTCGGAAGCTCTCGCTGCCGGGTGGAGCGTACTCGTTCTGCACGTTCTTCTTGTTCTTGTCCTTTTTCGGTCCGGAAGATAATTCTGTCATCAAACTAACGGCTTGCAACTGCCATAGCTACAAACACAACAACAATAACAAAAACAACTACAACAACGATATTTTAAAATACACTGAAATGCATTAATGAATTAAAATGCAAGTAAGAAACTAACTGTAGCATTAACTTGCAATTTGAATACGTCTTCAGGGGTCTGAGTGACTTATTCCATACGCGGCTGCGTAGTAAGCGGCTGTGCCTAAAAATGGGGCCGCCGCATAAGGCAGGAATTATCGTTTATTATTAAGAACACTTTTCAGTCAAACGACTGAATTACGTGAATATGTACAATACAATAAGGCGAATATTAAAAAATATACATATATATATATATATATATATATATATACACAGTGGCTATTTTTTTCCAGTTATAAAAAAATTTCATCGGCAAAAATGCGAAACCCAAACACGAGAGCCTGCACGCAGGCAAAAAAAAAGAGAAAAAACAGCGGTAATAGGTCCTAAGGCGGTGGTAGACCGCCGGGAACCGGCTTTTACTGAAACCTCTGCGTCTTGCAGAAGCGTGTTTTTTTTTTGTCTTTACCCGCTCTTTCTTACGAACCTGCTGATTGAGGTGAATATGATCAGGACACAGTTGGCTCAAGATATTCCTAGCTTCCTTTGCCATGGATTCCAGAAACAGATTCACCGCCGCCAAACTACGATCCCCTATGGGATGGCGCTGTCATTGATCAAGAAAATGAAAATAACGTTGCAAGATTAAACTTCATGTTAAATTTACTAAAGACACGTAATCGTGGGAGATACATTTCTCTTATACATAACCCGTTGGAACCTTTTTTTCTCTGATCTACATCGGTTCTTTGTAATACTGAAAATATGGAAGTTTTGTTTTGTTGTCTGAAAACAGTTGTTAATAAACACGTAAAAAAATGAGAGTTTTAAAGTCAAGTTTTGTTGGATTAACACGTGGCAGAGAGCGTTGATACTGAACAACAAAAGCATCTTAGGTTTGAGAGAAGAATGGCGCTGAGGTACGTACATGTAGCCTTTCAGTTCATTCATAGAACCCTTTACACCCCAACATCAGTATACATTTTCTCCACACTGTTCTCTATACATTTCTCATGGTACTGACAAGGAGAATTTGTTTAACAATCAAGAGCCTCTTTAGTTGGTGATCATTTCCTTTATTCTCATGACCTCAATGTTTGTTTTAGGGGTGATACTGATGGGAGAAATTAGTTGCTAATCACTCTTAGGGGGTTAAAGGGTTAATACATAAAGTAAGATCGGGGCTTTGAGGTCAACTTTTTTAAAGCTGAGGGGGGGGGGAGACTGAAGAGGCTTGATAAAATTTAAATACAAAATACAATAAAGGCTTGCTACATTGCACTGTACCTCTTCTGGGCAAAAATCACTTGTACAAGACATGAAGTGGCCACAGATCAATGGGAATGCAACAGAAAATCTGACGAGAAAAATAAACAGCGACTAAATTTGGCAACTTGACTTGGGAACACTGTCCTTTGCTTTAACAATCGCATCGTAGCCTGATGTTAATGTGAGTACCTCTTGCTGGGTGGTGACGAAACATTTGAGCCGGACGCACAAAGTGCAAAAGCACGTTGTACGGAGGGAAAGAAAGATTATCATAGTAAATTCTGGTTCAATAGTTAAATATAGAGAGCAGGGGACTAAGAAGATGCTAAATACCCTAACAGGACTCAAACTGGGTCACTTCCTATTTTGCACTTGGATGCTCTACTAAATGAACTAAGAAAAACGTATTGGCAAAGGGTCCTGTGTGGAGCTTACATGTTCTTTGTTTTCAGAGAGGCATAGAGTGAATTTTCACATGTTACATTGATATGAGTATACTTAGTTTGCAAGCAGGTTCACAGCATTACAGCTGCTATGAGAGTGTGAGTGTAAGAGGAATTTTTATTACAAAAATTTGATGATTACGGCTGCATCTCTCACAGGCAGCAACAAGCACAACCATGTAACTCTCGTGAAACACACACACCACACTTAAAAAAATTGGCAATGGTGCTGTTGTTACCGTGAATACTTGTAATCCTCCACACACTTCAAAAATGAATCCTCAAAAAAGCTGGGATAAAAACTAAAAGAGAAAAATTTAATTACCAATTGAAAATAGATTAATAATTACCTCTCTACAAAGTGAATTTAGGTAATGGAAATACATTACACACACGAAAAAAGATGTCATCTGTGCGTGGGTTGAGGATACCAGAAAGTAAAGACTTTAACTCAGATTTCAAGGGAGGATAGCACCAATGTTTCCAAGATCAACCCTGTGAGTTTAAGTATTTTGTGGAGAAACAATCTGATTTTCAGGATTACCAGTGATTTTAAGTGTTGGAAACTATCAGTGACAACATGTAACACCTTACCAGAAAATGGACAGATCAGAGATCTCATTCAAAAGCCTTTCTGGTGTATCAACCAGTTTGGAGTGGAATGCCACGTTGTTCATGAGCACTGCCAAGTCTCGGTTATCTTTTAACTCTGGTGCTGCTCCACGAACACTGGTATAAGCCTATAATAAATGCAAAAACAGTGTGGGAGTGTTGCATTAAACAGCACCACCATTTGGTATTATTTACAACAGAACCTTTCCAGAATGGCTTCCTTGGCAACAATGGGGACAGATAGCAGTTGGCTCCTCTCAGATGTGGTTGTTAAGGGGAGATTGTGGTGTAATATCATGACACTTGTTTTCTTCAGAAGCTAGTACACTATTTTTTCACTTGCATAAATTCTCACCAATGCTTTTTTATACCAGTTTACATGTCTCAATCAGAAGTTGATGTTTAAATGAAAAATGATGACAAAACAGGATAACTAAGGTACAGTGAGTCTATCAGTTTGTGGAATGTTTGCTTTCAGCATTGTGAACATCATGTTCTAGGTCTAACAGAATTAAACTATCAAAGATTGTCCACTAAAGCAAGTTTTCATACATTTTGCAACACCTTTTGTCAAGGATAGGTTATTCTGGCATTTGGGATGGGTTTTAGAGGCAGTGCTATTGTAGAGAGGCAGCTGTTGATACAAATTCTACTGTATTATGGTGTAAGGGGTGATTCCTATTAGTGCTAGGATTTGACTGTTGACTTTGCTACTGAACTGTACAGTCATGTGGTAAAATACCTGAAGACGCATCCAGTCCAATCGAAGACTCTCAAAATCAAACGTGTCTCCTGCTTCAACTGACAAATTAAATTCAGAGAGCAAACTGACTTTAGTGACCACCATTACACAATCATAGAAAACAACCTTTAGTGATAAAACAAAATCCTAATTCTATGTTACTATGGTAACCAGTATACACCTAAAATCTGATTGGTACAGTAATTCTCTTTCCAGATGCTGAATCCATGTAAATCATTTGAGGGAAATTGGCATTACAGCAAGACAATGATGTTCTTCTCCTAAGATTGTCTTCAATTCCTATAACTTGTTTGCTGGGTTTAATTGGATTTTTTCATGTGGAGAATTTAAAAGAATTAATCAACATGTCATGTCATGTTGATCAATTCTTGTATTGAAAGGGTAGGACAGTCTGCAACATTCCCTGCAGATAAGAGCCTTGTACCTTGTTTGACATTCAGCAGTGTAAGATCCTCAATAAATGATGTCATAATAATGGAGATGTCATCAGAACAGACTGAAATTTTCTATCAAACAGAAAAGCAAAAAAGATGCAGTGTCAAAGCTTTTATGCACAAACTTGTGCTTATAATTTACAAGTAAATTGTATACATATATCAACAGTAAATTATAAGAATGTTGCACAAAAGATATCAAAGCAAAATTCTAGTAACAGATAAGACCCCAAAGTAACCCTTGCACGCTATAAGTATATTTTCATCATGTTATCATTATATTAACTCAAGTCATCCCAAACATTCTTTTATTTTTGCAAAGCTGTCAAAAGAGAGGACCATTCCTGTGCGGAAGAGAGAAACCTTAAGCCTTTCACCTCTACAAGTAACTAGCCTCTAATTTCTCTTTACAATATCATCCCTGAATCAAACATTAAGGTCATGAGAATATAAGAAACGATCACCAACTAAAAAATCTCTTGATTGTGAAACAAACTTCTCCTTGTTATCACCTCAGGAATAATATAAGAGGAAAGTGAGGAGAATCTGCACACTGATGTTAGGGTGTAAAGGGTTAAACTAAAGAAGACTATGCTTTTTTTTAAACTACTATTTGAAGCACCAGTTAAAATTTATACAGTACTAGTTGAGACTCAAGTCAGTAAAACAAACCTGTACAACTTCTTTGAGCACAGCTACATCAAAACCACCCAGGTACTGGACAAAATACCGCTGCAATACTGATACATATTTCTGGATTATGCCTTATAGAAAGAAAAAAGATTAAACCCAATTTAATGACCTTGTTTAACTCTCAGCCTTTCATAAATTTCTAAATGAATAAAGGGGTAAGTTTCTAAAGAAACTGTGGTGCTGCGTCAGTGGGAGAGTATAGCAGGTAATTTAGTGTTAATAACTGAGTTGAAAACGTAAATTAGCCACCAAAAAGGGTAAAAAAAGCTGACATTTCGAGCATTAGCCCTTCGTCAGAGTGATCACTCTTTTAACCCTTAAAAAAACTTTAAGATGAGAATCTAATTTCTCACAACAGAAACACCCCTGAATCAAACATGAAGGTTATGAGTAAAAGAAAATTATTTAAAACTCAAGAAACTCTTAATTGTTGGACAAATACTCCTATTTTAAGTACCATAGGAAATGTACAGAGAACAGTAAGGAGAACTTGCATACTGATGTTAGTCTACACAGACAAGGATAAAGTGACCTGATTTCTTACCTCTTACTTCCTCCACATAAAGCAGCAACTGAGGTAATTTACTGACACAGAGAGGAAGTGTGGTAAAGATAAAACATAAAAATTAGCTACACAGAAAAACTAGCACAGAGAATGATAAAAAAAGCCTGCACTTTTACTAGTGCTTACACCTGTGCCAGTACTTGCAGTACAAGCTGCTTTGCCAAGCTAATGATAAAACCAACTCAGTCTTAACAAGAAGTTTTCCACTTGCCTGACCCATAAACCCCTCACCAGACTAGTCTACGTATTGCTACCAGACATTATTTACCCTAAAGGTCAACAATTTAGTTCAGAGCATGGTTATTGCCATGCCTGTGCAAGCTCTAGGAGCTGTAAGTCAGTGCAGGATGTTACGCATGAATAAGTGTATATCACCCACTCAATACAGAACACAACCATCTCCAGAGGCAGTCTATTGGTTTCCAAACTGTCTAGAAATGTGACAGTTATTTTCATTAAGTTAGTACTAGTTTTTTTCTCACTTGTCAACATAGTCTTCTTGGTTCAACTTTCTCCCTTTTGGTGGTGGATTACAGGTGTGCCTCACAAGCCACATGATCTCATCTCTTGTCATGCTTAATGCTTGAAGCACAACAATGATCTGTTGACAGAAAAAAAAATGCATTTCAAAGAATGCAGGCCTTTGTTGTAGAGGAGACTGTCAGTATCCAAGGTGATTAACTTTTGCTTCTGCTGGGCAACTCATGAATCTTTGCCTCTACAAAGTCTCTTAAAAATGGACATCTAAGATTTCTTACAATTAAGAGTTTTCAGGTACACTGTTAATCTTTTCCAAACAAAGCTTGGAAATAAGATTTTTTTTCTTGCTAACACCAAATTCCATCTAAATAAACTAAACTGTAAGTAACAATATGTAATCCTAGGTGCAAAATCTACCTTGGGTCCCAAAAGGCCTGGTTGATCAGAAAGAATTAGAGACATTTCTCTCAATGCAGTTCTAAGGTAGTTACGACGTTCCTTGTGAATTGGTCCTCTGTCAACAGGAAACAACACAAATATAATGAAATAGGCATATATGCAGTACTAACAGGCACAAGCCAGAGAATGTTGTTATCAAATATTTTCTGTTGTAAATGAAAATAATATTTAAGGAAATAATTATATCTGACAACAGTATAACAAAGTTATTAATCAATTCATGATACCCTGAGTAACTTTGCACTGAATACCTTAATGCAGATAATAAATTTGCTTTGTTAAACTACACTCAATTACCTTGTTGTTAATGCATGTGTCATAGCATCTTGAATATCTTTGACACGCTTGCCATACCTGGAAAACAAAATTAACAGACAGTAAAAAGCATATATTCTCATTGGGTTAAACCACTTCAGCTTGCTTTCTTTCCTTTGTCTAAAAATTATAGAAATGAATCAGCAAAAAAAGAAAATCCTTATTAAATTGACAAGTTAAGAAAATTTTCAACTAAGAAAAATTTGGGAAAAACACTCGAAAAGAAAAATTGTCACAACCTCAAGATGTGAAAGACTGTCATGAAGATTTCCAAGATATATATAATATGCAGATATAAATCCTGTGTAACATAATGCTTTGAGTGAATTTTGATCTAACATGAAATTCTCCCTCTGTTTCATAAGGGAACACAAGAAAATTTGGAAGGAGAATTTGGCAAGCTATCACATGCCACTTGGGGCTTTTTAACCACACACTCTTTCAATTCTTTGAGGCAAAAAAAGTTGCAGATCTATTTATCTCACCCTTTCATCCCATCTAGTAAATTTTGAAACTCCTTGTGATACATAATGATTTCATCACGGAACAAAGTAACACAGTAACCATCTTGTAATGCAATCTTCCAGATGTCTGTCACACCAGGCATGGCAAGTTGCTGATGACAAAGTGTGTATCCAACTATAGAGCAAAAAAAAAAAAAATCATACACAATTCCTTATGACAGTCAACCGAACATGAAGACATTCCAGCTGACCTAAGATTCAGCTCCCAAAGGAAAAAAACCCATTTCAATTGGTGGGACTTTCTAATGAAATAAAATCATTTGTGTAGACACTTACACAATATCCACTTCTGCATTCTGTCCAGTGAAAGGTACTCTACTGGAGGCTGCAAAAGCAAAATGTCATGTAAGTTGTAGATCCAATGTGACCTCAGTATTCAACCTGGTTTATTAATTGATTTGATAATTATTTCATCTTACACTTGTTGTTCAACCCAATTTGATTTGTAGCAAACCATGTACTGTATGATTATGTCTTCAAAAGGTATCATTCAAAAATTCAATTAGTTGTCATTCACTGCCAATTAAGATCTGACAATTATCTGTCTGTTAAATGATGATCATAGATTCCTTTGTCAAGTGTAGCTGAGAATTTGGTGTATTTACAGTGTCAGTAATGATGCCTAGTTCATATTATTTCCATTGTCATTAAATGTCTGCTTGTATATCAAAATAGTTAAAAGAATAATCACTTTTAATGTTGTAATGGTTAAACTGGATGAAATACAACTGAGGCATGTGAAGAAACTTAAACACAATACTTACCACATCACTGGTGACTGGATTGAGCATCTGTAATGGAGCACTGATGATGCTAACAATCTGTGTTTGACGCCACTGAGGATTTAAATCAAAACCTCATTCACCCAAAAAATAACTAAAACTTTTAACATGTATATCTGAAGCAATTCGAGCAAGAATTCTCCTCTGCTCATTAACATCATTCCTCCAAATAAGACTCACCTGTTCTCCTGGAGTATTTCTCCTCAAATAGATCTCATGAACTGAGTGGAGGGCAGTTGACACTCTCTGCAACAGATTAAGAAAATGCTTTGAGCCTAAGAGTACCAGTTACAGTGTAGTAAACTTTCCAAAACAATCACTTAATATAATCCATCAATCAAAAAACCCATCACTCTCACTTGAATATCAACAGAATGAAAACACAGCAATAAAATTAACACTAGAACGAATATTTTTACAGTAGACTTGAATATGTTGGCTGGTTTTAAAATAAAGATCATCAATATCTAACCTGTTGATGCGGAACAAATTGCTCAGCAATTTTTTTCAACGGACTTTCATATTCAACAATCATAGACCCCAGACGTGGAAAGGAATCTTCCCTACAAAAAAGTGTACAATAAAATGAAGTAAGTTTAAACTAGGCAAGTTAATGACTATGTGAGGGGAAATCACCAGTTGAGTATTTACATGATATTTCCTGTGCCTTAGGCATGTCAATTAATCATTAAAAGTAAAACAGATGGGTACACTAAAGTTGTCACAAGTAATAGCCAATTGTTTTTAACAATTTTCCTTTCCTTTCATTTTCCTTGATTCTGTCCAAAAGACTTATCAGGCATGAGAAGTTACAAGTTGAAATGATTTTTGAAAAACAAAGTTTTGAGTCTACACCCTCCCTCTAGCTGAGAGAACATGTACACTGTACCTGCTGAGTGTCTAAATCTACCTACCCTCTGCCATTCTTCATTTCATAGGCATGATTAAACAGACCCAATACAGCTTTGCGATCATCCACTCGGGCAACCAGCATCATAAGTGCGGCATAGGTAACAATCACATCCAAATAAGCCTTTGTCAAGTCATAGTTTAATGTCTACAAAAGGTGACATTAAAATAGTTTAACCCTTTAACTCTAATGAGTGACCAAGACATAATTTCTCCGTACAATATCAATACAATATCAAGCAGATAAGTGATGAGAATACCGAAATTGTATGTTTGACAGTAAGGAGAATTGCAAATTTGATCTGGGAGTTATTATTATTATTATTATTATTATTATTATTATTATTATTATTATTATTATTATTATTATTATTATTATTACCATAAACATTCACCTTTTTTCCAAACAAGGAAATGGGTTGAAGCCGATGCACTGAACATAAACTGTGCAAGATTGAGTTGTTGATTTTTCAGTAACATAGGCGATGTGTACTTATACAAAATAAATTTATGTCCCAAGAGTTGACATTATCCTTAACTTCCACAAATCTCTTTTCAATTACTTTGTGTTTGTATTGAAATATAGCAAGAAAAAAATGCATTGTCAAGAAAACAGGAGTAAAATATTGGAAAAACTGAGAAGGCACTTACAATGTCAAAATGTACAAAACTAGCATCAATCTCTGTTAGGAGCTCACTGGTGTTATCCTGAATCAAAATGAATTAAACAATAATTAGAATCAAACAAACAATAATTTCGTGGCTATGGTCATCAAAATGATCATAGAATTAAGTTATTGTTGTTAATAATAACAGCAACAACAGAGTAGCTATGTAAGGGAGGGCTACTTTGTATTTCATTTGTGTAAACTTGAAAACACTGTCTACAGATGTTTATGATACAGTCATTTCAAAATTTAATTGAAATGATTATGAAATGATCAGCACTCAAAAGAATTGAGGATCACTGTTGTCTAAGAAGTTTGAAATGTGGCTTTTTCAATTGCACTCTGTCACTGCTTGTCTCCTTTTTAGCCAATATTTAAGCATGTTGCATATGCTAGTTGATAAGCATCAATATATAAAGCATCAGTAAAACTTACTCTGAATTCCATAACATCCACAAATGTATAATAATAATTAGACAGTCCTTTGATAACCTCATTCTGGATGCTGTGAACTGGTTGAAGTGCAACACTCTAAACAATAACAAGAAGAATAGAATTCTAGTTTCATGGAAACATCACAAAAAACCTTAGAAAATTCTATCAATTTGAACAATACATGCATAAAAACTTTCTCCTCAAAACTAAATGCAGTACCTCTAGTGGTTCTAAACTTAAATAACTTTAATTTGTAATAATGGAGAAGTGTACCTTGGTGTCTGTTACGGGAAATTTCTTAACAATGGCCTTGATTGCTGGATCCAGTGCTTTGTCAGTCAAAAAGCCTGGCCTTGATTTTGAATCAGAACATGCCTTGAAAATAAAAAAAAGAACACAGAAACAATTACACAGACAATAACTACATACATCAAGAGTTTGATGCCTGCAGATCGCATACAGATCACACTTTACTCCTGCAACATCAAACACTTTTGTCAAATTTCCAATCCTTGGTGGATATTTCAATTAGCAAGCGTTAAAGTAGAAGAGGGTATTATCAGCTGTACACGTTCAGCCTAAACAGTAAGTTTGCGTCCTAATCTTGGATGATTTTGTGTGAATAAATGAACCATCACCTTAGGAAAAACATTCGTGATAAGCATCTTTTAAAGAAACAGAAAAGCTACGATAAAAGCCGGGAGGAATTGTTTAACCATGGAACCAATTCGAAAGCACTCAATTCACCACAGGCGAGCTATAAACAACTGATCTTGCTCAATGTTTGTCAGACATGAAGCTCTCAAAGGGGCTCTAATCTGCTCTAGTTTGTATAGCAGCATTTATCAGGAGTACATGGGCAGCAAAGTAAGGTTAACTTAGAGAACAACGTGCTATTTCTGACCCTTACTTTCTTGATGTTGTAAATTCGAGTGAGCATTCCAATTCCACGATCATTCAAAATCGTCAACTTTTCTGCCAGCCTCTGCTCTGTTACCGAAACTCCCCGATCCATATTTCAATTTTTTGTAGACTTTAACTTCTTTCAACCTTCTTGGATGTACTTTCAGTGGATCATTACGAATTTTAAACTGTTTTGGAGTATGTTTATAATGAAACGGTAGGAATGTTGTGACAGGGAGGAGGAAGGGATGAAACCAACCCTAGAGCCCGCTATACCGATGCGGTTAGTGTTAGCTTCCTGTACAGCGTCGTGTAAAATACCGACCATATCGCAGCTCCCGATGGGTAGAAATCGGTGGCGACCATCTACCGACTGTGGACGACACATCGATCGACGAGTGGACGGTGATTTATTCTAAGGCTGTTACGAATACCCATAATACTACAAGTGACACGATTTTTCCCTCCTTCATGATCTTATGCATTTCTGCAATCGATACTGTTCCAATTACCCGCGGCCCAGTGGGTCTCTGGTCCTCAGTCAGCTGGCCCTCTATCTAGGAGATCGGAGATTTTAAGAGCACCGTCTCCAATACACTCTTAAGCGGAATAAAAAGAGACTGTTTCTTTACGTGACTTCTGTATTTATTCATTCTCAAGGCTTGACGCTTCAATTCTACATACAAATAGGGTCCAGGAAATTCACTCAATCAAACGAATGAAGAAATGAAAACTAGCGCTTTGGGACTTACTAAAATTCGGGACGAGCGCATAGGATTGTTTTTGGTTTCTTTTTTGAAACTCTGAACGTAACTTCGGACCGGATAACATGGGACTCATCATTTGAAATATTAAGACTGTTTTGAACAGAACTAGATCGACAGGGATGAGGTCCTTCCACTAGTCATCTAAGCTTGAAGGCGAAATTCAGATGAGTAGATGTTTCTGAACGGCTTTTTGCTATTGCCCTTGCGGCTATCACGTGCATCTTGTTGTAATAAACATTTTAATAACTTACTTAGGCTACAAAATTGCTAAAATTCGGCATTCCTTTTCATTGTAAATTTGTTTGCGAGGTTTTCGCGTTTCCTCTTTTTCGCGAAATGGGGAGAAATAGCAGACCAATTAGACATAAAAATATGGCTCCACTTGCAGCCACGAAAATCACCGCCGGAGTAACATCTGGAATCGAATCTTGTACCGAAGCTGAAAAATGTAAACAACAAACTAAGTCAATACATCATTCTCACCGTAATAAGACATTTTGACTATGAAGAAGCTGAATGACATTTTTTGTACTTGATGAATACAGTGTTACTTACTCACTAAGTTATAGAGAATTTAAAGAAGTGGATATTAAAGGAAGAAAATTGCTAGCTCATTTGTTGATGAATTATTAGCTAAGAGCGGTGAAGTGAAAGAAAAGTGAGTGAAAGAGAAATAGACCGTGGTAGTTTCGCAGCTGTCGCCGTAATCTCCGTCCTTCATAATCTTCTTTATGTTTGTTTTTTTTCTCGTTTGTTTTCATTTTCCTTTTTTCCTTTCCTTTTTTATTCTTAATTTGTCACATTCGAGAGCATAAAAAAGGAGGCGGGGCTGAAGTGGGGCCTCTTGTCTGTTTTTGCTATTTTTCTTGTTTGGGGTAGAGCAGCCGTTTTAGTTTGGCGTGTGTCACTGTCTTTAAAGGGAAATTCTCTCTTTGATTTTCTTTCACATCATTAGCCAATGTAATTTTGAAAGTTCCAACCTTAAAAGGCCAGCAACCTGAACCTAATAACGATTTACACTCATGAACATGATTATACCTTTGGTGGATTTCTTGTGCAGTGCCTGATCATGTGTTTTGTTCCCTGTTGAATTCATCGCAGTGGGTTCCACTTTACTCGCTGCAATATCATCTTGAATTTTAACAGTGTGTATACTCCACATTCCGTTTGGGTGAACGTAATATTTCGCATCATCACCTGGTAAATCGTTCCCCTCTTTTCGGTGATTACTACCTGGAATGTCTTGTCGAGGAAAATTTTCCCCGCCTTTAATAGGCCTGTCTATTAAGAGTTTTTGAGCTGGTTGAGAAGTGGGTTTGATAAGTGAGATGCAAATTCCTACAGGATGCTGATAAGAAGCACTAGCTAAATTGCATTTTAATCCCTTTGCACAGCGGCCGACGACATAACCCTTGCCACCACAAGTCTGACCTGCAAAACACAAACAAATGAGCTGTGAAAAGATCTTAAACATTCATTTAACCATTTTTTAAAAGGCGAACGTGTGAAGTTTGTCACTGAAGTCCAAAACAGTTCATTGAATGATACAATCTAACACCAAAAAGTAGGAAAAGCCAGCTGATCAAAATTTGTTTTGAGGCACGATAAGGGTTAATCCACATTTAATTACCATGACAACGTACAGTTTTTGTAACACTGAACCTTAGTGTGGATCAGACGAGTTTTCAGTGAACACCCCGGCTGGTTTCAGGTTTTTTATAATCTGAGGTTTTTCACCAGAGAAAAAAATTTGACAGGACTCGTTTGCTTTCCTAACGCACGGCTTTTAAAAGCAAGATTTAACTACGGCAATATATATGGTATATATATATAGTCTATTCCAGGCCTTCAGCTAGTTGAGAGGAGTGGAAATGCAGGCACACGAAAAGTGATACGCAGACGCGTAGAGTGCGATTACCTGGTAAACAGCTGAACGCAAAAACCATAATTCGCACATTACTTTTTCGCTTATCTCCACTAACAGAGAGATAAAGGAATAATTTTTCGCAGACTTAAATGAATCCGGCAATTTTCCTCTCATTTTTTTTTATAGATAATCAAAAATCGCCGCAAAAACGTCTGAAGGAATAGCTCCATTGATGTTTAATTTGCTACAGTTGATTAACATTCGGTCATAGATTTGCTTGTGTTTGGAATTCCAATTGAAAACACATTCTCCAGAGTGTCATACCATAATTGGAGACAAAACCTACCGTTAACCCGAAGACATTTGGTACAACAATTACAGACGTCCATAACGAAACCAAGAGGACAGTTTGTTTCGTTTTTGCAGTCATCTATTGCGCATGGCTTGCATCCCAGAATTCCTCCACCCGTGATTACCGCTTCAGAAATCAAGATCGAGGCGAGACTAATCAGAACATGACCCCATACCAGGGCCAAAGTAGCCTTCTGATGGAAAATGAAACAGTAGGAGATAAAGTTTTACCAGAAAATTCAGTGCCTTTTTACTGAAGACACTGTGGATCAAATGGTGGTTTGGAAGTTTTAATTACCCTCAACTGACAACATTTTAAGTTGATTGTCAGTTAGTTAACCCCATTAAGACCTTCCTTAACCCTTCAACTCCCATAAGTGATCAAGACATAATTTCTCCTTAAAGTATCAATACAATATCAACCAGATAAGTGATGAGAACAAAGAAAAATATCAATTTGGGGATAATTAGTTGATTCGATACTAAATTCTCTGAAGTAACATTATAATAATTGTATGGTTGACAGTAAGGAGAATTTTATCTGGGAGTTAAGGGTTAAGAGGATCAGGTAAATTTTATCGTCACTCGACAATTATTCTTCGAACCCTCCCTTCCCCCCCCTCCCCGAGCGGCAAATATTGACTGGTCGAGTCATTAGATGGATATCAGTATGTCAATAAACAGGTCAAATATTTTCAAAACTGTCTGAACATGGAATGAGGCAAATATTACCAACGGACACAGATTGAATGAAAGCCCCTAAAAATATAAACTGTCGTGGTTACAGACGCAAAAGAAAAATTTGGATAACACGCGAAAAAACCTGAAGAAGGATTGTGTTCTTCATACAATCGCGTGCCGGAGACCTGCTGCCTGTACCGTTATTAAAAGTCGTAACCTGTTACACATACCAGGCATCAGTTTCGTGTTTTTTTCTTCAGCCCTAACTTAGTAGATTTACCCCCAAAATATTATAGAAGAGGGGTGAGGAGGGGTTCCTATCTTTTTTCAAAAGCCGCAGCTAAAAAAAAAATTGTAAAAGACTAAAGGAAAATGGTACGAGAAAAACGAAGATTTAACCCTCTCGTACTTCCAGTAAACGATATTTGGGAGCGACACCCAAATAATGTTTTATAAAAATAATTTCTTTGTGCGTTAATATTTGCTAAACTTTTATTTAAAAGAACACGACTTATTGATCGATTTTACTACAATTGCTCTCAGCCACTTTTCTTTTAGTTCCAGCAGTGATGGGTCATGTTCACCGATATATCTTAAAAATCAATCAAATTTTGCAGGTGTGTCTCAAAAGAGCAAACAAAACTAAATATGACTAAAGAAGTATAAATCAAGGTAATTTTCCAACTTAACACTATGAATTTCATTTATTAAAACTATTCTTTGTCTCAGCTGGCGCAGTTGAGATTCATTCAGTTAAAATAATGTTGTTTCATTGCAAACTGAATTAAAACCAGTTTGATATCAAATCTCGTCGCATTTACCCTGTTTGGTCCACAGTGAAAAATGCCCAGACATTTACTGAATTGCAAGTCCCAACTAATGCAAAATGCAACTTAAAAAGCTCAGCCTCTGATAATTTCTAAAGTATATTTAACGCTTGGTTTTGTTCTTACCTTGCACTCCACCGTTGTGTTCGAATGTTGTAACCCACGACATAAACGTTGTGCTGGTTACAAACGTCGAGGTGTGGTTTGTGTTTAGGTTCCTTGGAAGAGCTTTACCCCTCACTTTGAATCAAAGGAGCCTAACAGGAATCTTTAAGTCACTGAACAACTTTAACAAGCAAAGCATAGCGAGGACTTTATTGGTAAGAACTGTCCGCCCCTTTCCTGACGGAGCGAGGGATTTTCCTAGCCAAAAGCCGTTCTGGAGTGACAACTGACAGGTTGTTATGAAGAAACACAATGCATGCTCAATGGGCATGACAATTTATTGAAACTAACAGGTACTATGGGGATGAGATCATCGTTTGAAGGAAGCAGCTACCTAGTCACTGTAAAGCATTCTTTCGCTAAAGTTACAAGCTTGGAGAATTTGGTAGTTTTCGTTGGAGATTTGTGGATATCTTTAAGACCACGGCGATTTCTGCGCACAAAATTGCTGATTTTGTCGTGACACTCAACCCTGAAAGTAAATACGCACACTTTATCTCTTCGACGCCTAAGATCTCCTCTCAATTTTCTTTACTCTCTGGCATACATTTGTCACCATTTTACTTCTGAGTATTTGAAGCTAAATCAAGCAATTTTACCAGTTGTATATGATTTCCTTCTCACCACCTTTCCACTAAACAATTTGATGATATTTTGTAAGCGAAGATCATCGGTCGCTTCGCGGAGTTCTAACAAGAGGTTGTGTTGCTGTTTTTCTTCTGTCACGAGAAGAAAAAATACGAGTTTAAAAATACGAATCTCTGGAAACGAAAACATTGCTTGTCAATAGGGTAATTTTATTGTATAAACATTCAATCATCGTCGTTTTTCGCTAAATTATGGAACGTTCTTGTATTGCCTGGTCATATTTGATCTCGTACCCAGACCCTTATTGCGTGTAAAGTGTACCTGGCCAATTACGTGACTCGAAGACTGGGGGCGAAACTAATGACATAAGTGGGTAATGAGTACAGATTTCCGCCAGTGGTCAGCCTAAAGGGATATCTGGTCTGCAGGTTATCAGATTACGTGAACCTGATAATAACAGCCAAGGAGACCTATTCCCAAAACCCAACAAAAATGAGGTATACCTTACGAGTTAAAGCAATGGATTGGCGAAAGAAAACCGTAGAGATATTTCTTTGCGTTACTGCAGCCTCTTCCCTGGTCCGTTGAAAACTCGGACCACCTTGTCGACCAATCAGATGTAACTATAACTTTATCACTCCAGGGTTTATCCGTAATCTAACCTACTCCTTCACGTCTTGTGATATTGGCTGCTGTAATTACACTCTCAGTACATTGAGCGACGTAATATCAGTGTGGTTGAAAGGTGTGCAAGACACTTCTGAAGAACTAATCTGTACTAATCCGGTTAAATCTGGATTCAAAGGGGACGATCTTACAAAAAAACGCTCCGAGCCAGAACTCATTCACTCAGAACCTGTGAAAAGTCATATTTTATCGTTTTTGTTACAGTGGTTGATCAAAAATTTCATAGGTATTATTCAAGCAATTTCCTTCTTGCAATTTCCATCTTGCTGGGAAACAAGTACACCTATACGTGACAGTATTGATCTGTTTCTCATTGGATTTCGGCATTATATAACGCTGCCTTCTGTCACGTTTCCGGTAAACGTGCGTGCTGTTTAGTAACGCTAGCAAAGATAGCTGACCATGTGAGCAAGCGCGTGCTGAGCGCTGGAAGAAGAGTAATCAAGGGCGACTTCCATATGTCCTAGTCAAAAACACTTCCTGTAAAATGACTCCCTCGTCATATTTCACTGTTATAAATGAGTTCAGAGAGACTGCGTTTTGGTTTTTATCAGCATGAGAATTAAAGAGAAATTACACAGTATGCCGCTTACTGGCGCAGAATAGAAGAATAACTCACGAATTACATTGTGATCTGAACACGCGTTAAGTTATACAGTTTCAATCGTTCCGCATTTTTCGTTTTTTTGTATCACAGCATAGCATCTTTCCCTACCAAAGATCAATCAGCGGCTATTTCTATTGCTCACGAATCTACCAAAGCTGGTTCCCTCTACAAATTTTAAGTTTGTGAGTTTGGTTAAATCGGGAGGAACGAACATTTTTTAAAAAAAGTTTTATTTCCTCCATAGGACAACAAAATGAGTTCTAAAAAGTCGTGTTTGGAAACAAATAATCTTCGTGGGATAGAATTAACCCCTCCTCAGTGCCAGCCAGTACAAGCCGAAGGTATTTTTTACCTCATCCAGCGACTTTGACCAGAATCAAAGTCCCAACTAGTATAATCTAAGGGTAACTTTTCGCGAGAAATCAGAGATTTTCTTCAGATTACGAGCGTCAGAAAGTCAACTTGATTGTCCTTATTGTCTCGTCCATGTATCTTCGCATCGCACACTCGGAAAAGATCAGTTGGTGTTGATTAGAAACTGACTTCAACGGTAGAAAAACGTTTATCCTTTTTTGACCTTCGGCCTATCTAATATCTTGTCTCGGTGTCAGGAAAAGGAGAGCAGTGAGTGATTGTCAGCTATCAAAACATCATGATAATTTTGTCAGCTATGTCAAGTTAAATTGAAAAATTCCCAGAAAATATCATGCGAAAAATGCCGTCCCAGCCAGGATTCTCTTGGAAATTTGCCAGCCAGCTCAGCTGAAGGTGGGGAGCAGCTATTTTCAGGATTGGGTCTGTCGAACTAAATAGAAAGCAAAGATCCTAAGATTATGGGACTTGAACCATTTGCGAAGCAAGTCAAACAAATCTTTATTTGCTAAATCTAAATCCCAACACAGATGAAAATGAAAACGCAAGCGCGCGGCCGGTAAATGGTGCGAACGTCACTTCCCGGTCTTCCCTTGGGGATCTGATATGCCCTTTTTTCAGCTTCCCACTGAGATAATTTCATTGAATTTTCTATTCACTGTTTCAAACCTATATTAGTAGTCAGTTTCCCATTCCAGACTACGACAAAGGCCTCTTAGCCCCAATGTTAATCAAGGCTCTCGTCCAAGAGAAGAATGCAACTTTTGTTACGTCACCTTAAAAAAATTGTAGAATATCGATTACCGCTAAAGGATAGTAATCTTCTTCCTAAGCAAACCAACAGTGAAGGTATTGACGAAAAGGGGAAAATGACGCAATTTACTTTGTGCTGCGCCATTCAAATCGAAACCCGCTCTACCCCACCCCCACCGACTCGTAGCATTGTGTATCGACAAGATTAAGTCACGAATAAATCCTTTGGGCTACTAAAGGCGTAAGCCGAGACCCAGAGAGTGAATAACTTCACGTGTTGCTTACGCTCAAAACTCCGAATTCCTTGTAATTCGCTTTTCTCAAGTACCAATTTCCTAACTAAAGGAAAATCTTCGCACCTACTGGTACACAAATTTGCGTCCAAATTGTCTCACATCTAGCCCCTCCAACCCCGCCTCAGGCAAGTCTTCCGCACCGTACCCTGCTACGAAGCTTTCCTTACCAGTTCGTAGTCGATCAGAAGAAACATGCAAGGATTTATAACGTAAAGTATTTCTTTATTCGTTAGTATTCTTTTATACAAACCGTAACGACGCAGTCCAATGAAAGACATACAAACATCATACGAACAGTCTCGGTAGCAATCGATCGCGCGCGTGCATGTAATGTACATGTAGTTGTAGTATTTCATAAAATATATACTCTTATATGACATCTTTTAAGCGCTCCTGTACAAGGTTTCGTGAAAAACTGGGTTTGGTTTGAAATTGCTAAGAAATTTACACGTGAAACTCTACCTCACCCGAGCCAACTTTTTCGCTCTTCTAACGACAAACAATCGAACAGCAGTATTCATTCACTATGCCTGTCACTCGCACTTCATCCACATTTCACCATTATTCGGTGCCTCAGTAATTACAAATTTTCATAATGAAAGCGATGACTAGCTAAGAACTAGATAGAAGTGATTGGTGTGCCAAAGTATTCTACAAAGAAACACTGACTATGATTTTAGGTTAATTGCTTTCGTCTTCGGCTGAGTTCGCACTCGATTCGAACGTCGCATCGTGTGTTTGGCGTCTCGACATTTCTGGCAGATGAACACGTCGGGAACGTTCGATTTTCGTATCTTTGCACACGACAAGTGAATCCACGTTAGACACTCGGAACATTCGATCATGGGTCGTCCTGAAAAGCAACGAAACGAATTAAGTCAACAATTTGTCGTTCATGTATGACCAGCTTAAAAATGAACAACAATTTACATTCATAACGATGAAACGATGCTTTTACAGAGTCCATACAACAAAACACTTTTCATAGACATCATCGAAAATCCGCAAGGTACAGATTTTGAAATAAACTTGAGTAACTTAAAGCTATGCTTTTAAAGAAAACTCTACTCAGAAATGCTCTTGAATCGACTTGAAGTGGAAAACTCGACCATGAAACTGAGAAACGTTACGCGACTGGTGAAAGATGAGTGACACAAAACATCGAAGATACTAGTTAAGATTTGGAAAAATTTCACCGTTCATCGTAACGACGGAAAGAAAATAAACAGAAAACCTACATTTGGTTCGCTATCAATAAAAGTATAGAGAAGTTGGGTAGTCTATGGTTGGGTGTGAATGGCATTAACAGACCGTATTGCCAGACTAGATAATTCTCTCTCGCGCTTATCGATCACAGGAATATACATTCACATGTAAAGAAGAAAACGAAGGACACTACTATGATTTGAAACTTATTACTCAGTTAGCCTTTATCTCAGCGAAGAATGCAGCGTGAGGTACTCCGAATTTCACATACAGGTTCAGAAAACTGTCTCTGTTAGCTCAACATACATAATTTTCCTCCCACCGTTCGCTACTCGAACTGATTTCACAGTAATTACTGTTTCGTTGGCAAGATAAAAAGAGGAAATACTGTTTCCAGAAGCTCAGACATGCATCAGGCAGAATTTAAAGAGTACGTGTAGTATTTGCATGACGAAAACCAGCGAATGAATAACATGTAAGCTAAATGAATCGATGGTTTGTTGTACCGACGAGGTTTCAAATGTTATGAAGTTCCGTTCTGTCTGTGTCACGTATTACACTGGAGTAATAAAAGACTAAAAGGAACGACTACTCAGGGATAAGTATCTGAATTAAAGCAAAAACAGTGCTTACCTGCGAAAGGTTTTTGGCAGTAACATGTGATTTTGTTCCACGACTCGTCATCTGCGAATAATAAAAGAAAGACATCATTTTGGCGACCTCTGCACGCCTTCGTTAAAAAAAGCCAGAAATCAAAGAAAACGCACTTAAGAGTAGAAACTTCCAGAATTCCATTTTCAGGAGAAATTGAGTGACGATAAATGAGTTGCAATTTCATAGTAACTGTACTTGTACCCACCAGAGCTGTATTCCTCATCAACATCGTCGAGTAATCTTTCATCCCCACTTGAACTAGCCGGTGAAGAAGCTGTTTCACTGTAAGCCGAATCCGTACTCGACGACACGCTCTCTAGCGAATTTGGACTTCTATTGCGCTGACGAACGTCCTGAAAACACAACAACATGAAGAAGTCAGGCAACAAATTTATTCAGAGAACACGTTGAACAACGTATGTGTCATGAAGCCGACAAGAATTTTAGTGGGCCAACACAAAGAAAAATACGCTGAAAAGCGCTTGGTTCGACGAAGACGTTACTAGTAGGCAGTTTTTGTTGTTTAAAAGAGGAATGACCTGGATGTATGGACCAAACTTGTAAGAGGCACATTGCATGATAAGCTCTATTCTATCTCACCTCTTGCTTTCCTTCGTATGCGAGGATTAGGCTACAAAATGTGTTGAAATCTTCAAGCGTTCTCCGTTTCTTCGTTTGCGGAACAATCTACAAATGTAAATTTGAAACTAGATCAATCGACAAGAAATCTTTGCAGGAATATTGAAACAGAGAGCTTTGAAATTCAAGCAACGAGAAGTCGCGCTTCTGTTTGAAGTGAACAACAATGGATCGACGTAAAAATGAAGCGTTCGAACTCAAGAAACCAAACAACGCTACTCACTGTTCTACCGTCTTGCTCTGGCGGAGGCAACTTCCTTGAAACTGTTGAAAGAGAAAAGAAGCCATAGAAAAAATAAGAGATTTCAAATACCAGGCGTTTTCAAAGCTTGCTGAGCAAACGTTTGAGTCACAATCGAACGTTCGATGTGCCTTCTAACGTAACAGTACTGCATGCGTTAAAACGAAGCCACAAATCCCAAAAATTTCTACCTTTCATGGTGCCAGAGGTCATTTTCGTTGACTGTACCATAAAAAAACTTCGATTTTGATAAACCCAGCTGATTGTGCAGCGTTTAAAGTCTCCCTAAGAAATTCCAATTCCTACACCGATCAGACTACTCGAAGTACACATCCAAGAAACTTCCCAGACTCCCTTGTGATCGCACCGAAAACGTCACAATAATCATCGGACGACAGTGCGCTCTGATTGGCCGATACTTACATTCGGAAGCAGGTCAATAACAACACGTGACGAAATAGACAGGCTAGATTACCGCAAATTTTCTTCAAACGCGCGATAATTGTCCTAAAAAGTAAGCGCTACTTTTAGTTACGTCTTCAAGAAATATATATTTGCACGGATTAAAATGAGCTGAAATTTCTCTGCGATGATTACTTATTGAAATAAGCCATAAATGTAATAATTACGAACTCACAATTCAGATGTTGTCGCTTTAGTAAACAAACCGCAACAGCCCCGCCGAGACATAATCAGTGAAGCGTTCCCTAAACCCCACTACTGCTCAACTCCTTTAGGTAACCTGAAAAAGTAGCAATCGAATTATTAAAACCAGATTAAATGAGAAAAACACATTTATCTTCAAAGTACAATTTTACAGTATTGTCTCTTGCTGCGATACATAACTCGAGCGACGAAAATATTTCAGTTCTTTGACATAATACATATTGAATTTCAATCATGCGTGAGGCTTTTAATTATGAATGCCAACTGGTCTAGAATTGAAAACAACCAACACACACAAAGTCTCGCAAGTTAAAAGTTTCGAGCTACAAAAACAATCTTTTAAGTTTACCTGGCACAGCCTTGGTGTTACTATTCGATCCAGCGAGTCTGAAGGTTGTCACCGGCATTATGACACATCGAAATCTTTCCCGTTTACGAAGCGTTAACTTTATCTTATTCATGACGGTATTATTTCTCCTGCGCATGCGAAAAATAACTTTCGTATTTCACGCTGGCTCGTGGCCTGAAAACTATGGCTGGTTATCGGAAAAGAGGTTGCATCGTTGAAGCTGTCGAATTCATCTATCGCTTAAGAGTATTCCCACCAAATAACTTAGCTTTGGAGACCTTTCTCTCCCTCAGACGGGAAATATTTCACGTAGTAGACGCCGTGGTACTCCTTGATTGAACAACAGCTGCATACGATTTGGGCTTGCCTTTCACGCCGACATGCCAGCTGGTTATCAAAAAATTTAGCCAATCAGAATGATGTATGGTGTGACCCGCTCTCGTTCCCAGTTTTCCACTAAACGTCAGGCTCTATAGGGTTTAGTTAGTCTTTTTATTACTAGTCTTGTTTTTCTCTGCGCTCTTTGAAATTCGTTGCGCTATCGAACTGAACCGCACAAGAGAAATGAGGTAAATGTGGTTTTAAGAGGAAAAATAATTCAGTGTTCAAAAAATGTCCAATGTCCTTAGACAAATCGGGAACGAAGCAAGAAGTAAACCATTTCTTCCTGAGGTTTCTGCTGTAACAGTCTCCGACTTGGGTTTATTTCCTTTGCCAACTTTTCTCTAAAACAGCCGAGGGTAGACAACGAAAGATAGATACTCGTTGAAGCCTTAATGTCGTTTATTGAATTATCATGAACACGATCATCATTATTGCTATTATATAATTGTTGCAGGATTGTTATTATTATCGTTATCGTCATTATCATTTTTTTTCTGCATGACTGCAAACGTATTCGACTTAATGCTAGTAAGGTTGTTTGGATTATTTACAGTAGCTTCATTTTCTTTCTCGAGAAATGTAAAATTCCTTTCGGAGATTTTTACACTCACTGGTCTCTTGGATGAGACACAGCGCATCAAGCGTGTACAACTTTCATTTCAACAATAATAACATCTCTACTGACTCCTACAAAAATTGACATTTGGCGTTGATTACAGAGGGGGTTAAGGGAAAGCTCCCTAATGATGGAGGAAATCATTATGTAGATCATTCAATAATCAAATTGCAAGCAAAAACATTTGAACTGAATTTTTATTTTAGAGCCTTCAGACCTGCAATCAAATTTCACACCAACCATGGGTTATCTTAACCCAGCTTTGAAGAACCCGGGCCTGGTGAATTATTTCTTTCGGGAAGCAGACCCATGCACCTACTCAATATCCGTGCCCTGTGGAGAGATCAAAGACTAGACTAATGAATTCAGCACTTTTTATAAGGTCCTTATGCACATGCCCAGTGAGCCTCCAGACATCTTTCCCACCTTTCATCGCTCAACTTTTATATTCATGCAGCATAAAGTGGCATTGGGTTGTTTCACTTATTTCCCATCATGGGTAGAAGACTTGTGTCACATTTTCAGAGTTAGATTCTCTTTTTCGAATTTCTCATTCTGTATTTAGCAGAAAAAAAGTACTAAAAGGAGACTGCAAGGACTTTTCAAGAATATGCTTTATTTACTACTAATGCAAAATAATAAGCTCTCAGAAAAAAGGTTAAACATATGATACAAGCTGAAATTTTGCTCAGTCCTCATATCTTTCATAACCAGTATTTGTAAAGTGCACATATCAAAAAGAACTTTCATAGTGTTTTCATCACCCTACAGTTCTAACAAAAATAATACTACTATTCAATATCCTCCTATGTCCACCTATGTCATATGTTGTTCAGCAATCCAATGAGATGTAAACATTCTACTGCTACACATATATTTGTAAATTTAAGGAAGGATTTTTTTTCACTTCTAAATCTTGATGATGTAAAATTTTAGTACTATCATCTGTTGAAATGACAATACAAAATTTCACTCTGTTCTGTGTCTGTGGAAGTGTAATATCTGTACCTTTCCTTTGAAGCTGCAGTATGACTCCACTCTAACAGAAATCTCTTAATTTTGCCAGATACATGAAACTGATTTATGCAAAAATGTTAAGATCTGCATTTGCAATTCAAAATTCAAACATATTACACATTTGATAGTCCGATAATAGGAGCCCAAAAAATTGTTAATTCACCTTCAATATATGAGCAATACTTTAAATCAAATCATAAAGTTGTATCTCCTCATAATATTTTTTGAAGAGTCCAAAATTACAAACAGAAGATTCAAATTTAATGTTGTTAGTGGCATGCTTTAACAATTCTTACAAGGACTATGTATTCTTCTACATTTTTTTGCATTGCATAATATGTGTTAAGTCTAGGCCAGGTATTACTAGTTTAGGGTTTTATTACACTGTAGAGCAAAAGTACATCTTTGTAAAGTTAATTGGAGCTTGAATATTTCTTGCCAATATTCCCTTTTTACTTCATTGCCTTCTCTTCTTGCAATATAAATTTCCACACTTTCAAACAATAACTCAAACAGGAACCTTTTCATTTTCTCTTTGAAGATTTGAGTTATTGGAAGTCAAATGTACTTCATTGTTGAGAAATGATCATCATTCCCCAATTTTATCTTTTAATAACAATGGCAAAACTGCTTCCTATCACCACATTATCAACTATTATCATAACATGCTTAGACTTTTAAAAAATGCATGTTCAGGGCAAATTTGCTTTTTTGAGTGACCATCTTCAAGTACTTATGTGACTGCAGATTTCTGTTCACAATGATCATGCACATAGTTATTACTAATAATTACAGTAATTTTGCAGTAATCCAGTAAAATTTTGGGAAATGAAAGGTTTTGTGCAATCAACTTCATCTAGTTTGATTTCAACTTTTCTAATGGTCTTGGCATCTCAGTGATAATTTGATACTACAGGATTCATATGTTAAGTGAAAATTTGGTGCAACAGGCATTTTCAAGTTTGGCTGTGTATAGTTTGGTCTTGATGAAAATACATGTTTTCTTGATTGAAATACCTTTCCAAGTGAAAGTAAATTATTCCTGCTGTATTGGCCCTGAACTGGACATGCCTGACTCATTTGTACAAGGTAAAGAAAAAATTAATTCTACCCTGAGTGTAATGTTGACATTTTTCAGATGACTAAGATGAAGTTTACCTTTAAACAAATAATTATTTTTACCTTAGATTCAATACACACTCACTTACATAGGAAAGTATGCTATTAGATGGATTGGACCTAATTAAATGATCATAAAATGATGTTTCAAATGAGATTAGAAGTTTATCAACATTGTCATCTTCCAAGAGAAACACTTGCAATCTTTACTCAGAAATTTCCGTGACTGAGAATTATTTCTAGAAGCACTAATTTTTTTTAATAAGTCATCTTGTTTCAGTTTTACTTGTACATTTCTATAAAATTGTAAAAATGCTAACCAATTTTGGCAATTTTTACAGGAAAACTTCAATATTCTTTTAATTTTTTTGTCATCTAAGTATTAGCAATGAAATAGTGCTATTAAACCTTTAACTCCTAAGAGTGACTGGCATCTTATTTCTGCTTCCTGAATAAAGCATTAATATCACAAGAATTGAGGAAAAGATCACCAAATGAAGAAGCTGTGGATTGTTAAACAAATTCTCCTCCTCAGCACCTTAGGAAGTTCATGGAGAACAGTATGGAGTAATTTCATAAAAAGATGCTTCAATCAGCCCACAAGGGCAAAAAAATACCACAACTGTGATTAACATTTCATCTAGCTTTGTTGAGATATTCAGACTGAGATGTAATGTAAAGACGCAACTTTCAGACACAGTGTGGTCTGTCTGTGGTCTCACATGTCAACATACTCATTTTAAGGTCCATTTGTGCTTTATTTACAATAACAACAAAGGAAAGAGACTGCATTATAGGCTTTGTGAAAAATATTTTATTTGCTGCTATTTCCAAAAAAAACCTCTTCTCATAGTACCAAGGTCATCACAGAAAGTTGGACATTCATCATGGCAAAAAAAAAGTTTATTATCATATATCTGAATATGTGACTAATTGACTTTATTAATGTCAGTATTCTTAAAAACATTGCAGAATAAACATTGATGCTTATACAAGAAAGGTTTGTTCCAGGATCCACTTTCTGGACTTGTGTTCATCTAGTTATTTACTATTTATCTACACCACACGCCAGTCCAGATCAAAACTTACCCTTTCTGTTAGTACTCTTTTTACTGTTGTTCAAAAAAATGTCCTCAGACCTCATCAAGGCATTAATTTGTTCTGTATTCTTTGGATCTTTATATTTCAAACTCCTTTTTAAGCTCTAAAATTAGTTTGGCTTCCTATAACAATAGTATCACATCTGTTACCTAGTTTCACATGCATGGCAAATTCTGAAATAATTTTGAAATAGATAATATCTATGCTGAATTTTAGATCCTTTCATTCACCACCCAAATATATACTCCATTGCTTTAGAGACAATGTTTGCATCTTTCTGTGGAGTCCTGGCTCCATTGGAGACAACCTGCCAACAAAAAAAATACATGTTTCAGAATCTTACATTTTGTTTTTTCCCCAATTAATATTTAATCCGATAAATGGTTTGAACCTAAGGCGCAACATGTAATAGTTTGGTCTGATTATTCAGGTGAGTGTAGTCCTGAGAAGGACTGATGTTTTGACAACTTGAGCCAAAGTCATCATCTGAGTAATGAAAAGAGACATATGCTCCAGAAACAAAATAATATGTCACTGCCATAAGAAAAAAACTACAAATTGCTTACAAGTAAGCTTAAAATTTTAGCAACTGGCTTCACTATTTTAAATGTAATTAAAAAAACCTGGCTATTAACTTGTGATTCTGTTTCAAGTAAAGTTTGTCTCATATAAAGACTTCACTCAGATTACCTGATGGTCACTTCGAGCTGCTTGGTAAGCGGCAGTCAATGGTCGCACTGGAGCAGGTTTACTCGCTGTTGGAGATGTCATCATGGTTTCATTCCTGTTTGATGATAATGGTGTGCTCATATTCTCTTTCCCAAAGGTTTCCATCACACTCTTCAATAGTAAAAAATGTAGCAAGTGTTAAGATGTGCTGCATTTCTTACCGAGTCAAAGTTCAAAGAACTGCTGAATGAAGGTTAACTACACTCAATGCAACATCCTTTCTAAATGCTCAATGACAGAGAAATTCAAGGATTGATCAATTAAGATCTGTGAGATGTAGGGGGTGGTATTTTTGAATTTATAACACTTCCCAAACCCCTACCCCCTCCCCCCCACCCTTCCACTCCTCCACCGAAAAAAGATCCAATCAGAGGATTTGACCCACCAGCTGAACCTGATGCTTAATGCTGGATATAACCCTTTTAGAAACTGCCAGCCCCTCAGGGAACAGAAGCTGGACCTAAAATAGTAAATTTAATGTACAATTTATCTGGACTTGGCAGTGGTTGATCTGTAAAATGCTGTAAACACCAAATCTTACCTTCTCAATACAAGGCATGACACCAACCATAATGTTACTGCCATAAATCTTTCCATTTTTACTGAGAGCCTGAAGAAAACAAATAGTCAGATCTTTAGATATAAGTAATCCTTGCAGCTATGAATGCTACTGAACTAGTAGTTGAAATGAGACCTGAAAAAAAATTTCATGCCCATACAGGATTTGAACTCATGACCTCTGCGATACCAGTGCAGCGCTATACCAACTGAGCTAACAAAATTTTATATATTTCCAGTCATTAGTCAGATCTTGTTGTGTAATTTTATGCTGTAAAAGTCATTTTCTAAACTTCAAACAAACACAGGCTATCATCAGGTTTTTTCATGAGAGGAATGGCCCAAGTTATAATGAGGGAAAAAAGTAGATGAAATAAATATTCCAGGGTTCAATGAGTACATGGAAAAAAATGTAAAGATTAGCTATTTTGATCTCCATTTTCAAAAAGATTAGTTTTTAAAATGCTTTGTGTCTATTCCAAAATGTAAAGTTGTTTTTTTCTACTTCCATCTTCTTATGAGATTTATTGAAAAAGCTTTGTTTTTGCAGGAAAATGTATCCAAATAAGTAAATAAGTATATATAAAGAAGGTCTTACCATTTTAACAAGTTGCTTCTTGGGAAGTAGCTGTGCCTGACATGTGCCATACAGCTGTAAATGGCTAGATAACTTAGGAATCTTAGCAATAGTTTTTCTATTTTATTCACCTTTTTGGCTTGAAGTTTTGATTGATACTGAAGATGCAACCAGTTCCCTTTGGATGTCTAAATAAAATTTTGGAATCACAATAGTTAGTTTTAAAATACTATTACATCAAATGCACTATTTACATGCATCTATTATTTCATAACTAGTTCAATTCTGGAAAGGAGAAAATTGACCTGACCTTCAATTTGGATCTTCTAAGTGAAAGCTATTAACTCTTTAACTCCCAGATCAAATTTGTACTTCTCCTTACTTGGCTGAACAACACACTTCATCTTTCACCTTTTTTTCTGTAGTACAGTGGCCATAGTTACCTGTTCTCTGTTGAAAGGAGAATTGGTGAAATCTGAACTTCTCGCATCGTAAAGTCCTTCAACAGGAGGTGCACTGATGGAATCTTTCGGAGTGCAATCCACAGTAGATGATCTAAATAAAAAGACAGATCTGAAATAAAGTATTTACAAAACAGGCAAAATGCATGATTTTTCATATATATTTGGCTCAAAGAGAGGAAAAGAGAAAATTAGCCACAGTATGGCTGCAAGATGTGAGGTATTTGTTTTACTTTGTTCTGTTTTTATTTGGTTTGTAATAATATACATGAAAAAAAAATCCTGTCTGATTAGCTGAAAATTAGTGGTAACATGCGTACATATAGCATGTGTGCACTGCCAAAATTTTTTCACTCTTGACTATCTGTGATGTGTTTTACATGAAAGTATTAACAAGTAACAACATGATTTCTCATGCAGTTTGGTGCAAATAAGCACTTGTATTTTTTAAATTTTTTGTGCAATTTTGTTGCTTTTGAAATATTTACTTGTGCTCATTTACACCAAATTGCACTCCTTATCATTTATTTAATGGATTCGTACAAGTACAAGTACAGATGCATAACAATAGGACATAAGTCCCCTTCTTGGTTAATACACCCACACTGACCACCCATCCCACCCCAGGGGAGGACATCAAGTTAAAAGTTTTAGTTACATTGGTGACCGTATCAGTGGCAGTTTCAAGCCCTGCATATCGAATGAGTAACTTAGTGATAGAGAGACTGAGGGATCTCTTGTTAATAATTTACCAATAGGCTCCTTAACCCTGATAATAATGCACATGAAAAATTCTGATTGGCTTAAAACAAAGTCATTCTCATGTGACCCAAGTGCAAAGTTGTAGCACAAGTGCAAGGTGGTAACACGAGTGCAAATTACAAAGAGCGTGCAGATGCTTCCAAAATTTCGTCTGTCTTGACTTTCTATGATGTTTTTTCATGTACATTGTTAACAAGAAGTAACTTGATTTTGAGTGTAATTTGGTGTTGATAAGCGCAAGGCAATTTTTCAAAGACAACAAAATTGTATGAGCCCGAAGGGTGAGAGCAATTTATAGTCTTTGAATTCTAGATTCCATGAGCATTTTATTTCGTTTTGTTTTTTTTTTCCCAAGAGCAAGACCCTTGGGCTCTTCTGTAGGATTATACAATAGAAGCCCTGGTCAGGAAGCAAGATCATTGTTAGTATGCAAACAAGAAGTGTTTTGACAAAGCCTTTAAAAAATGTTTGTTCAGAGCGTGAACCTCATGCAGCAGCTACCAGAGGATGTTTTGCAATGTGTTTAGTTCTAGAAGCTGAACAGCTATGTCAATTAAACGGGGCTCTAATCTGAATTTCAGTTCTTGTATTATCTGGTGACTGCATTTTTGCATTTGGCAACCATTTTTTCTTTGATAGTCACCAAAAGGTGACTTGGAATTTCTTTAATTTCAAGCCCTGATATGATATGCTGTATTTGGAGTTCTTTTCTCTGTGTATGTCTGTCTTTCACTAAATTCATCACCCTTTGACAAAGAAATTGATATGGAAATTTTATTGCAAATTGACTTCAAACTAATAAATCAAATGAGTAGTCAAAGACAAAAGTTTGTTGGTAGTAAGTGGCATTAGTACGTAAAAAATGGCACCAAATTTAAACAAAATATTAATAATAATGAAAAACTCAATAACTAATGAATGCATTTCTTAAAGAGAAACAAAATCTAACTGATCAGAGAGCATTCACAAACAGCAATGAATTGATCAAAGATATAAGTTAATATGACATACCAAAGTAGCAGGTGAATTGCCACCAAGGAGATACTGCAGCAAATAACCAGGAGATGATGGAGAACTCATGTGATGATTAACTTGACTGAGCGATCTAGCAGTCTTTTACCTTGATGATCCATAACAAATTTGTCCTTCCCTGAAATTCGAATAAGATGACTGAGCAGGACTCCATTTCATCTTGAACAGCGGACTTTGTTAGAGAGACAATCCAAGATAGAATTAGGGATGCAGAAAGTTTGATGTGTGTGCCCAATTAGCATTTATGTGTGGGCTGCTATTTTGAATGTGAAACTGGTCAGCTTCATTGCTGCATGCAGTTCAGTGTAAAACTGATGACTTTCCTAAACTGTACCAATCAAAGTTTTTTAACCCATGCTTGCCTCTGGTATCATGTAGATGTGAAGGATCAGATCAATGGACACTTAGCTTTGTATCTATGCCAAGTTTTGCAAGGGAAGACAAAACCTATATACCATCATACAGATAATATTGGTGATTATGTTGTGGTGATCAGCATGAGACAAATTGTTTTATCTGGTACCAAGTGAAAAAAACAAACTTTATTGTCATCACACTGGTTATCTGGGTGGACTAAAATCTATAACTGCAACGGAGCTGCACAAGTGAGATGCTACAAGGCTCATATAGAGGGCTGTTGATGGAATGCTTCTGAAAAACAATCTCAGACCTATTTGGATGAAAAGATTGTTCCTTTTTAAGGACAATGAACATAAATGCATGAAAAATGTTTTTGCTAAATTAGAAGGCCCAGCCCCCTTACCCATAAGACTGGAAGAGTTCACAGCAGAGGAAATTGAGAACTATCCAAAACGGCCAACCATCAATTGCCTTTTGAATTGTGAGAATATCATTTTTGCAGAGATAACATCAAGATGAAACACATACATGAAAGTTTTGACTTTACATCTTTACGATTCATGAACGACTTTAACTATGACATGTGATGTTCTGCTCACTGGTTAACCATAGTCAACCACTTTATCCGATTTACCAAGCATTTTCATTCAGTAAACCGCGTTTCTTTGAGGTATTGACACAATTAAAACCATAAGCTAACCATCAGTGGCTAATCATTTCATTTATTCACCTCTGTCATTTACTATATATTTGATAGTTACATGTAAGCATCTGATGTCCTTTACTTTACTTCTTGCAGTTCTTGCAGCAGAACTCTGAAATTTTCTTCAAATGCGAGATAATTGTCTCGTTAGGTAACCTGAAAAAGTAGCAATCAAATTATTAAAACCAGATTAAATGAGCAAAACACATTTATCTTCAAAGTACAATTTTACAGTAATGTCTCTTGCTACGATACATAACGCGAGCGCTGAAAATATTTCAGTTCTTTGACATAATACATCATGAATTTCAATCATGTGCGAGGCTTTTAATCACGAATGCCCAAAGTATTGCCAGTTAAAGTTTCGAGGTACAAAAAAATCGTCTAACTTTACCTGGCACAGCTTTGGTGTTACTATTCGATCCAGTGAGTCTGACGAGTGTTGTCACCGGCACTATGACACATCCAAATCTTTCCCGTTTAAGAGCCGCCAACATTTTATCTCATTCATGACGGTGTTATTTCTCCTGCGCATGCAAGAAATAACTTTCGTATTCCACTCTGGCTCGTGGCCCGAAACCGGTTATCGGAAAAGAGGTTGCATCATTCATCTATCGCTTAAGAGTATTCCCGCCAAATAACTGAGCTTTGAAAACATTTCTCTTCCCCAGACCTGGAATATTATCAAAACATTTGGCCAATCAGAATGATGCATGGTCTGACCGGCTCTCGTTCCCAGTTTTCCACTAAACGTCAAGCTCGTCTGGGTTTAGTAAGTCTTTTTATTATTAATTTTGTTTTTCTTTGCGCTCTTTGAAATTTGTTGCGCTATCGAACTGAACCACACGAGAGAAATGAGGTCGATGTGGTTTTAAGAGGAAAAATAACTCAGTGTTCAAAAAATGTCCAACATTCTTTAGACAAATCGGGAACGAAGCACGAAGTAAACCATTTCTCTCTTTGCTAGCTTTTCTCTAAAACAGCCGAGGGTCGACAACAAAAGATAAATACTCGTAGAAGCCTTAATGCCGTTTATTGAATTATCATGAACACGACCATCATTATTGCTATTATATCATTGTTGCAGGATTGTTATTATCGTTATCGTCATTATCATTTTTTTATGCGTGACTGGAAACGTATTCGACTAAATACTAATAAGTTTGTTTGGATGATTTACATTTGATTCATTTTTTTTCTCGAGAAATGTAAAATTCCTTTCGGAGATTTTGAAAATGGCAACGAACCATCATTTGCCAAATCAATCATCCCGAAAGTATGAAACAGGTAATTATTTCGTGAGACTTGCTACGCACATCTCACACTTACCGGTCTTTTGGATGAGACACAGCGCATCAAGCGTGTACAAATTTCATTTTAACAATAATAACATCCACTGACTCCTACAAAAATTTGACATTTAGCGTTGATTACAGGGAGGGGGGGGGGGGTTGAGGGAAAGATCCCTATTGATAGAGAAATCGTTATCTTTGGAAACTTTGTGATGAACGTTTGTGTAAAGGAAGATGTTTAACATCTTGTCACGAGCGTGGGAACTAGAACAGAATGCCAGAAAGACTGCAATGTGAGTTTCAGATATAAAGGCATGTCTGACGTGAGGTGCCTATGGTCTCTAATGCCCAACCTGACATTCTCACAGGTATTTGAAGACACGCGTTTTGGCCTTTTCCTCCTCAATTATTCTGTTGAATTATTTCTTTCGGGAAGCAGGCCCGTGCACCTACTTAATATCTGCACCCTGTGGAAAGATCGAAGACTGGACTAATGAATTCGGCACTTTTTATTGGGTCTTTATGCACATGGCCAGTGAGCCTCCCAACATTTCTGCCACCTTTCATTGTTCAACTTTTATGTTTGTACGGCACAGAGTGACATTGGGTCCTTTCACTTTAATTCTTGTCATGGGTAGAAGACTTGTGTCATGCTTTCAGAGTCAGTTGTCTTTTTCAAATTTCTCATCATTTACTAGAAATAAAAAGACTGAAAGGAGATTGCATGGACTTTGTGAAAATATACTTTATTTACTACTAATACAAAATAATAAGCTCTCAGAAAAAAGGTTAAATATATAATACAAGCTGAAATTTTGCTCATTCCTCATATTTTTCATAACCCTACAGAAATAGCAAAAATACTATTACTGTCTAATATCCACCTATCAGGTCCACCTATGTCATATGTTGTTCAATAATCCAACAAGATGTAAACATTCTACT